ATTGTACAATTGTGTGTTCTGGTTGTGTTAGGGCTATAAGTCCCTATTCAGTTGAATATTTTGGTTATATCCCCTCTTCTTAGGGCTACATCACCTCTTCTGTCTTGGGTTAGATCCGGTCACTGCGTCGTCTGAGAGTTTAGTGTTTTGTCGCTAGGTAGAATAATACCCGTGATCCATTTTCATTCTTTTTGTCGGAAGCAAAAGCCCAGAATAATTTGGATTGCAAAATATCTCGGCAACCGTGTCCATTAGTAAATTTTAAAGACGGTTTCTAGAACAACTGTTCAAGGGTGATAAATTAAACGTCTCTTTTTGCCATGGGCATTTTACACACTTCTCCTGTAAGCGCGAACTAGGTCTTGCACCATAGTGGGTTTTGCACCATAGTGGGTTGGCCTGCTCACGCCCGTGGTTTAGACTAAGCCTTCCCTTACAAGGGAAGTGTTTGAAGTTGGAGGTTCACTACGCCAGGGCGCACTTAAGGAATGTTACCGTTGCGGAACCCCACACGAATGAAACCCGAGTGCTTCCGTTGGCGGCCGCATCAACTGAAATAGCCTGGAGTACCAGGATAATTCAGTGCAATGCCCGCGACCACCGTAGTCGGTCGGAAACCAAAGAGGCCCAGACTATTCCCGGTTGTTTAATCGATTGTAATTTTGTCGCGAAGAAAACTATCAAAACATGAGTTTTCAACTTTTTGCAAGTTGTGGAAGCTTCTCGAAATAAGTTTTGCGCAAAATGTGTTGTTTACTAATGCATATTGGTGCCAAATATGGCACATTTCTGTTGACAACTACAAAAGTTATAGCAGCTTTAAAAGTGGGGTTTTAATTTTGTCCAGTACGGCCTAATCTTTCACTTACATGGGAAGTACCCCAAGTGCGACGCTCAGATTTTGATGAAACTTGGCAAAAATTTAGTATAATTCTTTCTAACAAGGGAAGTACTTGAAGTGCGACGCTCAGATTTTGATAAAAATTGGCATAGATGGAGATTGGAATTTCCTTATTCGATTGCGAGCTTTCTAGCTCGCGCTTTGCAGAATCCGCCGAGAAAGAAGGGCCGGAATATCGAAAAAAATCTTCAAAAGCCGGCGAATTTTCCCTGATTCCCTTGATCTTGGCATTCCGTTTCAGGATAAAAATATATTTTTTCTCCACAGGGGATTCGGATTTACTTATAAAAACTCTTATTTACTTATAAAAACTTTTATTTACTTATAGGTCCCAAAAATTCACCTATAAGTGAAAAAAAGGCGGAGCCTATTTTGCTTTACTTATAAGAAAACCTTATTTACTTATAAGAACTTTTATTTGCTTATAAGAACTTTTAGTCACTTATAATTACCAATAAGAACTCCGAAAAGAAAACAAATGAGCGCCAAAGACGCTTTCGGCTTTTTGAACGCATGGGCGAGACTTAGAAATTCCAAGTTTTTCGGAGCAGTACTGGTCAAAGAAGGTGCATAAGGGTATTTATACCTTGGATGGAACAAGGTAAGGTACTTTTAGTGAGTTTTTTCTTTCAGAACTGTAAAAAAGTGGATAGATGAAAAAGCCGGAACATAAGAAAATTCCCGAATAGAAAGCATGTCGACATGGAAGAGAAGGCTGCCTCGGAAGATCAAGGAACAAGCATGATCAACCAAGAATTTAGATGAAGAACCCTTTCATCAAGTTTGGTAGGTTTTTTAAACTGCTTCCACATTTCAGAAGGCTAGAAACTTTTTAGGAGAAAGTTTTGTTATGTTGTACTAGGTCCAGGTAAACCGCTAGTTTTCAGATAATCACAAAATTGGTCGTGGAGGAAGTAAATGGACAACGTGAACACGATGCCTGGAAAAATGGCTCCCGTATGCTTCAGGTATGTTGATAATATTCGCCTGGACCTAGTACAACATAACAAACTTGATGTCTTGAAATCTGTCATTGCCAAATTTCTGATCCTCAAACTAATTTTTGCGATGGAAAAGCACAAAAAAATGAGTTCAAGGACAGCTCATAATAAACTATCTCCGAAAATTTTATTTCCTTTTTCTTTATCTTTGACTATTTTCAGTGCATCGAACCGCAGGAGTACCCATAGAAAATCCGCACAGAAGCAATCCTCGCCCCGTCAGGACACAGAAGATGCAATAACCACATGTGTAACCGGTAAAATATCAGAGTCAGATTGTTTTTTCTTTGTTTGAATAAATTTTTATCTATCCTGCACTGTGCATAATTTTCTGTTACCTATAAGTATTTATAATTACCTATAAGTGAATTTCCCGCGCGCCGAAAATAAAAATTACCTATAAGTGATTTCAAAATCACTTATAAGAACTTTTATTTACTTATAAGAACTTTTATTTACTTATAAAAACATCGAGTTTTTATAAGTAAATAAAGGTACTTATAAGTAAATCCGAGTCCCCTGTGTCGCAAGATTTTTTTTCTTGATAATGTTCAACACTATTTTGTTGCTTTTATGTGGAATATTGTGCGTTATTTTCATTTTTTTACACTCTGGACATAATTCTTGCGCTATTAATTGGATTGTTGCCATCCGGAGGGTAAAATTTTTCGTTTTTTGACTAATTAATACAGCTTTTCCTCTGCGGATGGGCGAACCACTCTAATAGTTGCTTCAATGCTGTTTAGAAGAGATGCAAAACGCTCTACTTCGTGCATGAAGGTAATCATAAAGTAAGTTTTCCAAAAATTTTATTTTTTCACTGTTTTTCAGTTTATTCCATTTCAGCAAACAAAGTAAAGGGTCCCAAAGGTGTTCCGCCATTGTACTGAGTGTTCTGATGGTTCACATTCGCTGTTCTCGTTGTTCAGAATTTACTTGCTGAAATAAAAAAACAAGATTTTTGGAAAACTTACTTTATCTTTTTGCCGAATTTCGGCACGAAAAGTTTCATGCCTATTTCTACCGTAAAGGGTAATGTTTCTACAAAAAATCAAAATTTTCCGCATGAAACTGCCAAAGTTATGGCCAAAAAGCGTTTTTCTCTCTGACCGCTCTCCACGTTTAGCGCGCTCTCTCGGCAGCATAAATCGTCCGATATCTCGGCGGCGCCTGCAAAGCGCGAGCTAAAACTTTCAGGAATTGATATTTGGTCCATACCCGTTGTGTATGCAAATTTTAAAGAAAATCTGAGCGTCAAACTTGGAGTACTTCCCTTGTTAAGTCATTCTTCCTTAAGTTCCCAGGAATATTGGATATACGTGGTATGCAGGAGTCTCAACGCGAAAATTTTTGTATCTTTCTTTTTCCGACGATGGTCTCCTCAGTTTGTGCGGTCCGCCAATTTTTATACCGATATCGACTTTTCGTCCGTGGGGAAAGGAAAGGGGTTTGCGAGCGAGAGAAGCTCCCGGAGACCGCCCATTTGGTGCGACTCTCTTTCTAAGAGTCTTTTTTCGTCTCCCCACCAGTCAGGCGAACCGCGGTTCGTCAGATTCGTATATCGATTGGTTCTCATGTTTCTTTGGATGTGTGTGGTTGGTCTGGTTTTGTGCGTAGAACTGAAAGAATCTGGCATTGGGTTTCGGGGTTTAAAACGTTAAACAGGATATCTGTAAAACAAAAGTGCCAACGCTCACTCCTTTTAAATAAGGTATGGTTGCTGTTTTTATAGGCGGGGCTTCTAGGAGTAGTCAAAAAACTTTTATTCCGGTAAAGTAGGCCTCGGGCTCTATTGGTTTTGCATTCCCCCCGATATCGGGGGAAAGCAAAATTCGGCCGACTCTCTTCTCTCTACGCACTGCGGAAAAAAGCGGAAAGGAAGAGAAAGATGAAAAGAGGAAAAAAAACCTTTTCGCAAAGCAACCATTTAGGCTCTGTTGGAAGGGATCTTTTTTGGTTAGGAATGCGGTGTGCTTGGGGCTCTAGCTCTTCTCACACGCCGTTGACAAACCTTTGGTAGTTTATTTACTGGTTGATGCTGACTTGTAAATAAAAGAATTGACAAATACTGAAAGAAGCCCGTTTCTGTTTTCGAACGATTCTTGGAGTAGGAATGGTTTCGAAAGTAGGGTACACATTACTCTTACCGAAGAAATCAGATAGCGCTCGTCGAAAAATCGGACACTGATTGACAGTATAATGAGAAACTAGTTCCCGGCTGTCAAGGTGATGTATTGGAAGTTTTGAATCTGTTAGTTATCAGTTTTTGGATCTGGTTAGGGAATGTTATCGGTTCGAACTCACGTCCGTCATGATTTTCTGACAGGCACGGTTGAGCTTTCTGTCCTATCGTGGATCTTGATAAAATCAGCCCAGCAAAAAATTTAGGCAGAGGGCCTAAAATGGCCCGCCCCTGTTTAGCCGTGTTTTAGGCTTCTTGTTTTGAGTTTGGTTCTTTGTGGGATTCGACTCGGTAAAGGCTTTAAAAGTTTTCGGAGCCGTATAATTTAGCTCTATAAAAAGGCGTAGGGAATTTCGATGCTTCAAAGAAAGGCAGCCGTTTTTTTTCGCACCTGACTAAAGGAGTGCGGACTGAGTCGCGTCAGCCGTCCGTCCGTTGTGTCTTCGGTCAGGCGGTTGTAGATGTTTCGAAGCAAGCAGCGAAACCCATCGAATGCGTTTCGCTGCTTTCTTCGGAGGGCTGTGAGATGAAAGAGATGGTGAGGCATTTGTTCCTTCATTTCTTTCATACTTTCTGGCTAGACTGAAACCCTTGCACAACGAACCGGTCTTTAACGAACGGCTTCGGAAGAATCTGTTTCGAGGACCTGAGACATGCGTGATAGGAGTTCCTCTTGTGTTAGGGTCTTCGGAAATGGGGTCGACTTGTTTGAATGTGGTTCAGTCAAGAAGCAAAAAATTCAGATTCTTGAACAAACACAAAACAGCATAAATACAACAAAGACATTTTTATTTAACGCGCTCACGTCATCTCGGAAAATTTCCGAGACTTGAGTTTAATGTGCGGTTTTTTCGCGCTTTTTGAGTATTTTTTATCTCTGGATCCTCATAATCTCATCCTTCTCCGTTTCAGAACTATGGCAGTTCGAGAAATCAATGGAGAACCGGCTTATGAGGTTGAAGCTCTCCTTGACTATAGAGGGGGAGAAGATCATTGGAAAAACAGAGAGTTTCTTGTAAAATGGAAGGACTTTGGTCCAGAGGATAACTCCTGGGAACCAAGACTGAACCTTCGAGTAAGCGTCGAATTGCAGTTATTTATTTAGTCCTTCTAGTGCCCTGCCGTCCTCCGATCCTTCTTGTTGAGTAAAGGCTTAACTGACGACACGTTAGTAAAGCGGATGACCGCCAACCAAAAGCGGGCAGAGAATCGAAGAAGGACAAGAACAGACCGCAGCTCGGTGTAAGTTTTAAGGATGAATGAGAAAGAAGGCGTTTATCAACGGAGGCGTCAAATTTTCTGCATAACCGCTGACCTTCTCTTGTTGCAATGACGCAACTATAGCAGAAATTTTGAGCCGAGACAGAAATCTGTATGAACACGCCTTGCTTACTTTTGTGTGCTTACTTTCACCTTTTCAGCCCCGATGATCTAAAACTCGAGCCCTCTGCAATCAACGGTCTTGCTGATCATCTCGACATCCGTCTGCCTACCAACGGTGCCTCCATAAATGCCCAGAGGTCAACGTCACCTTGTCTAACAGACCCTTCGTCCTCAAGAAACGACGAGAACGAGACCCCGTCCAATTTTAAAATGGAGGAAGAGGAAATTCAAATGAACAATGATGATGAAGCCCAACAAGCCATTGAGAAGATTCAGAAAAATAGAAAAAGAAGATCAAAATCTACAGCAGATGACAGTGACATTGATGGAAACTTGGGAATCAGTTCGGAGAATATCCCCGTCAACACACGTACAGTCCTCCAGGATGTTGCCAGGAATGCTACAGATCAAGCCAGGGCTTCGTCAGAAGGTCATGCAATACCATCCACATCTCGAGGGCATTCCGTTAGCTCGAATCCGGAAGCCCGTGCTGTCATTTCATCCATGACAGCGCCAAACAAGCTGATTTTCAAACTCTCGGAATCGACTGCAAAGAATCTGCCGTATGAAGCGACCTCAACACCGATCAAGCAGAGAGACAATCTTCCATCTGTCGACAGTGGCTTCAACACAGCCTCTACTAGTCCTACTATTGAGTCGGATGCCACTTCAAATTCGTCACCAAAGGTATCCCCATTAAAGATTCGCATGATAGAGAAAAACCCAATCTGTAAAAAGAAGACTCCAAAAAATAAAGTTAAGAAAGGACCGAGATCCTCATGGGCATCGAGAGTCATTGAACAATTACAGCAGTTGCCACCAATGGATGAACACATCAAGAAGAACGTCGAACCGGCGGCTGAACCGCCAAGCAAGATGAGAAAAGTTGGTGGTGAGAAGGAAGGTGAGAAGACCGACGTTTTCAAGTCTGCAGAAGACATGGCAGACAAGGTAAGACACTCACCCCGCCTAGAAAATTAGAGATCATCGGTTTTATTTGCTGGATCCTTGGCACGGTTGGAGGCCGGAATTCTGTGAAGAAACGCAATTTTCTCAGAATTATTTCATTTCATTTGTCAATTGTGGCATTTCGTTCGCACGAAACTACAAAAGGGGGCGGGCCAAATTTCCCATTCCATTTTTTGTTTTTTTTTTTGTGACGTCCGTGGTCAGGCTGTGCAGGTTTCGCTGAAAAAATACGAAAACTTGGGAATTTAGATTTTTCCGATTTTTCACAGTTATGGAAAATCATTTGCCCACGATTATCCAAACTTTGAACTTGAAGTTCGGATTATTCGACCAAAAATTCGAATCTGAAAAGAATTCAGTCCAACTTGATCTGTTCTTGCGAAATCACGTAGTTAATTTACTTTATTTACTAATTCCGCGCTCTTCAGCCCGGACCCTCATCCGTTCCCATCGTCGCAACGACTACCAAGTGCGTTCCTCCACCAACCACTGATTCTTCCTTATTGGGCAGGTTGGCCTATTACTCCCTATGTGAAGTCAAAGATCCGGCTTTCCACTATAAGCAAGATAACGGCAAGCAGGACTACCGTCTCGATTCAGAAGTCAAGAAGGAATGTGTTACCGCGGCTGCTAAAAAGCTGCCATATTCGTACCGCGAATTCAAGACAAAGGAGGGACCACAAGGCCTGTCACCCATGGAATCTCTCAACCTGGCCATTAGTTTCATGAAACTGCACAAAAATGAAAAGCAAGTTGATTTCCCATTTTTGTTCTGAATTTAGGCTGATTTAACAATCGGACGATATTTTTCGTCAGTCTGGTATGGAGAAATGAGAAATCCTAGAAAATGCTTCATCCTACTCGAATTGTAGCTTCGTCTTTTTTATTTTTATTTGTCGTTGTGAGGATAATATTATTATCAAGCTTTTGACTACTTTTCGTAAATTATTTTTTAGCTCTGTCTAGATCACTTATTTTTTGGACCGCAATGTTCGGTTTATGTATGCCAGAAATCAGTCTTACAGTTTCTTATCTCTAAATTTGAGGTCTAGTAATGTCTGGAAAATCCGTCATCATGACACTTTTATTTCCAAATTTCCTTTTTCTCTAAAACCATCCTTTTCCTTGTTTGGTCATTTTGTTTTTATTGCCATCTTTATCTTCTGTTTTGGGGGTCCCCTCGAACGGCCTCGTGGAGATTGGTTGACCCCTCGATTCCAAAATCTCCGCGAAAATTCCGGCTCTAATTTTCCCTTCGTTCCTTTCTCTGCTCACTCTGCCGCTCTCTCCGCCCATTGAATTCTCTCGGAATGCGCGCTTTCGATTCGAAAAAGAGGGCCTTCCCGCCAATTCTGTAACGCGCTCTCTTTATTTCGCAATCTATCGAGTGTGTGTCTTGAAGATAAAAGTGTCTAACAAGGGAATGGTCCCAACGATCCGTGGGATCCGAAAATGAAACCTCGATATTCTGAAAGAGCAGGTAAAATTTAGTAGGAATCCGTTTTTTCTACTTGCCGAATAAGTCTGTGCGACGAGAAATATCGTCGAAAAGATCCGACCAAAAAATCGAACGAGAGAAAAGACGAACCGAAAGGCCTTCGAAGGCGTAACCAAATAGTCTAGTGGAAAAAGTTCCACGCACAAATCTTTTGGGGGAGGGAGGCCTTGGAGGTTCGAGTCCACCCGGAGCCGGACATCTCCGGGTTTGAACCTACTTGTTCATTACTGTATTCTACAGTTATACAAAAAAAATTTTTTTTGTTTAACCTGTTTTACAAGGTTTTTTGCATCCGAAGCCGTGGCAATCACTGGTCATTACCTCTTTTTATGATGCCGTCAGGTCCGAAGTTCCAAAGAAGACAAATTTATGCAAATTTATACCTTCCGGGCAGAATTTAACAAAAATAATTTGGGCATTTGTTAAACACATTTCCACGGCCAATTTAAACGAAAAAACTCAAAATAGATTTTTTCGTAAATATTCACGGGGTCTACTACACGCTGATGCAAGGACCCAAAAATTCTCTTTTCAACTTTTCTTGCAAAATTTTATGAAAAGGTCAGATTTTGGCAACATCCTTTTTGGGAAACCGATAAAGATCTGCAAGATCCTATACAAACTTCCAGAATCGAGTAGAAGTGTCTTGAAAATACCACTATGTCGACATCGGGCTTATCAAAAATATTGCCGAAGTGTCAACTTTTCTTAATATTTTGCAACAAACCTTGCAAAACAGGTCAATAAACAAAAAAAATTTTTTTGTATAACTGTAGAATACAGTAATGAACACGTAGGTTCAAATCCGGAGATGTCCGGCTCCGGGTGGACTCGAACCTCCAAGGCCTCCCTCCCCCAAAAGATTTGTGCGTGGAACATTTTCCACTAGACTATTTGGTGACGTCTTCCAAGGGCTTTCGGTTCGTCTTTTCTCTCTTTCGATTTTTTGGTCGGATCTTTTCGTCGATATTTCTCGTCGCACAGACTTATTCGGCAAGTAGAAAAAACGGATTCCTACTAAATTTTACCTGCTCTTTCAGAATATCTAGGTTTCATTTGTGGATCCCACGGATCGTTGGGACCATTCCCTTGTAAAAGCGCGCTTTTTCGGCCCTTTGCATTCAAAAAAGCGTTCAAATGAAGCTAACGGAATTCCTCTGGCGCTCTCTTCGGATTGCGTTTTCTCTTGGGGGCTAAGGCAGTACAAAGTTATGTGTCATTTGTTATGATTTGTTATGAGTCATCTAAAAAATGAGTTGTTGCGAAATTGTCTTTCCTCGCCTTTCATACGTCATATTAGAAAAGAAAAACAGAAAGTAAAGTCATCCAAAGTAACATACAGTATATAAAAAATATTGTATTGTTGTCTAATAAAGACATTTTTAGAAAAGAGCAATAAAACACCTTCCTTCGACACAAGTTCAATCTTCAAAATTCTTTGGATGTAACTCTTGCCCGTTCCCATGTCCCTTCATCCTCTCATCTCTCACCACTCCCATTGGAACTTACGGAACCCAAATGCATCAGGAATCTCTGAAATAAGTACCGGTTCTCACCACTACTAGGATATTAGTTGTTTCCTCTTTATATCATTATTTATTTATTTAGTATAAATCGTGCTGAAGCTAAAGTTGGATAATTTGTGAAGCGAAGTAGCTGGATACTTGAAATATCGTCGAATAAATAACAAGGCTTTCAGGAACGGTCAGTCATTGACATCAACTGGAAAAATACTTTGGATTCTAAAGAGTTGCTTGTCATTTTCCACGGAGAATGGCGTTACTGTGTTTGTTGTGTCCGTCTTGTATATTATGCGCTTTGCTGTTACGTAGGAGTAGGACATTGCGGTGACGCTTAGTGGGAAGACAGGGGAAAATAACCTAGTTTTTTGGTTGCTTTTAGTTGCTAGCCAAACCTAGACTTCGCTAGCCCATCTCCCCTAATTAAACTTCGGACCTGTTCAGGTTCTCGTTTCAAAGCCCTAGGACTATGGATAGTTGACATGGCACCAGCTTCCGCTAGGCTACGCAGAACGGCTTTGGATTCTAAAGGGTTGCTTAAAGAGAGGTCCTCTAAGCTGCGGCGTAATCCTTTGCCACATAAGGAGAGCGTCTGCACTCGTCATCTGCCAGTTTTCTCTTCTATCAAGAGTCTGTCGGAGCGAGGACATCAGTTGTGACTTGTACCGCCTGCACTTTTGAGTCACGTGTTACAAGTGGTGGTAGGCATCTGTGATGCCACTGCCCGACATTGCGTAGCGCAAGTAGCCAGAACGCATAAGCGCACTTGTTGCCAAACAATATGTATGTGATTTTAATATAATTTTATGAAGGGCACGTTGCGTTGTCCTTGCGCAGTGGTGATTAGGGGTACGGCTTGTGGATTACCGCTTCGACACACACGCTTCTTTGTCAGTTTTTTTCTGTTACCTCTCTGTTAACGTCTCAAATAGGACCGTAAACATCTCTTTGTCACATCAAAATGACCTTGGAAAGGAGGGAGTGCGCAAAAAAAATAAAATACTGGAAGCTGTTTGAAAAGCAACAACCTTGAAGGTGAAGAAAACAGAGGCTGCTAAGGTGTTGTGCTTTGTTACGAAGATCAATATTGATCTGTCACCCCTCTGAAGTATGCCACGAAGGGAGTTTAGAAACAACTGAATGCCATTTTGCTTCTAACACCCGGTGATTTTTATTTCTTGAAGATACTTGACACTTTACAGTCCGAGTAAAAATAAAGTGGAACCTCTGTACAACGAACCCATTACATAGACAGCAGTACCATTAGGGAGGTCTGACCGGTATGTCTATGCCAAGTTGGAACTGATATTTTGAAGCGAGGTTGGAGATCTGGAAGTTTTTCGAACCCCGAAATGAAAGAACTTGAGTATCCGCTTCCGGAAGCTGGTGATAAAGTAGATAGCGCAGATTGGGCTTATTGTCGGCAACCAGCAAATACAAAATGAAGTAAAAAAGCCGGTCCAGGGATACGTCCAGCGGAAGGTGGTCGAGACCAGCATAACAATGATTGGAATGAGGCCAGTGAAAAGGGGAACGAGCGCCTGGAATTTAGGAACGGGGTTTCATTGCTTTGGTAAATTGTTTTGTTATCTGTCTGTCGGGAAAATAGTGAGCGCTCTGTGCATCGAAAATCGCACCGCCGCCGAGAAAATGAATTGTGTCGCGGCAAAATCAAATTGCTTTTCACTTCAGCGGCGCGATCGGCGCAGCGACATCGCGCTCATTACTTTCCCGACATACGGTTCAACGCTAAAGACATGCAATTTGTTGTCCCCGAGGCGTCGGCAAAAAAATTCTACGGACTTTATGGCGAAGCTAGTAACTTTGAGCCATGTTTCATCAAAATCTGAGCGTCGCACTTGGAGAACTTCCCCCGAATTTACCCCAAAAAACGAAGTTTAATATACAGTGAGGGACCTGATCCAATGGCAAGAAACGCCTCATTTTGCATCCCGGAAGGGACCAAAATGACTCCAAACCCTTCCCTTCTCTAAGCTAAAAAACTCCGCTTTAAAAAGCGCGCCCTTTCCTTCAAGGCGCGCTTTTCAAAGCGGAGTTTTTTAACCTAGAGAAGGGAAGGGTTTGGAGACGTTTTTTGCCACTGGATCCGGTCCCTCACTGTATGTGGTATGTATATTTACAGTGGTGGATCTGATCCAGTGGCAAAAATCGTACCATTTTGCATCCGGGAAGTATCAAAACATGTAGCAAAATACCTCGCTCTCCAAGTGAAAAAACGCTCTTTTTTTGAGGGAAAGGGCGTGCACTTTAAAACGGAGTTTTTTAGTTGGAGAGGGAGGCATTTTGCTACATTTTTTGATGCTTCCTGGATACGAAAGGTAGGTTTTTGCGACTGGGTCAGGTCCGTCTCTGTACACTGAAAGAAAAAACATCATAAATTTTTGATGTTTTTCATCAGTCTATTAAATTTTGATAAAAACATCAAAAAAATTTTTTTGATGTTTCGTTTCATCAAAAAGAAAAAAATGCGATATTTTTTTTTGATGTGGCGCACATCAAAAATTTTTGATGTTTGGAAAATCAAATATTTCTGATAATTTATCAAAAAATGATACAAATAATATTAGTTAAACGATTTATTCAAATAAACCGTTAGCCACAACATAATTTCGGCCAAATGGCTGTAATATTCAAAGAGGTTGACCATGTAGCCTACTCAATGAAACGGGTGTTTCTGGCTCTGATCCCAGACAACGATTGGAAGACAGGGTCGTTGCGTCGTGGAACATGTCATTCACCACGCCATTACCACCGGGTGCCCGCATCGCATGGCCTAAAGATCAAACTACTACAATATAAATAACTCACATGTTTGATGAATCCCGACTTCTCAAATTTCGAAAGTATACTGTTTTCCATTGATCATCAAGCTTCTGGACGGCACAGGCCTGCAAATACACGATGTTAATTTTACCGTCATCAACCGCAGGCCGTCTTACCGAAAACACCATTCCAACTCTTCCATGTTAATGCTGACGATGGAGATTATCACGGGTTGATGATGGTCCTTGACGGAAAAATCGACATCCACCTATAAATTTACACAATCAAAATTTTAAAATTCTGAAAATATTTTACGAGCTCACCATGGATAAGATACCACGACGAGTATTCCCTAAACAGTTATAGATGTAACTCTTCTTCGAGTTCGGCGGAGCGCAAGTCCAGGTAATCCTTCACGTCCGGGCAGACTTTGCGGTAAAGCGGATAGGTCTTGATGGTGCCAACTTCCATTACCCAATTGATAATGTTGCTGTGTGATGGGGCATATTCATTTTGCGGGAAAACAACACACCCAGAACGGGATTCGCTCTGAAGTCAAGTGCAATATAAAGAAAGGCCTGAAAATGAAGGAAATTCGATAAAATTTAAATCCAAAGACCTTGCAAACGAAGTTACATAACCTTTCATTTACTGATCTAAACATAAAAGAAAACAACAACAAAATTCGCTTACCTTACCTGACAATCACGATCGTTTACAAAAAATAGCAAAATTTATGAAGAGAAATCCGACCGATTTCTTGTATCTTTCTTTTTGCAGTTCAATTTGCGAATTGCAATTTGATAAACCCAAACATCAAAAAAAATTTTTTGATGAAAACATCAAAATCTCCTGCTTTTGATGTCGTCGACATGATAAATGCGTGATGTTTTATTTTGATGAATTTGAATTTGATGTTTTTTCTTTCAGTGTATTACCTGCGCAATCAACATCCGATTCATTCCTTGCTGCATTTCGATCGTTTTCTTCGACATCAAATGCTTTCTTTGGCCCAACTCCCGGAACACATGTTTGCTGAACATAAAAACGGAGATATAAACTAAAGTGATAACCGTTGTGGCCGAAAAAATGAACATCCGAAGGGGAGTAGAGTCCTGTAAAACATGTTCATTTAATAATGAATGAAAACGTTGCAATTTCTTACAAATGAAGACGCCACAAAAGTCATTTGCTTTCCGTCTTCGAACCACATCGGATCCATCAATAAATGGCCGTACTGCTCAGAGGCGTTTGGGGTTTCAAGAAAGGACAGAGTGATCCAGTAAGCGTCCCAGATGGAGTAGACGTACGCCATAAATGTAAAGCCGAGAAGATGAGAGACCTTGACTTGAGTCCGACTAAAAATGTCTTCTTTTTCAAAGAACACGTTCAAAAATGAATTCAAGTTTTGGCCTAAAATTAAAAATCTGTTGTTTTAGCGCTCACATATGTCCTATTAAAATCTATCTATAGTGGCGAACCTAGTGGCAAAAAACGTACCATTTTGTATTTTGTATCCGGGAAGTACGAAAAATGTAGCAAAATACTTCCCTATCCAAGTGAAAAAAAAAACTTTTTTTACTGGAATGGGAGGCATTTTGCCACATTTTTTGATACTTCCCGGATGCATAATAGTACGTTTTTTGCCACTGGACCAGGTCCATCACTGTATTAATTCGAACCAGGTTTCATAAAAATCTGAGTGTGACCGTCGCACATAAAGTACTTTCTCCTTAAATTTTTTTAGTGAAATCCTGCTTTGCTGTTGAAAAAACTTTCCTCAAATCTCGTATTTTTTAACTCTTACCGACAAACAATGAGGTATCGATAAACGAAGTCAACGGGCAAGGTAATGAAGCTCATGCCAAGGCCCAAGATGTACGCGCCAATCATGTAACAATGAAATTTATACGATAAATGTCTGAATGGCCCACTCGAAATGGCAATGTAATTTCCATCGAGGAACTGGAGAGTCTGAAAACGAAAGTCAAATTTTATTAAAGTGACCAATTCTTGTTGACATTCTAAATTTCTGGAGTTGGGGTATGCTTATAAGAAAAATTTTTGATCCCTTCTCTTGCCTTTTTTATTTCGTTGTTTTTGCGATTTGGCCAAGCCGGGGGGCCGTCTTTCTTTCCCTTTTTTTGGCCTTTCAAATTTGTTTTGATACGAAAGGCCTGATTTTTATGCATGGGAAACGGACGGATTTCGGCCAGTTTTTTTCGTTATTAATACATAAAGTAAGAAGTCAACGGAAATTGGGAACCCAAAATTTTTGGGTTTCTTCTGGCCACCTAAAGTTATTTTACTGCTTGCCCTTTTAAGGCATGCCACAAGTTATTCATTACAAGTTTATTGATTACTCAAGAACTTCTTAAAGAGATGCTTATAATAATAATGATGCCTAGAAAGGGTCGATTATAAATTACAAGGTACAATAAGACATAGGGGAAACAGTAAAATATAATAAGACAATTGCTAGGCCTACTCCAGACGGAGGGGCGCCTCGGTTTTCCCGAACCTCCTCCCTCCTTGACTCTCAAATCAAGTAACTAAATCTTATCAGTGGTACCTACGACCCTTTCGGGTAGGGGCGTATTTATGATGTGTCGCGCTGCTATTGGGCACATATAAATCTAACGTATGGCCACGGAAAAACAAAGATAAAGTTCAACACTTACCGGCTGCGAAACCGCGATGAACAATGTAAACAGCGTCTCCGTTGTAATATTGAGCAGGATTAGGTTGCGATAAGAGGCCACCGTCCGATTCTTCTCAGTAATTGTGAGCACAAGCAAAAGAAAGTTGAAGATGGTAGAGATTATAATAGCAAAGTGCTCACTGTGTGTTTGGACCTCTTTCAGATTCATCAGCCTAAAATGTAGAGGTGTTTGAAGTGGCCTTTTGGCATTGAAAGAAAAAAAGGTGTCGGAATGAAGCCGTCGGTGACTTTTCAAACATCTGTTAGGCTGCAGTAACGGACCTAATCCTGTTTCAAAAAACGTACCATTTTGTATTCGAGAAGTGTCAAAGATAATTGAGGATTCGAGGCCGAACCAAGCTGAAAGACGTGATTCAAGAAGCTCGAAAGAGGAAGTGGAAATTTGCGAAGAAGATTGTGGAAGGAGACCAGGAAAGATGGGAAGCACGGCTTCTGAACTGGAAGCCCGATACCAAAAGGCCGCTGGGAAGACCAAGAACGCGCTAGGAAGGCGACTTTAAGAACTTCTACAAGTTGAACATGGTGGGACAGAACTGGAGAACCGACATGACATCCCCATCTTGGCCCCGAATCATGGCCCGTTTCTCTACTTTTGTTAGATGATTAGCGGAAATAAATTGAATTGAAGTGTCAAAAATGTGGCAAAATGCCTCCCTGTTTAACTAAAAAAAACTGCGTTCTGAAGGCGCGCTTTTGAAGTCCGAGTTTTTTTGCTTGGAGAGGGAGGTGTTTTGCTACATTTTTTGATACTTCCCGGATACGAAATGGCTGTTTTTTGCCACTAGATCAGGTCCGCAACCGTATTGCACAGTTAAACTTGCGAGTGAATGTTTTAGGAGTTTAAAGTTGCAATTATACCGGGCCGGGCCCATTTTCTCAGGCCGGGCGGAGGTCGAATAGTACAAAGTCACAATTGCGTAACACCACCAAAAATGCAAAAAAACGTCCAAATTATTAGAAACAATCCGCCAACCCACAGTGAATAAATGTAGACCAGTCAGAAGGCCGTGCTGAATTCGAATGTAGACAAAGCCAGCCTCTCATGCAATAGAGCCTACGTTTGCTGTAATTTTCCTTTCCACTTCTACAGATTTCTCTCAGATTTCTTTAAAATGCAATTGTAGTCGAAAGGGTAATCATACATTGCATCCGAAATATCATGCGTGTTCCTACATGTTGTAAAAGGCATACTGGCTCGTTTTTTGTAAAAATTGTATTGCAAACATCCTAGTGTGTCGTAAACGGCGGAGAAATTGAAGACAACACGTTCGTGAATCGGAAAAACGTGCTGCACTTGAAGTTGTAGTGTGCTCTTTTCTTGTTGAGGTAATTACAAACTGAAACAAAAAATGATGACAATTTGAGGCACCTAAAAAATTGTCACATCGCTTTGAAAAATGGGCACCTGCAAAAACTCCAAAATTCACTGTGAAAAATGGTGTTTTTGGACGTTTTTCACAGAATGGAAAATTTCCAAACTCGATAAATTATACAAGAAGATGGATTTAATAAATTTATGATTTGCAAAAAATATAAAAGTTGTAAAAGCGATCCGGTTAGTATTCGATGTATGGAGCAAATTCGGGCCATTTTTGGGTTGTGGGCTTGGGTTTAGAGCGGGGCTTTTGACTTGCTGAAAGCAAAATAAATTAGATATATAAATTTTGTGCCCTAAAGTGACAGACCTAATCTAATGGCAAAAAACGTGGCATTTTGCATCTGGGAAGTATCGAAAAATGTAGAAGGGCGCCTTTGAAAAGTGGAGTTTTCACTTGGAAATGGATGTATTTTGCTACATTTTTAATACTCCCCGGATGCAAAATTATACGTTTTTTGGCACTGGGTCAGGTCCGCCGCTGTAGGTAATGAAATTTTTTTGCTCCCTCATGTGATATATACGAAATTAAACGCTGAAACTGCCGAAAATTGTTTGACTTACGGTATGGTTTTCCCTTGTGCAGGTAGCGTCGGAAAGTTTCCATTTTATGCTCCATTCGGATTGGATGGAAGAAATCGAACGCCGGCTTGGCCTCGAGGTTGACGAGTATCAAGGCGAACAAGATGACAAACTTCCCGACCATTTTGAAAATGATTTCGGGATTCTTTTTGAGTTTTATGTACCTTTGAATCGTAAAACGATAAAAGGAATAGATGGTTTAGTAGATTTACATTACAATAAGGACAAGAATATGGCTTCTGGTCTTTGGCCAGGTGCAGACTCGAAGCGTGGAAACGAGGCAGATGGACACCCAAAAAAAGGTTTTAGTAAATGCCTACGAGGCCTGGCAGAGCCGTTGGATGGTAGACGGACGCTTGGCGGGGCTCGGCGGAGACTTGGCGAAGACTTGCAATATGACCGCTTTTTTATTTATTTTTTTGGTTTTTACCTGCCCTACGCCGGGCAACCTAAAGTTTCGCCGAACCGAACCGTCATTGACTAGACGTAGCGCCAATTTCATTGTTTGTTTTTAAAAATTTTTATTGAATTTACAACGCAACCAGACAAGTAGACCGTCAATGTTTCCACATTTGCGGGTGCTCGCAACCACGTGTTCTTCGGTATTTGATAAAACAGGCCGCATCGTAGCGCACGCCCTCCAACATGAAGGTGTTTTTGGGGATTGGAGTCACTTCTAAAGGAAAAAATATTGTTATGACATAACTCCAATGGAACTATTAATGAAGCGCCTACTTACTGTAGCGATGAATTCTTCGTGGGAGTTTGTCAGGTTTGGTCAAATAAATGTGCTGCTTGTTTGACTTTATAGGCTCTGAAATTAAGTGCGTTAGTAAAAAAGTCAAAGAGAAGACGACGCGTTTTCTCTCGCCCACAAGGGTCGTTCAATATCTCGGCTGTCCCCGCAAAGCGCGAGCAAAAATTTTCAGCGATAGATATACAATGACGGACTTGATCTAGTGGTAAAAACGTACCATTATGCTTCCGGGAGGCATCAAAAAATGTAACAAAATGCCTCCCACCGCAATTTATATGCCCCGTTTTGAAGGGCGCGTTCAGAGTCTGGCATATGTCTCACGAAAAATTTACGTTAAGTTATACCAATTTTCAACAAAATCGGCAAAAATTTTGCATCCGGGAAGTATCACAAATGTAGCAAAATGCCTCCCTATCCAACACCGTTTCCCTCACAAAAAGACCGGGCGCTCTTTTTGTGAAGGAGCTCTGCATAACCGAGTTTTTTTCACTTGAGAAGGGAGGTATTTTGCCACATTTTTTGGTACTGGCCGGATACAAAATGGTACGTTTTTTGCCACTAGATCAGGTCCGTCATTGTACGACTTATGAAAAATGTGTGTGTAAAAATTTAAAGAAACTCTGAGCGTCGCACTTGGGTTATTTCCTTGTTAGTCGATCTTCATGGATTTCCAAGCCTGCTAAGCTGCAGTTTGAGCAGTTTCCATAACTTACTCTGAGAATTTGGTTTGTTTGGGACCACCAAAACTACAGTCTTTCCCGCGTATCCTCCCCCGCTTGTGCCTTCGAGCAGATCGAAAAATGCGCTGGAGTTTACGCCATAAATAACGAAGATAGCGAGTACCAAAGATCTGAGCAACATTTTGAGGACTATTTTGTTGTTGACAACCCCCTTTTATCTTGTTTATATACGTCGTTTTTTGAAGATCAATTTGTCTGTTCGAGGCGGTGGCATTTCAAATTTCAAATTTGCAACATAATGGCTGACGATCATAAACTTGTGTTTTTCGATGTGTCTTTTTGCCTCTGAATGGAGCGTTCTAAAAAACCAAAAGGGCAATGTTGGTAGATGCTCTTCAATGTCGTTGGTTGTAGGATCTTATATTATCAATGTTATAAATTTCCATTACAAAGCATGTACTTTTAAGGCTTCTTCAAAATTTTTAGACCATTTTCGAACAGAGTTGTTTGGTCGAGGACGCTTTGATGGGGATGAAATATTTATTTTACATCTTTCTGGATAAAAAAGAAATTGAAAAAATAGATTTGCTTTTAGGCTTTAAAAAAAATCTGGGAGTCGGTATACTATGTTGGTTACAGCCTTTAGGTAAATTTGTTTTTCAATATCTATGCTTTTCACTTGGAAGTCTTCCTTTGTAATCTTCTGCCCAGACTATACGATTAACATTGCCAAGGCTCACTAAAACTCATCCAAAAGAAGCTGGGAACGTCGCCACCAATTGTCACGGTAGCGGCGGACTTTCAGATTAAGCCTCGGGAACGGACGGGCCCTATCAGAAATCTTAAAACCCCTATTGATAAACGTGGGTTACATAGTTAAATAAACAGTTTAGGTTGGTGCCATTTTTTATTTTAAAAGGTGTTATGGTGTATAATAGTAAATAGCTTCCACTCTGTCGCTTTCACTGTATTTATATCTGGCCAAACACTCATTACAACCGACGACGGCGATCTGGCCTCGTGCATACTGAAAATAATACTTACTCATTTTGTTTTGGATTCGAAGACATCTAATTCACAAGGCAAGGACCTTAGGCGCGACGCTAAGATGTTCGTTGAACTTTGCATACACGTCAGGCTTTTTTTTCTAAAATATATGCGAGAATAATAGCTCGCGCTTTGCGGAAACAACCAAGATTTTTAGATCGAAAGTTGGCGAAAATTTGAGACTTTTTGCCGGATTTCGGCACGAAAAATTTCATGCCTGTTTCTATCATGGGTAATGCTTTCACAAAAAAATCAATTTTTTTCGCACGAAGCTATCAACGTTATGGCCAAAAAGTGTTTTTCTCCCAAACCGTTCTCCACGTATAGCGTGCTCTCTCGGCGGCAAAAATCGTTCGATATCTCGGCGGCGCCTGCAAAGCGCGAGCTAAAACTTTCAGGAATTTATATATAGTCCATACCCAACGTGTGTGCAAAATTTTAAGAAAATCTGAGCGTCGCACTTGGGGTGCTTCCCTTGTTAGTTTGTGCCAAGTTTCATCAAAATCTGGGCATTCGCACTTGGAGGTACTTCCCCAGTAAGCAAGTATAAAATTCAAAGATTACCGTATGTGTACAAGCATCCAGTGCGTCTCTTAGGTGTTTTGGAGTCGGGATGTGTCAATTTTGGGTCTTTTATCGGCTCTGAAATTGGTTCAGTTGACAATACTTTGCGGAGATCATGACCGAAGGAGACACGACTCACTTAGAGTTTTAGGATGATACGTAACGACTTCGATTTTTTTATTTCCTGTGTATGATGCTAAAGACCATCCGGGAAACATGACGTCTTTCAGAATGTTCGAAAAACTACAGTCTGCAGTGCCGAAGACCAGGGCGAATAGGACCCAAAGTTTGAGAGACATCTCTGATCGGAAGTCGTGGTTGTCTGAGGTGGGGCAATTAAGATTTGATCTCTTTTATGGCTATGAACTCCTCTTCTTACTGTTTGTATTATAGTTATCAAAATTTTCGGAATTAGCATAACAAAGGTCATAAATTTGTGTGTCCTTTTTTGCGGCTTTAAATTCGGCCGCACAAGACGTTACGATAGACGGTTTGGTGCTTTTATGGCTTTGAACTCCCGCTCATGTGATCCTTGGTCTGCGACGGTAACAGATGCATACATATATCGGCAGTAATTCTCATTACAAACCAAAGTCATTGAGTTATACCTTTGTTTTAACAGCTAACAGTTTAAACACTAACAGTTAACGGTTGAAAAAACAGCAGGCGTTTCTATTAATTGGATGCTGGAGGTTTCCGTTTTGTATGGTATTCAATCGTTGCTGATCTGTCATACAGTATGACGGAAATTGTGGTGCAAAATAACATGCATAACGTAAAGAGAAAATAAAGCGATTCACTGATGCACATGTGACAGAAACGAGGAAAGTAATTAAATATAGTGTACTATTCTTTGATGATTCTAGAAAAGGAAATTTCATCTCGCTCGTAGTCCAGCTTGACGCAGTAGTCATCAAATAGCCTTGGCCCGAGTAGCCACTCAACACCATCGGCATTTGGATCCAAAGGTGTAAGTGAAGCTCCATAGATCGGTTTGCCGGTTCTAAAGTCGAACAGTTCAGTATCAAGCGAAAGTTTGAAGTCGTCTTTCAACTTTGTATTCAAAGTGGTGGTTGAAGAAGTCGTGAGACAAATTCAATGTGTAGAAATTATTCATTCCGAAATCTTGATTGAGTGCTAACGCACCGGATTGAATAAATTGCAGGAGGAGGGTCCGAGGAATCCAACTTGAAAAACCCTCGGTTAGCATAATCTAGAAGTAAAATATGATTATCTGACTGTAGTATGAGCCTGGATTAGATTTTGAAACTGGCCGGGCCGAACCCTCCTGTGCCGCGGGCAGGGCCGTGACTTTCGGCTCGGCCCAAGACCCACGTTTACAGTGGCGGACTTAATCCAGTGGCAAAAACGAGAGAGGCCACGGCCGCCGCAACAGCATTCAACCGGTCGCTGCGTCCCGCCACGAGACCCGAAAGGACACCGCAATCAACCGAGACGTGGATTTGGAAGGAAAGGAAGGTCATAGTTGGGAAGTCGCAGCCTGAGCGAGTTGGCCGTCAGCGTGTGTGGACAATTGGAATACGTCGAGTGTATTGGCCTGCTTGTATATTGTGGTATTTGGGACAATAAAGAGGTCATGGGTAATTGTTGGAGTGTTGGGAGAGCTTGTCTAGGACAGCGTATTAGGAGACCCGGTGTCTGATTGTGTTGAGGAGGAATCGAGGATCTCTTCAACGTATTATTTTGTATACAGGTGGCATCAAGAAATGTAGCAAAATATCTCCCTCTCCAAGTGACAAAACTCCGATTTCAAAAGCGCGCCCGCTCTTTTTGTGAGGGAGCCCTTCAAAACGGAGTTTTTCTAGTTGGAGAGGGAGGCATTTTGCCACATTCTTTGACACTTCCCGGCTGCAAAATTGTATGTCCTTGCCTCTGGATCAGGTCCGACACTGTAACGTGGTCTATCACCCACCCTGAAATTATGTGTCGATTGATAATCCAGAAGCGCCACGCCTTTTGCGTCAAACATCCATACGCTTCCTCCCAGTGCCGTGACCGTTTTGACATGACGGTCACAGCCGTCTGCGCTATGAATACCAAAGTGAAAATAAGCGTACCATTCCGGTGAGTAATCAATAGTCAAGACTCTGTAATCGATAAGGCCGCTTTCTTTCAGTAAGGTGACAAATGTCTTTAGGTGTGGATCCCGGCTTAGCCCAATTGTGCCGCTGAAATTAAAGATAACAAATGGGCTGCGATTGGCTGAGGTGTGCAAGACCTTTCATCGTCTAATACAAGTACGCTTACAATCGAGATTCCTCGCTTCTGACGTGGTACATTGTGCGTAATGCAATAGCCGCAATCCCTAGTTTCTGCGACGATCCGTTGAATCGAATATGCATCTCGTCCGTTGCCCAAAACCCAGCAGCATCTTTCCTCTCCCAAAACTTGTTGGTAAGTGTAAATGCGGTAGAGTTGTGGTTATACGATACTTGTGGTCCCCACAAGCATTGTTCTCGCCACATTTTCGAAAATCCTCTACACTTTGCACTGCAGTAAAGCCGACCCCACGTAGCTAAAATCAGGGTGGGTAAATTAGACTGAGGTTGAGAGCCCTCAAAAAACTTTTACCGGGCTTATCAAATAATTAGAGAATTCATAATCAGAATATCGATGGAACACCTACGATCGTTGCAGTATTTTTTGCATTCACTGTCTGTTCCGTTACAGCCGCCGTCTATTAACATGACCTCCGGAGTCGTCAAGGAAAAAACTAATCTTTGCCGCGTCTGGAACGTTCCAAACAATACATCACGTTCTAAATACTACAGATGTTAGATTCAGCAGAATGCCTTGCAAGAAACTTTTAAGGGGCCCACCGTCGATATCCATTTCTTCTCTTCGCGCTGTCATCGTTACAGATCTGTCACGTCGTATGACAGTGGAAATTGCCATGTAAAATAATATGCATATTGCAACGAAAAAATTTAGGCAATACATTAAAACTTTATGTGTCACCTTTATTTGACTGAAGGCGATCATGCATTTTTTCTTATCATCCAGTCTTTAAAAACCGAATCTGCGAAAACAAAGAGGCCGGGGTACTGTCTTTGATCCTCCATAAGACGATCTAAAACTTCAAGAGGTGTTAGAAATGGAAGATTAATGGAACATTCAGAAAACACCTTATACGAGTTTGCAAGTTATAAGCTGGTTCTCGAGTGTCATAAACATTTTAAATATTAGAATGATTGTTTTCAAACGGCTTTATTTTTGATTTATCCAAAAATCGAACTGAAGAATCCTCGGATTCCGGAAAATGGAAGGTGTTGTCTTCTTTGGTCGTCTGGAAGTGTTGTGACGTTCTTCAAAGCAGGCTTGTCAGCGCGGGCGGTCAGAACCGGCTTAAACTCTAGAATAATAATACTGTCAGCACGCCACGAAAAACGTAAGGCAAAATTGGAAATAGAGATTTCGAGCTGCGCCCAATATTTCTTGATTTTTTTGGTGGAATGAATATTGTGTTAGATAGTGTTGTAACTCTGGAATTTGGAACAATTTCGGGATGTATATTATCTTTAAAATTACGTTGCTTTGAGTTTCAAGTGTTGAGTATAATGGATGAGTCCATGGAGCCCGGCACATCGCGCTCTGACCCCAACATTGATTCACCAGGTATGGAAGTGTTTTCAGAAAATGTAAGATTTCCAGTTTATAGATTAATCGCCATGTGGTGTTGTGTGAGACATCCTAGCGGACGTTGGAAAGAAGAAATCGGGAAATTCTATAGTCGAAAAAGGGCACTTGTCGGTTCATAATTGCATCATTTTGCATGGACCGATGGAGAAACGCAAGAAAAGCTGAACCAGAAGAAGAGAATCAACATAAAGCTAGCTGAGAACTTCAGGAAGGTTCCGTTGAGTGTAATGGATGAGTCCATGGAGCCCAGCACATCGCGCTCCGACCCCAACATTGATTTACCAGCTATGTAAGTGTCTTCAGAAAATGTAAGATTTCTCTTTTTGTGCCCAGTTTATAGATTAATCGCCATGTGGTGTTGTGTGAGACATCCTAGCGGACGTTGGAAAGAAGAAATCGGGAAATTCTATAGTCGAAAAAGGGCACTTGTCGGTTCATTACTACATCATTCTGCAGGAGCTGATGGTGTCCCCAGAAAAGGTAGGATTTCTCTTTACTCATCCGGTTTAGGTACAAAGGAGCTGATCTGTTTTGTGTGAGACATCTTAGGGGACGTTGGAAAGAAGAAATCGGGAAATTCTATAGTCGAAAAAGGGCACTTGTCGGTTCATTACTACATCGTTCTGCAGGAGCTGATGGTGTCTCCAGAAAAGGTAGGATTTCTCTTTTTGCATCCAGATTAGGGATTAATCGCTATGTGGTGTTGTGTGAGACATCTTAGGGGACGTTGTAAAGAAGAGATCGGGAAATTTTATAGTCGAAAGAGGGCACTTGTCGGTTCATTATTGTATCATTTTGCAGGGGCTGACGAGAAACGCAAGAAAGGACTGGAGAAGGCGTGAGCAAAGCTGGATCAGAGGAAGCAGACGACGTTTAGAACATTTCAAGTTAAGTTTGTGACGTTGCCTTTTTGATTTTTTGTTTTTAGGCAATTGAGCCAATAATTTTGTCTGGTTATACCTAAAATAATATAATTGATATTTCAGCCGGTCCATGTTGAAGTAGAATGTGAAAGCCAGCATAATGTACCAATGGGTGTGGAGATTGAATTCCGAGTTCAGATTGTATCCGACAAATTCGATGGATTGTCGAAAATTTATGTAATTTTAATTATTCTTATTGGTTTATGTTTAGGTGGAAATAAAGAAGATTTGATGAATTTCAATTTAGTAGTGGTCTGTTGTAGCAGGATCAAAGCCCTGCTACTCTTGTAAACCTCGGAAGAGCTCGAATTCGGTCAGATTCATCGATTTTGATCCAATTTTGCCTAGTACAATATAATTCCTTTCTCTTCTTCGATCAATCTAAGAAGTTCGGGGTGCACCTCCTAGATGCCTTTCGATGCTTTCTCGCCGGTTTCACACGTAAATTGTTGTTTATTAGAATTTTGGAATCATTTTTGTTATTTATTTGTAAAGGTTTCAGCGTATGAAATGTCGAAAACCTTTTCCCGCGAATTTCTCTATTTCCAGTTTTTTCGTGGCGTGCTGTCAGGAGACCCTGTACACCGAGAAATGCACAGGGGCGTCGCAACAGATATTATAAAATGCAAAAAATATTTGGTCTCTAATGGTCTTTCGGCATTTCCAGTGTTTCTGCAGAATAATACAAGTTGGAGATTCAAACTATGTGTTAGAGGGTGTTCTAGGTGACTTACGCTTGATTGGAAGGTTCTGGTGGTCTGGATGATTCCCGCCGATATTTTTCGGCTTATGTGTTGTACTGGGCGCGTACGATGATGTTGACGCATGAACAGCTAAAGAATAAAAGTCAAAAGCAAATATACAGAGAAAGAAGTGCAGATTTGGGTTGGAAAATAAGGTGTTCCTCAAGGTGAGAAAAGTTTGCGCACTTAATGGAAAGGCGAGTCAAAGATTCATTTTCTTGACGAGAATTTATACTGGCAACGTCCTCTATCTTACCCTGAACTGCAATGGGTACTAACACGAAGATAATTACAAAGATCCTCATTATTTCCCAGACACGCAGCACAAACGGCGTTTGTCTCGAAGAAATATGCAAGTCGATAATTCATTCATTCTTTATATTTCCGCATGTCGGAATTTCTGTTCCATTGATATGGAAATTTATTTTTTTTTTCAAACTCATGTCAGACGTCTTATGTATAACATAATATTTCTGTCGTCGTCGCTTTTATCTTTGTTATCGGTGTTGCTCCCGCCAAACTTACACGACAGAACGACACAGTTTTGAAATCATAGATGCGAGATGCCCGCTGCATCAACGATGGAAGAACTGCTGGAACTCGTTTGAACGCTTAAACTAAATTGGTTAAGATTTGTAATTCACAATAAATTTACTCCAATTAAGTAAATTCTTAAGACTATTTATTAACAATTACTAAAACAATAGAAGATTTTAAACGTGGTTTGCTAATACCTTTGTTTGGAAGTTTTTCCAAGAACTTCTGCAAAGGGGGCATGTGGCTGGGGTTTTGTTCTTTCTGCACGTGCCCAACCATCCAACGACACATGGTACGCATCCGACCCATTGCTGGCAGGACTTGCACTGCAAAGCTTGGGTTGGTTTCTGCGAGCAAATCGTACACTCCACGTCTGAAAACGATGAAAGATTAATATAGAACAAAAGTAAAAACAGAAAAGAGACACAAAGGATTCACAAGACCAGCTGTTCAACGTAATTTCACACGTAATAGAATCTAAACTTCGCAAATCGTTCATAATTTCATGGAAAAAATATGATGATACTTACCACTGATGTCTGCTTTGATAACTTTAACACTATATTGTCTGACAGGCTGCGGGGGCTTCATCACGGTTGCCATGCCAAGTGGTGCAGCAGACATCCTCGCCGGGAGTCTTGGCCTACTTGCTGACCTGCTTCCATTTTGCCCAACACCTGAACCTGACGATGGCTGAATGCCAGCGGTTGACGAAGCGGCAACAATTGTGGAACTCATGAGTTGATAAAAAATGAAGAACTGTTAAGCGACTGAATCACGACTAAATGAAAATTGAATGCGTTTCTTTCTGTCGTACACAAACACGGGTTTTTCTGCGTAATAAGAATGTTACGTCGATCGCAGAAACAACGCTTCAAATTGAGGCAGAAAAATATGTGATTATAATACATAATAATTTGATAAAGAAAATCATGAAAAATATTGAAATTCATAAATTCACATTATTTTAAACAGTATAAAACAGAAAATTTAACAGTAGTATAGCATTACTCAAGCAAAACTAGGTAGACTTCATCAAACTTGAATTCAAAATGTAGTGCAGAAAAAAGTGGCGAAAATGTCTGGCATGGTAAATCAAGCAAATCAAGAGAAATCAAACATTTTTATGACAGAGAATTTTCTTCAGCAGGCTATAAAACACGGCAAAAACCAGCAAATCTTCAACTCGACCTCATTCGTCAATTGCTTGTTAGATTGTATTTATACTATCAAGTAAGTGTGTGATCAGATTTTAAACGTTTTTATGATTTCAGTTGTTGTTATTTCCTTCATAGAGTTTTTTATTTTAACCTTTTCAATTTTCAGACCTCATTTAATAAATCTTCTAACCATGGTTCCATCGCAAGTGTTCTTCTCCGCTGACTTTGCCTTCGAACATACCGGATTTCAACCGGCTTTTGTTCCAGTTGCCCATCTCCAACACGTTTATCCGATGGGATACCCTCAACCAAGTCCGATGGTGTACATTGCTCCAAATTATTATAACCACGGCATGATCTTCGTCCAGCAAAACCAATTTCCTGGTAATCATCAAATTTTCATCTACAATCAAGCCCAAAATATCGATGAACCTCGGCCCCAGGTTTCTCAGCAATTTCCGGAACAGCATGCAAGTTCACCTTTGAGTATTCGACGGAACGCTCGGATGGATGGATTTCCTGCAGGACCAGAAAGACAGCAAGACACTGAGGCCACTCAAAAGTTGAGAGAATGGGTAAATATTTTTAACATTATCAACAAACTTTTTGATGCTAATTAATGTAATGTAATGACTGATATTTCAGGCAGAGCGATTCAGAGCCCGAAGAGATCAGCTGAAAAATGAGCGGGAATCAGAAGTTGTTGCAGTATCAGGTAAGCTATATATTTCATAATTAAATTAGCCATAATTTTTTCTACAAAATCAAAAATCTTCTAAAATCAACCAATTTTTTTTTCAGAAACCGAATGCACCATTTGTTTCGATAAGGCCAGGAATCCAACAAGTTGCAAAGCATGCAAGCAAATCATCGGATGTCAACGATGTATCAGGAACTGGATTCGAACCCAAGCGGATAGCAATAAAGCGCCGTCTTGTCCGTTATGCCGAGGAGACGGATTTGCAAATTTTGAACTGTTTGATTAACATTTTTTCAATAAAAAAAAATTTTAATGTCCTAATTGATTTTTTAACTCAGTTATCAAAGCATCAAGAGCCAGAAAAAGATTTTCTTCATATTTTTTGTCTTGAAAAATCCAAATGACGCAAAATTTACTACAAAAATTTCTGCATAAACGTTTCTGTAAAAGAATTTTTGATTAGAATGAAATAATCATAAGTCAGCGTCTTCAGTCTTGGACAGTCGGCTCGTTTTCGATTTACATTTTTAATAAATAAAAATTTTTATTGTTTCAATTTATTTTTTAAAGGTCAGCTTTCAAAGAAATTAGATGTCAAATACTCGGAGAGAGCAAGAGGAGTTTCTTAAAGAAACTTATCTTTTATTATTTTGAAAATTGAAACCGCTATAACTCACTTTTTTCTGCTTCCAAAATGCAAGATGACGCGCCCAAACATTTTCGAAAAAAATCTGCATAAAATTTTCTGCAAAAAATTTTCTGTCTTTATCAAACATTATAATGAAACAATCATAACTTAGCGATTTTAATTTTGAGCAGTCGACTTTTTTTTTATTTACTATGAGCTTTTTAAAATAGAATATCATGGATAAATTGCTGTTATTCTTTGTCCGGAGATTTGACTGAAGTGCATTTTTTGCTTAAATATAATAAATAATTTTTCTGCTTTTTAGGTATTATTTTGCATTGAGAAATCTCAGTGATGTACTCTCCAAACCAGCCAATTTACGTCTACTTCCCGACTGTTCAACTTCAACCGACACCTTGGTTGTTTATTCCAAATTCCAGTCAACCAATTCCGACGCACATCCATCATGTGAACCCTCTTTATTATGCCTATCAAAATGCTCCAATTTACGCTTATCCGAGGGTATTTTTGCTGGTAAACGGAGCCCCTATTGGATATCCAAATCAACCAGTTCAAGCCCAGTTTCATCAGCCAAATTTATGGTCAACATTGGTTGATAATCCGCATACTAGTGGCGACTCAGGTCGGTCAGAGAGTCCAGAAGTCATTTTGCGAGTACCTCAGAGAATGCAAAAACCTTCAGCCAGTTGTCAAAGACGTGAAACCGAATTCCGACCCATTCAAACCCGGAGTTCTAACCGCCAATCAGTTTATCGACATCAATGGGTAAGTCGAATTCAATATATTTCAGATTTTTTAGAAAAAACAAAGCGAAGAAAAGACAGAACATGTGCAAACACTTACCCAAAAATTCTTAATTTTTTCATCTTAATTTTTCAGGCAAACAACTACGAAATCTCCGAAGATCAACAAAGGACCCAAAATCCCACTGCTTATGTCGACTGCGCAATTTGTCTTGAGAAGGTGCAAAACGAAAGAGGATTTTACTGCCGAGGATGCCAACAAACAATTGGTTGCCGGCCTTGCATTACGAAATGGCTGAGCACCAAGTTTTGCAGAAGAGAGCCAACAACTTGCCCATTATGCCGAAGTACTATCAGAAATTTTTGATGAAGGTTTTTTGAATATTGCGTCAGAAACTGTAAATATCTGTTGAATAAAAACGTTTTAGAACCTAATCCATTCTTGACAAAGACAATTTTTGAGGGGGGAATGTGATGAAGAGTATTTGACACCATCAATAGGGCCATAATCGGTCTTTTAGTTATCGCGCACTCTAATCTTTGTCAACTATGCATCACTTGAAGAGTGGCTTAGATTCCTCGCGAGCATATTCCCAGGGCGTTTGCTCCCCGCCAAGAATGACCTAACCGAAGAGAAGGCGGATCCGGCATTTCTAGCGCGTGTTGACTTCGCGTTTATTCGTTTCCTTTTGTTAATCAGTTTTGGCGTTCAATTTTTATACGCAGTCTCTGTACACCAAATCGCCAGAAATTACAAGTTTTATTCGTTGAAGAAGCGCTTGTTTTAAACTGTCCGATACAGAGAGATTTTTTTGTACGGGAGTTGGCTGTACATAAGTTATAATCTTATTTTACATTTTCGAAGCTTTTCAAAGCTGTTTTTTAAAATATTATTTAGCGGGACCGGCATCTTTATTTATTTTTCCAGGTCTGATCATAAAGGCAGTTATCCTCAACTGGCGGTTATGTCCAACCAGGTTTCACCAGAGGTCCCCCGTTTATCTCCTTCGTTTCTACCGGATGGTTCTCCCGTGTATCCATCTGCAAACCGACGGATTGCAGTCGATGATCCATACCACCATTTTTTGAACTATCAAGAGCTCTTTAGAAGTTCTGTTCGTCCTTTCCATCAAATCAGACATTTCCCTCCACCGTTTTTGAGAGGCAAACCCAAATTTGGCCATACTTTACGCTATGAAACTTCGCATGGGTCGGAGAGCTTCGAACCATATAACTATGGCCATCAACTTCGTAATTCATCTATTCCTTGTTCAGCTTGTACGCATTTCCTATCCTATCGGGCGATGGAAAGAAGCCGTCGCTTTGCGGACCACTCAAACGACCGCCAACCATTTGAACACTTGTCAAGTCTTGAAAGGCCCTCAGGTGCCCTTAACACCAATGCCAATAGCTGTAATGGCTACCCAACGACCTCCGGAGCCTCGCTTGCTGTTTCAGAATGCCCATCAGGCTGTGCTTTCTGCAGCGATCTCGAGAGCGGCCGCTATGACAACATTTTTGGGCCTGATCAGCATTCAAGTTTAACTTCCGGTGAGATAAGGGCAAGCTGCTCAAGTCATTCCCAATCTGGAACACCAAACGTTCTTTCATCAGGTCAAGCCCCAAGCACTAGTCAATCTGGTTCCTCAAGTGCCCGAGAAATCGAGGCGTCAGACCCAAACAACACTCAGAACTATGCGTTGGGAGGGGAAATACGTTCTGAAGCCTTTTCCGATTCGCTTGGTCCTCAACAACAACCTGAATTTATCTCTAGTCACCATCCGACGACTTCAAATTCTTTTTCTGGACTTCAACCAAATTCAGTTAGTTTCTCAGAGCATCAGTCCACCTCACCGTTCCCAAATGAGCCTCAAGCTTTAAACACGGTAAGATGCACATACTTTATTGCTAATCTCTATGAATTTTAGACGAATATACCAAATTCTCCGCACATAGCCGCAACATTTCCAGAAGAAGGCAATTTAGACACCTATGACATTCAGATTTACTCGGATCCATTTTCACCACTGTTTTATCGGCGACTTTCACCGATTCCGTCTATACTACCCAAACGACAACGAACAATTCAACCTCATCCAATGTCTACACGAGGAACCACGGTCAGACGAAAACGAAGGCGTATTATCAGAACAGAGACGGAAAGTTTGGATGACGACGAAATAGGAGAAGTTTCAAGACCCTCTCCTTCAAATTCCATCTGGCCAACTTCTTCCTCTCAGAGCACAGGAAATCCATCTTCAACTCCATTGTCGAATGAGCAGGAATCTTGGAGAAGCTACCACTTCATATCAAATGCAGACCCCAGCTTTACTTATCTACCTCCAATTCCTACACAAAATCAGCAAATTTCGCAGGGAACTCAAACAGCCCGATCTCGACGTGTTTTACAGAGACGTCGGTCTTCACTCCATCTAGACCGGCTAGTTAGAATGCTTGAGCCGGCGTCTCAGAGGCACGGTTTGCAGGATTCAGCAATAAGTTCGATACCGTACTCTCGTCTGGCCCCTCAACGAGACACGTTGGTTGATCGGCAAGTCTCCGAAGATGAGCGTTTCGCTCGACAGTTGGCTGCTCAACTTGTGAGTTTTGGTCTTATTTTTTTTTTTGATTTTTTTGTTTAGGAAATTATTATATTACTACAATAATTCTGTCATTCTGTAAATGTATCTAATAATAAAAACTGTCATTTGCAGGCTCAAGAAGAGGAAGAGATCCGAAACAACGACTATCTGGAAACAAACACGACAAACGGAGAAGGTAAGATTTTAACCGAAGTATTTTATTTTTTTTATCAACTTAGATTCATTGTTTTCGAGTTTGTATTCAACCTTAATTCGATATTTCAGATTCTGAATGTGGAATCTGCTTTGATATGACGGCCACCTCAGTGTCGTGCAAAGGCTGCAAACAAACGATTGGTTGTGAGCCCTGTGTCCGAAACTGGATAGGAAAAAACCTTAACTTCGGATGCGTAAACTTTTGCATGGAACCCGATATGAATTTTGTTTTGAATCGGGGGAATTATAATAAAAAGAAACCCCCCATCGTTTTTATAACCTCCCAAAAAAACGCCAGGTCAATTCCTTCTTTTTTTGGCGAGGAAAGGAGATCTTATTTTCCCTGCGATAAAAGCCAATCTAATCGATTGTCCCTTCTGTTCCAAATAAACCTAACGAATTTAGTTGCGTTTTATTCTGTATAATATTCGAAAGCCGTTGGATTCCTGGAACAAAAAACAATAGTCTCAAGAAGCGTTCGATTCTCGCTCTTATTTTAATATTTCTCCCTGCAACCAGCGGTTAATTTCAATTTTTGTAAAATTTCCACCTTTATTTGATAAACTAGGCGAACCTTGTGCGTTTTCGCACCTGAAATTTGAGTTTTTCAAAGGTTACGTAACAAACAAAGTCTCGAACTGCACTGTGCTACACTAAGGTACAGCTGAACTGTCGCCGAAATCTCAAAAATTGCCATATTTTGGATGAAATCATCCTGCTCCCAGTTTGGTCAACTCTCTCCCTGATGGGAATGATTTTTTTTCTCTCGAGAAAAAAATATTTGTTTTTTTTTGACGTTGAGGAGGGTTGATTTCTAGATATTATAGATGAGAAAACTGAGAAAATTAGATATTTTTTACTGGAATTTGGTATGCAAAAATTTCGGAGGTAGCTACCGATAGAAAACCGATTTACCTCTCGAAATTCATGCGAATCTGGCAAAAAAATTTGACCATAACCTAGATTCTCATTCCGATTTCGTTTTTCAACTTTCGAAAATAATTTCTCTTCTCTTTACAGGCTGTAAATACTCCAGGAACTTGAAAATGGCCACGGCATGCAACGAATGGGTCAGAATTGTTGGAGAAAACGGGGAATTGAAATACGCTCAAGATGGCTTCATCTACTCCTTTCACAATGAAGTTAGACCTCGTCCCGGGTTCGATTATGCCTGCCTGTATCAATGCGAAGAGCCCAGTTGTTTCATCAAAATTCGGGTCGACGAAGTTGGTGGGCACGATGAGGTTCAAAAAGCCGACATGCTGCGAAGGGTAAGGAAATTTAGAGGAATCCTAGTTGTACATACAATCTAATCGAGCCTGTTACCCCTCTTATTTCAGGCCTTTCATCCCCATCCACCTGACTACGATGAAGTCGCGTATCAACTTGATTATGCAGATTATAACCCCAGACACAACCGAAACAGCCGGGGCTCCCAATCGCAACGACCCAGGCGACGGAGGAATAATCGAGAAAGGTCCCGGAACTACGATATACCGGTCGGAACCGAAAGTAATATCAATATAGAGCTTGCAGACCTGGCGTTGCGGCTGGAGCTGACAAATTTTAACGTCGAGGATCAGCATGCTGAAGGATATCCGCTGTCAACATACCAGCGATTCTTAGAGGGTCTGGAGTATCAAAGAAGACAACGACAACACGAGCGGCAGATCAGAGAAGACGAAGAATATGCGCGACAATTGTCAAATCAATGGGTAGGTTCTCTGCATGACTAAGAGTTTGTGCACAGTCAAACCGTATTTCAAGAGTTCAGAAAAACACCTCTTCGTATATAGATTCTGTTTTAAAAACTGTTTGCTTATCTATTACCTATTATTTAGGCCGCAGAGAACCCAGCGAGCTCTCAACCATCCCTCCGAAATCACTATTCGAATTCAAGGCAGTCTTCATCGTCGTCTAACAGCTCAACAGCCACTGGTAGCCAAATTTCATCACTCCCTCTACGAGTAAGAGGTCCGTCAACGTTAATCGTGGAGCGCGTGGATCGTCCACATCAATCAAGTAAGCCAAAATTTTAGGCAGTCCCTTCGTTTTCCAATGGCCACAAAATGAACCATTTTGCATGTGGGAATTATGAAAAAATGTGGCAAAATGCCTCCCTTTCCAACTAAAAAAACTCGGTTTTGAAGAGCGCGCGGCACGCGTTTTTAAATCGGAGTTTTTCACTTGAAGATGGAGGTATTTTGCTACATTTTTTGATACTTTCCGGATGCAAAATGTTACGTTTTTTTGCCACTGGATCAGGTCCGCCACTGTTAGTCTACCCAAAAACTAAGAACCCTTCAGCCGCTGAATGCACCATATGCTTCGAGAAGGTTCAAAACGAAGTGAAATGTTATGAATGCGAGCAGATTATTGGATGCAGAGCCTGCGTGGACACGTGGATTCAATCTCAACGAACACTGTATCAAAGTCCGTCGTGCCCGCTGTGTCGCGGTGACATGAATCGGCCAACACCTCCTACACATTTTATTGGTTTTATTAGCTGTTAGTTATTGGTTTTTAAATAAATTACCGTGCTGTAAATTGGCTATTGACCTGAACATTATACGTTCCATGACTGCCTCGCATTGCAAAACGATTATTAAACGATCAATTTTGCAATGCCACAAACCGTGAAATCGAGAGCACATCTATGCCCTGATGGTCCCGCCTAGGCATGGCTCCGAGCCGGGCTTGCAAAATTTTCCGGCCCGGGCCGGGCCGACTAATTTTTCGGCCCGACCCCGGGCTTCGATTTTTAGGCCCGGGCCGGCCGGGTTTTATTGAAATCAGGATTTTGTCCGGAAAAAAAGGAAAAAATAAGCTTCTTCGACAGAATTTTTCATTTTTTCGAACATAACGCTGATAGCAAACATAAAGTGACCTCATTTACTGCTCGCCCAAATAAAAAATAATTTTCAAGTCAATTTGAAAAAATTTTCGAAAATTCTTAAGTGTGACCCACTAAACGGTTATCAATTTTTGTAATTTATATAAATGTTCACGCGGCAATTCCACTATGCATAGATTTTGCTAAGTTCTTCTTTACCTTTTGCGAAAATTTGCCACAATTTTCCTTTCATTTTCCACTTTCTTTCTCTTCAACCTAGCACAAAAAATTTCCGGGCCGAACTTGCCAGGCTTTCAAAATTTTCCAGGCCCGGGCCCGCCCGGTTTGCAGCCATGCTTAGTCCCGCCGCGAAATTGCCCAATTACGTCGATAAAATTTTCGGTTCAAAAAATACCTTCTCTGGTCCTTTAACTCTCTTGAGTTTTTGCTATCTGTCTATCTAACCGGGCTCGAGTGAAGTTACAAAATTACTCATCATTTGATAGCAAGCGCTCTTATCGAACGTTCCTCTCAGCAATCGAGAGCAACTATATAAAACAGAACTTGTAAACAGCCCTCAGAGCTTTGTTAAAACTATTCAGTCTTTCCTTTTTCAATAAAAAATTGTGGCTAGTGTTCATTTACCTTTTTGTTCCCCTAGCTTACCTAGTAAATTTCCGTTCTTATATACAGGGGAAGTACCTCAAGTGCGACGCTCAGATTTTGATGAAGCTTGGCACAAATTAACAACAATTTTTCTAAAATATATGCAAGAATTCTACATCGCGCTTTGCAAAAAAATCGAGATTTTTAGATCGAAAGTCGGCAAAAATTTGAGACTTTTTGCCATTTCGGCACGAAAGGTTTCGTACCTATTTCTACCGTAATTTCCATACAAAATCGCATTTTTCCTCACGAAACTGGCAAAGTTATGGCCAAAAAAGTGTTTTTCTCTCTGACCGCTCTCCGCGTTTAGTGTACTCTCTCGGCGGCAAGGATCATTCAATATCTCGGCGGCGCCTGCAAAGTTGGGGTACTTCCCTTGTTAGTTTGAAAAACAATTTTCCTGGAATCTAACAGGGGAAGTACCCCAAGTGCGACGCTCAGATTTTGATGAAAGTTGGCACAAATTTAGAACAATTTTTCCTAAGATATATGCGAGAATCCTAGCTCGCGCTTTGCAGAAACAACCGAGATTTTTAGATCGAAAGTCGGCGAAAATTTAGGACTTTTTGCCGAATTTCGGCACGAAAAGTTTCATGCTTATTTGTAGCGTAAAGGATAATGTTTCTACAAAAAATAAAATTTTTCCGCACGAAACTGCCAAAGTTATGGCCAAAAAGCGGTTTTCTCTCTGACCGCTCTCCGCGTTTAGCGTGCTCTCTCGGCGGCATAAATCGTTCGATATCTCGGCGGCGCCTGCAAAGCGCGAGCTAAAACTTTCAGGAATTGATATTTAGTTGATGCCCGACGTGTGTGCAAAATTTAAAGAAAATCTGAGCGTCGCACTTCGGGTACTTCCCTTGTAAATTCATTTCCCAACGGCGAAATCATTCGAATTCGAGAAAGACTCGTTGGCAGATTTCAGAGGTAGTAAACCACTGGCAAAGACCGCCAGATAAGTTATGGCCCATCCAACCACCGAATGGGTCGAGTTCTTTGATCCCGACGGAGAAGCGAAGTACGCTCAAGACGGATTTGTCTACGCGTTCCTGGCTCGAGTCAAACCTCGAGATGGATACGAAGTCGGCTATCTATACAAATGCGAAGCCAGAGAATGCAACGTGAAAATTCGTTTTGACGAAAAGGAGGATGGCTGTTATGAACTTCAAAATTCATGGCGGATGAGGAGAGTGAGTTGCAAAAGTCAGATTCATGTAGCTGATTTTAGAGACTTCATCAGCATCCACCGGACTATGCAGGAGTAGCCGCACAAATCGCGGAATCTGAAGCAAGACCGAGGACTCAGAGAGGCAACAATGAAAAAACAACTGGGAATTTCAGAACTGACGATCGAAACAGGGAACAAAAGGGAAGAAGATCGAGAAATCAGAGAAAGGCTCAAACTGCCAGGCAGTCTGACGACAACAAAGAAAACAACCATCCCAATTCCGATTCAAGCCAGGACAACAACAACTCCCATGGACAGCGCAACAAGAATCCTTCACAGTCGAGTACAAAGGCGAAGAGAAAAAGAAGAAACAAAAAAGGAACTAATCCTACAACGATCCTACAACCAATTCAACAAGATACTCCGACAAATTCTGCAGGAAATTCGTCGACCCTTCCGAAAATGAAATCACCGATTTCTAGGACTAACGGTGTAGACCGGAAGAACCCAACCCAATCCGAAAAAGGCGCACCATCGACAAGAAAGATGCATAAAGCGGTGGTTAGATCAGCTCCTACAACCACCAGACCAGCTCCGCCAGCTAGGCCGGCTTCTCCAGTCCGACAAGCATTAGCCAGGACAACAGCCGTGGCTAGACCCTCCGGCATTCTTGCTTGCAGGCCGGGGACTTCAGGCTTTACCGCCCCGAGGCCGCCATCCCCTGCCAATTCTATGGGTAGATTGCCGCTCCATGAGAGACCTGTTCCATCAGCTCCCTGTTTAGAATTGTGGGAAGAATCGCCAAGCGGACGAAACTTTTTCAACGACCAGCAGCAAATCCTGAACGACGAAGCATACGCTCGCCTTTTGGCAAGCCAATGGGTAAGTTCGACGACTTCTAAAAGTTTTCAGCAAGTCTTAACTTTGTTTCTCGACACCTGATATTCATCTAGGCTTCATGGAAATTAGACAGAAATAGATTGGACAGGGGGAATTGGACAGTGTGAAATTGGACAGATTTTTTCGCTGCAATCGTATGAAACGTCACAATTTAATTATTTTTTTGCAGTGAAAAAATCTGTCCAATTTCCACACTCCGTCCAATTAATTTCTGTCCAATTTCCATGAAGCCCTCATTTATACCCGCCACATTAGGTATTGCCGCTAAACCATTATCTTAAAGGCTTCTGAAGTCGCGACTGCTCGTGAAACACAACCTCCGAATGTTCCCCCCGTACCACAAGCCTCACCTGTTGTGAGTCAACCACAGACGACTCCAACAAACTTTCTAGGACGGGTCTTGAGCTTCGTCTTTAAACGCTCAGCACAGCCACTGCCACGCGCTGATCTCTCGCATATTTCTGGTAAGCTTTGCTAAACAAATACTCCATAAAAAACCATCCCCAAAACCCGGGAAATTCCCTGACGAAACATTATATTTCTATTGTTTTAGAATCAGAATGCGTAATCTGCTTCGAAACCGTCCGCGATGAAGTCAAATGTCAAGCTTGCAGGCAGGTTATCGGCTGCCAAGTGTGCGTTCAGCGCTGGATGAGCGAAGGATTCGGTGCTGGCTCATGCCCTCTTTGCCGAGGTGCTATTAGAAATCGGTACCTCTAATTACCCTAATGCAATATCATTTTTTTGATCTCATAATAAATCGTGCTGCAAAAAAAAAAACACTTCTCTGCCTGTTTTATAAAAACTGACATCCCATTCTCAGATATTACACTGGTTATCAACCCAGAATCAAAATTCAAGTTACTTTAAAAAATATATATACATTTATTCCAATAGCCAACAAAATCCGAGATTAACAACAATAAACAACGTGAACCTAAAAATGACAAAAAAAATTAACGAGAGTCAAACTTGACCGAAGTGTTGAGATCATACCAACAAGCACGGCAATAGGGGCAATTGCGTTGGACTCCATCGGCAATCTGAACTTTGTTCCAAGCTTTGACGCAGTCCTCGCAGCCCAACATCTGATTGCAGTGACGGCAAGTGGTCGGAGCCACGGGGGGATCCATGCAGACAACGCAGACTGGACCTGGAATTAGGAGAATCAATAAAAGTGGGTAAAAATACACAGTGACGGCCTGATCCAATGGCAGAAAACGTACCATTTTGCATCCGGGAAGCATCAAAAAATGTGGCAAAATACCTCCCTCTCCAAGTGAAAAAAACTCCGATTTGAAGGGCTCCCTCGCAAAAAGAGCGGGTGCGCTTTTGAAATCGGAGTTTGTGACTTCGAGAGGGAGGTATTTTGCCACAGTTTTTGCCACTTCCCGGATGCAAAATGTTACGTTTTTTCCCACTGGACCAGGTCCGCCACTGTAAAGAAAAAAATTTTTACTTCCCATTAGAAAAAAGAACCAGAGAAATCTTGTAAATCCCCAAAAAAAAACCCTAATCTATCTTTTACCGTGCTCGGTAAGCAGAATTCTCATCGAAAATAAATAAATATTAGTTTAATGGCAAGTTCAATATAAACTTTCCGATAAATCAGAGTAATTACAGACTTACTGGCCCCAATCTGACCCAATAAAACTTCATAAACTGGTTATCCAACACTGAACGTAATTTAACCCATCCTTTCTCCAAAACTCAACAAAAAGTTTTTTTTTATATTAACCATGACCCATTCCCATAAAAAATCCAAAACCCAGCCCAGAATCCGCGGTATTACCCCTTCACCTCATGCACAAAACAGCAAATACTCACCCTCCTCGTCCTCATACCAGAAAAAGTCGTCATCGCTGGCAGACTTGGGCTCGGAAGATTCGGAATTGCTCGACATCTCCTGCAATTGATAAGATCAGTTAAAAATATCCGGAAATTTTGTTTTATTGGATGGTTCGCTTCTCAAGGAAGCGAAAAGGTCAATTGGACCGAATCAGACCGGCATTAGCTTTCAATTCTCACAAAAAAAAGATCAAAAAATCTTATGAACAATATCGGCCCAGACATTTAAAACTAGCAAAAATTTGAAAGAAACTTTGCACTTACCGTTGGAAAAATATTTCAACAACTCGGGTAAGGTATTTAGACACTAAATAATTCAAAAAGAGCTAAGACGTTAGCCAATTCTTACAAAATTTCTCAAAATTCCGATCTGGTCAAGGATAATATGGGAAATCGCCAATTCCGACTAAATTTTAGCCGTCCAGATAAAATAAGACAGTGTTTTTGCTGCCAGGCCCCTTCAGAAAAACACAACAACATTGAAAGTAACAAAAAATGGTCTTTTTATGCTAATGAGGGCCTGATTTGGCCGGCACAGCCCTTGAACAATTTCTGATCAAAAAACCTTCAGTTTTCGATCCAAAATAAACTCGCCGAAACAAAACAAATAAAATACACAAGTCTTGTTGGACTTTGCGATTCAAATTCCACCGATTTTGCACGCTAATACGTAGGATCTTACCTTTGATCTCAAAAACAATACCTTCTGATGTAACTTTACAACCCAGCGGCCTTGACCCGCTCAAATTCTCCTTTCCACACATGGAAACAGTATTCGACCGACCGGAATGTCGGCTGCGCTGCAGGCGAAAAAAAGTTTCGGTGCGAAAGCAAAAATTTGTCAAAAAAAGGCATTTTATACGATGGAAGGTGTGGAACGAAGATTTATGATCAAGAGATACTGATTTTCGAAGTGAAAGGTGTTGAGTGGTTAAAACCGAGGAAAAAAATGTTTTGGTAATAGTGTTTTGACAAAAAAATTAAAAATTTTATTTTGGATTTACTTTAGTATCAAGCAAAATTTTAGCGCGTCCCGACTTTTCGGGTCAACAGAATCGATCGATACGGGGGCGTAGGGCAAGTGTATACCCAAAAAAAAGGTTGTAGAAAGTGCCCACGACGCCTGGCAAAGCCGTTGGATGCTCGGCGGACGCTCGGCGAAGGCTTAGCGGAGACTTGCAATATCCCCACTTTTTGTAATTTTAGCTATTACTAACGTTAGATTTCCTTACCCTGTGTTATTGCAGAATATGTATATAAGACCGGTGCTGTTAAGACAACATACATATTTTATTAGTTAATCAAAAATGAAGTATTTTTTGTTTATTCTTGGGAATTATCATCAGACTTTGACTCATCCTTTTCCCCCTTTTCTTTCTTCTCTTTCTTTTCCTTTTTGGGTTTCTTGCCCTTCTTTTTCTTCTTCTTCTTGTCCTTCTTGGACTTCTTCTTCTTTTTCTTTTTCTTCTTCTTGTCGGCCTTGCGCTTGGAGCCTGGAAATATAATATAAGGTTTAATTTTTTGAAGCTTACGGTAACTACGATTTCAAGATTTTTTTCTTTTATCTATCGGAAAAAAAACAGAAGGAATTTTTAAATTTACGACATGTATAATATTAGTATGTCAGAAAAATAATGTGTAGTTGCCACAGCAAATCTCCAAAAACTCTTTCGAATATTATCTAAAATTTCCTAGGCGCGACAAATCCACATTATTTTCCCGACATACTGATACCATGGTTGTCATCAGAGGCTAAGAGAAGCACTTTGTGCACTTCCCGACAAGACAAGGTGCTGCTGAACACTTACGTTTTCCCTCTTCTAGACCATGTAAAATACCGACAATCTCATGAGTTGTTGTAGATAGTCTGAAAATAATGTAGACAGTCTGGAAAATAAAAGTACATATTAGTATTACATAGGTATCCAACTTTTCAAACATTTAATTCCAAAACCAAGAGATTACCAAACTGGCTTGCCTACCCTTTCTCATCACTATGATTTTTCAACGCATAAGCATAAGCTGAAAATACAATAAATAAATTTTAATTTATGGTTAAAAAAACCAAAAAAAGTCAAGGCTTACTGTATGAAACTGCAATCAAGAAAATGGCAATCAAAAGAAAATGTCGCAGCATGTTTAAAATGCGTTTTCTTTGGACTCATATTCTTTTATATCGCCTTAGGCCAACAATTTTATTGACTCTGTAATAGTCGTATCTTTTTTTATTATGACCTTGCGATCTTTTGATATGCAAATTTGAACTTGATAGTAAACGCGGAGGATGTACTTTTCTGTCATGTTTATATCGAAGAGCAAAGTAAAATCTGTTCGTATGTAGCGCTTCAGCTACTGAAGACGCCGTTTATACATACGTTTATATACGCAGACATCTGAATTTCATATTCTTTAAAATTTCGTTTCAATTTTTGTCATGATAATCTATGGCGATTACTTTTGAGATTTTTGAATAAAATACGGTAGACCAAATGGAATTTGTAAAAGAAGTATTGATAAAATTGATTGATTAATGGAAAGATAGCCAGACGATTTGTGGACGGAAGATGAACGTCATTACTGTGCTCATTTTTCTAATCGTAGTTACAACTTGTCGAGGTAAAATTTTAGTTTTAAGACAAATTTTAAAATCATTGGTCAATGGTAAATTGTTGGATAGTTTCAGCCACCCAATGTGTTGCTCCAGATGAACATGAAACAAGGCAAGTCTTTTACCAGCAAAAATCCGCCCGTTTTCGTATAAAATCTCCACAGAAAACGTATATTTCACTCACGTTTTTTGGGATCACGTGAAACATCCTCCGTACAACAAAACCCTCCGAGAGAAAAGAAATTTCTAGGTCCATTTGGATTCGTAGTAAAGAGTATGTATATGCGATGATTTTAGCGTTGGGAAACTGAGCCATCCTTTGAATCTGGGATCATATGCTGAAGGAGTTGTGAAACGTGAGTCATTGTTGCAGACAAATCCTTAGAACCCAATTTGCAGGTGCAAAACGCTGGTTTTGGAGTAAAAACAAATCGAAAAGAGGTAAGAAACCCACAAAAATGGGCGGCTTCTTCGATCACAAAGAGCACTGCAAGATCATTTGAGAGCTTTGAATTGGTTTGTAATTGAGAATAAATGTTGCTGTTATACATTTGGCATAAAGATAAACCTTAATGGCATATAATAATAGTAATAGACCGGCGCACGTCAAACTGAGGAGTCCGGTGACCGGAATAGACTCTTCGCTATCGGTTTTTTACACTTCGTCTATTTCGCAGAGAAAGAGTGAAAAAAGACACGCAAAAACGTACTCTCTCGCCCCAAAAATTCCCCATTTCTCCCCCGACAAAACGTTTTTTCGCGTCTTTTTTGGCAAATTTCCAATCCATTCACCGGACTGTTTTAGCTTATCTCAGTTTGACGTGCGGCGTCTATGGAAGGCGGCGGAGACCTTTCAATTTATTTCACTAATCACATGTAAAAATCATGGAGTGAATCAGTATGGTTTCTATTGTCCAGTTAATGCAAAATCCATCCGTCGCCGGTTATATAGTAGTGCCTTGGTACTTCTTATCCTGGGGCATCCGAGTGGTTGTGTGTAGGAGGTTTCCATTCCAATAGGATCGCTACCAGAACTGAACAGTACATATCCCGAGATTAGCTCCGCCGTTTCCTTTTACAACGATTCCTCAAGCCGCTCCAGTTTCCCCTCGCTTTGAATTGACCAACATTGAGTGTACGAACTCGAAATCCAATAGGATTGCTACTGTCCCAGGCAAAGCCTTTTGTGTCTGCATGGGTGGACAAGAAAAATCAACCGCTCTCTGAATAGAAAAAAATCGGAATCCTAAAAACTTTGTAAGCCGTAAAAAACGCAATTCAAATGTGAGTTATTTTATGGAGAAGATTTCAAACGTCAATAAGTTTTGCGTATCGCTCGCTGAAAGTCTAATCAAGGTTTACGAGCAAAGAAACTCAAATAAAAAATTCCTTGCTTGCCACATTTATTTTTCAGTCAACACAAACACAAGTCGGATCACAATTTTTCAGTAGATCATGCAGTGTGCTTTGTTCTTGTCGTATCCGAGACCATGTTTTTTCAAAAAATTATATAACCAATCTGAAAAATTAAAGAAGTGAGACAAAAAACTTGTAAATTCAACCAGAGATTGCCACGGCTCCGAAGCCGGCTCTTGGCTCCGGCTTTGAGCGGCTCCGAGCCGGAGTCGTTTGCATAATGCGTATACGGAGCCGGACCCTCTTCAAATTTTACACGAGAGCCGGAGTCGCAAATTTGGCCTCGGCTCCGGCTCTGAGAGCCAAGAACCGGAGCCGAAGTTTTAGCCGTGGCAATCTCCGAATTTAACCGACTTTTTCTTTTCAACCGAATTGTGGGGTCTGCTGCTTGCATGTAGAAGTTGTAATAAGGAGTTGGATGACTGAAAAAGTTATTCTTAGAAAATATTATAAGAAAGAAAACAAACGGCAGTGGTCAAGGAACACGGTAAAATACCCTACCTGACGTTGAATGATGGTGTGCAAAATTCACCTAAAAATTGGAGGCTAGTTCGTATAAACACAAGTGCAATTAAGGCTTTGGTGTTGCAAAATTGGTTCAAAATTTTAGCTTTTTATTTGCTGCTACAGGCGAGATTCTCCAGCCAAGAGTTGCTGGAGAAGTGACAGAAATAATGAAGCAATACATTGATAAATAACAAACCTTGACAAAGAACAACAAGAAAAACAGACAAAAGTAAGAAATATTTGTTCATGACAAACAGCGTGCTTTTTCCAAGCGTCGGAATTTTTAAAAATGGAGGATCCTTGAAACTGTTTTATCAAAAATTTATTACAGTCTGACAAAATTTTATTACCCACCATGACAAAGAAAGCTACTGAATAGCACATAATTAATAACTTGAATTCATATGGTTAGACCATTTTATTCATAGATTTTGGTTAGACATGTCGTAAAAAGAGGTACAAAGATCAGAATACTGTACATCAGCATTTTTTAGGACGAATACGTAAAAATGTTTTGATCGTCTAGCCAAAGTATGACGTCGAGATAGCTGTGAAGCCTTGAAAAAAGCCAACGAAGAAGTTGGAGTAGCCGATCCCGGTTTTTTTGGCTAGTTATTAGCCTTATTTGAAAAATTTGGCTGTCATTTCGCCCCATTGGCCTGCTGATGAAATATCTATGAAACATTGGCTCATACAGTAGCGGATCTGATCCAATGGCAAAAAACGTGCCATATTGTATCCGGGAAGTATCAAAAAATGAAGAAAAGTACCTCCCTCTCCAAGTGAAAAGACTCCGATTTCAAAAGCGCGCCCCACGTCAAACTGAAGAGTCCGTTGACCGGAATAGACTCTTCGCTATTGGTTTTTTACACTTCGTCTTGATTTTGCAGAGAAAGAGAGAAAAAAGACACGCAAAAACGTACTCTCTCGCCCCAAAAATTCCCCATTTCTACACCCCGGACGCAGGATGGTACGTTTTTTGCCACCCGATCAGGTCCGTCACTGTATTAGGCCCTCACATGAAACGTTGCAAAAGACACATACGCCCTCGTACTCGTCCTCAAGTCATCTTTGCACGGTGCATCTCACCCAAAAACAACACTTGCATTTTTTGCCTTTTGAAGAAGAAATGCCAACCAATTATATTCATGATAATGGGCTTTATTTTAGCTATATTATTTTAAATTCCTTGACACAAGCTGATTGATTCATTATGGTCCAAAAATCCTGCACCAGAAAGTTTTGCACTTTTTATGGGATTGGGAAGGGAGAGTAAAAGTTCCACGTCGCTTAAATCCTAAAATTTTCAATTGCCAGGCTTGTAAGAAAATATGCCATACTTCTGCGCGTCACCGGAGTGATCGGTTGACGGGTTGGGAGTTGCGTGACGGCCGGAAGCCCGGCTGGAAAGAACCCTATAACTGGGGTTACGGGGGCTAGAGGCCTGAAAAATCAATCAAAATTGGTTATTAAGACCTTGGGTATATACGCATAGTGGACATATATTCAATGATTTCTGGATAAGCTGTAAGGAGAACATTCTTGATACTTACATGGATGTGTGTGGGTTGTAACGAGCTGCAATTACTTTTATTACTTACAAGGGAAGTACTCCAAGTGCGACGCTCAGATCTTGATGAAACTTGGCATAAATTTAGATCAGTCTCTTGTAAGACGTATGAGAGACGGGTAGTTGGCGTTTTGTAGAAACGACTGAGGTTTTTAGGTCGAAAGTATGCAAAAATGCGACACTTTTTCGAGTATTGGCATGAAAAATTTAATATCTTTTTCTACCATAGAGGGCAATGTTCCCACAAAAAAAGATTTTTTTCACACGAAACTAGTAAAGTTATGGCGAAAAAGTGTGTTTATCCATGGCCGTCATCCATGTTTCGCGAGCTCTCTCGGCGGCGAAAGATCGCTTTATACCTCGGCTGCGCCCGCAAAGCGGGGGCTAAACCATTTAGAAATTGATATGTGGCCTTTGCCTGATGTGTGTGCAAAGTATAAAGAAAATTTGAGCGTCGCACGTGGAAGCCTTCCGTTTTGTAATGATCAAGTCTATTAGTTTCAAAGTGGGAGTTCCGCAATTCGAAAATTTTTTTCTATGACTAAAACTTTCTTCTTGGCTATTTAAAGGCTACCGACCGCCCTATCGTTTAGAACTTACCATGACAACACATCGCCAAAATGGCCAGAAGACCTATCAGCTTGAGCATCTTCCTGAACTGACAATGAGTGGTTTGTTGATCTCAGCCGTTTTTATAGGGGAAATGAGACTTGTTAAAGGATGGGCTGACTCCTGTGATATGCTAATTAGTTCATAATCAAAGTGATTATGGTGGTAAGTGTTGAAAGAAACAGTAACCTTTGACTCCTTTGCTGTCTGGCCAAAATTTATACCAGTTAGAATACAAGCTGCAAAACAATTTTTCATTGGCCATGATAAAATTGAGTTTGACAGCAGGATAAATAAGGGAAATGGTTGAGAGTCAAAAATTTTTTGGAACGTCGGCTGGGAAGGGGGGTGACAATGGACAAAAAATCTCGGTGGAAATTACCATGGTCCCTTTCCATGTTTTTAGACCACGGCCTGGGGGGGGGGTCATCAGATATCATCATACTGAACCCCTACAGAAAACAAAAAAGTTTTTCAACTGCTGTAAAACTCTTCGGAATCTAAACTAACGTTAGTAATAGCTAAAATTAGAAAAAGTGGACATATTGAAAGTCTTCGACAAGTCTTCGCCGACCGTCCGCCGACCATCCGACGGCTTTGCCAGGCCTCGTAGACACTTCCTACAACTTTTTTGCGTATCGGCCTGCCCTACGCCCCGTATCGATCTTTTTTTTGACCCAAACTGTCTTGTCTTTTCTCCGTTGATGGCTTTTGTACTCCTTTGCTCAACATTCTGTCTTTCCACTTTTATACGCATTATGCAACATTTATTCAAAATAGAAACATAAATCATTGATACAACTGAAATTAAACAGTCAAGGGCCAAGCGCAGTGTTATTCCTAGTCCTTCTTTCCTGTTCCATAGCCTAAAATATAAATTTGTTTTTAGTTCTTTTCTTGACAACATACGGTTTCCGACCGTGGCCCAATCGTACTTTCCAGTTGTCTTTTTGTGGCCATGGCTTTTGTGATGAGTTCCCCCGTGAACTCTAACCGATCCTCTGAAACGCATTGGCAAGGGTTTTACGTTTACTTACTTTCCTCTTGGTCCACAGCTGTAGGTGCCGTCGCCATAGACTGAAGCGAGGAATATAATGGCTATCTATTTCGTCTTCTTACCTTCGCCGACGGTGAGAAGGAGGAGAACAGCGAGGATAAGTTGTCTGAACATTTCAAATGGAAATTAGTGATTCCGAACGCCGTTATATACCGTCTATATTTCTGCTCTAACGATATTCTCTTTTGATATTCATAGTCAAATTGGTAAATATATTCTATTCACTATTTGGAGGGCCTATCAAATGAATTTTCACTACTGCAGTAGTATACTGTGTACTGTTTATTTTCTGTCGGGAAATCATTTTGAGCCATTCCCAGCTCTGTGTCTTTATCCGAAGGTGAGTTATGGCCTCCGCCGACATGGAAAGCGTCCGCCATACCTTCGCCGAGTGCTTGATGAACGAAGAAATATGCAAATCCTCTTTCAACCATCAAGATTCATCCTTTTTTGAGCCGTCAAAATTCGTAATAAAGCGTTTGAGATTAGAGGTGTGGTCAAAAATGCGATCAAAAGTCTTCGCCGAATACACTGCATTCCGCGTCGGCGTAGAAAAAATCGTTTTTGGCAAAAAACCTCCCATATCCTTCTTTCTATTGCAAAAAATTTTTTTTTGGATATCGTGGCAGAGCGCCGAGAAATCGACAAAAACTTTCCGGAGAATTTCCCGAAACACCTTGTATACTTACTGAATCAATCCTCTAAAAGATCTGTTGCGTCCACGCCGGAAGATACGACTACATTTGTCTTATACCGCATTACACAGTTGAATTCCCCTCTTTTAAAAAATATCTCTTCCTTTTTTGATAGAGTATTGAAACAGTAAACATTTCTTATCGCCGTTTTTGGTCCATTCGGATGCCACGCGGTTTCTCCGTAACTCGTAGTCCATTCAACGCTCAAATGCCTCGCACGTGGTTGCAAACATCGCTGCACAAGATAACGTCCTCCACTCAGCGTGTTTGTGATTGATAAGGGTAGCGCGTTCGTTACAAAAATGGGAGTTCCAAGGGCTTTAAAGCAGAAAACGTAACAAGTGTTTACCCCTTCTTTATCACAACATATAAATAGGGCTAGAGCGTGGGGAGAAAGTCAGCAGTTTTGTCAACAAAAATGGGGTTGGTCTCTTGGTGAGTTGAACTGGACAGGCTCGAGATGTTCGTATTTTAGGAGTGTGTTTACGGCCGTCTTGGCGACGGTGTTGTATATGACCGCCAAGGTTCGGGATTTTGAATACAACGTTGTAAAGTGAGTCGGAGTTTTTTTTGTTCAAAAGCTTCTAGGCATTGACCTTGTGGGAGATACTCTAGAATGTATTTTTAAACTGAAAGGAGAGTTGCCGAGGGATCAACGGATAATCTGTTATTGTTAGAGTTTTGCTTGCCGATAGTGAATGTCGCGGTTGACAACCACAGAAAATTTTAGTTGCAGTGGCGATAGTCTCCCAGCAAATATTAGCCCGGTCTTTTTTTGGCGGGCGCACACTTGCGGGCAACCACTTTGCGGGCAACCAGTTTGCGGGCAAATTTTTTGCGGGCAGCCACTTTGCGGGCAGCCGACATTTGCGGCCAGCACCGGCATTTGCGGGCAGCCTGGGACATTTGCGGGCAGGGTCGACAGTTGCGGGCAGCGTGGAAGATTTGCGGGCAGCCGACATTTGCGGGCAACCGACACCTGATTATGGAGGTAACAGGGTAGACGTGGAAAAACTACTATGATATTGTGGAAATTTGCCGACATTTGCGGGCAGCCGACATTTGCGGGCAACCGGCACTTGAGGATAACAAGGTGGAGGTGGAAAAATTACTGCGATATTTTGGAAGTTTTCCGACATTTGCGGGCAACCGACACTTGCGGGCAGCCGACGTTTGCGGGCAACAGTTCTAAAAGTTCCAATACACTCTGTGTGATTGTTTTTTCCTGTTGCCCGCAAATGTCGGCTGCCCGCAAGTGTCGGTTGCCCGCAAATGTCGGCAAATTTCCAAAATATCATAGTAATATTTCCACCTCCACCCTGTTACCCTCAGGTACCGGTTGCCCGCAAATGTCGGTTGCCCGCAAGTGTCCCAGGCTGCCCGCAAGTGTCTCAGCTGCCCGCAAATGTTTCAGCTGCCCGCAAATGTGACCCTCCAAATTTTGCCCGCAAAGTGGCTGCCCGCAAAAAATTTGCCCGCAAACTGGTTGCCCGCAAAGTGGTTGCCCGCAAGTGTCGCGACGCCCTTTTTTTGAGGGAAGGAGCTCTTCAAAGCGAAGTTTTTTAGTCAGAGAGATGTATTTTGCTACATTTTTTATACTTCCCGGATGCAAAATAGAACGCTTCTTGCCTGTTGAACAGGTCCAACGTTGTATATAGTACGCGGTCCAAGCCAAAATTTGTACATACAATATTTACTTACAATTAGCAAATCTTGCGGCCTGGGCAGTGTCATAGAGGCCGGGAATACGTAGAAATTCTGGTTGACATTAAGGGCTGAACGCATACAGTTGCAGTAAAAGCCGCAAGGGGCGTCCTTGGAGTGCAACAGTCTTAAAATTTTCCATAAAAAGCGAGTAAAATTTATATTGTGTGTAAGGCGGAACGACCAAGCTTCGAAGATTTTCCCACGAGGAACGATCTGCATTTATTCAAATTTGATTGTATTTTCCTACGTGGGGCTTCCCTATAAAAGGCCTCCTTTCCACTGAATAAATCACTTGACTCTTGAGCTCTCGTCTTGTCTCGTTACTGGGTTGTCGGGCCTTTCGGCATTATGTGTATGCAAGAATACATTACTTTCTATCAAAATCTGAGCGCAGCAAGCTCGAAAGTCCTTCTGCTATCCCTTTCATTTTCAATTTGCCTTTTCCAACACCACTTTTACAGACTAACACCGGTTAGGCCGCTGACCGGCAAGTTAGCTCAAACTCCAGAAAACACGTTGACGGAGATTGACCATTTGCTGGAAGGCGAAGTTCATGGGCCAGAATGCCAGCTAATTCACGAGGGCGCCCTGTATTCGACAACGCTGTCCGGCGCCATTGTCAAAATTGTGGATGGGAAGATTGTGAAGTCCTTGGAACTCTTCAAGAACAACCCTAAATGCCGTGAGTATTATGTATTAACTCCAAAAATAATATCGACTTTAGGAGTCAACGGGTGCTCACAGCCACTTGGAATGCGTCACTGGAAGGATGAGACTTTTGTTTTTGCCGACGGTGAACTGGGAATGTTCACTGTGGACTTCAAAACAGGTAAGTCAAAGGGACCAGGGGCACTTCTTTTACTAGTCGGGACAAAAAGTCCTGATAATTTTGCACTGTGCGGATTTTTCTCCGTTTCTGTCGCACTCTGAAAAAAACGAATTGTCGCTTCGAAAAATGGGAATCGCGCGCGACAATAAGGCAAAAACAAACAAAATGCACTGTGCAAATGCACTTTTCGGGTCAAATGCACCGTGCAAAACACTTTTTTTCGCGATTTTCGCAGCGACAACCCAAAACGTTCAAATCCGCACAGTGCAAAATTATCAGGACTTTTTGTCCCGACTAGTATGAAAAACAATGACAAGTTGTTGAGTTTCTTGGCTGCTACGATCTTGGATTTTTTTCGAACAAAAAAAAAATATCCGGATAGCAGCAAAACAAAGTAAAAAAAAAAATTGAAAAAAATATTTCAGAAAAATTCAAGCAGATTCTCCCCGCCGGCACTGTTCTCGGCGATTGGAGTAACATGTTTGCGGATGACTTTGATTTCATTGACAATGACACCATCATCTTCTCGGATATGAACCCCAAATGTGGGTTCGAGGAGTTCTCTCTGTGCTTCTTGGAGCTGGCCCGGGATGGACGGTAAGCGTTTTTTACATACTATATATGTAGGCATACGTAATATACAGTAATTTTTTTTGCAATGAAAAATTAAAGGCTTAAAAATCTTTTTTTTCAGTCTAATCAAGCTTAACTTGAACACCGGAGCTTACGAGATTCTCGCTGACAATCTGCTCTCTCCAAACGGAATCATCTCCCATCCTGATAAGCAGTCGATTATCCTCTCATCTACGGCTGCTTCTCAATTACTCCGGTTTTATTATGCCGGCCCCAAAAAGGGCAATGTCGAAGTTTTTGCTGATGGATTACCCGGACTTCCGGACAACTTGAGAGCCACTTCTTCCGGAAAAACTTTTTGGATCGCCTTTTATCTGTCGTCGGTTGGAAATCGCCCGCTAATGCAAAGATTCAGCGAGTATCCGACGATCAGAAAGTTTATTTCTTATGTGAGTTTATTAGTCGCAAAAAAATTCATATTTTTAAGGGCTAAAACTCGTTTCTGCAAAAATGCTCAATGTCTGGTATATGTTTCACAAAAACTTTAGCTAAATTTGTGCCAAGTTTCATCAAAATCTGAGTGTCGCACTTGGGGTACTTCCTCTGTTATAGTGACCGACCTGATCCAGTGGCAAAAAACGTACCATTTTGCATCCGGGAAGTATTAAAAAATGTGGCAAAATGCCTGCCTCTCCAAGTGAAAAAACTTCGCTTTGAAGAGTGCGCCCTTTCTCGCACAAAAAAAGCGAAAAAATTTTACTTCCCGGATGCAAAATGGTACTGTTTTTGCCACTGTATCAGGTCCCCCACTGTAGCTTCGCTTACCAAGTCTTACTTATCCTTTCAACAATTCATATTTTTTTAGTATTCCGACCTCTTGATCCCTATGAATATGTATTTGGCGTCAAACCACGCGGTCATCATTGAGATGGATTTTGATGGAAACGTTGTGTCCTCCGTCCACGAACTGGAAGGCCGGCTGAAAGCATTGACAAATGTGAGTTCCGTTATATAGTTGTTGATGCACAATGTCTACAAAATTTTTTTGCTTACTAGTACATATAGAGACGGACCCGACTCAGTGGCAAAAAACGAACCATTTTGCATCCGGGAAGTATCAAAAAATGTAGCAAAATACCTCCCTCTAGAAGTGTGGAAACTCCGGAGTTTTTTAGTTGTAGAGGAAGGCATTTTGCCACATTTTTGATACTTTCAGGATGCAAAATGATACGTTTCTTGCCACTGGATCAAAACCGTCGCTGTACAGCTGATATTTTGTCATTGACTATTCTCCCATTTTCTAGGTGATTGACGACGGAAAATACCTCTACTTTGGCAGTGTTCATCACAATTACATCCGGCGTGCGAAGAAGCCTGGAGCGTGAAGTTCAAAATAAAGATGTATAGGGTATTGAAATTTCATTTCATGTATATTTACCAATGTTTTTACTCTAGTTTGTCTTTGCAAATCACAAGGTACAACGTATTAGATGTATAAATTGATTATCTCCTGCTCAGTTGCTTTTTTACTACTTCAACGAAAGGGGTCCGGGGAAAAAAGAACAACGCGTTGAAAAATAGATAAAAAGACCGCGTGGACATAGTGTAAACAATTGCAATGCACAATAGTTATGTTTTTCAACGAGAAGAAATCAAAAAGGTAACAACTTTGCAATGAGGAAATACATATGTTGCAAGAGAAAATGGACAACAATATTGTGTAACATTATTAAGATCCTTTGCAATCTATTCAAAAACAAGAATCAGGCTGTCGGAAAAATAATGAGCAGTCTGTCGCATTGAAGATTGTATCGCCCTTGAGAAAGCCGATTGTACCACGGCAAAGTCAAATATCTTTTCAATTCAACAACGCAATCGGCGCACGATACCGGAGCACTTCTTCTGTTATAGTGACACCCCTTGCAGTGGCAAAAAATCTACCATTTCGCATCCGAGAAGTATCAAAAAATGTGGCAAAATACCTCCTTCCCCAACTGAAAAACTCCGTTTTGAATTTCCGTTACAAAAAGAGCGGGCGCGCTTTTGAAATCGGAGTTTTTTCACTTGGAGAGGAAGCTATAATATTTTGCTACATTTTTTGTTAATTTGACACTAAAATGACAAAATTTTAGATCAAGAACAACACCTTTTGTGAAAAAGTAAAAAAACCCCGTTATCATTATGAAATATATTTGCAACGCTTGCACCTTCTCTTTGATGCATGTTAGATTTTTTGGTAAATCAGCCGTAAAAACCGTCATTGATCAACGTAGTGTAGTCTAAACGAAGGGTCGCCATTATTACAACATAGACAATGCCTTATAACTCTGCTTACATTGAAAATCTCAAGCAAAATTTCTTCCTCTCTCTTAGGTGCTTACTTGTTAAAACTGGGGGGTCATAGGCTCCTCAAATTCGAAAATATTGATCGACCCGGTGTTTGCATACATAAATAGTTTGCGGACAAAACGGGAAGTCAATTTTTACAATGATATCGTTGTCAATTGCCTTTATACTTTGTGGAAAGTATAGAGATCGCGCTTCCAACTGAACATGGGACTGATTTCTTGGTAAGAAGTTATGACAATGCGTCCTAGTTACGATTTTTGTATTATAGGAGCGTGTTTGTTGGGATATTGGCCAGCATTCTGTACATGACAGCACGTGTAAAGGAATTTGAGATGAATGAAGTGAAGTAAGTAAAAAAGAAGATTGCCGCACCCTCTATTGAAAGGCAACATTGGGTCTCGTCCAAGGACCATAAAGAATGATGTCATCAATACCCAAAACAGAAAATGGCTTGAATTTCACGAATACACAACATCTCTGTTACCATCGAACATATCAATAAGCAAATGTGTACAATTGGCTTCCTTATTATGTAAATATACATATGTGATTTTTTTAGGCTAGCTCCACCCCGGCCCCTAACCGGCAGACTAGCCGCAACCTCCAAGAACACTCTCAAATCCGTCGATCGTTTGTTTGAAGGCCAACTGGTTGCTCCGGAATGTCAACTCTTCCACAAGGGAGCGTTATATTCCACGAGCATGGCCGGTCCCATCGTTAAAATTGTCGATGGGAAAATAGTGAAATCGTTGGAGATCTTTAAACATAATCCCAAATGCAGTGAGTATCAGTCTGTCGGGAAAGTAGTGAACACAAATTTGCTGCGAAAATTGCCGCGACACAATTCATTTTTTTGCGATTTTCGATGCGACAGAGCGCTCATTATTTTCCAGGCAGACTGATATTTGACAATTGAAGCAATCAAAGTTATTTAGGGAGCCATGGATGCTCGATTCCGCTGGGTATTCGTCATTGGAAGGAGGAGACCTTCGTTTTTGCCGATGCAAAATTGGGCATCTTCACTGTCGACTTCAAAACTGGTATGGTCGGGGTTTCACTGCGCTGACAATGAGGTGTCCTACAAAACTTACTGGGCCAAAAAACAATAATAACTTTTTGAATTTTAATGCTGTTTTAATGCTGGGATTTCCTAACATCCTCTCAGACCAAGCTCTCAGCTACAGTGACGGACCTGATCCAGTGGCAAAAAACGTACCATTTTGAATCCGGGGAGCATCAAAAATGTGGCAAAATTCTTCCCTTTTCAAGTGAAAAAACTTCGTTTTGAAGGGCGCACCAGTTCCCCCACAAAAAGAGCGGGCGCGTTTTTGAAATCGGATTTTTTTTTCACTTGGAGAAGGAAGCATTATGCCACATTTTGATACTTCCCGGATGCAAAATGGTACTTTTTTTGTCACTGGATTAGGCCGCCACTGTACGGCGTTGATAGCATAGACATTTTTTTATTTCAGAAACCTTCAAGCACATCTTCCATGCCAGCACGGTGATTGGAGATTGGAGTAACACGTTTGCTGATGATTTTGACTTTGTTGCGAACGACTCAATCATCTTCTCTGACATGGCCCCGAAATGCGGCTTGTCCGGCTACATGTTGTGCGCTTTGGAGTGGTCTAGGGATGGACGGTGAGTTTTTAAATTTACAACAATTTCTCAACGTTACAACGAGTTCCAAGGCCTTCTCTTTTAACTTTAACATATAACAACCTTCAATTTTAGTCTAATCAAGGTCAACTTGAACACCGGAGCCTACGAGATTGTTGCGGACAAGCTGATCTCTCCGAATGGAGTGATCTCTCATCCGGACAAACAATCAGTTATTGTCGCATCTACATCCGCTTCCGAATTAATCAGAGTTTACAACGCCGGACCGAAGAAGGGGAAGGTTGAGGTGTTTGCAGATGGATTACCGGGACTTCCCGACAATCTGAGAGCCACTTCTTCCGGAAAAACCTTTTGGGTTGCCTTTTACTGCTCAACGGTTAACGGTCGACTATTTACTCAATGGTTTGCGGAGTACCCGAGCATTAGGAAATATCTGGCTTATGTAGATTATATTACAATTATACTATATATGCAGTGGCTGACGTGATTCAGTGGCAAGAAACGTAATATTTCGCATCCGGGAAGTATCAAAAAAATGCGGCAAAATACCTCCCTCTCCAAGTGAAAAAACTCCGACTTCAAAAGCGGGCTGGAGGGGTTCCGACCGGCCCAGCCCGTTTCAAAATTTCCGTCGGCAAGGCTCGGCCCGTTTTTCAGCCTGGCCGAGGAGCCATGTCTAATGCGCCTTTCAAAAGGGAGTTTTTAAGTTGGATAATGAGGTAGTTTGCCGCATTTTTTTGATACTTCCCCGATGCAAAATGGCACGTGTTTTGCCATTAGATCAGGTCCGTCACTGTAGATGATTCCATGACCTCAGATGACGTCATAACCTTCATTTTCAGTACTCAGAATATCTATTTGCTCTTGACACCTACACCAGCTCAAAACACGTAATTTTCATTGAAATGGACTTTGAAGGAAATGTGGTCTCGTCTTACCATGATCTGGAAGGACGACTGAAGGAGATGACTAATGTGAGGTTTCTTTGGAGATAAATATTTTCTTTGACATGGTCTACTAACCTGTAATTTGGCATTGTAGATTATTGATGACGAGAAATACTTCTACTTCGGAAGTGCGAGCCAGAATTGCATCCGTCGCGCGCTCAAGCCACGGGTGAAGTAGGCAGTAAATATTTTGAAGAATAAATGCTAGCAACTTCTTGCCAAAATAAACTATTCTGTAAAGGAAATGTATTAGAGCTAAATATTATAAATAATGGGTAAGTGAGGCCATGGCCACCGCAACAGAATAAAGGAAGATCAGTTTGTAAGTCACAGCCTGAGCGAACGGTTGGCCGTCAGAGTGTGTGGACAATTGGTGGAGAAGATGTTGTGTGTACATATTGGCCATCTTGTGTGTTGTGATACTGGGAGAATAAAGACGCAATTGGAAATTGTTGGAGTTTTGGGTACAGCTTGTCTAGGACAGCGTATTAGGAGATCCGGAGTCTGATCGTGTTGACGAGGAAACGAAGATCTCTTGAAGGGCACATTCTTAACTTCCGTCCAATTTTTGTGCATAAGCCTTGTGTATGACGATCTCAATGTTAAATTAGAGGCCAAAACGCCCGTACATTAAAACCCTTATACAACAAATCACTGGTCAAGAGAGCGCCCCAGATCAAGACCGGCGCTTCATATTGCCATAGCTATTACATGTATATTAGAAAAGGCGGTAGTATCGTAAGTCTTCGCTAAGCCTCCGCCATGCCTTTGTCGAGCATCCGGCAAACTTTCGAGGCTTTTCCCATTAGATATCCCGTACAATATTTTTTTGATTTCCACCTGCTATACGCCTCGTATTGATCCTTGTTCTGAGTTGACCCGAATTGTCATTGACCGATGAACCCGAAAAGTCGGAACGCGTGAATTCTTTCGTCCGTACGGCTTGTTGTTTAGGGGCTGGACTGTGCTCTGTAACTAAATTGTAACGTTTCTGAAATGCCGTTTGTGTTTTGTCGCGAATGTGTTGGAGTGTGTTCGATTGCTTTTTACATATTAGCGAAATAAAGCCTATAATTTTTGTACTTGATAAAAAGCGGGAAGAAGGACGAACCGCTCTCTAAACAGCAAAGCAATCTTTTCAATTTGCAATCGCATTATGGTCTTGATCAAGCTGTAAGTGGCGTTCTTAGGTTTTAATCGTTTATTTCCGTAATAAATAATTTGTTTTCTCTTTATTTCAGCAGCATATTGGTAGCTGCATTTGCAAGCTTACTGTATTTCACGGCAAAAGTCAGATACACCGCCGAAAATGTGGTCAAGTAAGCTTTTGTTATCGTTTATTTTTTTGGTTGCACAAACAAAAACACCGCCAATAATCCTGTCTTTGATTAAGAACTAGGTTTTCGTAACTCTTTCAACCGTAAAGGTAGTAGAATTTCTGGGCAATTCTTGCGATAGGCGGTCCCCGATTTTTCAGCAGTGACGGATATAATCCAGTGCACTGCAATGCGAAAAAACATGGCATTTTCTATAAAGGAAGTATCAAAAATTGTAGCAAAATGCCTCCCTCTCCAAATAAAAAGCTCCGTTTCGAAGGGCGCGCTTTTCAAATCGGAGTTTTTTCACTTGAACGGGGAGGTATTTTGTAACATTTTTTTGATGCTTCTCGGATGCAAAATGGTACGTTTTGTTCCAATAGGTCAGGTGCGCCACTGTACTAGTTTATACAAAGCATGTATGTATGTATATCTGGAACACCGGAAGAGAGCCGCTATGTTCACACATGAGCGATTTGCTGGTTATGATCTTGTGTGCTAATCGTGGTATAAAGCGTTAAGATGCTGATTAGATGCATAGTATCGGTCCGTCGAGAACGTAATGAACACAATGTCGCTTCGCCGACCGTGTCGCTGAATTGGAAAGTAACTTGATTTTATCCGAGACACAATCAATTTCCTCGGCGACAATGCGATTTCCTATGTGGCACAGTGCTCATTATTTTCCCGACGGAGTGCTAGCCAGCGAATATATTGTCTGCAATACATATTTTCACCAACAAATGGCTAAACCTGAAATTTCAGCATCTCTCCTTCCCGTCCTCTAACCGGGAAGCTCTCTCAGACCCCTAAAAATACAATTCAAACAATCGAAAAGTTATTCGAAGGCCAGCTGCTGGGCCCTGAATGTCAAGTCCTCCACAACGGCGCTCTATATTCTTCCTCCATCTCCGGGCATCTCATCAAAGCGGTCGATGGGAAAATTGTCAAATCTTTGGAGATCTACAAGCACAATCCTGAATGCAGTATGTTTTTAGACATACCGGTTGAAAACTCGCTGTTTTAGGAGAGCTACAATGTTCCCATCCGCTAGGAATGCGGTACTGGAAAGACGAAAAGTTTGTGTTTGCAGACGGACGTCTGGGAATAATTGTGGTTGATTTCGAAAATGGTAGGTTCAAATACTGTCGTACGTCAAACTGAGATAAGCTAAAACGATGAATGGACTGGCAATTCGCCAAAAAAGTGGCAAAAAACTTTTTGTCGAGGAAGAAATGAGGATTTTTTGGGGCGAGAGAGTACGTTTTGCGCGTCTTTTCTCTGTCTTCTCTGTGAAATCAAGACGAAGTGTAAAAAACCGATAGCGAAGGGTCTATTCCGGTCACCGGACTCCTCAGTTTGACGTGGCATCGTCTTGGCTGCAAATCTTACCTTAGAATTAGTAATTAAGTCAACTGAATCAACATTTAGTAATGTAGTAAAATAATATCATTCCGTCGGGAAAATAATGCGAATTTATCGCAACAAAGTATCAAGCCTCCCGCAGTCGCTCACCAAATCTCCAGCCACGATTAGTCATCGCAAGGCGACATTTGGCGATTCCAAGGCTCGAAAAGTCCATATTATTTTCCCGACATACTGATATATCATGATACGATATATCTCTGAGAACCGCTTATTTTTCGATTTTCAGAATCGTTTAAGCAAGTCTACTCGGCCAGCACTGTTATTGGCGATTGGAGTAATATGTTTGCCGATGACATTGAGTTCATTGACAATGAGACCATCATCTTCTCGGACATGACTCCAAAATACGGCTTTAAAGACTATCAAGTCGGCTTTTTTGAAATGGCAAAGGACGGACGGTAAGATTACTAACTTATCACGGTATTTCCAATGCTTTTAATCCAAGTATGTATTATTATTAACATTAATATCTTGCCTTAAGTCTAATCAAGCTCAATTTGAACACCGGAGCGTACGAACTTTTCGTTGACAACCTACTCACTCCGAACGGCCTTATTGCTCATCCCGATAAGCAATCACTGATCGTCTCATCCACCGCCGCTCTACAATTACTCCGCGTTTATTATGCCGGACCCAAAAAGGGATCAGTCGAGGTATTTGCGGATGGGCTGCCTGGAATCCCGGACAATTTACGAGCAACTTCGTCTGGCAAAACTTTCTGGATCTCTCTGTACGTTGCGGGCACGCCACTGCCTCAGAGACTCGGGCAATACCCCAAGATTAGGAAGTGGCTGTCTTATGTGAGTTTAGTTCTATTTGTAAGCATTTTTCGCGAAATGTCGAAGACGCGAGAGTCGAAGTCTGAAAGAGCTTTGAATTCTACGAATTTTTGGGTCAGCAACAGATGGGGTCAGCGGTACTATGGATCCCTTTGGTTCGGGAGGCAAGGAGAACGCTTGTAAAGTATAAATAATAAGCTTAATCGGGCCCTAAGATAGCTACCACCCGTTTTGAAATATTTTACATGTACTCAGACCACATAGCTTTGTTTTTTACCGCAAATTTAAGTCTTTTATATGTTACAGTGCCTCAGGAAAACTAACGTCAGAAATAGCTAAAATTCGAAAAATTGGACATATTGCAAGTCTTCGCCGAGCGTCCGCCGACCATGCAGCTTGTTTGCAAGGCCTCGTGAGCGCTTCCTACAACCTTTTTTGTGGGTATCCACCTGCCCTACGCCCGTATCAATCGATTTCGTGATGACCCAAACTGTCAGCGATCCGAAAGCTACGCGCAAAAATCGTATCGCCGCCGAAAAAACAAAATTTTTCATCCCAAAATTTTCGGGTTTTTTTTTGACAATGAGTTTTAAAATCCTGTGTAAACTTTTTTGCCTGAGATTTGCAAAAATAAAAGCTCAGAACTCTTGTGGTCATTTATATTATCTTCACTAATTTCTCGTCTTTCAGTACTCCCAGCTGTTAGTTCCACTGACGCTTTCTCTCGCCCCAAATCATCAGGTCTTTATCGAGATGGACTTTGACGGAGACGTGGTTTCATCCATCCACGAAACCGAAGGACGTCTAAAAGGGACCACTAATGTGAGTATTTTATAGCGCTGTAACTGCACAAACTCAAACATTTTCGTTGATTTTAATTCACTTTTAGGTGATTGATGACGGGAAATACTTGTACTTTGGAAGTGTGCATAGAAACTACATTGGTAGAGCGTTGAAACCAGAGGCTTAATCGTTAGATCACGAATGGAAATGGTATATAATACTATACTGTCTGAATATAAATTTATTATGGACCATAAATTTATCGAGATAAATGGTTTAATGAGTCTCTTTGAACCGAAATTTTGGCCTTTTTTGTCATTCAAATAAAACATAGATTCAAAATAGAACATTATTTACATAACAGTAGCAATGTCTGGAATCGACGAGGCTTTAGCCAGTATAAAATCGCATTTCGAACTCTTGAATTTACCAACTTGTCTGTATCAACATGTTGAAGCAATTTCTCCTCATTGTCTTTCTACTAGTGGCCGCTAGTCAAAGTAAGTAATGGAAATTGCATGGAAGAAAGTTGTCGTATACTATGAAATCCATAAATAATTTAGTGGCTAATATTTTCCATTTCAGCCTATGCCATGCAAAATCCATATGCCGGACAGTAAGTTGTGACAAATTTGATTCTTTAAGAAGCTGTAGAGGCACATGCAGTGGCGGACAGGATCCAGTGGCAAAAAACGTACCATTTTGCATCCAGGAAACATCAAAAAAAATGTGGCAAAATACCTCCCTCTTCAAGCGAAAAACTCTAATTTTAAAAGCGGTTAGAGAAGGAGGCATTTTACTTCGTTGAATGGAAAAGAATCTTTTTTTCAACGGCGATACAATTTTTGCGTCCAGTTTTTTAGTTGGAGAGGGATACATTTTGCCACATTTTTGGTACTTCCCGGATGTAAAATGTTAGTTTTTTGCCACTGGATCAGGTCAGTCACTGTACCAATAGAAGATAGAATTGGACATAAAAAAATTTGAATCTACCGAGGATGCCTAGAGTATACGAGACAAAAAACGAAAAATTTTTATGCCGAATCGTTCCCAAATTTTTATCAGGCGATCTCCAAATTTAGATGCCAATTAGATGCATAAATAATTTTTTTTTAAAAAAAGCCTTGTAAGCTCCAAGATTTTACTGAGCATGTTACTGGATTAATCCCATGCTTTCAGCATCGACCATCATCACCCACGCGACGAGGGCCATCACTTTGGGCATCATAATGTGCTCCGTAGGTTTTAATTGGAAAACAGATTAATTCTGATTCTTCTTGCAGGTGTGAAGAGAAAAAGGTCATGGTAACGGCGGCGGCGGCCATAGAAGAGGCGGCTAAGCAGAGAACACCAAAACATTTTTTTATTGATTTAAAAATTTATTTTGCTACAAAAAAAATAAATTGCGGACGCCCCAGATTTGGCTTTGAGTTGGTTTTGGAAAAGACCTTTCTTAATTTACTTACATCGTATCTTGTAGAAGAAAAAAACTTTTTTCCAAAAAAATTGTATAAAAAATAATTTTCATGACTCAAAAAATCCACAGTCCTCCTTGACCCTCAGCTCCCTTTCCACCGGTTTGTAAACGCTGATCAAATGAGTTGGCCTTTCGAACGTCATCGCTTTGAAGTCAGACTTCAACACCACACATGATGGCAACGGAGTGTTCGACTTTGGCTGACAGTTCTTAGTTGTTGGACACACATCAATTCCGTGCCCTCTGAACTGCACGATTTGGCTCCAACACTCGACCATCAACGGATAGTAGACTGGGTATCCGTCGAGGGAGAGGAATTGCTGAAAAAAAAGCAGTAAAAACTTGTAACGGCGCTGTTATTTTTGAGCGCTTTTCGTTGGAATTGTTCAAGGTTTGGCACGAGAATATTGCCAAGGGAAGCAAATTGGCGTTTTTTTCACTTGGCCAGGGGGGCATTTTGCTACATTTTTAATACTTCCCGGATGCAAAATGATAATTTTCTGCCACTGAATCGCGTCCGCCCCTATACATCGCACACGAAACACGAGTGCCGCCAGAAACGGCTGATACACATCTGTGCCGCGAAAAATAAAAAAGCAGCGCAAAGATTAGTTGATGCGTTAGTGAAAAGTAATAAATTTTCTTGTAACACTAACATGGTACTCACCGTTTTCAATACCGCGTCTTTCTCCAGCCTCAACTTTAGCTCATAATCGGCCTGACTGTAGTCCACATCCACTAGCGGCTTCAATTCCTTTTCTTTCATCCATTTCTCCGCATCTTGCTCATTGACCGGAAACCTCATGTGAAAAGCCGACCCAACTTTGCCATTTTCAAATTTTATGTGTTCATAAGGGTGTACCCGCTGATTCGACGTCCAAGGCGCGTGAATTACGGCCATGGCTACCCTTTTCGGCATCAAAATCGACTTTCCAATGGTGTTCGTGCGAATTGTGAAAGTGTTGTTCATAATGCCCGTGAGGGAAAAGGCTTCCGCCTTGTGACCTGGAATTGATAAATTCTTTACTCCGAGTTTACTAAAGACTCCTAAAAATATTAAAAAAAACTCGGCTGTTATCTGATTGCTTGCGGAGATACGAACATGCTAATGCAACTTCTTGCTCTTTGATCATTTACTGGCGCCACGGCTTTTCGGGTCAGCGACAGTTCGAGTCAACGGTACTATGTATTGCATCGGTTCGTCGTTGCATGCATAGGGGAGACTAGGAGAAGGCTTTGTTAGCCGAAATAATAAGATTGATCGGGCCCTAAGATAGCCTATCACCTATTTTGAGGTGTTTTTTATTAAAAAATGTACTCACATCAATAATATCAATAATAAAAGATACGGGTCTTCATTTTTTGCCGCAAATTTTGGTTTTCTATATGTTAAAACAACTCAGGGTAAAGAGAACTATTGTAAGTAGAAGCTAAAATTAGAAAAGGTGGACATATTGTATTAAGTCTTCAATAAGTCTCCGCCGAGCCTTCGCCGAGCGTCCGCCGACCATCCAACGGCTTTTTGAGGCCTCTTAGGCACTTTCTACAATTTTTTTTGCTGTGGCCCCTTGCCCTACGCTCCGTATCAAGCCATTTTGTGTTGACCCTGGCAACATGATTAGTGACGAAATTATAATAGTTATATTGGATTTGCTGATGAACAACACGTTCTGCACTCTTGATCATCCCATTAATGAGATTCGATGTTCAAAAAGCGCTATGGAAACGTCAAGTTTGACTATCCATAATATTTCTAACGGCTACCCGTCCAACAGCTTTTTGAGGCCCCATAGCACGGCAACCCGAAATAGAAGAAAAATGTTTCCCGCCCATTTTTGAGTTTCGTCCAAACGAAGTATCAAAATTGACAAAAGAAATAAAATAATTCCGAGAAAAAAATTTTTCGGTCGGAAAACCCCACGAAAAATTCTTTTGTGACATTTTGTTTGATTTCAACCGATACAAAATGGGCGAAGTGTCGAAAGGAGCCAGGAAACACTTCGGGTTGCTGTGCCATAGGCACTTTCAACAATCTTTTTTGGTGTATTCACCGGCCCTACGCTTCGGATCGATCGATTTTGTGTTGACCCGGCCGCAGCAAAAAATGTAGTTCTCCCTGACCGCCCTCAACCTTTTGCGTACTCTCTCGGCCGCACAAATCTTTTATCTCTGGATTTTTTTGAGACTTTAACGCTTACGAATTGGAAATTGAATTCCTTTCCACATAAACTCAAACGACGACGCCATACGATTGTGCGACAGTAAATCTCTGGCAAAATCAACCAACGATTCTCCGGAATTTGGCAGAATCAAGTCATCGGTGTCGGCAAAAATTAAAAACTCCGCCGAATTACGGTACTCAAACAAGCATTCATTCGAACTCAGGATCAAATTCAAAGAGTCAGTTTCGAAATTAGGGTTCGGAAGACCTTTCTAAAACAAGATTTTATTACAAAAAGCAACAGAAACTTGCAATTTCTGGGAGTAAAAATCCCTTTTTCAGCCTCAAGATGATATAATTTTTGTAGCGTTCCAAGAATTCGTAAATCTTCTCTGTGATGCTGATAATTGGAAGAACAAATTGATCAACTCCATGATGACGGTAGATTTCGAACAAGACGAGTAAGACTTGCCAGTTCTCGAAGTAAAATGTCCTTGCAAAACATACGACTAGATTGCGTTTTTCGATTTGATTTGGCGTGAGTTCAATCTGTAAATGGACCTGTATTACAGTGCCGTGGCATCTGATCCAGTGGCAGAAAACGTGCCATTTTGCATCCGGAAAGTATCAAAAATGTAGCAAAATACCTCCATCTCCAAGTGCAAAAATTCCAATTTCAGTTGCCGCTGTTTCTGTGAGATAAAGGGCCCTTCAAAACGGAGTTCACCACTTGGAGAGGGAGGCATTTTGCCACATTTTTAAATACTTCCCGGATGAAAAATGGTACGTTTTTTGCCACCGAGCTAGGTCCGTTACAAGCGACGATGCGATTTTCGATGCGACTTTTCCAAACAGCTGATAAATAAAGCTTAAAATTTTTGACACTAGCCCGTCCAACATATGTAGATGATCTTTGTCTTCACTACAATAGTTTTTCAGTGGCGTTGATATTTTGCTAATAGACACTTACCGGGAACCCGGTCCCACTGCTGTCTACACTCACAATCTCCACGGCCTCAACGGGGCTTAAGAACTCGCAATCAATAAAGTAATTTTTCCAGGCACAAGCTGGCGGTGCGTCCATAAGATAAAGCCGAAATTGAGCAACCTCCCCGTTGTCACTTTTACAGTACATTCCATTCACTTCGGAGTGATGTCTGGCCAGATGAACGGACAGATCTCTGGCCATTGCATTCAGTCTGACCGTGTAGGTGTTCGGTCGGCTGAAACAGCTCTGTATATATACAGGAATCATACGCCAAGAGGTTGTCAAACAATTGGGTTCTTTTCAGGCTTCAGCTTACAATTCGTTGTGTAATACATGAGCGGAGGCTACAAATATGTGTAGGTCTTCGGGATCTTGAAGCAGCGGTTGCAAGTGGTACTTGATTATCGATTCCTAGAAGAGTAATTCTTTTGTTTTCTCACAGTAAATGCCATCGAAATTACTCCAACGATTGGCCTGGTAGACTAGTGACACATATCAGTTTCCCTTTGTGAGCTTTTTGACCTGTAACTTACGTAAAACTGCCGATTTCTTTTGTAATGCTCAATAGAGACAAGAACCGGTGCTACTACAAACAACAAACAGACTATCGTCTTTGACCTTGTTATCTTAAAGCCCATGATTCTGACGCAATCCAGCCGACTGCGTTCTCAGCGAATCACTGGAAGATTTAGGGAATTTTCAGTCCGGAACGCAACATTTTTTATCTGGTTCTTTCTTTTGAAAAATAAGTAGGACGAGTACTAATGGCTGTTTTTATAAACTCGATTAAAAAAAGCAACCGTAGACAGGAGGACATCATTATTTATGGGTTCGCTGATTCCTCCTGCCGATAATTCAAACATAAACAGCCTTGAGAACAACGAATGTCAACATTTATGAGGAAATACGAATGTCGACATGTATTTATAAAATACTGTTACAATTTAATTGTGCATTATCAATTGTAGAGAAATGAGCGTTGTGGCCCTTTTTGGGTTATTTGAACCGTGGGGGTAGAAATTTTGAATAATGGCCGGCCCGAGCCGATTTGCTTTGGGGCTGGGCGAGAAAAAAAGCGAGCCAAAAGAAGCACGGCCTCAAAAAATCGGCCTGGATCGGTCACTTTACAATACACAGAGTTCCATCTCGGGAGGGGCCAAAAGGGCCGCGTCAGCTATAACTGATCCATCGCATGAGACCGTATTGTCTTTTCGGAAATATTTACGCCCAGAGAAAGCCTTTTACACTTGGCAACAGACTGTTTGCAGGGTAGCCAACGGACTGTAATAGATTGCTCTGAAAGCTGTACAAGTTAGCTATGGCATTGGAATGAGACTTCAGGATCCTGAAATCATCATCGAAGACATTGCAGTTTTAACCAAAATTCTTAAAATCTATTCGCAATTTTGATTTGTTCACATCAATAAAATAATTTTTATATGTTTTTCTGGTATTTCCGCGACAAAAATAAGCGTTTTTTTGCTCTTGATAATGCGTGAGTCACTGTTTACAAGCCATGATTTCAGGAAATGGGACATCCGTTCGTACGAAAACTAATAAAAATTATCTTGACGAATACGCAAAATTACTGCTATTTAATTAAACACACAAAGTTTAGCAAACAAAATTCGGAGAAATCCCGGAATTCGCCTACGAATTTCGGTATACTATTAGCAATCAGACTGTCAGTATATAAGATGAGCAGTCTTACAAAAAACATCATCTTGATCTAACCGATCAATTTTCGAACATCTATTCTATATTTCTTCGAGAATGAAGTTTGTTTTGGCAATTCTCCTACTTTTGGCAGTAGTGACGGCCACCCAGTTGAATATCAAGAATAACTGCGGCAACGCCATAGATGTTGTGCGGACGGAAAATGGAGTCCAGCCGGTCGTACATTGCCGGCTAGCGCCGGGAAAATCTTGTGGAGCCTCATTTGGAGGGGGAAGAGGAATGAACTTCAAGAATGGATTTGGAGGTATATGAGAACTACTGAAGTTGTGCTCCAAATCACATGGGAAATACTTCAACTGCGACACTCAGGTTTTCTTTGAATATGGCACATACTACAGAAAGTCTTAGCTTGCGCTTTAGAAGCGGGACCGAGATATTTAACGATCGTTGCGGGCGAGAGAGCACACGGAACGCGAGGAGCGGTCAGAGAGAATAACTTTGTTATTTATGCGATGACAAAATTGATTTTTTGTGGAAATATTACCCTTTACGGTAGAAATGGGTATGAAACTTTCAGTGCCGAAATTCCATAAAAAAGTCTCAAATTTTTCTGACTTTTGACCAGAGATTGCAACGGCTGCGGAGCCGGCTCTGGGCTCCAGCTCTGAGCGGCTCCGGCTCCGAGCCGGGAGCCAGAGCCGGAGCCGGAAATTTTGGGTGCGGCTCCGGCTTCCGAGCCCAAAGTCGGAGACAGGCTTCTCAGCGTTCAGAAAAGTAAAAATTTCGTGATCTTGTTAAACCAAATTGCTTGAAAAATACTGGGAAGGATGTGTTGCATACGACTTGGCTGCAAAAACGTTGGGTGTATGATCTCTGGCTTTAATAACTTTTATTTTTGGAAAAATATATTTTTTAATTTTTTTGCACGGGAGCCGGGATTCGGAGCCGGGAACCTTTTTAAATTTTTCATGGGAGCCGGGAGCCGGAGCTGCAAATTTGTCCTTAGCTCCCAGAGCCGGAGCCGGAGCCGAAATTTTGACTGTGGCAATCTCTGCTTTTGACCTAGAAATCTCGGTAGTTTCTGCAAAGCGCAAGATAGAATAGTCGAATGTAAAAAATATTCTAAATTTGTGCCAAGTTTCATCAAAATCTGAGCGTCGCACTTGGAGCACTTCCCCAGTCGGCTGTGTCTCGCTGAAAGTGTAGTAAGAGACTTGACAACACAGGAGAAAACTTCTTTTAATAGCTCTTTAAGGATCGTCTTTTTGTCTTGAGAAAGAGTCAACTCTTTGTGGAAGCGTTAGAAAGCACATCTAGAAAAGATGCACAAAAAAGTTTCAGTTACCGTAATGTTCAGACGACACTTATTTATAACTCTTCAGGTAAAACCCTTGCCGAGTTTTCTTTCGGAAACCGCGACGGCAACGATTACTACGATCTGAGCGTGATCGTTGGCTATGACGTTGGGATGAGACTCCAATCCCGGGACAGAACGCTGAACTGCTTCCAGCCGTAAGAAACATTAGGCGGAAGCGCTAATTGTACGATGCTGTTTTTAGCCGCTGCCCTGACGCTTACTTGTTCCCGAATGACAACTCAAAAAACCACGGGATCAAAACCGGTGGCGCATTTACACTGACTTTCTGCAAGTAAATAACTGGAAGATTGATTTCAATTTGATAATCTATATAATGCAGAATTTAAGTTTTTGGATGTACTTTTTTTTAAATTTAATAATAAATATGGATAAGTATATGTGCGGTAACTACAAGACGTTTTCTCAACATTTTTTTTCAAGATCTTCAGGGCCAAAAATTCCCTGATTTTTATGCCCGAGCTTGTCAAGGATATTCTGTACATCCTTGTCTAAAAAGCAACCAAAATGCCCTGTCGCCTGCACATATTATGTCTTTTATGTATTTCTATCCTCTCTGTCACAAAGCAAAGCTAAAATCGTGAAGGCAATTGGAAATCAGGAAAGAGATACCTTTCAATAATGTTTCAACATGTCACCGGTAGGGCCTTATAAGGAACAGCCGCATCTCTCTATAACAAATCAGGGGCCAAAAAAATCTCACAGCCACGACAAATATGAGTTTTTACATGTGTAATACTAGTGGGAAAATGATGAGCACTCTGTCAGATCGAAAATCGCATCGTCGCCAATCAAATGAATTGTGTCGCGAAAGAATCAACTTTTTTTTACTCTAGAGACGCGATCGACGCAGCGACATTGAGCCCATTATTTTCCCGACAGATTAATACCTCAAACAAAAAAAATATAACGAAAAAAAAGAAAAATCATATCAGTAGCGGAAACGCCGGTTATTACAAAAAATATAAACAAAAATTGTAAAACCGTTGTGAAATTGTATTTTTCCCATATTTTTATCATTTCCACTTCCGTCAACATATCTTGAGAAATCCCGGATCTCATCTGCACACTGTTTTGATAATTCCGCCAGAATTTGAGTATAAAAATGGCAAACCGCATCGATACATACATCAAATTTACATCTGCAGGATTTTCAATTGGAAAATGTATTCTAAAACCATGAAGACTTTGGTAGTTGCGGCTTTGGTGTTGGTCTGTGCGGGAGCAACCACATTGAATGTTCAGAACAATTGCGATGACACAATTCACGTGGTTCGGACCGAAGGTGAAGAACAGCTCGATTATCACGAGCTAAGCGCTGGAGACAGTTATTCCGAGGATTACGATGGCGGTAGAGCGATGAACTTTAAAAGTGGACTGGAAGGTAAGTGTGGCGGTGTACAAGGAATGTGACTCATTGTCGAAATCTGGATCCTAATTCAAAATAAGCTATGTCAAAAACAAGCGCAGTTTTTTTTATGCGAGAAGCAGGGGTGGCCACCGGGCCGGGCCTGGGATTTTGCCGGGCCGGGCCCCGGGCCTGAAATTTGGAAAAAGAGGCCCGTTTGCCACCCCTGCCGAGAAGTATAAAAAACGCAGAAAAATGCCTCCCTCTCCAACAAAAAAAAACCTCGGTTTCCGCTTTTTTTGTGAGGGAAAGGGCACATCCTTTCAAAACGGAGTCCTTTAGTTGGAGAGGGATGCATTTTGCCACATTTTTTGATACTTCCTGGGTACAAAATGTTACATTTTTTGCCGCTGGATCAGGTCCGCCGCCGTAATTAGTTTTGCAAAAACACTAGTCTCTTGACTTTCAGATACCTAGGTCCAGCATTAGAGAGAAATTTCAGCAATAGCCTTTGAGCATTTACTTTCAGTAAACATTATATATCACTTCAATTAAATCACATTTTTTCTAACAATAAGACTCGAGTGCCCCTTTAGACTGGCTACGTGAAAACTTAGATTGCCCCAAGCTCTACAAAAGTTTGAAAACGCTGCTTGATATTTTCGTGTAGCTACAGCTCTCGGGTCTTAGAAGAAACGTATTTTCAAGTTTCAGGCAAAGTTATGCATCCCTCGTTTGCTAAGGGCTTCCATTTTCAGGCAAAACCCTGGCCGAGTTTACGTTTGATGCTCCAGAAGGCATTGACTACTACGGCTTGAGCGTGACTGTCGGCTTTGACGTTGGAATCAGGCTCCAGGCTCCAAATGAAACTTTGACCTGCTTCGATCCGTAAGTAACACATTATACATACATATAATGGATCAAAACCTTTGTTTAGCGACTGCCCCGATGCTCAGCCACCTTATGAGGATATCCCACACGCTGTCGAAACTGGTGGTGAATTCACATTGAGCTTCTGCAGTTGAAATTTTAACCAAAAATTAAAAAATTTTTTTTTCAATTTTGTTTTGTAAACAGCAATAAACTGATTTTTATACTATATATTTTTCTAGTATTTCCGTTAAGCATCTCCGACGAAAATAAGCGTCCCTTTGCTCTTGATAAGGCATGAATAACTGCTTACAAGCGATGATTTCCGGAAATGGGACATCCTGTATACGAAAACCAAAAATTAACTCGACGAAATACCTTCAGCTGCTTTGATCCGTAAGAACTCATTTTCTTTCATTGCTTATTATTTTTTAGCTCCTGTCCATGACGCCTACTTGTCCCTTGATGACGACAACCCCAAGGCCTATTTCCTCAAGCACGCTCAACGCACGTTCACGTTGAGCTTCTGCCAATAAAGAAGCTAATCGACTTCTTCAAGTTCTTTCAGTCCAACATTCCCTGACTTGTAGCAATTATGATGTAATAAATTAATTCTTGGCATACTTTGGATGACGTGTTTATTGTAATCTATAATATAATACCTCTAAAATTGCTGAATTATACATACAGTGGCGGATAGATTCCAGTGCCAAGAAATGTACCATTTTGCATCCGGGAACTATCAAAAATATAGCAAAATACCTCCCTCTCCAAGCGAAAAAAAACTTCGTTTTGAATTTCCCTCACAAAAAGAGCGGGTGCGCTTTTGAAATCAGAGTTTTTTCACTTGGAGACGGAGGTATTTTGCCACATTTTTTGATGCTTCCTGGATGCAAAATGGTAAGTTTTTTGCCACCGGCTCAGCTCCGCCACTGTAAGAAATGACACGAATATTTCAATGGTATTAAAAATACAAAGCCTCTCTTAGCTCATCAGCAGAAGTACAAGTCGAACGTGCCTCCAGTTCTCACTCCGTGAGTCTTGCTATTGTCTCCGGGATACTGGTAGGCATCCGGGCAGCCCCTAAATGACTTGTATTCATAAAGAAGAGGAAATCTCCAATTTTTAGAGACAATTCTTACCGCTCATAGCATCGTAAGTTTGTGCCGTCTGAAGACCGAAGCGTCATGCCCACGTCAAATCCAACAATTACGCTCAAGTCATAGTAATCATTACCATCTCCATTCTCGAAGGAGAACTCGGCAAGTGTGAGGCCTAAAGCGAGGAGTGTATAGGCTTCACAACTCATTTTTTATGAAGCTTTTTATAGGAATATATGTGCAGGGGGAGGTATTGATAATTGAGAAGAAAGTCGCAAAAGCCAGGGGATCAATTTTCTGTGGCTTAAAGATATAGTGTCAATAAAGCCGCCTAGACCATTTATGATGTATACTGGTTGACAAAATTTTCTTTCCACCTCGTATATCGGGAACCGCTGGGCCTAGAACCTCCAAATTTGGCATAGAAACATCCTAGGACAGTCTAACACCATGCCCGAAAAATCATTTCATTTGATGCACTTTACATGCCCTTTTTCCAAAAAAGGCAAAAACCCGGATGACAAAATTTTCTTTCCACCTTGGAAAAAACGTTTGTAACTCATAAGCCAGAGGGTTTTAAGGCATGATTGTGGTATCGTTGTGTTCGCGAAGAAGTCCTCTCTCGATTGGTGTCACAACCTTACGGGGGTTTTCGTTTCTCCGCCCTTGGGCGTCGGCTCATCGTTGCCTTGTCCATTTTCAGCCAAATTCGTGGCCAGAGGAGCTCGCATAAGGCATAAGGAGATGAAAATGCCCTTAAAAAGTCTGGCATTCATGTTTGCAACATTGTTTCCACCGGCAGTAGAATTCGATTTAATTTAAGTGCGTTGCAGGGGAAAATGAGCGCTGCCTGGGTGCGCAAAACCGAAGAATCACTTCTGTACAGAATGGGAACGTCCAAATTACATCCATTCGCTATACATACGGCGTACTTTAGGGCTTATACGACAGCATGTGTTGAAATCTGCCCGCTTATCTTACCCCTCTCTGGTCTATGTCGTCTCAAGTAACGCAGGTTGTTGCACTAGGCCTTGGCATTACTTAAGCTTGGTATATTGGGACTTTTGGCTACCAGACTACTTAAATACATTGACCTTGACAGACCTTCAACGTTTTTTCCACGACGAATAGCTTTCGCAGGAAGCTTAGAGTCGCAAATTTTGTACATGGGGCATTTGGAACCTTTCTTCTGCTCACATCTAAGCGCGACGTCAGTGATTAAAATCGTCACTATTTTTTAACTCTGTAGTATCATAGAAAATATATAAGCAGGAAAAGTTACGTGAATTATCCGCAGTGTTCCCATAATAGCGTAATTTTCTGGAAACGAGAACCCTGGAAGCGCGCGTTTTCCCCTGCAAAGCACTTAAATTAAATCGAATTCTACTGCCGGAGGAAACAATGTTGCAAACACGAATGCCAGATTTTTTAAGGGCATTTTCATCTCCTTATGCCTTATGCGAGCTCCTCTGGCCACGAATTTGGCTGAAAATGGACAAGGCAACGATGAGCCGACGCCCAAGGGCGAAGAAACGAAAACCCCCGTAAGGTTGTGACACCAATCGAGAGAGGACTTCTTCGCGAACACAACGATACCACAATCATGCCTTAAAACCCTCTGGCTTATGAGTTACAAACGTTTTTTCCAAGGTGGAAAGAAAATTTTGTCATCCGGGTTTTTGCCTTTTTTGGAAAAAGGGCATGTAAAGTGCATCAAATGAAATGATTTTTTGGGCATGGTGTTAGACTGTCCTAGGATGTTTCTATGCCGAATTTGGAGGTTCTAGGCCCAGCGGTTCCCGAGATATGAGGTGGAAAGAAAATTTTGTCAACCAGTATATAATCCCGATTGCTATTGTTATTCGACATTGTCATGGTCATTAAATATTAAAAGATTAACCTTAGTTCAATAAGTCAACAGTGGCGGACCTAAACGTACATATTTATGTTACAATGAAAGTACTTCTATGGGGTATGGACTAACAGATCGAGACATACATCAAAAAAAATTGCAAGATTTTTCTGATCCAGAATATGTAACAATAAAAAATGACAGTGACCTGATCCAGTGGCAAAAAACGTACCATTTTGCATCCGGGACGTATCAAAAATGTAGCAAAATTCCTCCTTCTCCAAGCGAAAAAACTTCGTTTAGAAGCGTCCCTCATAAAAAGAGCGGGCGCGCTTTCGAAATCTGGGGCCTGTTTCACTAACATAAAAATAAATAAAAGAGAAGTAGGGGGGAGCGAGAGAGCATCGAAAACGCGTTTGCGAGCGAGAGAAACCGGACGAAAAGCAGAAGTAGCCTACTTTTGCGGGAGTGGCTTTTTACGTCCAAAACCGCGGTTCGCGGCAGTATTTTGGCTATAACTTTTTTCTCAGTTGGTCTAGGAACACCCTTCAAAATTTAGAATGAAGCTGACAGTTTCAGCTTTCACCAAGGTTATTTTCATTGCTGTGGTGCCAAAACCCGTCCTTAAAAAAATCGTAAAGTACGCGTGCTTTAATTTTTGAGAAAATCGACTAAATTTTAGCTTAAAATCCCGATAACTTGGGTAAAACTTTTCGGATTGAAACCCTCCGAAAAACAACACATAGAATTTTTTAAGTAGTTTTAAACAATATGTGTTTTGAATTTCTTTTATAGCCCGATGGACCGCTAATTTTACAGTAGTACGGCCAACCATCTCGTTTTTTCTTCTTCGCGGAATAAAAACGAATTTTTCTCACCAACTTTTATAAGAATAATTACAAATTGCATATCAGTGTGTAGAGCCGTTTCTTAACTACATTATGTTTTTGAGGGGTGGCGATATATCATAAACTGATAGAGTTACGGGCAATTAAATCAAGGTAACCTCCATTTTTGACCATAAAAAGTCGTTCCGAAATGAGCGAACTTTTCCTCTTCCTTTGATTTGAGGGCTCTTTTTATGACAAAAATGGAGGTAAATTTGCCATAACTCAGCCATAATAAGACCTACAATTGGCCCTCTAAAAAAGCCTCATGGAAAAAAAGATGGGCTATCGACTGGTATAAAATATTGCTTATAAATTTTGAAATCGACCGAGAAATAAAACATTTTATTTCTTTAGTGTAAATGTACTCTTTACTTTAAGCTATATAACTAATCTACTCTTGAAAATAAAGCAACAAAATTTGGATATGTTGTAGCCTCAACCGTCAGCTTTATTTGATTTTTTGAAGGGTGTTCCTATACCAATTGAGAAAAAAGTTATGGCCAAAATTCCGCCGCCAACCCCGGTTTTGGACGCAAAAAGTCACTCCGAAAGAGAAGTAGGCTACTTCTGCTTTTCGTCCGGTTTCTCTTGCCCGCAAACGCGTTTTCGATGCTCTCTCGCTCCCCCCTACTTCTCATTTATTTATTTTTATGTTAGTGAAACAGGCCCCTGAGTTTTTTACCTGGAAAAGGAGGAATTTTGCTGCATTTTTTGATACTTTCCAGATACGAAATGGTACGTTTTTTGCCACCGGATCAGGTCACTATGAGGTTATACGAAGGCTCATTTTGTCCTGATATGAGTCCCACTGGTATTTTCCCAAATTTGCTGATTGTTTTCTGGACAGACTGGAATCTCACTTACCTCCCCATCCACTCTTGAAATTCATTCCCCTTCTGCCTCCAAATTGCGCTGTGCAGTACTGGTTTGGTCCCAGCTGACAATGTAGGACAGGTTGAACATTGTTTTCGGTGCGAATCACATCAATCCTGTAGCCACAACGGTTGTGAACATTCAGTGTAGACGCTTCCGCCAAAGCCAGAGTAATTGCAAGAGCGAGAATGGGCTTCATGCTGAATTTTCCTTTAAAAAATCACAAATTTAAATGCGATAAAGGAACTGAAAATTGTATTGTCTTATATACTCAAATTTTACAAGTAAAATTGAATGATCGAATAAGGGGACATATCCGGTATTTCATAACAATTGTTTACGGAAAAATTCGAATTTTGATAAAACGGGAATTTAAGTCTGTTGATCAGCCATGCTTCATTTTTTTCACGTAAAATTTGGGTGATTAGACCTTCTGAGTTAGTATTTCGTTGATGTTGATTTTGCCACTTATCTGATAGAAAAGGGCGTAGTTTTTGTTTGATCGTTGGTAAGTTCCGGGAGCATTTTCAAAACGCACGACGTCAATTTTTAGAAGCAAAAAGAATTTCGTTGATAGCTGCAAAGAACACAAAGATATAGGCAAATTATTTGTTCCAAATTTCTTGAAACACCCTGTATAAGACTGAAATGGCGGGCAACCACTTTGCGGACGACCAGAAGAACCCCGGAGATACTGCGGCAATGTTTGAAAATCAGCCGACGTTTGCTTACAACAGGAAATTCAAACAATGCATTTGGCAGTTAGATGTTGGGAACTATGTTTTCTGGTCGAAAAGTGGCCTGAATGGCTATATTATAAGGTAAGCCAGGCATTTTTACCATTTTTTGAAAGCAAATTCCCATAACTTTGAAAGCGATGGATGAATTAAATGAATTCGTTTACTTATAAGTACCAGGGTGATGTTGATGCAAAAATTTGTGTCATGCTGCGTAGGTTACGGGAGGAAAATCGTACTTCTAAGTACGATTTTCGAATTTCCGCTGCCCGCAAAGTGGTTGCTCGCAAAAATCGCGACACCTCCGAAAAATGAAGTTATAAATATTTTTACGACCTGTCTACCGAAAATTGCCATATGAAAGGAGCCGAATATCTCCCAATAAGGGCATTAGCATTTCAAAAAGATGGTAAGGAATTGATGTTCCTGTATAAAAGGAACCTTTTGGTGTTTGTAAACAACCCATAATCAGTCGAATCCTAAAAATGTTCCATCAACTGATCATTTTGGCCCTTCTTTTCACCGCCGTCGCTACGCAGCGTAGGTTTGGTTTGAAGACATAAGGTATTAATAACGTCTTTTAGCTCTATTGAACGCTGTTTTCAATCAGGAGAATCCTCTGTAAGTTTCGACAATTACGGTCAAGTCATAGTAATCATTAACGTTGGCATTCTCAAAGGAGAACTCGGCAAGTGTGAGGCCTGAAGTTAGGGGTGTATAGGCTTCACAACGCATTTTGAGGAAGCTTTATCTAGACATAGCTGGTCAGGGCTGTTTTGGTTAATGACAAGAAGGTCGCAAGGACCCATTCTAAAGCTTAAGTTCATTATCAGTGCATAAAAAATTTGTCATGAGCAACCCCACCGTCAGTTAAAAATAAGGCCGCTATGTCGTTGAATGGCAAATGAGCTCCTGCAGAACAGGGAGCTCACAAGAAGCTATAATGTTTTCAATGCCTGACAATCCCGCAACCGTAATTTTTCAGCGCATCCGCTCTGACTGGCCAGTCCGGATCGGCTCATGCTAGAGTTCAGCGATGCGTCGTCCACCCATGTCGTAGAGGTTAAAGTCGCATGAACTGTTACTTGGTTACTTGCGCTACATTTTTATTGCGAAATAAATATTGGCATACAACTTTTGCAGCGATTTTGCTTTACAAAGCGTTCCGACATTCCAATTGCAGATTTTATAGGCGTGTCTATCATTTTAAAATGGAGTATATCTTAATGCTCAGTCAAGGTATCCAAAAATTCTTTGTGCGGGATAAAGAAAAATATGGACGCTTTTTTGGCCAAAAAAAAATATTTTTCCCGCTTACGCCGAAGGTAGGTATTTGGCGGAGACTCTTTGACACTTTTTCGGTCATCACACCAATTTTTATCACTTCATTATGACGCTGAAACTCCCTGAAACTCTTCAAAAATTTATTCTCTGTAAGCCGTTTGTCATGCGCAATAAACAATCCGGAAAGTACCACCAGTTTTTGTGGCAAGACGCTTCCGCGATTCCTTGTCATCCCTCAGCGCCCCAGGGCAATTTCTAAACCGGGTCAACATAAAAAGTTTGTTTGTGCTTACATATCCCGACAAATGATTTTTGTCGAGTTCTCGGCCAATGGTTCTATGGAGACCCACAGGTCGAATCCTCTCGAGAGATTGATGCCGTAATAATCAGTGCCACTGTGAAATTGATTAATCGAGATTTCGGTCAGAGATTTTGCTAGAAAAAATACGTATAAAGTGAGGCAAAATACGTTATTGCAGGAACTGGGACGATTGGGGAAACGGAAAAGTATTATTTTTCTTCGATGCAAGTGTCGAAATTAGGATAATCGAGGGTGCTGATTTCGAAAATGCTATTCATTTTTTTTGATGGTTACTTTTTTTCTTATGTAGTACTGTAAATTAGTAATTTTTAAAATTTATTTGTTGAATACTCGATTCGGGGGTTTTCGGTGGTGCTGCTTTCAAATCAGAAAAAATAATAAGATTTTCGAAATCAGCAAGGTCTATTTTGGATTGACGTGCCCCCCCCCCCAAATCGAGTATTTGTGAAAAAAAAATCTAGAAGTTACAACTTTACAGTACTACTTGAATAAAAATCAAGGATCAAAAAAATTAATGTCATTTTCGAAATCAGCACCCTCGATTATCCTACTACAATTTCGACAAGAAAAATAATACTTTTCGGTTTCCCCAATCGTCCAACTCCGGTTACTGCAAGGGTCGCAATCTTACGTTCATCATCCTTCTTTTGCCGAACCTTGAAGCCTACAAAATCATCATCATAGTTGAGTTTGCAAATTTCGTCCCTCGGAATAATGCACTCGAAGGTGTCGTTGCCAAAATAGCCGTGCTGATAAACGTAGATCGACCGGAGACAGTTGTTTTCGATGATGATGTTGGACGAAGACAACAGGGCTATCGCGGAGAAAAGGAATAGAAGGTGGAGAGAATACTGCCTCATACCAAGATTTGAAACTAATATTGTAAAAAGTCTTTGTAAAACTTTTTAAAGGCCCACGAGATAATTGTCACATGTTTCTTAGTTATCAAGGCCATAATCGGATTTAAACGCTATTTTCTTTGCGATTGTTCATCTTATCTATCGCAAGTTGAATAGGTCAAAGTTTATAACACATTTGTTTTCATTCTTAATACTTTTTATTACAATATATCAAACATCTTTTCAAATATATGTAGCAAATATGTGATGAGCCCGTTTTCATTCCGCCAATTTCATTTCGCACACATCTGGCCACACTTCCAGCCATTTTCGATATCTTCCTTCAAAGAACTCCTCTTGCATGGTGTCTTCTTTCTCCTTGATCACCAAATTTCTCTCCGCATGGTCTTCTGTGAGTGGCAACCATTTTTTCGCTTCTTCTGGAACTTGACCATTTGGATCGCCATATTTGGCAAAATTTGTGAAGTAAGTGGTATATCGATCGATGACTTTCAGATCAGCAGGAGATGGAGTGAAATGAGTTGAGGTGATGCATTTCCCGAACAGATATGCGACTTCAATTGTGTGAGTAGCGCCTGAAATAAAGCTCTGTAAACTCGTCAAATCTCTTTACAAAAAAGATAAGTTCCGTGGCTCCCTAGTCAATGAAGGCTGCTAAATATGAAGAAAACTTTCCTTAAATACCAAGTAGCTACTATATTAAAATCTTAAGAACGGTTTGGCACAGTCAGAGAAAATTCCAGGACTTTTGGCCAAGAGTGTTATAATAGTAGTAAACAACCCTTCTTCATCACGGTAAACGCCATACCTTTGAATGGAAACATGTAGCCAAGAAATCCTCCAACGTTTGGCCGGCAATATTCAAAAGTATACAAGAAGACTTTACTTCCATTTTTCATTGTGCTCTCCGCAAAATGTCGACAATTATTGTTATACATGACGTCTGATATGACTTTGGCCAGCTGCTGCTTGTGCTCCAGCGAATTCTCCGGCTTTGTGACGTCGACAAACGTGGAGTAGGCTTTCTCGACATACTCCTCAACCGGCTTGTCTAGCTTGTATTTTGAAAGGGTTCCGACCATCAGCGACTTGGCAAATGTTTTGTAGGAGGGCTTGAGAAGCACTGAAAATGCAAAAATTGCTATTGTTTATGTCATGCATACAATAATCTTTTGCATTACAAAGTAAGTGGCCTAAAATTAAGAAGAATAAATGCTTACTAAACAGAAGCCCTTCCCATTGAGTAACACCAGCCAAAACGTCTTTTCTGGGCATCTCTTTTCGCAGCTCAAGAAAGTCCTTGGGGAAGAAGTCGCCATCAACAACTGGAGCAACACGAAGTCTTCCGTCCGGAGTAATCGTTATTCGTTTGTCTGGGAGCATAGAAAGCTCCAGTTTGTGGGCTGGCTGGGAGCTGGAATGGAGAAGTTTTTTGTGGTTTGAGTTACAGTGATCCAGTGTGAAAGAACGTACCATTTTGCATTCGGGAAGTATCAAAAAAATGTGGCAAAATACCTCCCTCTTCAACTAAGAAAAATCCGTTTTGAAGGGCTCTCACAAAAAAATGGGCGCGCTTTTGAACACGGAGTTTTTGCACTTGGAGATGGAGGTATTTTGCCACATTTTTTGATACTTCGCGAAAGCAAAATAATACTTTTTTGCCACTAAATCAGGTCCGCCTCTATATGAATCAAAATATGTAAAGACCCCCTTAATTACACAAAACCAATCGAGGACGTAAATACAATACTTGTGTTAGAATTTTACCGTAAAAACGTCAACAATTCCTCATCGATCTTCTCTTTTTTCTTATCCTTGTTGCACTTGAATCCCAGAACTTTTTCGGCGTAGTGGATCCACTCCTCTCTCAGCCTCTTTGACGTCGTCCTTGAATGAGTCGCATACGCAGTCCCAGCCATTGCAATGTATCTTTTGAACAGGTTCTGAGTGTGTGGAGATAAGGCCAAAAAGTCGGCGGAGGCTCCACCAGCACTTTGACCAAAGATGGTGACGTTATCCTTATCTCCTCCAAAGTATTCGATATTGTCTTGAACCCACTGGAGAGCTTTGTGCATGTCCCAGAAGGCAAAGTTCCCAGGGCAAGAGGGGTCGGCTGTGGTCATGAAACCAAAAAACCCGAGACGGTAGTTGATGGTGACTATGATCACATCTTTTTGACAAAGGTATCTGAAAGTTTAGAGATGGAGCAAGTTCACTACTTTTGACGTTTCCACAGGACCTATTAGGTCTAGAACGCTTATTTTGCCATTTTTATTGTCCATTCTTCATAGGTAAAATTAAAATTCTGCTATTTCTGTTCAGATCATCTGAAAGAACATTGAAAACGCTATCTATCGATATACAGTAGTTGACAGCGAATTGTCAATTTTTTTATTTCGTGTGTAACTTACTCAGACTCAACAGAATTTGATGAGACCAAGAGCGTTTAAGAGGCTGGGAGGCACACTTCAACCTTATGAAATTGTTTTATTTCATATCGGCCACAGGCGTGGTAAAAATTTCAAAACAAATTTTTTTGGGGGACAACGAATTGTCAATTTTTACGTTTTGAGGCATAAGATCTCAATAAACCAGCATATAAAGACTAGAATGGAGAGTAATCAGTTGCCAGCAATCATAGAACAACATACAACGGGTTTCAGCCATTAGTACAATCTCCTTCGCTTTCTATAGGTCGGGCACTTGGGGGTGGACCATGTACAATATAATGTCAGCCTGGGGGCTTCCTAGGCCGAAATTATCTTATATTCCGGTTTTTTATGGGCGGTTACATCTTACAACGCTAGGTCAAGTCAAAAAATTACACCTAATGGGTTACACTTGCGCCTTGTTACCTCGAATATGTTAATCATGGCCTTTCATACTGTTGGTCAGAGTATCAAAAATCAAATAATGTCGCGCATGAAGGTCGCTGGAGAAACCTTCTATATTTGAAAACAAACTACACTAAAAAACAAATATTCAGTGCCTTTCACATGTCAGTACCAGCACTCATGGAAGAGGTATGCAGAGGGAAATATTTGGATTCACATGAATTTTCACGTCGGGTTTGCAACACCCAGAAAAATTCTTATTTCTTCAAGCCTGCAACTTCCAAGACATTTTATTAGCAAATTAGAGATTTTTACAAGCATTAAAAATATTAGTTTTAACGTTTAAAAACGTAGAAGACGCGCAATAAAATGATTAATATACTCACCACCCTAGTGTGGCACAAGAATTAATTGGACCGTCAGAATCTCACCCGGAAATTTCAGGGCGTCGAGACAGGTAATGAAATAATTTGTAGAATGTCGTTAGTTTGGCCGTAAAGGAGGATTAAATGAACCTATGCCCCCTGTCGGCAAAAAAATTATCGATTTTTGGGCGAAACACAGAGTTTAAATGACCAAAAATAATATTATCTGACGAATTTTTGACCCGTAGCCCCTCCAATTTGTAATCCGGTGCAAGTGTGTTAAATATATGCAATAATCTTCCATAAAAAACCGGAATATAAGATAATTTCGGCCTAGGAAGCCCCCAGGCTGACATTATATTGTACATGGTCCACCCCCAAGTGCCCGACCTATAGAAAGCGAAGGAGATTGTACTAATGGCTGAAACCCGTTGTATGTTGTTCTATGATTGCTGGCAACTGATTACTCTCCATTCTAGTCTTTATATGCTGGTTTATTGAGATCTTATGCCTCAAAACGTAAAAATTGACAATTCGTTGTCCCCCAAAAAAAAATTGTTTTGAAATTTTTACCACGCCTGTGGCCGATATGAAATAAAACAATTTCATAAGGTTGAAGCGTGCCTCCCAGCCTCTTAAACGCTCTTGGTCTCATCAAATTCTGTTGAGTCTGAGTGAAGTTACACACGAAATAAAAAAATTGACAATTCGCTGCCAACTACTGTATGTTTCGTATGGTAAAACCTATCACAACTTTTTTTATTATCGATTTCCCAGCCCTACCTGCAAATGTTCTTATCTCCCAAATGAGATGCCGAATGGACAACAAAAGCTCCTCCGTGAATGTACAACATGACTGGCAGATTCGTCTTCTCCTCTCCAACAACTCCAGGAGTAAATACGTTGAGGTAGAGGCAGTCTTCCGACTTTGGAATGTTCACGGTCACCTTTTCATGATACATGTCGTAATGCGGACATCTCGGAGGTAATTTTGAGCAATCTCTGACATTCGACCAGCGCTCAGGGGATTCTGGCTTCTGTAAGATTAAAAAAATCGTTTGGAATAATGAATTAGAGTAATATTTTTGCGTCCCGACTTTTCGGGTCGACGACAGTTCGGGGAACACAAAATGGTGGATAACGCCTGGTAAGACCGTTGGATGGTCGGCGGACGCTCGGCGAAGGTTCGGCGGAGGCTTCGCGAAGACGTTCAACACGGCCACTTTTTCTAATTTCAGCTATCATTAACGTTGGTTTTCTTTACCCTGTGTTATTGTAACATGTAAAAGACCAAAATTTTCGGCAAAAAGCAAAGATTCGTAACTTTTATCAACACGTTATTGATGTGAGTAGATGCAAAATGCCTCAAAATAGGTGATACGCAATCCGATCAATCATATTATTACTACCAACTAAGCCTTCTCCCAGCCTCCCCATCAACTACGACGAACCGAGGCCATCCATAGTATCGTTGACCCGAACATATTTCTACGACCACATCGCTTACCTTGAATCTCAGCTCCCCAACAGGCGGCTTCGCATACGGTATGCTCATATAGCCACTTCCTTTCTGACCATCCTCAAACGTGTATATGACTCCTTGAATTTTACCATCTTGAATTTTCAGCTCTTTCGTTGGCTCTGTCCGAAAATGTGAGAAAACTTGACCCATAGCTCTAAAAAATCTCAAAAAGAAAGAAAATGCAACTTTTATGACAATTTGGATGTTTCAAAAACGTGAAAACAATTTTTGGAAAGAGAATTTGGAGAAAACGACAACTGCTGGAGCGGGGAAGAACGTTTTTGTAATAAACAACCCCTAAAAAACTTCCATGAAGAGAAGCGAGCAGTGCTGTTTATCTCGGCTATTTTTTACGCGCTCTGTGTTTTGTTGCGCCAATGTAACAGAAAGAAACAAGACGGTTGAAAAAAAAAATTTTACGGATTTTTTTTGGCTATTATTATTACCCGAGACAAAAGTCCTGATAACGCAAAGTGGCCTTATCTACCACTTGTCCAAACAAAAAGAATATTTAATTTTCAAGTAAATTTGAAAAATTTTCAGAAATTCTTAGGTGCGACCTAATACAGCGTAAAAAAACGCGCCCTTTCCTTCAAGGCGGGCTCTTCAAAGCGAGATTTTTTAGCTTAGAGAAGGGAAGGGTTTGGAGACATTTTGGTCTCTTCCGGGATGCAAAATGAGACGTTTTTTGCCATTGGATCCGGTCCCTCACTGTAGTTAATACGCCGGCAAAAAAAAGAAACAGGAGAAATTTTCAAAAATACGCAATAGCCCCTTCACGTCAATTCAGCGCATTCCCTGAACCGTTTCGAAAATTCGTATAATTTTCGTTGATTTACCTCTCTCCAGGAAAGCGGTAGATTTGTCAGAGAAGGCGGCATTTGGAGGTATTTTGAACGCATTCTTTTGACCGTTATATCATTTCTCGAGCTGTAGATGCGCAGCTTTTTAATTCACAATCAGCAAACAAACTTTATTCAACTTTAACAACGCTTTATTCCGCTCAAAAGCAATTCAAGGACAGTAGATGACGTAGAATTTTCCTCCGTGCTTGATCGATTGGCTCTGTCCGGCATCCGCGCAGGTTCTACAAAAGAAATGAGATCAACAATTTTTATATTATAGTATTGGATTTTGAATCGAAAAGTACAGTGTCTAAACACTGTAATTTTCGTAGTGGCTAAACTTACGCGCTGGTACAAGTCAAGTTCTTCGATTTCCCATCGGTGGGTTGGATGGAAACTGGAGTGTCATAGCCGTTGCTGACGTCGATTTCATAAGTGTCTACGAAGTCGTCGTTGTAGTTGATAGTGAACTTGCTTAGCGCACGGCCTAAAAAAATATTTTATATTTTTTTTTCATAGGGAGTTTCAATGATCAAATTTGGATTGGATTTTGCAAAGAACATTAAATTTGATGATGTCAAATTTGCCCTTCGGACGTCTAGAATTTTTCGCTTGCCGGCTTTTCGGGTCGACGACAGTTCGGGTCGACACAAAATCGATCGATACGAGGCGTAGGGCAGGTGGATACCCGAAAGAAGATTGTAGGAAGTGCCTACGAGGCCTGGCAAAGTCGCTGGATGGTCGGCGGACGCCTTTTCTACTAACTAACATAAGCCTTCTCCTAGCGTCCCCATGCATACAACGATCCATAGTATCGTTGGCCCGAACTGTGGCTGACCCGAAAAGTCGTAGTATTTTATAGAAATATTTTGTTGGTTCATTCATTGGACCGCGGTTCGAACCTTCATAGGTGTGTTGATCTTTGGGAGGTTGTCCCTCAGATATTTGCAAGGGTCAAGTAGTCAAATCGGGTGCAGGATACCCTTGTTCCCAATTAGTATCTAATTGTAAAACACAGCACGTTCCACTACTCACCTTCCTTGTTCGCCCTGAACTCGAACCGAGTGTGGTTCTTGAAGGCAATAGCACATCCGATACCGGTCGGCAGGATGCACTGGTCCGTCTCCGGCCGATTATTTCCTGTCCGATACACAGAAATCACGTGATTGCATTGATTCTTCAAAACGAAGCTCGTATATCCACCATAAGTGTCAGCAACAACAGCGGCAATAGCGAAAGCGGCAAGAATGAGGGTCTTCATGATTGGAAGAGATGATTTTTACAAAGAAACGGAACATATTCCCATTAAATAAAGTTTCAGTCTCTGATAAGAAACGATTTTAATCCGCTTATGGGCAAAAGATTTGTTCGAAAAAAGGCATTAGTTTCGCAATTGGGATAGGTTATCAATGGCGGCAGATAAGAGGGTTTAGAGTAAGGATTTATATTAATCCAAGTATTTAATTTTTGCAGCAATCTTTGGTCACGTAAAACGTAACAAATGAACTCTGTGACTCGAATATAATACTAGTCTGTTCATAAAGAGTAAAAAGGGTGCAAGACAACTTTTCGGGTCGACGACATTTGTATTTCTTCTAATAAATAAGCCTTCGTCTAGCCTCCCCATGCATACAACCACAAACCGACGCGGTCCATAGTATCGTTGACCCGAACTGTAGCTGACCCGAAAGTCGCAGCGTCACTTTTTTTGCACAGTGCAAACGAAATGCACAAAACTAGTCCGTTCGTAAAATCTCTGAAGTAATTTTGGAGTTTGCATTGTGCAGAAAAAGTCAGGGTTCGAGCAACGGCCCCAGAAGAGCCTATTGCACGGTGCAAAAGGCAAGAAATTGCACAATTTTCAATTGCAAGGGAAAAATTGTTTTCGCACAGTGCATGTTGCCAAAATCACTACGGCGACTTTACAAACTTTATACTAGCATTGTGGATTTTATGATGAAAAGCAAAGTCAAATTTATGACACCTCATTCAAAAATCTAAAAATTTATGCGTTATCTATTTCCATCACTTTATTATTACATCCAATAACAACTAACAACAACAAAAAATAAAATCAAAAAACAACAATGCGTCAACAAATTCAGCAACTCGAATCGGCCAACAAACAACTTCTTATCCTTCAAAGAACTTGGTGACCACCTCTGGCTCCTCATCTTTGATCGGATTTGTGAGGGAGTTCACTTTGGAGAACAGTACTGAGCTCAATTGAGTCTTCAGGTATATCTTGTGTAAAGTTCGTTTCGTATCGACATCATGGACCAGAAGGAAGCGGTCTATTCCTACAGAAGCGACCAATTTCTCCGTCGGATGGGCGTCGATGCATCGGATGGCGCCTGAGCCTCCTCTGAATTTGTGGACAGGCCGGACTGAAAACGAGAAAAAAATTAATACGAAAGGTAAACGAGATTGTCATATTACACTTACTATTTTGGAACTGGGACGATTGGGGAAAAAGACGATTGGGGAAAGGGACGATTGGGGAAAAAGACGATTGGGGAAAAGTACGATTGGGGAAACCGAAAAGTATTATTTTTCTTCGATGCAAATGTCGAAATTAGGATAATCGAGGGTGCTCATTTCGAAAATGACATTCTTTTTTTTTGATTCTTACTTTTTTTCTTAAGTAGTACTGTAAAGTAGTAATTTTTGATTTTTTTTCATAAATACTCGATTTAGGGGTTTTCGAGGGTGCTGATTTCGAATATCGGGTTTATTTTTTCTGAACATTACTAGTGTTCCTTAAGTAGTACTGTTAAGTACTAATTTTTTAAAAATTTTCGAAAAATACTGGATTTAGATGATTTCGAAGGTGCTGGTTTCGAAAATCATGTTCATTTTTCCTCTAGTACTATACAGTACTATTCTGATACTATATAGTACGAGGTCAAAATATGGCTTTTGACGTTAATGGTGTTGTTTTGATGCTTAGTACTCTTAAAAAACACGTTTTAAAGACCTGGTGCTATATAGTACTACCTGATACTATGTAGTACGAGGTGTAAAGTTGGCCTTTAGGCGTTCGTGGTGTTGTTCTGGTGCTTAGTACGCCTATTTTTACTTCGTACTACATAGTATCAGACAGTACTATATAGCACCAAGTCTTTAAAACGTGTTTTTGAAGAGTACTAAGCATCAAAACAACACCATTAACGTCAAAAGCCATATTTTCACTTCGTACTATATAGTATCAGAATAGTACTATGTAGTACTAGAGGAAAAATTTACATGATTTTCAAAATCAGCACCCTCGAAAACCCCTAAATCGAGTATTTATGAAAAAAAATCAAAAATTACTACTTTACAGTACTACTTAAGGAAAAAAGTAAGAATCAAAAAAATGAATGTCATTTTCGAAATGAGCACCCTCGATTCTCCTAACTTCGACATTTGCATGGAAGAAAAATAATACTTTTCGGTTTCCCCAATCGTACTTTTCCCCAATCGTCTTTTTCCCCAATCGTCCAACTCCGTACTATTTTGCGTAATTAGTGCTGCAAAGTTAGTAATTTTTTGATTTTTTAACAAATACTCGATTTAGGGGTTTCCGATGGTGCTGATTTCAAAATCAGAAATCAACACTACCGAAAACCACTAGATCGATTGTGAAAAAATCAAAAAAATTACAACTTTACAGCACTACTTAAGCCAAATACAAAAGAAATGAATGTCATTTTCGAAACTAGTGCCATCGATTCCGTTTTTCCACGCCAGAAATATTTTTTAGCCAAAGTTCCAATGACAATTTATATAGTTTTGGGCTGTCTTAAGTACAAAATTGGATAATTTTTTCGATTAATTATAAAGTAGCTTAAAAATTGATTCCTTTTTTGTAATATACTGTCCTAGGCATGTGTCGAAATCGATTACGTAATTAAACTTAAAAAAATCAAAAAAAAAAATAAATAAATAAAAAATTATGCCTACTACAATATAAAAAGATGGCTAAATACCCTCCAATGACCCTTTCACTCTCACTTACTTTTCCCTCTCAGATCAAACAGCGCCAATTCGCCGCAATTATTTCCAGCAATCACGTGCTCCTCTCTATGGCAAGTCGAGATCGCTCTGATTGGATTTTCATGCCAATCCAGGGAAATTACGGGCTTCCTTTGTCTTTTCGGATCAAACAGTCGTATCTGTAAGTTCAATTTAGTATCAAACTCCAGATTATCATCAGAAAAAAAGACAAAAAAAATCTATTTTTCTCAAAAAATTTACTTGATGGTGGCCTGTTGTTGTGCAAATTAACTTCGAGTCCTTGACGAAACGACCATTCGCTTCCCATATTGGAATTCTTAAGCTTAGGTAGTCGTCTTTTAGCTGAAAAACCCCTCAAATATTAAAAAAGTTTAAAAAAATCAAAAAAAAAAAAAAAATAATAATTTTTTTTTATTTTTTAAACCCAAAACCACTTATTCACTCCCCCACCTACATTTTTCATGCTCCAGAGTGTGGCTTTCCTCTCCAAATCCCACAATTTCAAAGTATTTTCTTTCCCTCCAGTTAAGGCGACTTCTCGATTATTCGGATCGGTGATCAAGAAGTTCAGATTAGCGCCGGCTTCGAATCCATCGCCGATTTGAGGGCTTCCCTCTTGATTGTAAATCTGGACATGACCGTTTTCATGCGCGACCACGATTCGATCACTAAAAACAAAAAAATAATTTTCTTAAACTTAAAACCTACTTTACTGTCAACTGAATGGCTTTCGCTGGTCCTCCAGCCTCTGTGTTTTCCGTTTCAAACAATTTGGTGTAGTCTCCGGTTACTGTATTGTAGAAATTCACATCTCCATTCTTCTGAAGGGTCAAAACTTCGGTCTGAAATTGAAAATCATTAAATCTTCTGACGATTTTGATCAAGTCAATTCCTAAATTCAAAAAAAAAACGAAAGTAATTTTACCTGCGAATTATCGACAAAGCACATTCCGACAATTCCATGTTCTTTTGGTTTTAGTTTCTCCAATGGCTGGGCATTTGTGAACCGCTCTTCTTTCAGGTTGATCACTAAAAACAGAAGCAATAAAAAACAAAAAAAAACTCACATTTAAAAGCACCCGTTGTGGCGCCAACATAGCAATCTGCCGACATTGCGTCTGAAAATTTATGAAAATTCTAATTTTTTTGTCATGGATAACATATCACATATAGAAAAATTAAAGAAAAAATGAGCACAATCCGAAATCAAGGCCCAAAAACGTCATAACTGAGCATTTTAAACCAAATTTCATACCTAAAACAAAAAAAATCAAAAAATATCCAACGTTTCTCAACGAGCGGGACACATATATAACCCATTAAAAACTTGTTTTACTCCTCGTATAACAACCATGTGAGACTTTTTTTAAAACTTCAGAGATTGTAATTCAAACCAATAAATATTTCAAGCATCTTCAAATTTGTCTTATCGCTTCTAGGAATGCCATCTTCTCCTTGATTGTGAAGTTCTGCACCACGACTTCGCGGAATTTGTAGGCGGTGGTGAAGAGTTTGGAGAGCGGCATTGCGCCCTGTGGGGTGGGTTCTGGCTTCGGTGCGGGACGTCGGCGTTTTTTGTGATGTCGGGGAGCATCGTCGTCGGAGTCCGAGGAAATGGTGTCGTCGGATTGGTCGTCAGAGTCGGAAATTTCACCTTCGTCCTTCTGAAAGGGGAAAAATAACAAAAAGAAACGATATTTATATTATATTTTGCAAGGAGAGTACTTCTATGGGGTATGGAGTTACAGATCGAGAGATACAGTGATGGATTTGATCCATTGGTCAAAAACGTACCATTTTGCATCCGGGAAGTATCAAAAATGCAGCAAAATACCTCTCTCCAAATGAAAAAAACTCCGACTTCAAAAGCGCGCAGTTCAAAACAGAGTTTTTTCACTTGGAGAGGGAGATATTTTGAACATTTTTTGATGCTTCCTGGATGCTAAATGAAACGTTTCTTTCCGCTGGATCAGGACCCTCAATGAATATCAAAAAAATATCAAAACTTTTCGAATTCAGAATATGTAAAAATTACAGTGGAAGACCTGATCCAGTGGCAAAAACGTACCATTTTGCATCCGGGAAGTTTCAAAAATGTGGCAAAATGCTTCCCTCTCCAAGTGAAAAAACTCCGTTTTTAAGGGCGCGCCATTTGCCTGGCAAAAAGAGCAGGCGCGCTTTTGAAATCAGAGTTTTTTCACTTGGAGAGGGAGGCATTTTGCCACATTTTTTGATGCTCCCTGGATGCAACATGGTACGTTTTTTGCCATTGGATCAGGCCCCCACAGCAACTGCCCAATTTTGGTTTGTAAGGGCGAAAAAATCCTCCTAACTTTTCTCGCAACACCAAGCAAATGCCTTTTTGATCAAGTTTTCACAAATTCAAAAGCCTTGTTTTGAGCTACAGTAAACCCTGGCATCCTGACAAGCCTTAAAATATCACGTCACTTTTTATATTGGACCTACTAATTAAGGTGTAGTATTAATCAAATTTGATATTTTAAGTTTTGTCAAGATACCAGGATTTACTTCAGCTCCAAACAAAGCTTTTGAATTGGTAAAAACTTGGTCAAAAAAGGGGTCATTTGCGTGGTGTTGAGAGAAAAGTTCTGAGGATTTTTTCGCCCTTACAAACCAAAATTGGGAAGCTAATTTTTACATATTCTGAATCAGAAAAATTTGCATTTTTTTTATATATGTCTCGACCTGTAACCCATACCCCATCGAAGCACTTTCCTTGAAAATTTTTGGATATTACACTTACATCATCTCCTCCCTTTCCTTTCTTTTTGTTATGCCCATTCGAAGTTGAAGGATTAACCTTGCCCAGATGCTTCCATTCGATCGGACTGACCGATCTCTTCTTCCATTTTTGACTTGGCGGCACAAAATCAGCCCTAACAATTCCTTCATCTTGAGTTTTGTTGATCTGACTCCAACTTTCGAACGACAATTCGCTGCCACCGATTTGAAATCGTCCGGTTTCGTCTTCGTCCACGTCCAGATCGCCATGCTCTGTTTTCAATTGACGATACTGCTCTAACATCTTGCCCACTCCCATCAGAGCTCGAGCTGCTTTTGTTTTACGTCTTCTTTTGTTCTGAAAGAAAGAAAAATTGAAACTTCAAATAACCTCTTGTTTACAGAAGGAAACTTTCTGATCCATACTAAATCTAAGCTCATTTCACAGCTAATTAGCCAAAACTTCCATCCGAAACGACTCTCCGTTTGATAAAAACCCGACAATTAAGTTTTGCACATACTTCAACATAAATTTATCTCAGAAAACCGCAACGTAAGGTCAAAAGCAAGACTCGTACTTCAACACAACCTGCATAAGTACTTCAAGACAAGAAGTAACCAGTAGACACCTAAAAACCAAACAAAAATATCAAACATCTTACCCCTTTTCGCGGAGGTCCATCATAGGGCTGTGGTGCAGGGGTTTCCTCGTTCTCTTCAGCTTTTACACTCTCAGCATTCTCCTTGGGCTCGGTTCCACCTGCACCATTGGTTTCAGCCGGTTTAGGACTATCGTCTTTCGCCTAGAAGTAAAACATGTTGCAATTGATAACAAAGATGGCAAAGCTATAAAAAAAGACTGTAAAATTACTTTATTTTCATCTTGATCATCGGATTTGACTGTCGACCCGATATTCTCGCTCTCCTCTTCATCAGGAACTTCAGGGTCTAGTCCAGGCTTGTTAAAATCTTCATTCGACGTGACTTCTTGAACCTGAGGATCGGCCATAATTTTATGAATAAATTAAAAACGAGAAAAACGATAAAAGCTGGACGAAAACTACTGGATCGGACCGGATAAAAGCTCGCTGCCTCCTCGACGAATTTTCCAAGAAGAGAAACAAGCAGAGGGACTTGACAAGTCGCGCCCTAGGTTCGAGAGAAATGCGGAGACAAAGTATACGAAGTCTCGTAATTTCCGCGTTGTAAAGATAATATGCGAAGTAATCAGTCGATATCGGTTTAGTTACATTCTACAGAAGCCATACTATCCGATGATAAGCTTTTTCTGGCAAATCAAGCTCGATTTCAGTTCAAATTTCCGCAACTTTCGCAAAAATTTCCCGGTTTCTGGCATTCCGTTGCAACCCAAAATTTTTCTGTTTTCTCGTCAAAATTTTCAATAACAAGATCTGTCGAATGTTTCTTATTCTATTTACTAGTTTATCATGTAGGAAATGCTTAATTCATATGTTGTTTTAGACCTTCAACTTGGGTACTGTCGAAGATCCTTCGAACTTCCAAAATGGAACAAAATATCAATACTCTAGAGGGATTAAATGGCAGGAAAGGAGGTATGGAGCTTTACTTTTTTTGTTTTGTGTCTAGATTGACTGGATATTGTTGTGAGGGCATTATAGTGGCTAGTATAATATAGTTTTGGCGAATTCTCTGGGGAAAAATGGACCAAGTAGAAAATGAGTACCCCAAATTATGTTGGACATCTAGAGTGACCTGTTTTGTGAGTAAATACAATGAAATATTTGGATGAAGTGCAAATTTTTGAATTTGACCACTCTCGGCTTTTATAACATTTTATTGATGCCCAAAATCCTCTAGGTCCAACACCACCCAAGATCACAGCGTCAGGAACAAGATCAGACGAAGATGCTCCAAACCAAGGTTCCTCAAATTTAATTTTCGAAATGAGCCACGAGCCGTCCTTGGTATGGCGACGGAGCTCAAGTCCGAATACGAAATTCATCAACGATTTGCTGGCCAAGGGATTAAGTCCGTATCAAATACTCCAATCCATGGCGCCAACAGGATGTCAAGTGCCTAAAGATCTTCCAGTCGAGGTCATTTTTAGATTGTTGTTTGAATTGATGGACGAAAAATGCTTCCGAAAACGACTGCCTCAATATCATGACTTTTCACAAGCTGTGGAGTTGTTCAAGTGAGCTATTTTGATTTGATTTTTTTTGGTTTTAGGGTCGAAATGGATGAAAACGTTTGGCGGTCAAATTTTTGGCTTTTGACAGGCATCTCTTGAGTTTCTGGACCTAAATTTACCCCTAAAATTTCAGGGAAGCCAAAAGAATTCTAATAATCACTGGTGCTGGTGTGTCGGTCTCCTGTGGGATCCCCGACTTCCGATCTTCCACTGGAATTTACGCGACGTTAAAACAAAAATTCCCCGATCTTCCGCAGCCCACGGCCATGTTTGACATTGACTTTTTTCGTCGAAGACCCGAACCTTTTTTCTCATTCGCCAAGGAAATATTCCCCGGAGTCTATCAACCCAGCATATCACACATGTTTATAAGGTTCCTGGAGGAAGAGGACAAATTGTTGAGAAATTATACGCAGAACATTGATACGTTGGAAAGAGTGGCCGGGATTGAGAATGTGGTCGAATGCCATGGCTCATTTGCAACGGCAACTTGTTTGTACTGCAAGGAGAAGTATGTCAGTGATGATATTAAAGAAGATGTTTATGCACAGGTGAGGTGAAAATTTTTTTGAAAGTTTTAAATTTTTAGAGGGTTGCGCACTGCCGAAAATGCCTAACTGGAGTAATAAAGCCGGATATTGTATTCTTCGGCGAAGATCTTCCCGACAAGTTCCATAGCCAGATGGGAGAAGACATTGACAAAATTGATCTGGTCGTAGTCATAGGGTCGTCTCTCCGAGTACAGCCGGTCTCATTAATACCCCATCATGTGGATCCAAAAGTACCTCAGATCTTGATCAACAGAGAGGATCTTCGACCCTACGACGCGGAGATTAAATTGCTGGGAGATTGCGATGAAATTATTTTGGCATTGGCGATTGCAATGGGAGGAAATATCAGGGAGAAAATGATGAATGGTAAGCAATTGGAAGGAGTATTTGATGGTTGGCTATTTGAGGAATCCCCGAGGGATTCAACTTGATTATATTTGGTCTTGGGGAATGCCCGAGGGATTTTAATCGGCAAAAAATGGGCTGATGAGGGGATTTTTTTGAGGTTGACATAAAGATTGTGACGAATATTTGCGTAAGATTTGTTGGAGTCAAATTTGAGCTCATTTTGATAGCTTTTGCAACCTTTTTATTGACTGAATGTACTTCCAACGTACTTCCTACAGTGACGGACCTGATTCAGTGGCAAAAAAAGTACCATTTTGCGTCCGGGAAGTATCAAAAAATGCAGCAAAATACCTCCCTCTAAAAGTGAAAAAACTTCGATTGCACGCCCTTTACAATCGAGTTTTTTAGTCGAAGAGGGAGGCATTTTGCTACATTTTTTGATACTTCCCGGATACAAAATGATACGTTTTTGCCACTATATCAGGTCCGCCACTGTAAGAAGTACTTTGGAGGTATATTCAGTCAATTAAAAGGTCGAAAAAGCTATCGAAATGAGCTCAAATTTGTTTCCAACAAATCTTACGTTATTCATCTAAATCTTTGTTTCGAACTTCAAAAAACCCCCTCAATTTTTGCCCCTGGATAAGGTCCACTGTAGAATTTTTACAATGTTATTTCAGAAGTTCGAAATCGCAAAGCGTTTGTGGACCGAATCCCCGAATTGGAAGCCCTGATCGACCAAGAAAAGGATGGAGGAAAAATCGCTCTAAAAGTTTTGCCATCAGAAGATTTCCTCAACGAATACAGAGAACGAAAGGAGGAATCAGAAGATGAAGAGGAGGTCCCAGCGAAGAGAGCGAAGATTAATAACGCAGGAGATAATAGTCAGCCGGGGTCATCCCAAAACGGAGATGACCAAAGAGAAGATTCAGAAGAATTGGGGGAAAAAAAGGTTAATGGAAAAGGGACCGAAGTTGATGAACAATTATGTGAAAAGCCATCGTCGCTTTGGGAAACGAAATACATTGCAGTGGCCTCGAAATTGAAGGGTAAAAAATGAGTTCAAGTTTTCAACGTAAAAACGAAATTTCATCAGAGACGAACTTTTATTTGATTCTGTCAGATCTATAGAATATCGGGATTAGCGGAATGTACAATATAAAATTGGAATATCTTGGGTATCAATGGCCAATTTGGTCTTACAAGAGATTCAATAATGGCTGATAATCTCACAAAGGCGGTTAGTTTTCAGCCGGCAAAAAATCGAACTCTCTGTGTAAAATGAAAGCATAAAGTTTGAAAATTTCGATATGTCATCTACAGTGGGGACCTGATCCAATGGCAAAAAACGTACCATTTTGCATCCGGGAACTATCAAAAATGTGGCAAAATGCTTCCCTCTCCAAGTGAAAAAAACTCCGATTTCAAAAGCGATCGCGCTCTTTTTGTGAGGGAAAGGGCGCGCTCTTCAAAACGAAGCTTTTTTCACTTGGAGAGGGAAGAATTTTGCCGCATTTTTGATACTTCCCGGATGCAAAATGGTACGTTTTTTGCCACTGGATCAGGTCCCCCACTGTATATCGAGAGGTGGCAAAAATTTTGAAAGAATGTTGACGAATACTCTTCGATCCATTGCTGTACCGAATTCAATCGACTAAACAATAATTTTCGATTGTTTTGTCCATTGTGATTGATACAGCAATGCATGGAAGGGGGATTTGTCAAGTTTATTTCAAAATTTTTGCCACTTCTCGACGTAGATGACATGTCGAAATTTTTAAATTTTATGCTTTCATTTTACACAAGCAGTTCGATTTTTTGTCGGCCGAAACTAACCGCCTTTGTGAGATTATCAGCCAGTATTGTATTTCTTGTAAGGCCAAATTGACCATTGATATTCAAAATATTTCAGTTTTATATTGTACATCCCGCTAATCCCGATATTCTATAGATCTGACTGAATGAAATAAAAGTTCGTCTTTGACGAAATCTCGTTTTTACGTTGAAAAATGTGCAAAATTTATACCGCGTTCGGTTTTATGAAGTCCGAAATTTAAACGGCATGCAAAGCTAAAATTGAATTTCCAAATTTCAGGCCTAATGTACGCGAAATTCCCTCCAAATTTGAATATCTTCAAAGGCGCCGACTTCTACCTCGACCTGGACGCCGGCACATTAGGCCCTCTTCCTCGACGAAGCGACCATGAAGTCTTTGAAGAAGAGGAATCACCTCCACCGTCTTCAATCTCAACCCCCTCCAGCTCTCCCCGTCCACGATCTCTACCCGATGAGATAACCTCAAATGAATTCCGAGACTTTTCATTCGACGACCGCACCACACAATCGCTACCTGACTTTAGTGATAGCGACGATGGCAGCCCCTAAATAAATTGTAATATAACTGGTATTTAATTTTGTCGCATTTTGTATGTTGTTTTTTATGTGTGATAAAAAAGGTGGAATGTTTTTATTGGATAAAAGTTTTTGAGGAATCGCCAAAATCCTTGCGATACACTAAAAGAAAGGTCAGTTTAGTACAACCGCGAGGCGTTTGGACCAACGCCGCGTCCCGAAACGATCAGATTGAGGACGTTGGCATTCCGCCACAAACCGTTCAAACGAGGATTATGGGGACAATCGGGATCAGTAGAGGTTAGAGGCTTGGACAGAGGAAGGTTGGTGGAGAGGAAGGACGCGCGGACGGTCGTGCGAGGCACCCGTGAGGGAGATCTGGTCTATTCTTATCTATAGTATTGTACTGTACGAGCGGCCATCAACAAATATATCAACGGAGACCTTGGGAGTTGGCATTTAGAGAAGGATCTGGAGGGAGTTGTCCCTTGGATACCTTGGAGGAACCTAGTGGACCCCGGAATCACCTGGAGGAAGGGCCCGCGGAGTTCGTAAGGTTTTTTAGTCTTTTTTGCTTTGTACGTTGATTCAAAGAAACAAAAAAATATTAAAATACGAAAACGCCGGCCGTTTTTAGTCATCGTCTCGTACGAAACGAATTTTGATAAATCAAGTTTATGTTCGATAGTAAATAGAGGGATGCCTGGAAAAGAAAACGAAGACCTTTAGAAAGTGAGGCATAAATATTTTTTGAGGCGTCACAGGTACCACAAGTGCGCCACCGAGAAAATACGCTAAACGCGGAGAGAGATCATACAGAAAAACACTTTTTGGCCATAAGTTTACTAGTTTTGTACGGAAAAAATTGATTTTGTGGAAACATTACCCTCTAACAAAGCTGGAAATAGGCATGAAACTTTTCGTGCCGAAATTCGTTAAAAAGTGTCTACTTATCTAAAAATCTCGGTTGTTTCTGCAAAGCGCAAGCTTGGTTTCTCGCATATATATTTTCGAAAATATTATTCTAAGTTTGTGCCAAGGTTCATCAAAACCTGAGTGTCGCGCTTGGGGTATTTTCCTTGTTAGTCCAACTATCGTAACTTACAGGGGAAGTACCCCAAGTGCGACGCTCAGATTTTGATGAAACTTGGCACAAATTTAGAATAATTTTTTCTAAAATATATGCGAGAATCCTAGCTCGCGCTTTGCAGAAACAACCGAGATTTTTAGATCGAAAGTTGGCGAAAATTTGACACTTTTTGCCAAATTTCAGCACGAATATTTTCATGCCTGCTTCTACTGTCAAGGATAATGTTTCTACAAAAAATAAATTTTTTCCGCACGAAACTGCCAAAGTTATGGCCAAAAAGCGCTTTTCTCTCTGACCGCTCTCCACGTTTAGCCTGCTCTCTAGGCGGCAAAAATCGTTCTATATCCCGGCGTCGCCCGCAAAGCGCGAGCTAAAACTGTCAGGAATTGATATTTAGCCTATGCCCGAAGCGTATGCAAAATTTAAAGAAAATCTGAGCGTCGCACTTGGGGTACTTCCCTTGTTAGTCTAGTTCGTAGAAGAGTTCTCGCCACTAAAACGTTGTTTTCTGTACAACAAACGCGACATTTATTTGAAATTGAATCCTTTTATTAAATTTCAATGTTCGTCAGATTATAATCCGCCACAATATCCGTATTATACAATTTGCACCCATTCTCCTGTCGATAATTACTTCCTACCGGGCAATTGAAGGCGTTCGCGAACGCGTTGAATTGCGAGAGCGCTCCCCAAATTCGCGTGGGGCCAGGGGAATGAGGATCAGCCGGAGTTCGATGCTTGTCCCATGGCGGCATCATGGAAAGTGTTTGCGCGACATTCAAAAAGAACAGCTGGTCATCAGTGAGGTGGTCCAATATGTTGCCTCGAGGTCGTTGGCCAACTCCGTTAATAGCGGCGTCTCTTTTATACGCAAAATAGGCCATTTGAATTCCAAAAACGTCGGCGAAATTTTCCTCAATGTTGTGCTTGGGATCAATACAACGCTCCGGACGCTCAGGATTGCACTGACCATTGTAGAAATTGTAAAGACAATCGAAAATTTCGATGTAGCTAGAGTCTAGTTCGGTTAGTTCCAGGAGGTTTGAATCTGAAAGTCAAAAATTTTGAGTTTTAAAATAGAAAATTTGAATTTTGAAGTCTAAAATTTGAATTTTAAAGTCAAAAATTAGAATTTTAAAATTGAAGATTTGAAATTTTTGTAATCAAAATCTTACCAAAGTCATGCCCAAGCTCATGGCCAACAACGGAACCCGTGCCGGACAATCGCATTAGCGGCGAGAAGGAGGGATGGTAGAAGGGGAACCGCATTGGATCAATATTAATAATTGTGAATTGAGGAATGGGATGGTGGTAGGCGTTGAACTGCAAAGTTTGACGATGAGCGTTTTTTTACGCCGACGAGATTGCCTTATGTTTGGCGATTTTGCATGTGAAGCTATACGAAATATTCCTCCGGAAAGTTGATGGTAAAAATGCGTGGACGAAGAGACCACGTCAAATTTCTTTGCAGCTACAAGTTTATCTTTACGCTTACCTCAACATCCGCCAGGTGATAGAACATATTCTCCTTTCCTTTGGCGGCACGAATCAGTGGCTTCCACTGGTTCAACCAACGGCTTTGAATTGGATTCACAAGAGTCAGATTGTCATAATACTTGTAAAATTCTTCATCCATGTAAATTGGATGGTTTATTCCAAAAAATTTGTTTCTATCCAGCCTCCCCAACATCTTTGTTCTCATCTCATCGCTCAAAACATTGCCAAATCTAAGCGACACTTCAGCAGCTTCTACTAGCCGTTCTGCATCTTCGTAGTAAGCTTTGTTACTCTGATCAAGATAGTCCTCTCCCAAATAATCGAAGAGCATTTTCACATAGTATACGAGGAAGTTTTCGAGAATGTAATGCTCACAATTCTTGTATTCCGGTATGTTTACAGTTTTGTGAAGGGCTACGGTGAGTTGGTATAGAAAAACATCGCGGAGATGTGTCTAAAAGATGCGATAGTAAGAAATGATGACAATTTTTTACAAGGAAAGTACTTCAATTGGGTATGGAGTTACCGGTCGAGACGTATATCAAAGAAATCGCAAAACTTTTCTGATTCAGAATATGCCAAAATTAGCTGCCCAGTTTTGGTTTGTAAAGGCGAAAAAACCCTCACAAGGGATCGGCAAAATCGCGCATCCTGGTTTTTTCTTGAGACATACACCATTTGAAAGAGCGTGAAAAACTGGTCTAGGGTCACATTTTATTAGCTGCTATTTTTGCTCTACGCCTTAGCTAGCGAGCACGCCTTAGTTCCAGGCTTATCTCACCCTTTTTCCGAGGAAACAAATCCGAACGATTTCCAAAGCACAGCGCACCAGTGCTTCGGTGGCCTAGTGGGGTAAGGCGCTGAACGGGGCGAACCTGCGGGCCGGGTTCGAAACCCCTTTTGATTTTTTTTGATTTTTTCAATATTACAAACCAAATAAGGTCTGAAAGTAGTGTTTGAGTTTCGTATAGATATTTGTAGTATAACGGGACCCGTTTTTTTAACAAGGAAAGTACTTCTATGGGGTCTATGGGGTTGTCAGAACTTTTCTCGCAACACCGCGCAAATGCTTTTTTGACGAAGCTTTACCAATTCAAAAATTTTGTTTTGAACAAAAACAAACTCTGGCGTCTTGACAAGCCTTAAAATATGAAATTTGATTGACAATAAGACTACACCTTAATAGTGGTAAAAAAGAGTTCTTTGCAAAAAGGGATCGAACCCATGGGCAGCCTTTCCCATCGGATTCTCAGCCTAGCCCTCAGACCACTCGGCCACACTGCTTTCTTCCAAAGGAAGATAACGAGTGCGCTTTCACATCTTCCGAATCAGCAAAATTTTGCAATTTCTTTGATATATGTCTTGACCTGTAACTCCATACCTCATAGAAGTAAATACTTTCCTTGTTAATGGATGAATTCTAATTTCTCAAACTTACTTGATTACCCTTTGGAAACACCAGTGCGACCTCGGTAATGTTGCTCAAGTCGAATTGCTCTCCGAAAATCCCGAACAAAAATTCCTCAGTGTCCGTTACATTACTTTCCAACAAATTAATTCTAGCATCAGCCAACGAATTTCCATCCTTGTCGGAGTATTTTTCATGCGGCAGTCTGAGATGGCCGTAATATTCTATACGCACCATAAATATTATTGCAAACATATCGCTTCCATACTTGAACAGCATTTGGTATGCTTTTTGGACCAGGTTGAGGTATTTTTGATCGTCCGTGAGGAAGGATTTATCAAGATATTCGTTAACAAGGTCGTCAATTTCTTCGGGTTGCGAAGATCGTTCGAGAGCTTTTTCTAAGCGCCAGAAGAACAGCGATGGATTCTTTGAGCAATTATTGTAATGGTCCTTGACTTTTTGTAAGACAGTTGACTGAAAATTCAAGGGCTTATTGTTAGTAAAAATAAAAAATTGATGACTACAGGGAGCGCCTGTACAACCAGCTCCCATTCAATAAATCCTCACTATATGAGCTTTGACAAGTGAAGTACCCCAAGTGTGACGCTCAAATTTTCTTCAAATTATCCACATTGTTTGGGCATATACCACATTTCAATCTCTGAAACTTTTTACTCGGGCTTTGCCAGGGCAGTCGAGATATTCACCCATTTTCGGGGCCGAGAGAGTACGCGAAACGCGGAGAAAAAACTATGGCTCGGCAATTTATTGTACGGCGCTTTGAAAGCATCATCTCCAAGCACGTCAACCTGAGATAAGCTAAAGCGTGAATGGATTGGCAATTCGCCAACAAAAAATCGCAAAAAAACGTTTTGTCAAGGAAGAAATGGGGAATTTTTGGGACGAGAGAGTACGTTTTCCGCGTATTTTCTCTGTCTTCTCTGTGAAATCAAGACATAGTGTAAAAAACTGAAAGTCTATTCCGGTCACCGGACTCCCCAATTTGACGTGCAGCGCTTTGAAAGAGTATATCTAGCCTAGAAACACCCTTACTTCATTTCCATCACCTTTAGCCGACAGAATTTGCTTGGCTTCCTCAAGATACTGCATATCCAATTTCGTAAAATTAAACCGTCCGTTTGCGTAGGCGTGAAAGTCTTGGCACGGATCAGCCGTCTCGTTCATTCCTGCCTCCATAAATGCCGCTTTCTGTTTGAGAATATCATCCTTCCAACAAGAAGCAATAGGAAGAAAATAGAGAAGAGCACAACAAAACGTTTTCATTTGTGTCGTAAATTTGAGGATCGGAATGTTGGGCTTTATATTGCAGGCTGTGAATCAAGGGGCGAGTCTATTCAACGTCAATTTGAAAGGTCTGATTCGGACAGTGTACGAACGTGTGCAACGTTTTCCGCCAAATACATAATTGTATTTTGCTTGTAGATGTGAGAAATTCCGATAAATTTTGTTGAACAAAGTGTCGCGCGATGAGAATTTGGCAGGAGCGCATTTTTGTTCTTTTTAATTAAAAATTTTTTTAATTGCTATAAGTAATGTTTATGTACCAATATCAAATCATTTTTTTATGCCATTTAGTGCATGAGGTTATCAGTAATGTTGTATTCCGGCAACAGGTCGATATTATATAAACTGCAACCACCAGGTTGGCGATAATTGCTGCCAACAGGACAGTTGAAAGCGTTTGCAAACGCCGGGAATCCGGACAGGGCTCCCCAGACACGGGTGGGACCCGGAGGATGCAAGTCGCTTGGAGTGTTGTGCCGGGCCCAGTTCGGCGCTACAGCTAAAACTTGGGCAAAGTTAAGGAAGAACAGTTGGTCGTTCGTGAGACCATCCAGAACTGTCCCGCTCGGCCGCTTCACTATCCCGCTTGTGGCAGTGCTTCGTTTATACGCAAGATACGCCATTTGAACGCCAAAGCTATCAGCGAAAGCCTCGTTGACATCGTGTTTCGGGTCAATGCAGAGCCATGGCTGCTCGGGATTGCACTGATCTTTATAATAGTTGTAAATGCAGTCAAACACCTGCCGATAGGTTGAATCAAACTCCACAATTCCATCGGTTTCCAAACCCTCATCTGAAGTGCATATGGTGTACGACAATGTTACCGAACCTACCAAGATCATGACCAAACTCATGACCGGCAGCAGCTCCTAAGCCGGAGAACCGAAGAATTGGAGGATACGATGGATCGAAGGTAGTTGGCGTCACTATTGGAAAGTTCACAAACGTTCTTTGTGTTTTACGCGAATGAGCCGCGTTAAACTGAAACATCAATGTATGTAAATGCTATTTCCTTGATAAGTGAAGAACACCAGTATAAACAGCCTTGAAAACATACGTCCGGTTCCGGAACCCGCAAGTCCACAACTTCACGGTCTCCCATTGCGCGCATCAACGGCGTAAGGTTGTTCAGCCATCGTCTTTGCACGGTCAAATTGGTGGCATCGACATGCCCAAGAAATTTGTAAAACAGTTCGTCCGAAAAGATTGGATGGCTGATTCGAGGGAATTTGTTCCCTTTGAGCCTGTCCAGCAAAATGTCCGTCATATTTTGGCTGAGCGCATTGCCGTATCGTAGAGCTGTTTCTGCCGATTTCAGCAGCTCAACGAGATCCGATTCTAGCTGCTTGTCGACTGCTGACAAATACTCGGATCCTAAGTAATCGGCCAAAATTTTCGCATAATAAATGCTGAAAGCGTTGACGATATACATTTCGCATGATTCGTATAGTGGAATGCGCAATGTGTCCCATGCAGCAATTGAAAGATCATTAATGAGTGAGTTTCTTGTCTATAATACATACTAGTTTGCGCGTATTATATATGACGTTGCAATAATGATCAGTTGACCTTTTCTGCAGGCCATTCTTGAGAAAAAACTTTAGGTTACCTTTGCATCGGAAGGGTAGGGAATATACACCGGCCATTTACTGCTTGGCGCCTCCCCAAACACCTCGCTTAGAAACGGTCTATGTGTTGGGTCGCTGCTGTTTAGCACTGATTGTTGCCAAGCGATTGGCGGAGTGGTTGGGTATGGGAGGACAATTCCATCAATAATAACCCAAGTTTCAATTATCCCTTGAAAATCACGGCTTCCGTATTGGTAGAGCAATTTGTATCCTTCCTGAAGGAGAAGCGTAAAAGTACCCTCGTGTGTCACGTTGGGTCCATCGCGGACCCGCTGGATGAACGCTTCCACCGCTGCCCTTTGTCCGCCGTCTTCTGTTTGTAGATTTCCCAGGAATTGCGGCGGGTTTTTCAGACATTTTTTGTATTGGTCCTTAACGGAACCAAGCGAGGTGCCCTAGAACAACATTTGTAGTAAACACAGGAGACGAAGAGGAGTGGTGTGCCGCGGTACAACTCACCTCGTGCTTTGGATTATAGCGAGAAAGAGCCGATCTTGCCTGTGTCAAATAGAATCTTGTCAAATCGTATTTTAATCGCCCATTGGCAAATGACCAGAAGTCATCGCAAGGCTTTACGTTTGGATCCATGATGGATTCCATAATCCGGGCCTTCTCTTGCAACGGATCATATTTCGCTAATACAGTAGAGAGGAAAACGGCGAAAAAGATTTTTAACATGTCTGTGCAAAGGAACTGTCGAGCAAGTGACATTTATGCATTCCAGTTCTGAATCAACCAGGGAGCTATTCAAATATCATTTTAAAAAGCGATTCACGTCTTGTACTGTTCCCTTACAGAAATTCAAATGTCGTTTCAAGAAACACTGGACACTCCACTTCCCCGTGAAGGCTATTGAATCGTAACATAACCGTATGGACAAAAATTTGAAGTATAATTTTGTATCCTCACAGCCATGTTATTGTCTTTGGGGGATATAAGGCCTTTCAGTTAAAGTAATCCAGCACATTCTACGTGATCAAACGTCATTTGACGCTTGCATATGCTACAAATTTTGTCAACAATTGATTGGAATGGCCTCGTGCAGAGCCGGTGGGCCCACAACTTCAAGCAACAGCCGGCAACAAGATAAATATACCTGATGATGACGGCGAGGAGATTGGGTAGTCTGGAGACGAGAGGATCACGGCAAAGAGATTGGGTAGTTTGGAGACGAGGCCGACCGGTCAAAACATAGAGTTTATTCATCAAAGACGAGAAAAAATGAGACAAAAGTGTAGTCATGTGGCTTATATAGGCACATCCATTATGCAAATTTGGTACTACCGCCAACATGCCGGCTTCCTCGGGGGCTCAGTGTTGCGCCAGGACGTCGACGGGCCGGGTTGACGGTTGGAGGCTGGAGGACGGTAATGTGGAGGCGCCGGGATGTCAAGGTCATGATAACTGGCTGAAATTTGCTTTCGCGGCCTTCCTAATCAAACAGCATTGCGTATATATGTTTACCATGAATCAATAAAGTTTATAAAGTTTGTCCGAAGCGATTGATTCACTAGCTTGTAGTATAAAATTGGACCTTTCCGGTCAAAAGTTCTAATCATGATTCGGAAATTCGGAACGCTGTTCCTTCTATTCCTGACGACCGTCTCTGGCAACAGACCCCTTGACTTTCTCAAGCTCAAAGCCGAATTCATCGAAACTGGGATTAATTGGGAGGCAAAGCCTTGCGATGACTTTTGGAGCTTTGCAAATGGAAGGCGAGACATACAGCAACTCAAAAACTTGGCGGTGACTTTTGCGACACAGGTCTTGTTTACTTATAACCCGAAGCATAATGTAAGCGGTTGCTGTCAGTTCCAAACGTGTTTCAGGACACCTCGCTCGAGCTGATCAGAAATCAATTTCTCGAATGTCAAAGCGACCCACTCTCGTTCTTCAATGCTCTGCAAAGAGAGAATCCCGAACAGGAGGACGAAATAATGGAGTTTGGTAGTAAAATCCAAGACGAGAAAGCCGTCTCCGACTCGGAGACGTTCCGCGGCTTACTAGCGGAAGCATACCGACTGTTATTCCGCTATGGGAGCGTAGAATTTAAGGACCTTTCCAATGACCTATATGCTACAGATGAATTGAAATTTCCTTTTGAGTTTGAGCATTCAGACACTCAATACCAAGCTAGCGTAATTGATCTGTTAACAAGCTTTAACGATTCGTATGTTGACGAGTTTCTGGCCGAGGTTTTCGGCGAGTACTTTGACTTAACGCAGTTGGAAAAAGTCAGTCTTCCATTACCAAATAGCACAGAGGTAGGGTTCGATAGGTCGAGTAACGAGCGCGTCTTTAGATACCACTTCGCAAAAAGCTACTTTACGATCTCTCGGTCGCTGCATGGAAAACCATGGACACCCCGATATACAAAAATTGCGCCGACTTTATCATGAAAACGTACCCCGCGTATTACGTGAAAATGCTGCTGGACTACCTAGGAGCCGAATATGTTGCAACCGTCGAGAAGGTATTTCAAAGCGACGCAGCGCTGCTGATGAAAACTGTCAGGAACCAATTCGCGTTCGGGAATGTTCTGAATGAGAACATGACTGAATTTCTGGAACGTAGGGTATCAAACAACACATTTTATGGCCTTCAAACCCCTGCCTTGTTAGATCCCACTTTCTTTACCATCTTCGGGCAGGTAGCTACCGAATGGCCCGTTCAAAATAAGTGGATTAACAACTTGCAGCCACTTATCCCAGCTGCATATGGCAAAGATACCACATACTTTTGGATACCAGGCCTTGATGTAAGACTCGTCAAAAAAGACCGGCCGGCATTTTAATTAATAAATTTTTAGGATAATGCTCTTCATATTCCCGAAACTCAACGAACGTTCGTGAATGTCGAGAACCTCAAACACCCGCTATTCCATCCATGGTTCCCGCCGGTGCTGCGCTGGTCTGTTGCTTCAAGCGTTCTGGGACATGAGTTTGGGCATGATTTTGGTAACCATTAGTATAGCATATGTTGTCTTTAAATCCAATAATCTTGAAAAGGACGAAGAATTGCATTCCCAACTTCTTCAGGCACCGATCTGGCGCAAATGACACAACTCGATTCCGCCTACGAACAAATATTTGATTGTTTGGATGGCTTTTACGCCGGACAATGTGACCCTTTGGATCCAGGCTTTTGCGCTGATCCCAAAAACAACCTCGAAGAGAATTTTGCGGACGTCTTTGGCATTCAAATGACATACCTGGCCTATAAACAGGACACCGCAATAAACGGAGCCGGCAGACGGCTTCAAGGAAACTTCGTGGAGAAACTGACCGACGACCAACTGTTCTTTGTCAACTTCGCACAGTCAATTGCTACGTTTGCACTGTGGGGTGAAGTACCATTGGAAGATCCTCATGCACCGGGGTCCCTTCGTTTATGGGGACCGTTGGCGGGATTCCCTGCGTTTGCAAATGCTTTTAACTGTCCGGCTGGAAGTCGGTTCAATCAACCCAATGGATGCAAACTGTACACGGACAACATTGCGCCGAGCCACAATTTGACTGATGGTGTATAAAACGTTCGGAATTTAATTCAAGTCTTAAAGCGTTGTACTAAAAAAATAAAATAGAGATTTCTGCTGTACGGAGGGGCTGTGATGAGGGTAATTACATACTATGTGGAGGATTGGTTAGCTTCAAGAAAATCACGAAACTGCCAGATATCTTGTGAAGTGTGTTCTTTGTTTCGAAAAATGCAAAATTTTGGTTCGTAGTGACCGCAGTGCCGGACGTGATATAGTGGCAAAAAACGTACCATCTTGCATCCGGGAAGTATCAAAAAATGTAAAAAACAAAATGCCTCCATCTCCAAGTGAAAAAACTCCAATTTCTAAAGCGCGTCCACTCTTTTTGTGAGGGAAGGAGCGCCCCTTCAAACGTTGTTTATTTAGCTGGAGAGGGAGCCATTTTGCCACATTTTTTGATACTTCCCGGATGCGTTTTTTGCCACTGAAACAAGAAGAAATGACATGTTTTTTTGCCATTGGCTTAGGTTATATCACTGGACAATCTAAGCGTCAGTCGGTATTTATTTATTGACCAACATATGTCAGATTAAAGTCCGGCTCAATTTTGTCATTATACAAAACACATCCCTCCTGCCGATATTTGCTTCCCGTCGGGCAGTTGAAAGCGTTCGAAAAAGCTTTCAACCCAGCCAACGCTCCCCAAACACGAGCTGGCCCGGGCGAGTGCGGATCGCCATAGGAATCGTACCCACGCCAACCACCAAATATGGAGAACGCTTGGGCAAGATTGATGAAAAAGATCTTATCGTCACTCAGTTTCTCCAAAATTGTGCCTTGAAGATGTTGCCCGCCACCATTAATGGCGACGTCTCGTTTGTAGGCAAGATAAGCCATCTGAATTCCAAACACGTCGGCAAAGTTCTCTCCAAGAGTCAGCTCGGGGTCCACACAGGTGCTGGGATCCTCGGGATCGCATTGGCCACTGTAATATTGACGCAAACAGTCGTATATTTGCGTGTACGTCGAGTCCAGGGGAACGAGTCTTCTGAGACTGCTGTCTAAAAGTCAAAGTAATAATTACAGTCAAACCGCTGTACAATAAAGTCGCAAAATACAATTTTTTTGTCATAACGGGGTTTGTAATTTGAGGGCTTTCTGCCCAAGATATTAGATAACGCTTGAGAACCCTGGAATTGGACGTTATATCAGTCTGTCGGGAAAATAGTGAACGCTTTGTCACACCGAAAATCGCGTTGCAGCCACGGAAAGGAATTGCGTCGCGGCAAAGTAGAATTGCTTTCCGCTTCAGCGACGCGATCGGCGCCGGTGCATTTCGGGCCCGGACGGTGCGTGTTTCGTTCTCACTGTGCCGACCGTTTGTATGGCAAAGTCCCTTGGTGAGCTCGACCGCCAGTGAGAAAAAATATCAAGACTTTTTGGCCCGCCTAGTACGGATTGAGGCTTCACTCTGTAGTCTTTTGGTCACCGTAATAAAGTGTTTGAAATTTCAAGGACTGAAAATGTCAGCTTCTCAGCGAATCCGCAGTATGAAACATTGAGACAGAGTTCCCACTACTTTACCGACAGACTGATGGAAAGTCAGGTTTACCGAAGTCATGTCCAAACTCGTGTCCAACAACACCTCCAGTTCCGGAAAACCTCAAAGCCGATGGAAACGAGGGATGGAAGAACAAGGGCTTCAAAATCGGGAAGAAGATCACCGTACGCTCAGTTGGTGATATATGGTAAGCGTTGAACTAAAGAGGAGTTTAGAGGAACCTTGCTTCTTACGACGACTTCGGGAACCAGCAGGAACGTGAGGTTCCTTCCTTGGGCCGCTTGAATGAGTGGCCGCCATTTGTTAATCCAGCGGCTTTGCACCGGCGACCGTAGAGTAATATTGCCAAAGAATTCGTAAAACATTTTGTCCTCATAAATTGGATGATCAAGTCCAAAGAACTGGTTGTTCGCCACTCTTTTTAACATCGTTTCCGACATGTTTTGACTCAATACATTCCCAAAACGTAAGCTTGTCTCGGCCGTTTCGACAATCATTTTCATGTCTGCCAAGAATTGAGAATTTGCTTGCGTAATGTTCTCTCTTCCCCAGGAATCAACCAACATTTTCGCGTAGTACATTGGGAACACATCGATTATGTAGTCCACACAGCTGCGGTAATGCGGGATGGCCAAGGTTTTCCACAAGGCTGATGAGAGTTCGGAGAGCAGGAGTCGTCGAAGAGGGATCTGAAAATTAGAGATAACATAGACGTCGATGCAATATTAGTCTGTAAGGGAAAATAATGAACACTCTTTCCACCTGCCCTAAGCTAACAATCAATAGATTCTACAGTGACCCGAACTGTCGTCGGCCCAAAGAGTTGGGACGAGAACACATGTACATCCAGCCTACCTCAGTTTCATTGGGAAATGCGATTCCAACGGCAACCATTTGGCTGGAATCAAAGTCTGCGCCGAAAACTCCAGCCAGAAATTGCTGTTCGTCGGTTACGTTCTTCAAGTCCACCAACGTGTCGTCTAACGCGGCCTCTCTCTCTCCAAGCGGCTGATAATCAAAGATTAGTGTGTCCCTGATCAGAATCTCGTTAAAATCTTTGAACATATCGCTACCGTAGTCGAAATGCAAACGATAGGCTTCTTGAAGAAGCTCAAGGAAGGTTTCGTTGTTCGCGATGGCTTCTCCGTCTTGGATTTTCTTCGAGAAGGCTATTATGTCATCTCGTTGACCACTGGGTTCGTTCTGAAGCTCAAAAAAAAATTTCCACGGATTCTTAATGCATTTTCTGTACTCATGCTGCACGGACGCTAGGGCGGTGTCCTAAATAAGAGTCGTTAAAATGAGAGAGTTGATGGACCTGATCCAGTGACAAAAAACGCACCATTTTGCATCTGGGAAGTATCAAAGAATGTAGCAAAATATTATACCTCCCTCTACAAGTGAAAAACTCTAATTTCAAAAGCGCCTACGCTCTTTTTGTGAGGCAAAAGGTACGCCCTTCAAAAAACAGTTTTTTTAGTGGAGAGGGAGGTATTTTGACACATTTTTGACACTTCTCGGATGCAGAATGTTACGTTTTTTTTGCCACTAGATTAGGTCCGACGCTGTAACAGAACAAGAAAAAAAAGGTTGATTCAGAAAAACCTGGTAAATTATATGACTTACAGTATACCTCGGATTGGGTGTAGATAAAATTCGCTCTGCTTCAACCTCAACTTCGGCCTGAAGAGAATCAATGTCAATTCCGCCGTTTGCATAGGCCCAAAAGTCATCACATGGCTCCACGTTTTGGTCAATTCCTCTTTCAATGAACGCCGCCTTCCGTTTTATGTAGACATCATCAATGTGACTACCCAAAACAGTGGCCCATAATAACAATAAAGCTAGAAGCTTCATGGTCGAAACGAAATATTATATTGATTGTAATGCTTGGCTTTTATGCAGGAAAACGCTGAATCAATCGAAAATGCTGAAATGTCGAGTTCTGCATTGATTCAGCGAATTGACTGGTCTTTGAATACATATAATGCAGCAAGGCTTTTAAAATCAGCTTTCTGGCCTTTGACCATTCTGGTCGGCACGTTTCTATCCTCTTTACCATGGCAGGTTGGGTAAAGAAATTTGAGGGCAGGCGTCCTAAGATTTTCATTCATATACTAGTGTTGTCAGATTCCACGGAACCTGGGGTAATCCACGATATGTCAATTCGACGGAATTTATGGGTGAGAGATGTCTCCCCGTGTCAACTGTTTCCCAGCTGTTTTTCCCCGATGTTCGAGAATGTTCGGTGGAGAGATCCCGAAGCGGAGCGCTTGAATCACGGAACCGTAACCTTCTCTCAGGTTTTATCCCTTCTTGATTGATCTGTAGTAGTTGTAGTTGTGTTGGGTGTTGTTGTAGAGTTGTGTTGTTATTGTTTTGAAGTGTTATTCTAAATTTATTCTATTGTTTTCTCTTCTTGACAAATTCGTTTATTCAATTATCATTTATTTCTCGTGTTGATCCAAAGGGGAACGAGTCGCGTCGATTACCCGCTTTTCACATCAGCAACCTTCCACTTGCAAGGCCAAGCAATTTCAGGTAGAAGTTGTTGAAAGTAATCGACTGCAGAAACCACCACAAGACCACAAGCCATCTCGTTATTTCTTTTCGTATTTCAGTCTATTCGAAGGTGGAATCGGACAAGTGTCACTTTAAAATTTATTCAGTTATATTAGTAATATTGTAATCGGGTTGTATTTTGTCGTTGTAAAAAACACAACCTGCTTGGCGATATTTGCTCCCCACGGGGCAATTGAAAGCGTTTGAGAAAGCGCGCATTCCAGCCAAAGCTCCCCATAAACGTGTTTGTGCTGGCGAATGGGTATCCTCTGTTGGCGAAGATCTTTCCCATAAGGGAAATTCAATCATTCCTTGTGCCAGATTGACCAAAATAATTGGTCATCACTCAAGCCATCTAAGATTTTGCCCTGGGGTCGTCTTCCCACGCCGTTCACCTCAACGTCACGCTTGTAGGCAAGGTAGGCCATCTGCGCGCCAAAGACATCGGCAAAGTTCTCGTCAATGTTGTTCTTCGGATCGATGCAGCTTCCTGGCATTTGGGGATCGCATTGGCTATTGTAGTATTCATATAAACAATCGTAAATTTGAGTGTAGGTGGAATCCAATTTGTAAAGGCGTCTTAAACTTTCATCTAAGCATAAAGCAAGCTTCATGTGAATGAGTTGTTAACTCACCAAAGTCGTGGCCGAGTTCGTGACCAACAATAAACCCAGTTCCAGAAAACCGAAGGAGGGACGAGAAAGATGGGTGAAAAAACAGAGGTTTAACTATGGGGGCGTCAATAACTGTTAACTGAGTGAGAGTTGTGTGAAATGCGTTGAACTGAAACTTATTTTGAATTGCAAACTTACAAGGGAAGTAATCCAAGTGACGCTCAGATTTTCTTTAAATTTTGCACACACGTCGGATATGGACTAAATATCAATTCCTGAAAGTTTTAGCTCGCGCTTTGCGGGCGCCGCCGAGATATCGAACGATTTTTGCCGCCGAGAGAGCACCCTAAACGTGGAGAGCGGTCAGAGAGAAAAGCGGTTTTTGGCCATAACTTTCGCAGTTTCGTGCGGAAAAATTGTTTTTTTGTAGAAACATTACCCTTTACGGTTGAAACAGGCAGGAAACTTTTCGTGCCGAAATTCGGCAAAAAGTCCTGAATTTTTGGCCGACTCTCGATCTAAAAACCTCGGCTGTTTCTGCTAAGCGCGAGCTAGGATTCTCGCATATATCTTAGAAAAAATTATTCTAAATTTGTGCCAAGTTTCATCAAAATCTGAGCGTCACACTTGGAGTACTTCCCCTGTGAGTTGTATCACAACGTTTATCCAAATCCTTACCGTAGGTTCTGGAATCGCCATAAATGTATAGTCCTTTCCTTCTGCCGCCCTAAGAGCGTGCGTCCACTTATTTAACCACCTATTTTGATAGGGCAGATTCAACGTAAGATTCGAAAAATGTTTGTAAAACATGTCGTCCTCAAAGAGAGGGTGTGCTAGACCAAAGAATCTGTTCCCTTTCACTCTTTCTTCCAGAAGGTGCGTCATGTTTTCGCTTAGGACATTGCTAAACTTGAAGGTTGTGTTCACAGTCTTTGCGAGGACCCCAAGATCAGCACGGTATTGAGCGTCCGCCTTTTTGATTGTCTCCAGGCCCCAGAAATCGAACAAAATTTTCTCGTAATGGAAGGGGAAACTGGCCAGTATGAACTGTTCGCAACGCTCGAATTCTTTCACTTCCAGTGTCTTCCTCAGTTCCGCAGAGAGCTTGGACAATACGGTCTTCATGTCGGTCTGAAATTAATAAAAATTGCCTGTTGCAATATTTAGGAAAAGATGAAACGGATCATCTTTCTAAATTCTACCGTACCTTATTGCCTGCTGGAAAGTATATTACAAACGTGAAATTCCGAAGGTTCAAATTGGCACCAAATATATCACTGAGAAACTTATTTGTGTCGTCAGTAACTTTACCCAAAAATGTATATGGGTTTTCGTTTACAAAGCCTTTCAGGAGGAATGGTGGCGGTAGCAGTAAAATTGGGAATCCAACTATATCGCTTATAAAATCATCAAATAATTTGCTTCCGAATTTAAAAAGCAGGCTGTACACCTCCTTGAAGGCGGCCAAGTAGGTCTCCGGGCTCTTCGTCGCCTCACCACTGGCAATTTTCGATATCACTGCTTCTATCTCCTCCACCTGTGTAGACCGATTGTTTTGCACTTGCTTGAAAAAAGACTGCGGGTTGTCCATGCAGTTTGTATACAGGTTTTTAACAGTTTCCAGAGATGTGTTCTAAAAACCGAGGGTTACACAGCAGGTACTTCTGTTTCCATAGCTGCTAAGTTTTGGCAACGCAGCTACACTTACAACATGTTTGGGGTTGAACACACGCAAGATCCGTCCCACTTCGTTTAGTTGTTCCTGTTCGTACTCACCGGGGTCCCTTTTTCCATTTGCGTATCTCCAAAAGTCTTCGCAGGGGTCGGCCGTGTCATCCATTCCCACTTGCATAAACTTGGCCTTGGCCCGAAGTATTTCACTTTCGGCATTCTCAGCCAACGCTGATGCTATCCAACATACACTGAAAAAGCACAATGCTTTCATCATGCTTATTGGGGCAAGCTTTGAAACGCTTTCTTTTATAGCCCTAGTCCACTGCGTCAATCAATGTTCCATTAAAGTGTCGTCAGAACTCTCCGTTGATTCACACGTTGCACAAAATTTCAAATGCTAAGCCCTGCGGCAGAATGGGGCGTTTCCCAAATTATCTTTTTCCCAATTGATGATGTTCCAGATAGGGGACTCATATTGTTGGAAATCTTGGGAGTTTATCATTGCATTTGAAAGGTCGAGGTTGTGTAAAGGAGTCCTAGACCCTACGAAATACAGAAGGCTTTCACTATATCTGCTGTAAGCAGATACTGAGGTTTCCTTGCCCTTATTAAGATACCTATTATATCTGGTAATAGAGTGAACCCTTGGTTAAAGTACGCACTTCCGCTAAGCCAAAATTGGCTTTCTCCCAGCAAAGAAATTTTTCGTTGCGGGACCCGCAACTGGTGGGCGTGTCAATAAAAATAAAAATATTTTTGGGTATTTCAATGTAAAACTGTTGTTCGAATGGAATTTTTACAAAGGTAAGTCTGTTTTTACACCTAGTTTAGCTTGAAAATGCAATAATTGTTCTTATTTGTCCAATTTTTCGATATTTTTCGCAATGTTACATGATTTTGATGCAAATCAGGGTTGGCTATGGAGAATTTTAGTTTTCTGGTTGCAATTTCAGGAATAAGCGCAAAATCGTACATCCCGACACCGGAGTCACTCCAAGGTCATGAACATCGATGTTTTTTTGAACCGATCGGTATGCTGTTTTAGATCATTATTGAATTATTTTTTTAGATTTTTGGGTAAATTTGGACTCCTCAGTGCTAAAGCCTCTCGCATCCTCGAGTTGAAGAGTTGCTCCACTATCTCCACGCGGAATCCGGATGTTGTTCCGTCTGATCTTGCCCAGGCCATGCACAATGTTTCCGAAGACACCAAGACGATCATCAAATACACCTCTTCCAAGGAAGATGGATTGCTTTCCTGGTGTTTCACACATTACTGATCCCTAACGGCCCTCTTTAGGGCCACATTTCTTTGATCTGCCTTGAGCGTGAATAAAGAATTTGTCTTGTTAGTGGATTGTAGAAGATAATCCTGGCAAATACGACTAAAAAAAGGAACAACTGGTCAAGAATCCTTCATTATAAGCTCCAAACCATCTAAAATACGACAAATTTAAATAAAAATATTTATACCTAAAACATCAAAAACAGGCTAAAAAATTAGTGTAATATGTGGCCCTAAAGAGGGCCGTTTGGGATCAGCAACATGTGAAGGGGGGCTAGGACACCAATCCATTTTCCTTGGTAGAGGAGTACTTGGTGATGGCTTGGTGTCTTCGGGAACATTCTTCATGGCCTATTTTCTCTGGGTAAGATCAGAAGGAACAACATCCGGATTCCGCGTGGAGATAGTGGAGCAACTCTTCAACTCGAGGATGCGAGAGGCTTTAGCAGTGAGGAGTCCAAAGATTTACCCAAAAATCTAAAAAAATAATTCAATAATGATCTAAAACAACATACCGATCGGTTCAAAAAACATCGATGTTCATGACCTTGGAGTGAGTCCGGTGTCGTGATGTACGATTTTGCGCTTATTCCTGAAATTACAACCAGAAAACTAAAATTCTCCATAGCCAACCCTGATTTGCATCAAAATCATGTAACATTGCGAAAAATATCGAAAAATTGGACAAATAAGAACAATTATTGCATTTTCAAGCTAAACTAGGTGTAAAAACAGACTTACCTTTGTAAAAATTCCATTCGAACAACAGTTTTACATTGGAATACCCAAAAATATTTTTATTTTTATTGACACGCCCACCGGTCGCGGGTCCCGCAACGAAAAATTTCTTTGCTGGGAGAAAGCCAATTTTGGCTTAGCGGAAGTGCGTACTTTAAGTGTGCTATTCAAGGATACCCCTTGTTTATCCCTTGCTGACGCATCAAACGCATTTCCTTTTTCGTTTCACAACGATCGTTCCGCATGGCCTTCTCACAACTCCATGCGTAGCGGAAGCTCGGAATGTACCTTTTCGGCCGACTCTTGATTCAAGTGACTGAATGCAACCGTAGTTTGTGCAAATTGACAAAAAAACAGCTGATCATCAGAGAGGCGGTTCAAAATCGTCCCGCGCGGCCTTCTCCCAACTCCATGTTTAGCGGCAGCTCGTTTGTAAGCATAATAGGCCATGCGAATCCCAAGTTCTCGCCGATGGTTTTTTTGAGTTCAGTACAAAGAATGGGTCGTTCGGGATCACAGATATGGGCGCAGTACTCGGGATTGAGCTTTCATGAGTTGCAGGAAACAAAAAATTTCGAAGACCCCTTTCGCTGTAAATTCCCGTTTGTTCTGAGCAGCAAATCTCGAAAAATTGTTGTCCAAAGCTGACCAGAATTTTTTTTGGTTGCCGTGCAACAAGAGATAACGATTCAGCCATTTTTCCAAGAAAAAATGACTGTAGCTTATTCACCAAACATTGTTTTTTTTTTATTTTAATACGCATATTCTTTAACATGCTTGATCAGTCATATGCGTTTATCACAATTGCGACGATCTCTGCCAATGATTCATCTGGCAGTCGCAACATTAGCGGCATTTCAAAAATGCAATCTAAATGTAGAAGATTTGAAACCCCGAAAAATGACCGTAAAGGGCAGACTTTTTGTGCTTCTATTTTGGTCACTGTTTCTGGCCATCAAACCAGATGATTTACTGACCCGTCTCAATAACAATAAAGCTAGAAGTTTATTTTGCATGGTGTTTATTGAATAAATCATTGGTTTGATATGTCAGTCAAATTGTAATCGGGCTGGATTTTTTCGTTGTACAGTATGCATCCTTCCTGGTTGAATTTGCTTCGCTTCGGGCAGTTGAAGGCGTTCGAAAAGGCTGGTAGTCCGGCCAAGGCTCCCCAAAGACGCGTTTGCGCTGGTGGATGGGTGTCGGTAGTGAAGTCGAGATCTCCCCACTTTGGGAATTCCATCAACCCTTGCGCCAAATTTATAAAAAATATCTTGTCATCACTCAGACGGTCCAACAGATTGCCTTGAGGGCGCCGCCCAACTCCGCGCACCTCCACTTCCCTCTTGTAGGTTAGGTAGGCCATCTGAGCTCCAAAGACGTCGGCGAATTCTTCGCTTTGGTCGTGCACGGGGTCAATGCAGCTGTTGGGGTCGGCGGGGTCACATTGGTGGTTGTAGTACTGATACAAACAGTCAAAAATCTGACTGTACGCCGGATCTTCAATGTTTTTGTCTGGAAGAGAGGATGGTGAATTTAAACTAGTTTAGTCATCAACCACAAACCCAACGTTGACGACATGAAAGCACAATACTTTTCGGTCGATACGCTTACCAAAATCGTGTCCAAACTCGTGGCCCACAACGAACCCGGTGCCGGAGAACCGTAGAAGCGGCGAGAAGGTGGGATGAAAATATAATGGCTGTAGAATCGGTAGGTTAATGACGGTTAGCTGTGTGAGTGGTGTGTGGAAAGCGTTGAACTAGAAAATTGAACATAAAGTGATATCTTGGAAATAAGTAAATGATGACAAAAGACCTACAAAAAATTCAGGAACGGCCAAGTATGTATAATTGTGCCCACTTGCAGCTTGCAGAAGTGGTCTGTACTTGTTCAGCCATCTGTTCTGGTACGGCAGTTCCAACACAACGTCGGAAAAGTGTTTGAAAAACTCTTCATCCTCAAAAATGGGATGCGCGACGCCAAAGAATCTGTTGGCGTCTATTCTTTTCTGTAGAACTGCTGTCATGTTCTCACTGAGCGCGTTACTGAACCGGAAGGTTGTGTTGACCGTATCAACTAGAAGGCTAAGATCTTCGAGGTACTTCTGATCTGCTTTTTTAATATTTTCGGCTCCCCAATAGTCGTACACCATTTTTGCGTAATACGCAGGGAAACTGACTCGAAGGAAGGACTCGCAATCCATGAATCGCGGAACAGTGATTGTCTTCCACAGCTCCGTCGAAAGCCTGGTCAGTATCGCTTGTCTAACATCGGTCTGAAACAGTGACAATAGGTACGGAGGTTGCCACGGCTCCGGAGCCGACTCTTGGCTCCGGCTCTGAGCGGCTCCGGTTCCCGAGTCCAAAGTTGGAGCGAGGTTTCTCAGCGTTTAGTAAAGTAAAAATTTTGTGATCTTGTTTGGCCAATTGCTTGAAAAATACTGGGAGGGATGTGTTGCATACTTATGAGCTGCCCCAAAAACGTTGGGTGTGTCATCTCCGGCACTAATAACTTTTATTTTTGGAAAAATATCTTATAAAAAAATTTGTGCACGGGAGCAGGAACCTAAGCTGCAAATTTGGCCTCGACTCTCACTCTTATAGCTAAGAGCCGGAGCCGAAATTTTGGCCATGGCAATCTCTCGTTAAGCATTAGTCTGTCGGGAAAATTGTAAGCGCAATGTCGCAACACCAATCGCGTCACTAAAGTGAAAAGCAAATTAATTTTGCCGCGACACAATTCATTTCCCCGGCGACTTTAGACGCTACAGAGTGCTCACTATTTTCCTGACAGACTGACATTTTCAACCTTTAAACTATTCAGAGTCTGACAGCATTCAAAGCGAACCTACTTGATTGTCTTGTGGGAGAATTAAGAAAACCGGCAAATCGTTGATCTCAAATCTAACGCCGAAGATATCGGAGAGAAAATTTGCTTTCAATTCAACATAAGGAAACGGAACAGCTGAGGTATTGAACTCGATCTCGAATTCCTCCGTTATTTTCAGAGACGGTAAATATAGTCTGCCATCTCCCAGTATGTACGATGTCATACGGTGAAATACGGCTTCACTCCCGTATTTGAACAGGAGTCTGCAGCCCTCTGTGAAAACGGATAGATATGTCTCTACGTCTTTCGAAGCCAAGCTGTCGCGGGTTTTGGCATCGAACTCCTCGATCTCCGCGATCTGCGCTTGGCTTGCCGCTATCTTCGGGAGATAGAGTTGCGGATTGTAGACGCATCTCAAGTATTCATTCTTTACTGTTTGCATAGCAGTTCCCTGAAAAAAAGTTGTGACTTGACTTGTTCCCTAAACATACAGTCAGGGACCTGATACAGTGGCAAAAAAGGAATCGTTTTGCATCCGGGAAGTGTTAAAAAAGTGGCAAAATGCTTCCCTCTCCAAAAGAAAAAACTTCGTTTTGAAGGGCGCGCCCCTTTCTTCACAAAAAGATCGGAGTTTTTTTTCACATGGAGAGGGAGGCATTTTGCCACATTTTTGATACTTCCCCAAAATGGTACGTTTTTCGCCACTGGATCAGGTCCCATAATGTAAAAGATTGAATCTCATGAAAACCTACATTGTACTTGGGATTTACCATTAACAGAATCCTCCTTGCCTCCAAGAATTTGTTTATTTCGTATAAAGTAGCGTTCCTCCTGCCGTTTGCATAGCGCCAGAAGTCTTCGCAGGGATCGGCGGTGTCATCCATTCCCATCTCCATGAACCGGGCCTTCTCCCGAAGTATCTTGTCTTCAACATTCTCAGCCACCACTGACGCTATAAAACATGCGCTGAGGACTAGTAATAGCACCTCCATTGCTTCTATTTACATTGCTTTTCAAAAGGATCTCTTTTATACACGCTGATCCATGAGTCAATTAATGTTCCATTGAAATGTCGGAACACTCCGTTGATTCACAGTTTGTACTAAACTTCAAATGCTACTCCCTGTGTGCGGAAGAATGTGGCCGTGAAACACTTTTCCTTGTAATGGAAAAAAGTGAACAGAAAACGATATTGCGCTCACTATTTTACCGACAGATTGATACTTCCCTTGTAAAAAACGAATGAATTACACCTGATATTCCAAATAATCCAACAAAGTTGGGCAGATATTTGGAAATTACCTGTAAAAAGCTGAAAAAAGCAATTTTGTAATTGCACTAATAGAAAATTTTTATTATTGTATTATAAAACGGCGTCAGTTATGTTGTAATCCGGTTCGATCTTGGTATCAAAAAGTGTACAACCATTCGTTTGATAGTAGTTACTTCCCGCCGAGCAGTTGAAAGCGTTCGAAAACGCCCTCAATCCGGCAATGGAGCCCCACGCGCGGACCTTGGCTGGGGAGTGGACGGCTTCGGGAGTGAGATGACTTGCCCACTTCGGAAGGAACCTGGAAATTGTTTGCGCCAGATTGATAAAGAAGAGCTGATCGTCCGTAAATTTCTCCAAAACTTTGCTTTTGGGTCTTTTCGTTACTCGCTCGCTCGCAGCTGCTCGCTTGTAGGCAAAGTAGGCCATTCGAGTGCCGAAGAGGTCGGCAAAGTTTTCGTTAATGTTCTTCTTGACATCAATGCAATCTTCGGGTTGGCTCGGATCGCATTGGCCGCTGTAGAAGTCAAGAACGCAGTCGTAGATTTGTTTGAAGGTGGAGTCGACATTTGGGTTGAAGTGAGTGTCTTAATCAGACAATAAATATTAATAGTTTGCAGGACGTGGAGGCAAGGCTGATCGTAGCCGAGAGAACCCAATCCCGAGTAGGCGGTTCAGATTGGATGAGGGGGTTTGTACTGGGTCAAGGGGGGCTGAACTGGACTGGGGGTTCTACTACCTTTGCCCCCATTTTTTGTTATAACAATAGACAACAAATTTTTGAAACAAAAAGGTACCAACCATTTCCTAAAGTACTTCAAAAAACCCAATCGGTTCTTGGCTCTGCGGCCCCCCAGCCATGTCTACTGCGGCTAGGAAGAACAGCGACTCAGACAGTTCTCCAAAAAAAGGTGACTGTAGCTTATTCACCAAATATTTTTTTTTGTTTTTAACACGCATATTCTTTGATATGATCAGTCATATGCGATTATCACAATTGCGACGATTTTTGCCAATGATTCAGCTGGCAATCGCAACGTTGGCGGTCCTTCAAAAATGCAATCTAAATGTTGAAGATTATCATTTTTCAAACGCCGAAAAAATGACCGTAAAGTTTAGACTTTTTGTGCTTATATTTTGGTCACTGTTTCTGGCCATCAAATCAAATGATTTACTGGCGGAAAAGGCAGCCTTCATGGAGGCGGGAATGGACATTTCCGCCGACCCGTGCGAGGACTTCTGGACGTTTGCCACTGGAAAAATCGATAAAAAGAAGCTGGCGGACCAACATTTGCTGGAGGCTGATGCTGTTTTGGCGGCTAGCAACCGGAGCAAGGTAAGATTTTGGTGAATAATCAATCAGACATACATACCATAAATGACACTATACAGGGTGCGCCAATAAAATCTGGACTAATATTTTTGCTTGCCCTGCGGGCTGTAACAGTACGAGAACAAAGTGGGCGATTGTGGACACGTGTAATACGTCCAAGAAGCTATCTTTAAAGTTTCAGACAAAATAATCGTCTACGACACTTGTTTTGCCATTATAAGTGCTTACAACTAAGGCGCCTGAAACACGGACCCCAAATTGGTCAAAAAATGGTTGCGCTATTTTTACCGTTTTATGCTATGGGCTGAAATTTACTTTTTCTGATAGAGCTCTGGTCGGTTTTCATACACTGAAATTGATTTTGCCTCATTATGACAATTAGGCTTTTTACAGCTCGCCAAAGTTGGCTTAAAAACGGGCCCTTTTTCCCGCAAACTTCCGTTAAATCAAAGATTTTTATGTAGAAGTTTCCCTGTGTGATTCCAAACATGTTAAGCACCAGAACTACTTTTGCAAGGATAACCAGAGTCAGCCTAGTCGCCTTTCAAGAAGGATTTTTCTACCTGCTGCCTCTGGGGATGAAATAGTGGCTGTAGGGGCATAATTTACTATATCCTCGCTATTCGAGTGAGCTTGGACTAGATATTTCTAAAAGTGATTTGGCTACATCAGCTTGTATCCAGTATACAACTCTATGTTGATTTTTACGCTCAAGGCCTTTCATACTTGTTGCAAACTGCCAAAACGTTTCAAGTTCCGAATGGCCGTGCCTTGAATTCCCCCCCCCCCATGCACTTTTATTTATGCAAAAACGGTCCCCTTGTATGTGCGGATTTTCTTTTCACTATAACAATTGGCTATGTATACACTCTGTAATCACGGAATTTTGGAGAAAAACGAGCTATAATCTGGCGTTGAGGTCCTTAAAAACACAAAAATCCAAATTTTTGGGTATTTTTTTGTTTCCGCCACCAGCGCCGCCAGATCGGCCGCCAACCCTGGTTCCGTAGGCTGTTGCAAAGAGAACAGCACGTACTTTATATACAATAAATTTGAAGAACGTCAGTGACTATTAGCAGAAATAATGGAAGAATTAATATCCCAGTCATCATCTGGAAAAAAAATTTCTGCACCTCCAAAAAGTTTCGTTTATTTTTTCGGTCTTGCAATAGGCATCGACCTGATCATTACCGTTGCTGTATAGCACGTTTGTTACCCTTCCTAAAAGAGCTAAAAGTTTCCGTTCTAAGGCCATCCGAAAAAGGCTATATGGCATTTAGTTTTGTCCAGATTTTATTGGCGCACCCTGTATATCCACAGGACGGCCAGTCTCTTCAAGAAATCAATTTTACAGGTTGGGGCATCTTTGTGGATTACTGTAGATGGCACTTACCTATGCATAACATATTTAGTATCAAACAAAATGGGGTTGTCCAAGGATTCAGGGAAAAAAAAGAATTTTACGGTTTGGCCAAAAACTAAAGAAGTTATAGCCAATTCAAATCGGGCCACAAAGATGCCCCACGCTGTAAAACTTTCTGTGACCGCTTTCCACATTTCTTGTCCTCCCTTGGCAGAAAAGAGTGTTGCACGTCAAACTGAGGAGTCCAGCAAATGGAATAGACACTTTGCTGTCGGTTTTTTACACTTCGTCTTGAGTTCACAGAGAAGACAGAGAAAAGATTTCGACACTTGCGTCGAAGAAAAATCATACTTTTCGGTTTCCCCAATCGTACTCTTCCTCAATCGTCTTTTTCCCCCAACCGTCCAACTTCAGGCAAATTTACCCAATTTTCCAGAGCATTGCCGTTGCCCAGGTACGAAAGATCTACGAAGACTGCCAATCAAATCCAAAGTCCTGCCTATTTCTTCGTGGGTTCCTAAAGGCCATTGGCCCGCCGAAAATCGTCCCCGACTACTCCAAATGCTCGTACATGATAATGGAAGGTTTTCCGATTTACTACATGAAAATGTTCTACGATTATCATGGGAGTGTGAAGAGGACGGCGGCCAAGTTCAGAGAGGACCTGAAGGAGCTGATGAAGACGATCCGCAGCGAGTTGGTGCATGGAAACATTTATGATGACAATGCCAAAAAGATGATGGTGGATATACTGGCTCGAAACACTTTTCATTTAGTTGATCACACATGGCTTGAGGACGCCGAATTCGACCGGTGGCTTGGCAATACCACCAAATTGATTTTTTTGGCCCGAGACCCGGAAAAGACTGAATTGAGTGGATGGATAGAGGTAGATGACCTTATATTTTATGGATAACTTTTTTTAGTTCGATGCTGCTCATTCGTGGCAGTCATTAGCGAACGTGTTCAGTTTCCGTGTCTTGACCTCTCCGTATTATGAGCCCGATTTCTCAGCAGTGTTGCGGTTTTCCGGAGGTGTTTATGTCGCTGGTCATGAACTGGGACACAATTTTGGTGAGTAGCGGCCTCGGATCATAGGGATCCGAGAGAGTAAAACTTGAGCACAACAAACTGTCGTGTACAACAACACGTTAAACTGAGGAGTCCGGTGACCGGAATAGACCCTTGGCTATCGGTTTTTCACACATTGTCTTGATTTCACAGAGAAGTCAGAGATAAAACGCGCAAAACGTACCCTTTCGCCCCAAGAATTCCCCATTTCTTTCCCGACAAAAGGTTTCTTGTCTCTTTTATCTTGGCCAATTGTCAATCCATTATAGCTTGTCTTAGTTTGACGTGAAACGTGTCTCTATCGAACAATTTCGAAGATCCCGGAATTCAACTTTAGGCCCAAGTGAACTCCTGTTATAACTTTAGCGACGTGATCGGCAAATATAGTCGAATATCTTGACCGTGCCAGCTGAAAGAACGCATCAAAAAGTTTCAGATTCCCACTTAAAACTGAAGGGCCGTGGCGCGAAAACTCATTCTGCTGTTCTCAAATGCCTTCACCGCTTTTACTCATCTCAATGCAATCCGAAGAATCCCAAAATTTGCATTGATCCCAAACGCAACATTAATGAGAACTTTGCCGACTATTTTGGCGTTCGTATGGCCTACCTCGCGTACAAGCGGATGGTCAGCAGAGAGGGAGTCCAAAATCGACCGCGTGGGAAACAGCTCGACCAATTTTCCGACGATCAACTGTTCTTCATCAATCTGGCGCAGACGATGGCGCGTTTGCCGGACTGGAAGATTCACGATCCCAGGACAGACGATCATTCGCCTGCCAGTGTCCGTATTTGGGGCTCGTTGGCCGGGTTGAAGGCGTTTTCGAACGCCTTTGGTTGCAAGGCTGGAAGTAACTACCATAAAGTCGATTATTGCAAATTGTACCGCGATGCGGTTGAGCCGGATTATAAGCTGAGCGACAATTAGACGAATAAACCTTGAAGCATTTGTTGGTACAATCGTGAAATCTATTAGGACTATTAAACATATTATAGGGTAGTTCGTAAGGGGTAAGATACGATGATCTCCTAGAAAAGGGATCGCGAAACACGTACAAATGATAGATTTATCCAACCAAACGATTCAACTACGAGAAATACAAGCAAGAGTAAATAAGTCAACAATAAAACCAAGTCCTATCCTATTACTCCATATATGAACTTAGTCCTCAAGCCTTCTTCCTGGATTCCATCGTAGTTGCTACAGAATGCCAATAAGTATTTCCGTGGTGGGACCATTTGCAGGTATTCGTGCGGTTTGTTCTTGAGATTCAACTGGCTTCAAGAGGGTTGACGGGCTTCAAAGGTGTTTGAACTCGTGATTGTTTGTCGTGGTGTTGGTCTGGGTCCTGCTATCTAGATTATATGTCACCCCGAACTGTTGTCGACCCGAAAATTCGGGACGCATTGTAAGCAAAATAGGTCATCTGAGCATCAAAGATGGCGACAAAATTTTAGTCGTCATAAATTTTTGGGGCGATCTGGATTCGCATTGCCCGTTGTTGTACAGGGTGTTCCTAGAATTATGGAAAAAACTATTCATTAATAACTTTGTGCTCGATGGTCCAATCCAAAAATTTTTTTTGCATTTTACAGGAAAACCTTTGAGTTTTTAGAATCAAGAAAAAAAATTTTTTATTGATCGGCGGAGACTCCGGTAATCCTCCTTGAATTCGGCGGAGCGCTTTTTTCACAAACGAGGCTGCAAATTGTTGTATGTGTGAAGTAAATGGGCGGGAGAGGATTCAATAGATACAATATGACATCTGTTTCAATTTTTTTCATTCGGCGGAGACATTTTTTAACCTCGGCGCACGATTTTTCTTCGACTTTTGAGAGTCAAAATTGGCTAAAACCAAAACGTAGGTGTTCTTGGTGGCATGGCGCCTAAATACGACTTGTTACGCCTTCGGCCCACTGGGAGAATAAAAAAAGCAATTCGGCGGAGAAATCGGCGGAGAAAAAAATGAACCCATTTTATAACAATTTTTTGTTTTGTTCTAAAAAATCTTATTCCACATCATTTGGTTTAAACACAAGATGAATTCTAAAATTCTTGAGTCATCGGGGAATTGATAATCTCGAAAATGAAAAACGCAATGTAAACCGAAATGTTGTCATTATTGTAAAAATGGGCTCACGTCTTGCCGCCTTTCTGCTGTTAGTATTCGTCTACCTCGTAAATGGAAATGATGATATTCTGGAGCAAAAAGGTCGATTCATGGAGGCCGGAATGGACCCGACTGTTGATCCGTGCGAAGACTTTTGGAGCTTTGCCAACGCAAATTTGAGTTCCGATGTGTACGATCAGTTAATTTCGAACAACGTCTTAAAGGCAATCGCTGGTCGTCCAGGAAAAAGAAGGGTAAAATTCGACGTTCAAACCGTTATCATTTTTCAGGGCATGGTTGTAGAAGCTCTGAGAAAAGAGTGGGATGCCTGCCTCTATAAAACACCCGAACAGTATCAGCGTGAATTGGCCCTCCAGCTGGAAAGCGACTCTCTTCAACGACAGGAAATCGAAGACCACATTAAAAGACTCTCCAACAAGTCCTACACTACGGATAACAGAATTTACATAACGCATTTGATTAATATCCACAGACTTCTGTTCAAATACGGATCGGACGAATTCGATGAGAATTTTGTCCATTTAGCATTATTTGATGAGATAGCGGTCGGATCTGGCAATCCACTCTTTGAATTCTACAAGATGGGCATAATCTTTGGCGAGGAAGTTGATATGAGGCAGGTTAGCGCGGCAGCACTAAACGGCTATGTTAAGGTGGGTTGAGTAAGATTATTATTTAGCGTGGCATTACTGAAAGCCTACATGAAGGTGAGTTGACTAACGAGGGATGTTTGATGACAGTAGAAATAGGCATGAAACGCGAACAATTTCGAGACAAAGATCTCGGCCGTTTCTGCAAAGCACATGCAAAAAATCTTGCATATGTGGGACTTCCCTTCTAACAAGGAAAGTACTTTTATGGGGGCTCCTACTTTTTGACGTGACATATAAAGCGGGAGATAAAAGCTTTTCTGAAAAATTTTTGAAATTTTTCTGTTTTTACTTTTTTTTAAAAAAAAAAGTAAATTTTCAGTTTACTTCAAGGAAAATGCAAAAAAAAGTCAATTTTGTTTCTGGCTTTCCGACTTCAAGGTCGGGAGTAGGACCGGATCTTACTCCCCTCTCGGAGTCGCCGAAAGTCAGAGCTTGTTTTTACTTTATTCCTCTTTTTGGCCCCGCACTGCAGGTTGCAAGGTTGATGCCAAGTCTTTCCCTGATGTGTCAAGTTTTTCTCTTCCGAAAAAATTATTTTTACGTTTGTGCGACGTTGTGAAGCTATGTTCTCCACGAAGATGGGCTGGAAAGTGGTCAAGTAAGTTAGCATTGGCAAGAGGAGATGTACGTTTTTCATTTGACATCAAAAGTTTCCATTTTATTTCAGAGAAAGGTACAAAATTTTTCCAATTCGTAAAGCTTCATGACCATGGATAATGTAAGTGAGATTATCTCCTTTTTTGCTACGACGTCAAGATTCTAAGTCGGGAAACGTTTAGAGGAGACCCCACTCTCATGTATATTCTCCATGTATGAAACCCCATAAATTTTGAGGAATAACGACGTAAAAGTTTCAAATACTATACTAACTTTCCAAAAGTATGTTATACTAAAGTAAAACCTATGCAAACTATCTTCAAGTTGTTGTAACAACGTTATTTGAGCCTTATTACGTTATTACCTCAGTTTAGAACGCATTCGTGGCAAAAATCCGGCAGATCTGAGCGGATTTCGATATTGTACATGACACCTAGAAATCGAAATTGGTGGCGTTTGATAGATAGAGTATATAACAAAACTAAAGTGAGGTGTCCTCTAGAACTCGCCAGCCTAGAACTGTTAACTCCAATAACGGAACAAAAAACGCGATAAGCGCACTTACATTATCCATGGTCATGAAGCTTTACGAATTGGAAAAAATTTGTACCTTTCTCTGAAATAAAAGGAAAATTTTTGGTGTCAAATGAAAAAAGTACATCTCCTCTTGCTAATGCTAACTTACTTGATCACTTTTCAGCCCATCTTCGTGGAGAAAATAGGTTCACAACTTCAAAAAAATCAAAACGTTTCTTCCGGGAGAGAGAAATTTGACACATCTGGAATTCCCGGGCGCAGCTCGCAAAAATAGTTTTGAAGAAAATAAATTGGCGTGCAGGTGAGTAAAAACGGCATCCTACTCACCAGCCAAAATGGGCGAGCCATTTTTGTTTCAACTTTGCGGATCGACCTTTTGGCGAGCCATTTTTGATCCAACTTTCCAAAAATTTGTCGTTCGGAGTAAGAATGTTTTTTGACTCTCCGAAATCGAAAATTTCCGGAAATTTTTCAAAATTTACTTTTTTTTTAAAAAAAAAGTAAAAACAGAAAAATTAAAAAAATTTTTCAGAAAATCTTTTATCTCCCGCTTTATATCTCAAAAAGTCAGAAAAAATGTGCTGATCAAGGATATATAAGTCTTAGCTGCCCATTTTAGGTTTTTAGGGGTGAAAACTCAATCGGAAGTTGACTTAAAGTCCTATATAAACCCCTTTTCGCTTATTTTTTCACAGGTTGACAATTTTTATTTTGGCTTAAAATGATGTTTATTGAGTTTCTAAGACGTAATAAATCAGTCTTGGCCCAAAAATTTATTTTTCCGACCTTCAACTTCAAAAAAAGTTGATTCGGCTCAAAAGGGAAATCGAACCCGTGCGGCATCCCCCCTCTTGATTCCCAGACTACGGCACTAACCACTCGGCCACACCGCTCTCTTCCGAAGGAAGAGATCGAGTGCTCTTTTTATCGTTTCGAATGTCTGCCTTTTGTAGGGAAATTAAACCAGTTTTTGGGCATTTTCACCCTTAAAAACCTAAAATGGGCAGCTAAGATTTATATATCCTTGATCAGCGCATTTTTTCTGATTTTTTGAGATATGTCCCGTCAAAAAGTAGGAGCCCCCATAAAAGTACTTTCCTTGTAAGATTACATAACTTTGCGTAGTTGCCAAACCGATCGATTTTTTCACGGGCTGATTTGGGTAAAATTTTATAGACACTGCGTACTGTAACATCCTCAAATGACATTAGCAGTTTTTCGATATCTCGTATCAAACCTTAGATACTGCAATTTTCCATGGGGTAGGAGTACTTTCGTAACGGAATGTACCAATTTTCAGCCGGAAGATAGGATCAGTTCCATGGACTTGTACATTCACCGATTGAATCAAACTTTGCGCAGCCCGGAACCTGACTGTTTCAGCCTAGTCCTTAGAAATTATCCAATGGTTTTAAAAAAAATGCTTCACGATTACTATGGTCAAGATTATGTGGACCAGGCTTCTTCCCAATTCCGTGACGATCTGGACACAATTTCAAAAACGGCTGAAACTTTCATCGCAAATAGCAATGTTCTGAGCGACGAAACGAAGGAAAAAATGCTGGAAAATTTGAGGAATAATACGTTCTACCTGATTGACCATCCAATCTTTGAAGACGGGACATTCGAACGGTTCTTTGGCAATGTTACGTTTCACAAACCAGCGCAGAACCGGAACATCAACAACATCTTGCCATTGATTCGTGCAGCGGCCGGAAAATCGCCGACTTTCTACTTTACCGCCGATTGGGTAGCGGTAGGCCTTGCTGTCTTCTCAAATTAGCCAGCGAAGTGTTCAAAATTGAAATTTTTCTTGTGCCGAATTTTGACTTGTCTTGATATATCAGCCTGTCGGGAAAATGCCGCCAAGAAAATGAAGCGTGTCGCGGCGAAATCGGATCGGTTTTCACTTCAACGACAGGATTGGCGCAGCGACGGGGCGCTCTCTATTTTTCCGACAGACTCTTACTAGACCGTTCGTCAAGTTGCTGGTGCGATTTTTGCGATATTTTGCACAGCATACGTCGCAAAAATAACTCCAGCGGCTTGCGAACTGAAAAAATCGACGCTTTTTTCAGTGTCGATTTTCTCAACGTTCGTGAGAATTCTGGTGACAAAATTTATATATTCTGAGAGGAAATTGTTCACCTTACATACAGAGTTTTCTTTCTGCCGGTATATCTTCTGATTAGCCGTACAGGTATAAAAACGTAATGACTACTTTTTATTTTTTCATTTTTTGGACACCGATCAGCGGCGAAAAACGTTTGAAACGCTGTGTGTTACCATAAAATCTTTCATTTCTTTATAACCTGTTCCAAGAGGGCACCTGGGGGAAACGTTGGAATTACCTTTAAAAAGAATTGCAGGACAATGCATACCACGCTTGGCATACTCACCGAAGCTTCTTTGATTGGCCTGTTTTTGTATTCCCGGTGTATCATCCTTCCTATCCGACAGCTCTTCGGTTCTCTGGTGCAGGGTTTATTGGTGCGCATGAATTGGGCCATGATTTCAGTAAGGCCTAACATTAACGACCAAACGTAACGACTTTAGCAAAGATTGAGGCGAACGGCGAGTTCAGCGAGCTTGCTGACTGCCTTTCCGAGTACTACGCCCACAAGTGCAATCCCGAGCGACCAGAGATTTGCACTGACCCCAAAACCAGCATCGGCGAGAATTTCGCCGATTACTTTGGGATTCGTATGGCCTATTATGCTTACAAACGAGCTGCCGCCGGACATGGAGTTGGGAGAAGGCCGCGCGGGACGATTTTGGACCGCCTCTCTGATGATCAGCTGTTTTTTGTTAACTTTGCACAAACTACGGCTAATTTCAATGAGTGGAATCAAGAGTCGGCCGAAAAGGTACATTCCCCGGCTCCAGTCCGGCTTTTGGGTGCTCTCTCCGGATTTAGGGCATTTTCCAATGCTTTTAATTGCCCGGCTGGGAGTAAATTCCATCGCAAAGAGCATTGCAAATTATATGATACGGATGTCAAGCCCAATCATAATTTGACTTACAATTGAAAATAAAACTCTGTGTTAATGTATGCATATGTACGACTATTTTGCTCTTGAGTCAATATATCTAAAAACTACAATAAGTGGTCGATCTAACCGTAATCAATAAGTGTTTCCGTGGTGGGACCATTTGCGGGTATCCGTGCGGTTTCTTTTTGAGATTCAACTGGCTTCAAGAGGGTTGACGGGCTTCAAAGCTGTTTAAACTCATGATTATTTGTGATGGTGTTCGTCTGGGTCCTAGATTATATGTCAGGGCTTTTATATGTCAAAATAACTTAGGGTAAAGAGCACTAACGTTCGTAATGGCTAACATTTGCAAAGTGAAATTATGGCACGGCTTTGCCAAGTCCGCCGATCCTTCGCCGAACGTCCGTAGAGCATCCAACGGCTTTGCCAGGCCTCGTAATCACTTCCTACAACCTTTTTTTGGGCATCTATCTACCCTACACCCCGTATCGATCGATTTAATGTTGACCCGAACTGTTGTCGGCCCGAAAACTCGGGACGCATTGTACGCAAGGTAGGTCATCTGAGCATCAAAGATGTCGACAAAATTTGGGTCCACCATAATTTTAATGCCTACTAAAGCCATTTTTTAATTAACGATATTTTGTTTTGTTCTAAGAAATCTTATTCCACATCACTTGGTTTAAACACGCATGAAGATGAATTCTAGAACGCTTGAGTCATCGGGAAATTCATAATCTCGAAAATGAAAAACGCAATGTAAACCGAAATGTTGTCATTATTGTAAAAATGGGCTCACGTCCTGCCGCTGTTCTGCTGTTAATATTCGTCTACCTCGCAAGTGGAAATGATGATATTCTGGAGCAAAAAGGTCGATTTATGGAGGCCGGAATGGACCCGACTGTTGATCCGTGCGAAGACTTTTGGAGCTTTGCCAACGCAAATTTGAGTTCCGATGTGTACGTCGAATTCATTGCGAACAGCCTCGTAAAGACTCTGGTTGTTCGTCCAGGAAACAGAAGGGTAAAATTGGACGTTCAAACGATTTTCCGTCCCTGTCTGTGACATGGTTGAAATGAATATTCGGGAGATGTTAAGCCCATTTTCTTGAGGCGCTCTTGCATTTGGTAATCAAAAAATCCTGAAAATTCAACAGTCCGCAGACAGTTTCAACGTATGACCATACGGTGTTCTGGCTCAGTCATGGACTTGCTTCCATAATTGGGCCCGACTAGACATGGCTCGTCGGCCGGCCCGGGCCTAAAATCTCGGCCCGGCCCGTCGGCCTGAAGGGTTCCGGCCGGCCCGGGCCGTTTCAAATTTTCCGTCGGTCCGGCCCGGCCCGTTCTAAATTTGCTTTGGCCCGGCCCGGGCCGGCCCATTGAAACGAATGTCTCCCCAAATCTAACTCCTTATGACCAAATTTTTTTCTATCATCATGTAAATGGATAAATACTGTGTTCCATAACTATCTAAAAACAAAAATACCTTTAAAAAACCAATTGTGTCTTCAAACCCAATTTTCGCTTCGAGATTCTGGATTTTAACTATTCCGGGCCGGGCCGAGCCGGGCCGAAACGCCGGCCCGGCCGACCTGAAATCCGGCCGACGAGCCGAAATTTCGGCCCGCGGCCCAGGCCGGCCCGGCCCGGGAGCCATGTATAGCGAGAGGTTTTCCGCCCACAGCCCAAAATTGGGAAGTTAATTTTTACATATCCTGAATCAGAAAAGCTTTGCGATATCTTTTTGTCTCGACTTGTAATCCATACCCCGTATCAGTACTTTCCTTGTGAATATTTTTTTTTGGTTTGCCAAAGAAAGACTAAAAGAATACACCCCGGTCCTTCCTTGAATATATTATGTTTGGCAAACCGAAAAAAATTACTTTAAGAAAGAACTTCTTGCTCCTCGCTTATCATATCATCCCTCCTCAAGGTGCCCTCTTCGCCCAGGTGCCCTCTTCGGATCCAATTTTTTTTAAAAAACTTCAAACAGTCTGAAAGATCCCATCAGTAATAGTCTTGGTGTCTTCTAAACTACATATGTTGTCATCATTCTTCAGGACAGGGTTGTGGAAGCTCTCAGGAAAGAGTGGGATGCCTGCCGCGCTAAACCCGAACAGTATCAGCGTGAATTGGACCTTCAGGTGGAAAGCGACTCTCTTCAACGACAGGAAATCGAAGACCAAATTAAAAGACTCTCCAACAAGTCCTACACTACGGATAACAAAATTTACGGAAAGCATTTGATTAATATCCACAGAGTTCTGTTCAAATACGGATCTAACGAATTTTACGAGAATTTTGCCCATTTAGCAGCTTTTGATGTGATAGCGCTCGGATCTGGCGATCCATTCTTCGAACTCCACGATATGCGCATAATTTTTGGCGAGGAAATTGATATGAGGCAGATTAGTCTGGCAATGCTGAATGGTTACATGAAGGTGAGTTGGTTAACAAGGGCAATCTGAGCGTCGCACTAAAGGGTACTTCCCTTGTAAGGTTAGCTTTGCTGAAAATCGTTTGAACATGGTGCCCAAACAAGAAGTTTGCGTTGCAGAGAATAAAATTTTACGAGACCTATATAATGTCAATTTTCAGCCGGAAGATAGGATCCGTTCCATGGACTTGTACATTCACCGATTGAACCAAACTTTGCACAACTCGGAAAGTGGCTGTTTCGGCCTACTTCTTAACAATTATCCAATGTTTATAAAAAAAATGCTCCACGATTACTATGGTCAGGCTTATGTGGACCAAACCTCTTCCCAATTTCGTGACGATCTGGACACAATTTCCAAAACGGCTGAAACTTTCATCGCAAATGGCAATGTTCTGAGCGAAGAAACGAAGGAAAAAATGCTGGAAAATTTGAAGAATAATACTTTCTACCTGATTGACCATCCAATCTTTGAAGACGGGACATTCGAACGGTTCTTTGGCAATGTTACCTTTCACAAACCAGCGCAGAACCGGAACATCAACAACATCTTGCCATTGATTCGTGCAGCGGCCGGAAAATCGCCGACTTTCTACTTTACCTCCGATTATGAAGTAGGCCTTGCTGTCTTTTCAAATTGGCAAGCGAAGTGTTAAAAATTGAAATTTTTCTTGACAATGAGGCCAATTTTGGCTCGTCTTGATATAGTACAGGGTGTCCAGAGAAATTCCGCGGAAAGTTTTTGTCGATTTCTCGGCGCTCAGCTAAGATGTCCAAGAAATTCTTTTTGCACTAGAAAGAAGAAGATGGGCGGTTTTTTGTCTAAAAAACTTTTTTTGTCCGCCAACGCGGAACACACTATATTCGGCGCAGACTTTTGGTCGCTTTTTTGGTCATCACACCAATGTTAAAAGCTTTAATACGATTTCTGATGGCTAGAAAGAGAATTCTAGCTAATTTTTATGGTTATCAAACATTCGGCGAAGGTATGGCGGACGCTTCGCATATCGGCGGAGACCACAACTCAGCTTCGGACAGGAGATGTCCCGAAAATTATCTGGCTAGCATTCCCTTCTGATTCCATATGCCCTCCAAAATTTTGTGGCCTAGCCTTCGCAGAAGTTTAGCCATCAGCAAACCACTTGGTGCACCAGAAAAGACCAAAATATTTTTTGTTTAAATTTCTCTTTTCTCCGCTGTTTCAAATCTCCGCACGGTGCTATCGGCTTTACCGCTGTTGACGCGACTGCAGGGTGCAGTGTAGTTACAAAAGTTTTCTCTTTGCAGCCTTAAATTACATAATGTGTTGGAATTACCTTTCAAAAATTTGCAGGACAATGCATACCACGCTAGTAGAACTCATCGCAACTTCTTTCATTGGCCTTTTCTTGTATTCCCGGCGTATCATCCGTCCTATCCGGCAGCTCTTCGGTTCTCTGGTACAGGATTTATCGGTACCCATGAATTGGGCCATGACTTCGGTAAGGCGTGACATCAACGACCAAACTTAACGGCTTTAGAAGAGATTGAGGCAAACGGCGAGTTCAGCGCGCTTGCTGACTGCCTTTCCGAGTACTACGCCCACAACTGCAATCCCGAACAACCAGAGATTTGCACTGACCCCAAAAACAGCATCGGCGAGAATTTCGCGGATTACTTTGGAATTCGCATGGCCTATTATGCTTACAAGCGAGCTGCCGCTGAACAAGGAGTTGGGAGAAGGCCGCGCGGGACGATTTTGGACCGCCTCTCTGATGATCAGCTGTTTTTTGTCAACTTTGCACAAACTATGGCTGCATTCAGTAGGTGGAATCAAAAGTCGGCCGAAAAGGTACATTCCCCGGCCCCAGTCCGGCTTTTGGGTGCTCTCTCCGGATTTAGAGCGTTTTCGAATGCTTTCAATTGCCCGGCAGGGAGTAAATTCCATCGCAAAGAGCATTGCAAATTATATGATACGGATGTCAAGCCCAATCTTAATTTGACTTACAATTGAGAATAAATCTATATGTTAATGCATACGTCTGTTTTCAATTGAGGCCAGGGCCGCCGCAACAGCATTCAACCCGTCGCCGCGTCCCGACACGACACCATTCCGCCGCAATCGACCGAAACGTGGATTTGGGAAAGGAGGATCATTTTGTAAATCGCAACCTGAGCGAGCGGTTGGCCGTCCGAGCGTGTGGACAATTGGTGAAGAAGCAGCGGAGTGAGCGGTCGGCTGCTGGCGCTACAGGATATTGGAATCAATTGTGCGAATTTCGGCCATCATGTGTTGTGATATTTGGAATGATAAACGAGGTATTTCTAATTGTCGGGGTTTGTGAGAACCCGACTTGCCCAACGAACTAGTTTTGACCATTAAGTCTTGAAAAACCCCCGCTTTAACTGTTATTTCATCGCTATCCCATTTACAGTTAGATTATAATCTGGCTGAAACTTCCCATTGTACAAATTACAGCCATCCTCTATCCGGTAAGAACTGCCAGCGCGGCAGTTAAAGGCATTTGTAAACGCCTTCATTCCAGCCAGCCCCGCCCAAAGCCGCAGGGGGCCAGGTGAGTGGGTGTCGGAAGCCCCGTGCCCTTTCCACGTTCCAAACCGAGCCATGGTTTGAGCCATATTGACGAAGAATAGCTGATCATTTGTAAATTTGTTCAGGATCCTTCTTTCCACGCGATGAGTTGTCTTTTTCAACGTCTTCCGCTTGTATGCAAGGTAGGCCATTCGAACTGCAAAATAGTCGGCAAAATTCTCAAGCATGTTGTATTTGGGATCAACGCAGACTGTAGAGTCGTTTGGGTCGCAATGGCCACCATACAGTTCATAGAGACAGTCGTAGATTTTGGAGTATGTCGGGTCTTTGGCTCCGATTCCCTTCAGTTCGTCTTCTGGAAATAGGCTTCTGATTCATTGGCAAATTGAGTGCTTTTGAAATCGGAGTTTTTTCGCCTGGAGAGGGAGGCATTTTTTGCTACATTTTTTGATGCTTCCCGGATGCAAAATGGTACGGTTTTTGCCATTGGATCAGGTCCTCAACTGTAGCATTTTTAAATCATTGTGACCTCAAAAAAGTGTGCGCTTTGCATAGCTCTTTCTTCTCACAAAGGACAGAAAGGTCCGCCGCGGAAAGGTCCGCTAAAAAAAAGGAAAGAGGAGGGCGGGGAGGCGATGGAGGTTTCCGATGGAGCTGATTTCGAATATCGTATCCATTTTTTCTGAATTTTACAATTTTGCTTAAGCAGCAGTGTTAATTAGTAATTTAAAAAAAAAAATTTTTTTTGAGTAATGGATTTAGGTGTTTTCGATGGCGCTGATTTTGAAAATTGTACCCATTTCTTCTGGATTTTTGCCTATCTTCCTCAATTCTTTAAAATGGATGTTTTAATTGGTAAAAACCTGGGATTGTATGATATTGTAAGACAAAGTATGACGCTTTTTTCGTCTTTATAGCGAAAATGACACTACTGCTTAAGCAAAATTGTAAAATTCAGAAAGATTGATATGATTTTCGAAATCAGCGCCATCGAAAACCTCCCCACCCTTCCCCCCGCCCTCCTCTGTCCTTTCTTTTAGCGGACCTTTCCGTACTCAATCCTTTCTTCTGAAACTCACCAAATCCATGGCCAATTTCATGAGCGGCCACAAATATCGACCCTGAGAATCTGAGGACCTCCGGGAACTCCGGATGATAATTCGGGAATAAGAAAAGAAGCCAGTCGAAGAAATTGCGATTGGTCGGGGTATGAAGGGCGTTATACTGAAAAAATTTGCGAACTGCGATAATACTATGCATATATACTTACGCCAGTACGCGGAATCCGGTAAAATCCGCTCTCTCTGCCATGTGCTGCACGAAACATGGGCTTGAAGTTGTTGCGAAACCGATTCAAATACGGATAGTCAAACTCGACGTTTCCAAAGTGTTTTTCGAACATCGAATCATCATTTATCGGATGATCAAGAGTGTAGAACGTGTTATTCTTTAGTAAGTCCAGCATGACTTTTCTAATTCCATCGCTAATCATGTTGCCAAATTTGAATTCCGCTTCGATTGTTTTGGCCAGCTCTTTTATATCAGATAAAAAAAGTCCGGCGACATTTTTTACGTACTTCTCGCCGTAGTAATCATGTACCATTTTCTGGTAGTATGTCGAGAATACGGCACGAATGTAGGCCTCGCATGAGACGTATCTGGGAAGTAAGGTGGTGTTGGTTACAAGTGCAAGGAGGAACTCGAGACGCCTTCGTCTGTACTTTAACTGAAAGTATTTACCTGTAAGAAGAAAAGAGAAGCCCTGCACCATGTACTACGTCCAAGGCGCTCGTTAATTTAAAGGATTCTCAAAAAAACTGCAGAATTTTAATTTTTACTCTGACTTACTACGGTGCCAAAATTAGCGATAGTATAGCTTCATTTTCCGAAAACACAAAAAATTCTACACTAATTACTATCTTCACCAGTTGTTTTTATCAAAAACGGAATTTTTGTTTTCAGCGTATAAAATGGCAACCAACTTGTTCACAAGGCCCGGGCGCAGCCCACAAAAACCGTTTATAGGGAAAGTAAATTTGTTTTTTATTTCGTAAAGTGAACAACCTACCGGTTGCATTGTGACGCCGACATAATTGAGGCCACTAATATCCACGTCGTCATCAAAAACTTTGTTCAAAAAATCCTTGGCTAGAGACGCATTGTGTGCCAATAGGTTTACCGTGGACGGTGCTAGGGATTTGTGAACGCGTCCGGACACTATTCCCGCCACACTGCTAAACGCCTCTCCCCCAGTAAACTTGTACAACAGACGGAAGACGTCGCCGGTCAACTCAATAAACGTCTGACTGTTTTCCAACGAGCTTGAATTCAGTCTTGCTCTGAAAGCATTGACTTCTTTTTCCCAAGGTTTTTCTGTACGGGTCTTGTTGTTGAGCTCGTTAAGGAAACGATCAATTCCTTTGGATTGGCAGGCGGAAAAATGATTGCGGACCTTTTTGATGACGGGGATCTGAAATCGATGATTTATGGTGACCGTAAAAGCGGGGATTTAACCCGCAAGGGTTCTAAAAATCGGCGTACATCATTTTGACTTGTCTTGATATTGTCAAAAAGGGGACCCACCTCTTTTTTGCTTGGCTTCTCCAGGACCTCCTTGGCGAGTCTCAGATACTCTCCAGTCAATCTTTGATAATCAATGTTTCCGTTCGCGTACTCCCAGAAGTTCTCGCACGGCTTGATGATCGTGTTCAGTCCGCGCTCCACATACTTGGCCTTTCTTTTTATAAACAAATCCTCATTGGGATCAGCATTTGCTAATAGAGTTGTCAAGCAAAACAGCAAGCACTTCAGAGCGAACTCCATGATCTTTTTTCAATAGGAATTCATATTGGCTTACAATTGGACTTTTCAGTTTATGTGGGTCTCCTCCAATCACATTATACAATTTGATTAATTTCAGTTTTAAACTTAATTAAAAATTAAATTTAAATATGGTAAACAATATGTCATAGATCGTTGATTTATGTGCTCTTGAATTGAGCGGTGGTGGCTTAGGCGGTAGCGGCACTGACTAGCGTACCATCGGACTGGGTTCGAACCACCGCTCCGCCCCACCTCAGGCGCTTTCGAATGAGAGGAACAGGGACATGCTAGTGCCTGAGGACTGCGGCAAATCGGATCCTTGGCCAACACTCTATCTTCGCAACAACCTGATCACCCAAGTGTATCGCAACGAATCTTCGGTCTTCAATTATGCAACACGTACTACGTAGCATATCATACGTCTATTCTCCTCAATACAATTTACTGAGTGACAAGCCTTATGTAACTAAAAAATTGCAGCCGTTCTGGAGAAGGACAGTCTCTATGTCGGCAGAACATCAACTCTTTTATTTGAGTCTGTTCTCGGAGCAGCGTGGAGCATTGCAAACACGTTTTCTCCTCCTTTCCCGTGGTGTTCCAGTGTATTCCCATTTCTTTGACTGTTTTGGAGATCACCAGGGCCGCCTTTAACTGGACCCGTAATCATATCATTAGAAACCATTACAACATTATCGATGTGGTTCTGGGATTCGTTAAAGAGCTCTTGGTCGATCCCCTCCTTGCCTATGTCCATTATTACATTTTGTACGAAAATAGGTTCTATTAAGACTGCTAATAAACTAATTTTAAAATTCGAAACATTTCATTTTGGTATACTCCCGGACATAAATTTCTGACCACCCATCATACACCTATTCTCCTGAATACAATTTACTGAGTGATAAGAGTAAACGAAACCCTTCAATTTTCAGTAAGGTTATAATTTGGTTGAATTTTTCCGTTATATAAATGACAGCCATCTTCAACTCGATAGGTACTGCCTGCAGCGCAGTTGAACGCATTGGTAAACGCCGGGAGCGCGGATAACGCGGCCCAAACTCTGACCGGGCCTACCGAATGCATATTGGACTGAGAGTACCATTCCCAAATACCAAAACTGCCCATTGTCTGTGCCATGTGGATGAAGAACAGTTGGTCGTTGGAGTAGCGGGCGAGAATCGCCCCTCCTGGGCGACTTTTTCCTTCTTTCTTCGACTTCCGTTTGTAGGCCAGATAGACCATACGAACCGCGAAATAGTCCGCAAAATTCTCGTTGATGGTGTTTTTGGGGTCAGTGCAAGAGTTCGCGTCCTTTGGATTGCATTGATTCGCGTACAGCTCGTAAAGGCAATCGTGTATTTGGGAGTATGTGGGATCTTTGGCTCCTATCTCGTTCATCTCCCTATCTGAAAAAGGGTGATTTGATATTGACAAGAAAATTGCCCCTTACCAAAGCCATGACCAAGCTCATGCGCGGCGATGAATAACAATCCCGAAAACCGGAGAACCGCTGGGAACTCGCGATGGTGTTCGGGGAACAGAAAGTCGAAAAAGTCGAAGAAATTGCGGTTTGCCCAAGAATGTTGTGCACCAGACTGAAACGAGGAAAACAATGTGTGCGCTGACAAAATTGCAAAACGCCTTTTCGAGTTCATGCAGACTGCGGAGTTGCAGAAAATTCTGTGGGAACATTCCCGTTTTATTTAAAAATATATTTTGTATTTTGTATTTTTGTAAGAAGATCGAATGATTTTATAAGATTAGTCAGTCTGGATAAACGAATTTATCGATTGGTGTTGTTTAAAGTATAGGGATTTTATTCCCTGAATATATCTAAGTATTCAATTGGATATTGGAACCTTGGGCATCAACGGACTGTGTGGTAAGGTAAACCTTTGAATTCCCTTATATGGTGCATGGGAGCCGAACCAAATGTCGTCAATCAGCTATAAGATACCTCAAGGTACTCAGAGAAGATCCGATAGAAGTAGTTGAATGCGAATGGAAGCCATATTCAATCATAGAAGCCGAATATGTCGACCTCGGAAAGAAAGTTCACATCAGCCGCAAAGTGCAAACTGGAGAAGTGCTCCGAATGGAAAATTTGGAGTTGAAAATTGAGATTATGGCAGTCCAAAACTCTCCTCCAAGAAGATTGAAGATGGTCAAAATGCCAAATGAAACTTTGGTGCTTAATTCATATCCAAATCTACGATGTAAAGAGAACAAATTGACTCAAGAATGCATAACCCCATTGGATGACTGCAAATGTCAATATACTGGTCACAAACAGAAGTGTGTATGCCCTCCAGCAATACCAAGTAGAAGAGAAATGAAGCCACTGAACGAATCCAATCTAGAAATGAGAAATGGAAGAATATATAAAGAGGAAGGAGACATCACACTAATGATGACGACTCGAGGAACTCTGCACATAGAAGCCTATGGTCACCAAGATAAATGCAAATTCGAAGTCAACGGAAACCGAGTAGAATGTCAGTCAGAAAAGCACGAAGTCATGGGACACCTCCGATGCAACTCCACTACTTTCTACATGACATGTGAAGCCAACAAAAAGACGGTCAAAACGATGGATGTCAACGGAAAAGAAAATGTGAGGCCTCATGTGGAATAGGAAGCCAACAGGTAGTGATCGAGGGACAAATTGATAGTCCGCCATTCCTCACCAAATATGTTAGTGCTTCTGCGAACACTCTGGTCCCAAATGGCTTCAAGCCGTTGATCATTGTAATTATTCTCATTTGTCTGTTAATCGTGGCTATTTTTATTTTAAGAGTCAATCCAAACGCAGTCCTCATGGACTGCATCTTTAAAATATTTAAATCAAAAATTTTGTAATTGTAATCGTCCTCGTCGGGAGTGTGGGAACATTCCCGTTTTATTTAAAAATATATTTTGTATTTTGTATTTTTGTAAGAAGATCGAATGATTTTATAAGATTAGTCAGTCTGGATAAACGAATTTATCGATTGGTGTTGTTTAAAGTATAGGGATTTTATTCCCTGAATATATCTAAGTATTCAATTGGATATTGGAACCTTGGGCATCAACGGACTGTGTGGTAAGGTAAACCTTTGAATTCCCTTATAATTCCAAGGACTTTTTTTGCCGACTAGCAGGTGGGTCAAGGTCTTGACATTGCATGATACGCAAAAAAGCGTACGTCGCGCGAATGAAAATGCCTATTGCGCTCCCTTTTGGCATCCTGCCAAATTTTTGTCGCGCGTCGCCTAGTCGCAATGTCAAATGCATGCTCGCACCGTATGAACCCATGTCAAGACTTTTTCGCCCACCTAGTAATATCAATCGGAAAATAATGAGCACTTGAAAGCAGCGAAAATCGCATCGCCGCCGAGAAAGTGAATTGTGTCTCTGTCTCGACGAAATCCAAATTGTTTTCACTTCAGCGACGTGAAAGGTGCAGCGACGTGCGCGTTATTTTCCCGACAGATCCATAGCACTTTAGTGGCGTGCCTGATCTAGTGACAAAAACGTACCATTTTGCATCCAGGAAGTATCAAAAAGAGTAGCAAAATGCCTCCCTCTCCAACTAAAAAAACTCCGTTTTGAAAAGCGCGCCGTCAAAACGGAGTTTTTTTAGTTGGAAAGGGAGGTATTTCGCTACATTTCTTGATACTTCCTGGATGCAAAATGGTACGTTTTTTGTCACTAGATTAGGTACGCCACTGTAACAGAATAAGAAAAGAGAAGGTTCAGCGATCACTATTTTCCTAATAGACTGGTAATATTAAGAAAGACAAGACGATTCTAATACTACCATAGACATAGAACAAATGACTTGCATCAAGCCGCGGTGTCCAAAAGAACTCGTTCCCTCTTCCTTTCGCCGCTCGAATCATGGGCTTTGCGTTGTTCGCGAATTGGTTCAACAATGGATATTCAGTTGTCAGATTTCCGAAATACTTTTCAAACATTGAATCTTCGAAGATTGGATGGTCAATCAAATTAAACGTGTTGTTCCTCAACTTGTCCAGCAGCACTGTTCTCGTCTCGTCGTTGAGCATATTCCCGTGCTTAAATTCGGCTTCAACCGTTCGAATCAAGTCTCTGAGGTCGGCGCGAAACAAATCGCTGACCTTCTTGGCGTTGTCGGCCCCCATGTGGTCGTAGACCATCTTCTGAACGAAGATTGGAAACAATTCGCTCATGTAGGTCTCGCATGTGATGTATTTTGGTATGGTCGTCGCTGACACGTTGCTTACCATCTCCTTGAAAAGGTTCCAGATTCGCTGTCGCGTGGACACCTCCTGAAAAGGTAAAGTATTTACAGTGATGATCCCATGGCAAGCAACGTGTCATTTTGCATCCGAAAAGTATCAATGTGGCAAAATGTCTCCCTCTTCAAGTGAAGGAACTCCGACTTCAAAAGCGCGCCTTTCAAAACACTGTACAATCAAAAATTTAAGATGGTCGGGAAAGATCACGGACGTTTTGGGTCAACAAAAAATCCGTGGCGTAGGGCATGCGGGACCATAGAAAAGTAGTGGGAGATAATCACAAGACCTGATCAAACCGTCGGATGTTTGGCGAACACTTGGCGAAACTCCGGCGGAGACTTGGCGAAGGTGTAAAACATGGTCACGTTTTACTAAATTTTTGCAATTGCTAACTTTAATTTCCATTACCCTGAGCTAATGTCGTGTAGAAAGACCAAAATTCAATCCAAAAAAACGAGATCTGTAACTTTTATCTAGACATTGTAGGTGTAAGTACATATAAAATACCTCTAAATAAATCATAACCTATCTATCTATCGACCCGATAGATGGTGTTGTGCCTACAAATAAAGTCTTCTCCTAGCGTCCGCCATGCATACTACGACGAATCGAGGCGACCCGTGGTATTTTTGAGCTGGCAAAAAAAACCCTGCCAAATACCTCCCCTCCAAGTGAAAAGGCTCCAATTTGAAAGGCGTGCCGACTAACGGAGTTTTTCTATTATAGTTAGACAAGGAGGTATTTTGCCGCATTTTTTGTACTTCCCGGATCCAAAATGGGACATTTTTTTGCTGGACAAAACTTCACAAAGGTGTCCTCCATGCGAAAACGCAAGTTGCAATCAAACCTACCGAAGGAATAATCAATAGAACAGGTTCCCGATTACTGACGTCCACGTCTTCATCAAAAATTCTTGCTAAAAAGGTTTTTGCCACTGTCGTGTTTTCCACCTTTGAATTAACAGCCTCACGATACACGGGCGGAAAAACGATATTCGCTTGCGCGAGTCTGGTCAGCGACTCCATCGCCCCGTCGAGGCTATATTTGTGCTGCAGCCGAAGCATCTCGGTCATCATCTCCATGTAAGTGGCATTGTCACTGAGGCTGCTGTTCTGAAATCTTCTTTCCAGCAAGTTCATGTCTTTCTCCCAGGGCTTGTCTCTTTGAGTGGCAGTGTTGAGATCTCTGGTGAAACTGGCGAGTCCTTTGGAGCGACATTCGGCAAAATGGTTGCGGATTTTTTTGATGGAATTAATCTGAAAGAAAGGTTTGGAATGTCAGCAGTATTTTGCTACCGTGGCGGACCAGATCCAGTGGCAAAAAAGGTACCATTTTGCATCTGGGAAGTATCAAAAAATGTAGCAAAATACCTCCCTCTCCAAGTGAAAAAACTCCAATTTCAAAAGCGCGGCTATTTCTGCCAGGGAAAGAGCGCGGCCTTCAAAACGGGGCTTTTTTTAGTTGGAGATTACTACATTTTTCGATACTTCCCGGATGCAAAATAGTACGGGTTTTTCCACTGGATCAGGTACGTCTCTGTAAACTTTACATGATGAGGTGAGTAACAACGGTCAGGTTTGATAAAAAAAATCGGCGCAAAGACGGCTGAATATTTCGACTGCCCACTCCGGGAATTGACAATGCTTATGTAAGCAAAATTTTTAAAAAAAATTTAGCGTAGCACTTTAGCCACTCCTCTTGTTTGTACCCGTCTACCGCAGTGTCTGCATTTATGGCGTGGAGAGATCGTACAGTTACGGACCCCATCCAGTGACAAAAAATGTATGATTTTGTATCCGGGAAGTGTCAAGAGGGAGGTATTTTGCCACATTTTTGATACTTCCCGGATGTAAAATGGTATGTTTTTTGCCACTAGACCAGTCCGCCACTATAAAATGCCGATTGGCCTTTAACATTACCTCATCCTTCCTAGTCGAGTTGAAGACCTCCCCAAGCACTTGAAGGTACCTATACGGTAATTTTGCAAAATCGTAATGCTGATTTGCAAACGACCAAAAGTTTTCGCACGGTTTGACACTTGTGTCCATTAGATTCTCCATGTACTTGGCCTTCTTTTCCAGCACAGTCTCTTCAACAGCGTCGGCAATTACAAAAATTGTAAAACATATCAAAATTTGAGGTTTTACCATCATGAAGAAGATGATGAATTAACAAATGGAAATTTTGGTTTTGAACCACATTAATGCTTCATTACATATTTTTCGTTTCATGGCTCATTTGCATTTTTTATAGTTACAAAAAATAAGAATCAATACAAGAAAAACGTATTTTACAACCGATTTTTTCGGGCCGATGACAGTTCGGGTCAATACAAAATTAATTGATGCCAGGCGTAGGGCAGGTGCATACCCAAAAAAAAGTTGTAGGAAGTGCCTACGAGGCCTGGCAAGGCCGTTGGATGGTCGGCGGACGCTCGGCGGAGACTTGGCGAAGGCTTGCCATGTGTCAACTTTTTCTAACTTTAGCTATTACTAATGTTGGTTTTCTTTACCCTGAGTTATTGTAACATATAAAATACCAAAATTGTCTGCAAAAATCGAAGAGCCGTAAGTTTTATGTAGACCGTATTGATGTGAGTATATGTAAAATGCCTCAGAATAGGTGATAAGCTACCCTAGGACCCTATCAATTTTATTATTTCTACTAACTAAGCCTTCTCCAAGCCTTCCCCATGCATAAAATGACGAACTGAAACTATCCATAGTACCGTTGACCCGAACTGTCGCTGACCCGAAAAGCCGTAGCGCCCTCAAGGAGCACTCATTTCTTATTTTTTTCAGGTCCTCAATTCTTCCGCACTACTTACTTATAAAATATAAAAATAAAAAATTTCCATCGCCATGGCAACCTCTGCAGCTTCGTATAAGATTTTTGACGGCCGACAAGAACCCCAAGGTTTTAAAGCCGCTTTGCATAGCGGGCATTCCATTAAACGGCCTTAATTGGGTCGTATTGTAAGGTTTCGAGATTATAATATTTCGGTTGCAAAATTGGCGTTAAGACGATTGGGCTTGGGATTTTTAGAATCTTTTTTTTTCAATGGTTGTTATTTAGCTATGAGACTAAATAGAATCCGACAATTTTTTAGCATAAAAGATGGGTAATCAGGCTCAAATTGGAGGTTATTTTCCGACAGAAAATGACAACAATGCTTGTCAACGAGAGAGTATGCGAAATGCGGAGAACAGTCAGAAAGAGAAAATTTTTTAACCACATCCGATTTCGCATAAAAAAGTAATTGTTTTGTTAGGACAATTTGCAATTTTTTTCTGTCAAAACACATCAATTTTGACCTAAAAGTCTTGGTTGTTTATGTAGAACGAAAGCTAGAAAATAATCGACTATCAATTTGGGCTAATTTTTAGTCAGACTCTGCAATTTGGACGACCCCAATTTATGGATGCGAACAAAGTAAATAGTTCATTTTCTTTTGGCGGCACAAACTCGGACTTTGGACCAAGCTTTAAAAAAATCGAAATATTGTGGCACTTTTTGCTATTATTACATGGTTAAAATGGTTATCAATTCCGGAAAATGAGCGTTTTTGTTATGTGTTTGCTTTATCAAAAAATGTGGCAAAATGCCTCCCTTCCAACTAAAAAACTCCGCTTTGAAGGGCGCGCACTTTCTCTCATAAAAAGAGCGGGCTTTTTTCACTTGATGAGGGAGGTATTTGCTACATTTTCTGATAACTCCTGGATGCACAATGGTACATTTTTTGTTAATGGACTCCTACTGTACATATCCTCTGCACCATTCTTTGTTGTTACGTATTAAACTCCGTGCGAGGGCACCTCACTTCTGTTGCAAAGATACTATTATATTTATAAATCACAAACATCTTTTCAGACACTTTTAAATTCCTGTATATAACTCATAGCCTATCCCGTTCCTTCTCATCCTCATATCCAGGCCTCATCATCATGACCGAAACTCCGCCGCCCTCAGAAACGGCCAGTGGCTCGGGCGATCAGACGCCGCCAAATATAAATTCGCCAAGACCAGACCCACAAGTTCAGCCGGGCCAGAATACACTGGCAATGTTGAAGAATCACAAAAGTTCGGACGACGAGGAAGACGAGAAAATAATCAAAGTGGTGATTTTGGGCGATGGAACATGCGGAAAGACGTCTTTATGCACACGATTTGCTCAACGAGACTTCACGGGGAAGTACGCACAGGTACGAGAAAAGTTTTTTATTGCAGACGAGGCTTTACAGCATGTGAAATAACCATTTCAATTTTTCAGACAATTGGAGTCGACTTTTTCAACCGACGAATAGCAATGCCGCATGGAGTCAATGTTCTTTTTCAGGTGCGTTGAACACCCAACTTTTCATGCTCTTGCATTTTAGCTCTGGGATATCGGTGGCCAAAGTTTATCAACCAACATGCTGGGGAAATATATCTACGATGCAGATTGCATAGTATTCGTCTATGATGTTACAAATTCCGCGTCCTTCGATAGTGTAACGGATTGGGTTGGAGTTGTGAAGAAGATCAACAAACATCAGGAAAAGGTAAATAGAGCCATTTGGAATAAGCTCTGTCTTTTTAAAATACGGTATTTATTATATTATAGTTATAATTTTTGGGCGAGCTCCACAAAAAGCAGTAAAATATTTATATTATTGGCTCATTTTTAGGGAGTTCACATGGCATTAGTTGGAAATAAGACCGACCTGGAGCATCGGCGGACAGTTCGGATCGACAAACACACTCGATTTGCTGACCAGTACGTCATGAGCTCGCATTATGTCTCCGCAAAGACTGGAGATTCCGTGGATCTCTCTTTTAAGTAAGTAGGCTCTAGATAGCAACTCGTTAAAGTCCAACACAGCTTGTAAGATAACTCTTGAATTTCAGGTTAATCGCAGCGGAAGTTATGGGGATCCAGTTGACAAAAACTGATGTTGAACTAGCCATAAACACTGTTGAAGCGCCCGTAGCAGTTCTAGATGACAACGCACCACATCGTGAGCCAGAAATCGCCAAGAAAACCAATATACCGCAAGTTCATGGCACTGTAACAACACACACGGCAGAAGAAGTGGACACGACCAAAGATTATACGAAAGAAAGCAAAGTTTGCTCGGTTATGTGATAATTTAAGGAGCTTCGATTTTCTCTGTATTATAAAGTTATTTTGAATGAAAAAATCAAGTGACGCTTTTTGCGTAAAACCAGCAGAACTTTCGGCTTATCTTCTCTTCATGCATGCAATCAAAAGAGGATGCCGCAAATTCGGCAAAAGAACAATGAAAACCAAGAATTGCGCAACACCTAAAATTTCTGCGCTAATTGCCTATAAGTGGCAGGTTTCTGAAAAGTCCTCATTGCATTCCAACTGCACTTTCTCGATCAGCAGGTTTTCCACCGCGGATAGCCTTCAATTTTCCCCGTTTACCAGTAACCTCTGTTGTATTCAGGTAAGTTTTACACAAATTTTACAACTTTATTTAGTATTATATGACGACTAAATTTCGCGATAGCTTGTGGTTCAGAGATTTGACTTTTTAATATAGTATAGTTTGAATACACGTTATAGCTTATTGTTAGGTTTTCAGAAATGGCAGTGAACAGCAACTCAGTCGCTGACGAGATCGCCTCAACCGTGGCCGAACTTAAACAAGTGGAGGAGGACCTCCGGCAGCGCAGAGAGAACATTATCAAATACCATGCAGATTTTGAGGAAATCTCCCAACTGCCACCTTGGGAAGTCAAAGACCGTCTCCTTGAGCTAAAGTTGGAACAAATACAGGGCACTAAAACGCGAATTGCGCAACTCGAGTATTCCAAACGTTCTCTAGAGGAAATAGAGCGGTTGCTGAGAATCAAACTTCGTGATCTATAAACGATTGTAGTTGGCTTTTAAAAATAAATTTGTTTTGTTAAAACTCGCTGACCAATGGGCAACTTCGCGTTGAAGTTATTAATCTGCTTATCCTCTACTTTATCAAGTTTTTACAAAAATATGAATGTATCTCATATTAGTTCAATCCGAGTTGCTGGTAATCTTTTAGTACTGATGAATCAGATGTTTCAAGACGTAAGTAGCAACAACTTTCCCCACCGCAACTTCAAGCTCGAGATCCTGCTCTCCTCCGACCTCAAAACTCATCCATATCCCGTCAAAGGATCGTCTGAACTTTGAAATAACTTGAATTGCAATTCAAAAGGGTTTTCACTTTCTTCGATGCCAGCGGGCATCAACCCCGAAAATGGGAGAGAGATGAGGGCGCCGGAGACTTTTGACTTTCGAAACCCCCTATGCCGATCGAATGTCGGCGTTTTTATTATATTCCGCAGTTTGCTTCCGTTTTGTTGTGTTCCTTCGATTTCTCTTTCATACTCTGGATTTTGCAGGGGCTTTTTTTGCTGCTAGAAGGTTTTTATGGCTGCAAAAATATATTTTCGGATCCAGGGATTACATTGGGACAAGTTATCATTAAAGATGGACACAAAGCTCTAATTACCGCTGTACAACAAGACTGCCTATACCCAAAGATTTCGCAAATCCCATGAGTCGATCTTAAGCTAAAATGAGCCCTCGTACGAAACCTTTCCATAACGGATAATTTCAGGGTTGAACAGTGGCTAGACAGAATGCAAAATTAAGAAAAGTTCGCGCGTGTTTACCATGAAAGTGTTCTCTAGGTAATAATCACTTTTTTCCTGTAACATTCCTTCGGAAACTTGATTTTCTACACCCTATCTTATTGATTAGCACGCCCTAATTTCCTTCTGCAGCAAATTACATTAGCTCTTTAAAACTCCTGTCTTCCCCTACCGTTTTTTTGCTGTTCCAAGCTCTTGCTTTCATTCCGCAGAAATCCCATTTAATTCGCCCTATTAGCTTCCTTTTTCAATGTTACATCAATCAAAACCCATTTCATAATTAGCCCGCACTTTGCATTACCCTCCATCACTTGAGTAACCAAATTGCGAAAGTTCTGGTTTCGAGTTCTTTCCATCGACTTTCTTAAGCCAATATGAAAGTGTTCGCGAGCTGAGAGATGAGGAGGAGAGGATAAGCGGTTGATGGATATAAAACATGAGCGCGTTTTTTTTTTGACGAGGAAAAAGGATTCGGAAAGCCGACGTTGGTTGAGCGGGCGTTGCGCGAGCTTACGTGAAACGAAAAATCTATATTCGACTTTTTCTCGGGATTTGAGGATTTTCGTCGTGGTTGGAGTTTTCGAAAGGTATGAGGGATTGGATGACGGATACAGTAGGTGGTCAACGTGATTAGAGATTAAAAATTTACTATTTGTCTGTGGCTTGATCGATGTTTATCGTTTATTAACAAGCTTGTTTTTTATGTGCTCTAAGCGGTCGCATATTGTCGACGGCTTTGCTCGTTATATGTAGGTATGTTTTGTTGTAAGAGAGTTTATGGTACAGGAGTTTTCCTGTATAAGAAGCAGCCGCAGAATGACGCTTATGCTAGGAAAACATAAGGTTCTAACCGTCTACTTCCGCGATAATTTTTCCATCAAAACAAACTTCTTTCTTGTAGCGAGTTCCTATGCCCAGTGAACCCCCACGTGATAACCCAATTTAATTTCATTTTAAAATAATCAAATGCTCCAATTATTTTTGTAAGTTACAGTGCCATCAAATGCGCCGATGTTTGCGCTGTCGAACGTCGAACCATTGTCGACGGCATGGCCACATTCGTCTGGTGACCAAGCATTACCTTGAGAAGGTCATGTGGATCAATGAACATGTTCATAATCACTATAGGCCGATGGATCTACCGGTCGAATTATGTATCAGAAGGTAGGAGACGCCAACTTGCGTTACCCAAATATTCAAATCTATGCAAATATCTTGATTTAAGAACCGTTTGAGTAAGCCATCTAGGCTCTGTTAGCTATGAAAACTATTACATTTCCTTTGCAATTATGACTATAACGTATCGCTTTTCAGTGTTTTCCAACTAAACAATGAAACGGTAAATATCTGGAGCCACTTATTCGGCTTTTTCTACTTTTTACATATGCAGTATCGAGTCAATTATCAAGTTTTGCCCTCATTAAACGCCCCACAAATGGATTACATTGTACAGACTTTATCTTTGTTTGGCGCTCAACTTTGTATGATCCTGTCGGCCGCTTATCACACGTTCGGATGTATAAACGAATACGAAAGAAACAAGTGGTTGAGGATGGACATCTTTGGAATCTCCGCCGGATTACTGGGAATGTATCTCGGAGGGATTTACACGAGCTTCTACTGTTTTAATGTGAGTTTTAGATCACGCATTTGAGAAAATCGGAAAATCGTATTTTAAAAATTGAATCTCACACGGGAAATACCCCAAATACGACGCTTATGTTAGACTTTTTTAAAAGTTTTGCACGCCGGCTAAAGGCAAAATATCAATTCTTGAAAGTTTTAGCTGCAATGACGGACCTGATCCAGCGGCAAAGATGTGCCATTTTGCATCTGGGAAGTATCAAAAAAGGTAGCAAAAGCCCTCGATTTGCAACTAAAAAAACTCCGTTTTGAAGGGTTCGCCTTTTCCCTTACAAAAAAATGATTTTTAAAGTCGGAGTTTTTCACTTGGAGAGGGAGGCATTTTGCTACATTTTTTGATGCTTTCCGGATGCAAAATGGAACATCTTTGCCACTGGCCATAACTTTGCTAGTTTTCAGCGTAAAAAATTAACTTTTTGTGGAAGCATTACCCTCTATCTTCGAAAAAATTATTTGAAATCTGTGCCAAGTTTCATCAAAATTTGAGCGTATATAAGTTAAAAAAACTTCACTTACAAGTAACTATCTCTATTCACAAGTCAATTTTTAAAGTACGTTTTTTTCCGAGTTGCAGTATTGGCCCAATTTCACGAATAAAATTTTTCAGAACGCCCTCCAAACCTACCTCTCAGCCCTCAGCGGTATCTTCGCGTTGGCGCTCTACATTCCAGCCAAGCATGATTCGATTTCCTCGAAAATACGCGGCACCCGGATTGGCTATCTTCATCTAACTTACATGGCCATCACCAGCTTCGGCCTCTACCCAACCTTTCATTGGGTCCAGCTTCACGGTGGGTTCGGGAATTCGCACGTTTCCACCTGGTTCCCCTCCATCGTTGTGATGTTCGGGCTGGTCGGACTGGGCTTCGTATTCTATGCGACACTGATTCCGGAGCGCTTCTATCCCGGCAAATTCGACCTGGTCGGATGCTCGCATCAATGGTGGCATTTGCTCATCTTGGCCGCAATGATTTACTGGAATGAAGCGGGCATCCAGCTGCTCACTTACTACCACTCAATGCCTCGACTGTGCTCTCATCTCGATCAGGATTTCAATACGGTTCGAATCTTCAACTCAACTCACGCGGAACTTTAATTATTGTAGTTTTTGTTTGTAAATTTAGTCTAATTTAATATTGCAAATTTGAACAAAAATAAAAGCAAAATTTTTATGCAGAAAACGATTTTTTTTATTTGCCGCTATCATTTAGATTTTGCACACATGAACTAAATGTCAATTCCTGAAAGTTTTAGCTCGCGCTTTGCAAGCGCCGCCGAGATATTGAACACTCCTTGCGGCCGAGTGAGTGCGCTAAACGCGGAGAGCGGTCAGAGAAAAAACACTTTTTGGCCATAACTTCGCTAGTTTTGTGTGCCACTACCCTCTATGGTAGAAATAGGCATGAAACTTTTCGTGCCGAAATTCGGCAAAAAATGTCAAATTTTCGCCGACTTTCGGTATAAAAATCCCGGTTGTTCCTGCAAAGCGCGAGCTAGGATTATCGCACATATTTTAGAAAAATTATTCTAAATTTGTGCCAATTTTCATCAAAATCTGAGCGTCGCACTTGGGGTACTTCCCCTGTAAATCAAAGGCCCAAAACATCTATATTTGAACCTCCTTCATGTTCCAAGCCGTAAATGAGATTCAAATCTAGTTGTTGTGATCCGTTATGGACAATTTTTTTTGGTCATTAGACACCCACAGTGTCCTTATTAACATACACGTTTAAAGGCTTGCGACACCAAACCGCGGTTAAATGCAACGACCGTTTTCACAATGAAGACGGCAATCCTTTGTCATTCCCTTCTAATTATCTTGTATATCTCTCAAACAACGTCAGAATGGATTTTGGAGTACAACTACAACCTTTGCTTGAAAAAAGTAAAAAATTGTAGCCGCCCGGAAATGGTGGAGCAATGTTTGGCGAACCATTCGCACCATTGCTACGAAGATTTCGACGCCTTTAAGAAGTGGTATCCGGTAAGGTCATCACCCAAAACCGCCTTGGTTTATTTATATGCCTTTTACCGTTGCGGCAGAACTCTCCCCCTTTTTGAACACTCCCCCTCATCTTTAAAATTCAAAAAATAAGGTGTGACATGTTATACGATGGAAAATTTTTTCAAATTGAGAAAAATTGGGTGTGACATCTCAATTTGAAAAAAATGCATCGTATAAGATGTCACACATAATTTTTTTCAATTTGAAAATTTTTTTATCGTATAAAATGTCACACCTAATTTTTCTCAAATTGAAAAAAAATTTCATCGTATAACATGTCACACCTCATTTTTCTCTATTTGAAAAAAAAATTTCATCGTATAACATGTCACACCCCTTTTTTTCAATTTTTAAAATGGGAGAGTGTTCAAAAAATGGACAGTTTAGATTTCGGTGAAAATCAAAAAAGGGGGAGAGTTCCCCGCCTTTTTTGGGGGAGAGTTGAAAAAGGGGGAGAGTTCAGGCTCAACCGTCTTTTACTAAAGGCCACTAGGCTTATATTTATTTCAGAGCCAGTTTATCGACCATATTCCATACGACTGCCCGATCATACGATATCTCGACTTCCCATGCGCGCAAGCAGGGTATTTCGCGGTAAAGCCGTGTGTCAATTACAAAGTGGAAGTTTGCGATACTGTGAGAAAATATGTGTCGACATTCCCGGAGAAATACCCTTTCCACCTCCCCGGAATCCCCGATGAGCCGTACGAAGTGAACGAATCGCGTCCAAAAGACGAGCCATTGTGTGAATGTATGTTTGTCAGATTCTACAGTTTAGAAGAGTGTCGTGAAGCGCGAAGAAATGGATCGCTACCACCTCCAATGCAATAAAACAAAAATTTCGCAGAAAAGTTACCTATACACTAAATTTCAAGAAAAGTAAACCCTCAGCATGTCTCCATACATTGGTTGGATATTTAATAAATTTATTCGATAATTAGGGGCTAAGGTATAATAGTACAAACCCCCAGCCAGAGATTGCCACGGTCAAAATTTCGGCTCCGGCTCCCATGAAAAACTTAAAAAGGTCTGCGGCTCCGAATCCCGGCTCCCGTGCAAAAAAATTTTTTTTTTAAATATTTTTCCAAAAAAAGTTATTAGTGCCAGAGATTAGTGCCACTCAACGTTTTTGAAACCAAATTGTATGCAACACATCCTTTCCAGTATTTTTAAAGCAATTTGGTTCAACAAGATCATGAAAATTTTACTTTTCTGAACGCTGAGAAGCCTGGCTCCGACTTTGCGATCGGGAGCCGGAGCCGCACCCAAAATTCCCGGCTCTGGCTCCCGGCTCGGAGCCGTGGCAATCTCTGGTGTTGATCAATCGTTTTTAATCGATATTCTCAAAGTTTAAAATTTAATCCAATTATATAATAAATTTAAAATTTTTATTGAATTATGGCCCCTTTAAAAACGAAGCCTCAGTCTCCAAGCTGATCGTCCCACCATGTTCAACGTTGGAAGAACTCTGCTGATTCTTTCAGTGTTTGTGTACGCCGTGCAAGGATTTATTAAGACCCCATTGTCAACACTTGGTTCTCCAGGCATTAGTAAGTGTGATAATCGTGGCAGTTTGATGAAAATTCTTTTAAGTTTCTTGGACGAATCCTTTTATACTCAACTTGTTGGGAAACAGACCCTATTCTTATCCTAAGACCACTGCAAAGCCGACGACAAGACGATTCTAACTCGTCGAGAACAGCTCGCAAATTTGTTGGCATAAATCATTTTCTTGATCAATTTTCCTGTTCTTCTATAAGTCAAGGCTTATATAAATTGAATTTACCAGTTTTGCCAGAACTGCATCTTAAGCTCAATTGCTAATTTACAGCGGAACTACTAATTAAGGTGTAGTATTAATGAAATTTGGTATTTTAAGGCTTGTCAAGATGTCAGGGTTTACTTTAGCTCAAAGCTTTTGAATTGGTAAAAACTTGGTGGAAAAGGCATTTGCGTGGTGTAGCGAGAAAAGTTCAGAGGATTTTTTCGCCATTACAAACCAAAACTGGGCAGCTAATTTTGACATATTCTGAATCAGAAAAAATTTGCAATTTTCCTGATATATGTCTCGACGTGTAACTCCATACCGCATAGAAGTACTTTGCTTGTTAGGTAGATAACTCGGTGATGATCAATCATTTTTAATCGATATTCTCAAAGTTTAAAATTTAATCGAATTATATAACAAATTTAAAATTTTTATTGGATTACGGCCCCGCTTTAAAAACGCCTCAGTTCCCAAGTTGATCGTCCCACCATGTTCAACGTTGGAAGAACTCTTTTGATTCTTGCAGTGGTTGTGTACGCCGTGCAAGGACTTATTCGGAGCCCACTGTCACCATTTGGTTATAGACATACAGGCTTTTGTAAGTGTAATTATCGTGGCAGTTTGATGGAAATTCTTTCCAGTTCCTTGGTTTGATTTCCCTTTGTCGGGAAACAGACCCTCTTCTTATCCTAAGACCACTGCAAAGCCGACGACAAGACGATTCTAACACGTCGAGGACAGCGCTCGAATGCGTTGGCTTAAATCATTTTCATGATCAATTTTCCCGTTTTTCTATAAGTCAACAAGGCTTATAAATTAAATTTACCAGGTTTGCGAGAAGTGCATCTTGGGATTTGCTAATAAAGTTTTCGATCATAATTATAATTGAATAAAAAATGGCATACACATAAGAACATTATTTTCTAACAAGGAAAGTACAGGGTGGGCCACTCGAAACTCCCAACATCTTTTCAGGTATTTCTCCGCCAATAATGCACCAATTTCTGTAAAATTTATATCAAATTGAAGCTGAGACACCCCATTTCTTATCCACCAAATATGGCCCGTCTAACTTCACGAAGGCACCCATACTGACCTTTTACATTTTCATTCCAAATTTTGGAGCCCGAAATCGATGAAACTTAGAATATTTTTGGAATGATTTTCAATTGAGTTTCTCGGACTTGGAAAATCTTTGGATTACAGGCAATAAAAAAGTCGCCAAATTCGCGGAAAAAATTTTAAAACATTGAAGTTTACGCCCGTACCAAGTGCGTTAAGCCCATACTTCATTCAGGCGAGGTACCAATTAGGGCGAATGAGAACGAAAACTGTCTTCTCGGGCAATCTAAGCCTGGAAAGTTTCTATGCATTTTCGGGGTGGACGCAATCATGCATGTAGACAGTTTCTCCCATTTTTCAAACATTTTGAAAAATTTCGAATAATTAAGTCTATTGCCCCAGAACACAAAAGCAACGCCTTGAAAATTTTTTTTGGATATTCCGTTGACTGCCATAATTTTTTTCTGCTGCTTATAAGAGTTTTATTTAGTTGAAGGCGCAAACACTTTCCAATTTCGAGAAACTCAACTGGAATCATTCCAAAAATTTTCTAACAAGGGAAGTCACTTAAATCACGGATCGATTTTGCGAAACGGCTTATACAGCGATGGAAAGAGTGGGACGGTGATATCGAAACTGAAAACCGCTACCTCCACCGGCCTCTGGGAGCCGAGATAATCGACCAACAAGTTTCGCCAAATTCCCTCCGAAAAGGTCTCCTTTCCGAAAGCAAAGGGAGAGCGACACGAATGGTCCGGTGGTCTGGAAGCGCGCTTCCAGGCCTTCACCTTTTGAGGTTCGAGTCCGCATGGGTCCGGACTTATATTAAAAAATTTACGAAACTGTTGCTGTAATCCACCTGTAATCCACGAGTTACAGATAAAATACATTTTCTAGTTTTTCCATATTTTACGTCGATTTTAACTTTATAATTCAAACAGAGTGAAATTTCATCGCGAAATATGGAAAAATAGAAAATTTTATTTTACCAGTAAATTTGCTGGGTTACAGAGAGTTTGATAAATTATCTACAAGTTCGAACCCATGCGGACTCGAACCTGAAAAGGCAAAGGCCCGGAAGCGCGCTTCCAGACCACCGGGCCATTCGGTTCGTTGCCTTCCTTTTTTCGAAAAGGAGAGCTTTTCGGGGCAACTTTTTTTTGGTCAAACTTGTTGGTTGATTATCTCGGCTCCCAGAGGCCGGTGGAGGTAGCGGTTTTCAGATTCGATATCCCCATTCCACCCTCTGTATTGCCGTAACGATCCGTGACTTAAGTGACTTCCCTTGTAAGTTTCACCGATTTCGGGCTCCAAAATTTGGAATGAAAATTTAAAAGGTCGCTACTGGCGCCTCCGTGAGGTTAGACGGTCCATATTTGGTGGACAAGAAATGGGGTGTCTCAGCTTCAATTTGATATAAATTTTATAGAAATTGGTGCATTATTGGCGGAGAAATACCTGAAAAGATGTTGGGAGTTTCGAGTGGCCCACCCTGTACTTCAATGGGGTATGGAGTTTAGGTCGACACATACACCAAAAAAATCTCACAAGGAAAGTACTTTTATGGGGGGCTCCTACTTTTTGACGGGTCATATCTCAAAAAATTAGAAAAAATGTGCTGATCAAGGATATATAAATCTTAGCTGCCCATTTTAGGTTTTTAGGGGTGAAAACTCAATCGGAAGTTGATTTAAAGTCCTTTTCGCTTAATTTTTCACAGGTTTACAATTTTATTTTGGCTTTTATCCCGGCTGGCCAATAACTTTCGTGACGCTTGCCGCAAGACTATAGCAAGGTCTCTAAATCCCCCATTTCCTCTTTCTTTAGTCTGTCGTATGTCAATAGTGATAAATATAATTTTGTTATTCAATCAAATTTCATAACTGATTAGAATATTTTATAACGTTTAGTAAGAACTAAATTTTGTTTAAAAAGAAACGATAACTGCCATATTCTGAACCAAAACGATGTCTCGGCTCTTCAGAATTATCATTCTTTTGGGTATCGCAATTCTCGCAGTAGACGGATTCGGAAAACTTCTTCCGAACGGCAGTAAGTACGTTTTTATTTATATGATACTGGGTTTTAGCATACGTATGGTCTGTGATACCGGGAGTGTGGGAGAAGTTTCCAAGCAAATCAGAACGACTTCGAAAATTATCCGAAGAACGACATCGCCTAATTTAATATATAAAACTTGAACAAAAATAAAACCAAAAATTTTACGCTGAAAAGGAGTTTTTATTTGACGCTATTGCTTAATTTTTTTAATTTAAAAAATTCTCAGGTCATTAAACTCTCTCGACGGCCTTACGACCTGGCACACGGTAAGACACTCTGTACACTAAATTTCAAGAAAAGCAAGCCCTCCGCATGTGCACAACAGCATATATTTAAAATTTATTCGATATTAAATATCAACTCTTGCTACACTAGTCACGTAATATTTGCCAAATGAGATCAAAATGGAATAAATTAATATGTGGAAAAGGAATGTAAAATATTATAAAATTTTTGGTATCTTTGCACCATTAAATTGTCGAGTTTCGGTAGGCGCGGCGTTTGAGGTTGGCCGAGCAGTTCTGACAAACTTGGATGCGCTGACTCGACAGTCGGCTGTTCACCTCGTTTGTGATGCAGCTAAAACAATTTTTTTTATTCTCATGTTTCGTGAAAGCCCGTTTTAAAGTTACAGTGGCCAAACCAACGTCCTAATTCGTAGTTACAGAATTTCCAGTCACATCACAACCACATCACATAAAGAAAAACAAAAAAAAATAGAAAAAAGCTTCTGCGTCTGACGGGAATCGAACCCGTGTCGATTGCTTGGAAGGCAACCATGCTGACCATTACACCACAGACGCTCACATTCAAAGCGGCTTCGAAAGAGGGAAAGAAGGAGAAATCCAAAAAGATTGTGGAATTTTCAGGGAATCCACGCAAAAAACGAACGCTTTTCGTTGAAATCGCTTTATCTCGCGATAAACCGCTTCCGACGACAAACAAAGATTGCTTTTCAAAGAACATTTAGGTCTCTGGTAAACGAGTTACTTTTCTACCAAATTCTGAGTCCGAAATTTTCACAGACGACTAGCAGCGTACAATGGCGGGCCTGATCCAGTGGCAAAAAAAAGTACCATTTTGTATCCGGGAAGTATCAAAAAATGTGGCAAAATACCTCCCTTTCCAAGCGAAAAAAACTCTGTTTTGAAGGACGCGCGCATTTGAAATCGGAGTTTTTTTCACTTGGAGAGGGAGGTATTTTGCCACATTTTTTGATACTTCATAGATGCAAAATGATACTTTTATTGCATCTGGATCAGGTCCGCCGCTGTAACTGCGACTATGAAATCCTTTCTGCTTCAACGGGAACCCATTTCCGAACCTTCACTTCTCTCTTCCTAGACAACAAAGTAACCAAAGTGCCACTAGCGACGAAACGAAGTCATTTGTCAGATAGCCACTCAAGATCGCAATCACAACACTGATAGCCACAAAACCAAAAAATAGCCACAAGATCAGGATCAAAGCCCTCAACCACAAACATCGTCACACCTCCCACATTACAACATCTATCCTACTTTTCGCAGAACCATTGTCCGCAATTCTTGCAGTCGAGACGTGATTGCGCGACGCCCGCACAATGCGAGCCGACCATGCGTGGCTGGCCGGCGACGACGAATTGCCTTTGGCAACCGGGGCACTGATTTCGTGACTCCTCCTCGCTCGAAGGCTGTGTGGAAAGTTTGGAACTAATCGAGGAATTCAACGAGTTCCGACCTGTCGACGAAACTCCGGAGGGCTGCTTGCGAAGACGGACCTGAGCCGGCTCTTGAAATTGGAAAAGGAGATAGATTAAGGTTGTGTTAATGGAGGGTGATTGAAAGATTAGTAACAAGAAATACAGAAACTATCAATAAAAATTCGAACTGCAAATTTTGGAGGTCAAATCGGAAGTCTTTTTAGAAATCCATTACTTTCATCGTTATGCAGTGGCGGACCTGATCCAGTGGTAAAAAAAGTGCCATTTTGCATCCGGGAATTATCAAAAAATGCAGCCAAATGCCTCCCTTTCCAAGTGGAAAAACTGCGTTTTCAAGGGCGCGCTTTTGAAATCGGAGTTTTTTCACTTGGAAAGGTAGGCATTTTGCTACATTTTTTGATACTTCTCGGATGCAAAATGGTACTTTTTTTTACCACTTTATCAGGTTCGCCACTGTACACTAGCGCTTTGTATAACAAACTAATAATTCAAAGATCTTCGGCCAAGGACCTGCTCCCAAAAACGTAAAAAAAATTCAACGTGATCTTCCCCTACTTCCTTGCAAAATAAAAATAAATTAACAGGACAAGTGTCCTCTAAAATACGTCTATTAAGAATTCCGTGCATTATTAATGCCCAGACCTGCGAAACATTACTTTATGGAATGCAAAATGCGACTAAAGTTCCGCAATAAAGAATTCTGAAATTCCAGATGTAGAACTCTCGGCCTAATTTCAACCTCCTTTTACAGCGGTCAAGGCGCGTGAAGAACTTCAGTCTTCATGGCAACAACCAGCTTGAAGCATGGCCTACAATTTGCCCAGCAACTGGTTCATAACGGCCTATACGCTGTACGGCGAGGTATCAATGTTTGTGTCTTGCATCTTCGTTTCATTTACAATTTTTGTCATCGTACAATGTGAGTTTCGAAACAACGAAGACAATAGCTTTTAGCCACAACAAGCAACTTTCAAAAGTACAGCTATTTCCTAGTGAATCATCTTGCCTGGTAAGTAAAAACCTCAATTAACTTCAATTAAAATTTAGGTGCTACATTTGTGACATCATCTACGCTTTTCGAGCATACGTATCTCTAGGAAGCAACCAGTGTAATGTCTTCTTTGGCTTTATTTCAAGCCTTGATTATGACTTGGCGCTCTACGTCTCGCTCTTTGGCACGATAGCCGCAATAACAAGGGCGGCATCGGAGGAATATCTGCTCGTATTTCGGTTCCTTGCGTCAATTCGACCAAGTTCGCGGTGTTATTTGGATGTTCATAGTGTTCCCACGTGGAGATTGGTTATTATGTTTATCGCACTGACTTCTGTTGGTGTTTTCTCCTTCTTGGTAGGTGGGATAAATAACGTTATGCCTATCGAAAAGGGGCAGAATTTTGATGACTTTTCGGCAACAAAATTCCCCTTTGGCAATCAGTAAACAGGCAGTCGAATATTGTGAATATTGTGCTGCTAATAAGGCTTCTTAAAAATCCCTTGTCAGTACAATATGCCATTACCATTTTAATCATAAAAACAGGAGAATTTTTCTTAGTTGACATAGGCACCAAGATCTTAGGGGTTCATGGAAACTCGACACAATGAAATACGACAGAGTGAAACTCGACAGAAGGCAATTCAACAGGGTATGAAAATTGGACAGGTGGAAACTCGACAGAGGGAAACTCAAAAGATTTCTTTTCACTGCATTGGTATGAACTGTCATTATTGAAACTTACAGTGGGGGATGGAAAAACACGTACCATTTTGCATCCAGGAAGCATCCAAAAATGTGGCAAAATACCTCCCCCTCCAAGTGAAAAACTCAGATTTCAAAAGCGCGCCCGCTCTTTTTGTGAGGAAAAAGGGCTTCAAAACTAAGTTTTTTCACTTGGAGAGGGAAGCATTTTGCCACATTTTTGATACTTTCCGGATGCAAAACGGTATGTTTTTTGCCACTAGACGTCACAAATTATTTTTTTGCAGTGAAGAAATTTTCCGAATTTCCCTCTGTCCAATTTCCGTACTCTGTGGAATTTCCATACGTCGAGTTTCACTCTGTCCAATTACACTTTATCGAATTTCCATGAAGCCGATTTTACAGGGGAAGTACCCGAAGTGCGACGCTCAGATTTTAATGAAAAGGTCGCATTTTGCAGAAACAACCGAGATTTTTAGATCAAAAGTTGGCGAAAATTTAACACTTTTTGCCGAATTTCGACACGAAAAGTTTCATGCCTATCACTACTCTTTGACCGCTCTCCGCATTTAGCGTACTCTCTCGGCGGCAAATATCGTTCAATACCTTGGCGGCGTTTGCAAAGCGCGAGCTAAAGCTTTCAGGAATTGGTACTAACATAAGTTCATGACCGACATGTGTGCAGAATCGCGTCCCGACATTTCGGGTCAGGGACAACTCGGGTCGCGACAACTCGGGTCGACGACAACTCGGGTCAACGACAACTCGGGTCAACGACACTTCGGGTCAACGACATTTCGGGTCAACGACACCGTTTAATATTTTCGCTTCGGGACTGTGAAAAAACAATTTTTTGGTGAATTTGAGAAATTTTTGAAATGTTTTCGCTTCGGGACTTGCGTTCTCGGAGGATAGGTTACCCCGAGGATAGGTTACCTGAAAAAAAATTTTTTTTGAAATGTTTTCGCTTCGGGACTCGGAAAAAAAGGACTTTTTGTGAAATTTGAAAAAATTTTCAAATGTTTTCGCTTCGGGAGTTGGAAAAAAAGGATTTTTTGTGAAATTTGAAAAAAATTTGAAGTGTTTTCGCTTCGAGACTGGGAAAAAAAGATTTTTTGGAAAATTCAACAAAATTTTGAAATGTTTTCGCATCGGAAGTAGAAAAAAGGGTGTCTGACTGAATATTAACTGTGGTGCCGGCAGCACTAAAATTTTGTCTAAAACCAATGGTACCACCTGGTACTATATAGTACCACGTGTTTTTGGGCTCTACTAAGCACCAAACCATCACCATTACTGCCTCATGGCCAAGTTTTCACTTCTCACAAAACAGTACCAGTTGGTACTATATAGTACCAAGTGTTAAAACGTGTTTTTGGGTTCTACTAAGCACCAAACCAACGCCATTACCGCCTTACGGCCAAATTTGCACCTCGTACTAAATAGTACCAGGTAGTACTATTTAGTACCAAGTGTTAAAAATGTGTTTTTAAGCAGTACTAGGCACCAAAACAACACCATTAACGTCTAAAAGTGTTATAAGTCGAAAAATTTTCAAAAAGAATCCCTAAAGGCAGTAAGGTAACAGAAACCCAGTTTTCATATTCGGCGTCGCGACACTTGCGGGCAACCAGTTTGCGGGCAACCACTTTGCGGGCAAAATTTGGGGGGTCACATTTGCGGGCAGCTGAAACATTTGCGGGCAGCTGAGACACTTGCGGGCAGCCTGGGACACTTGCGGGCAACCGACACTTGCGGGCAGCCGACATTTGCGGGCAACCGGCACCTGAGGGTTACAGGGTGGAGGTGGAAATATTGCTGCGATATTTTGGAAATTTGCCGACATTTGCGGGCAGCCGACACTTGCGGGCAACAGGAAAAAACAATCACACAGACTGTATAGGAACTTTTGGAACTGTTGCCCGCAAATGTCGGTTTCCCGCAAGTACTGCCTGCCCGCAAATGTCGGAAAGTTTCCAAAATATCGCAGTAATTTATCCACCTCCACCTTGTTATCCTCAAGTGCCGGTTGCCCGCAAATGTCGGCTGCCCGCAAATGTCGGCAAATTTCCAAGATATAATATCATAGTAATTTTTCCACGTGAATCCTGTCACCCTCACAATCAGGTGTCGGTTGCCCGCAAATGTCGGCTGCCCGCAAATCTTCCAGGCTGCCCGCAACTGTCGACCCTGCCCGCAAATGTCCCAGGCTGCCCGCAAATGCCGGTGCTGGCCGCAAATGTCGGCTGCCCGCAAAGTGGCTGCCCGCAAAAGATTTGCCCGCAAACTGGTTGCCCGCAAAGTGGTTGCCCGCAAGTGTGCGCCCGCCTCATATTCAGTCAGTTCATACTCAGTCAGCTCGAAAACCTTTCAAATTTTTTTTCAATTTTCACAAAAAATCCTTTTGTTAAAAGTCCCGAAGCGAAAACATTTCAAAATTTTTTCAAATTTCACAAAGAATCCTTTTTTCAACTCCCGAAGCGAAAACATTTCAAATTTTATTCAAATTTCACAAAAAATCCTTTTTTTCCAAGTCCCGAAGCGAAAACATTTGAAAAATTTTTTAAATTCACCAAAAAATTCTTTTTTCCAAGTCCCGAAGCGAAAATATTAAACGGTATCGTTGACCCGAAATGTCGTTGACCCGAAATGTCGTTGACCCGAGTTGTCGTTGACCCGAGTTGTCGCGACCCGAGTTGTCCCTGACCCGAAATGTCGTAGCGAATGCAGAATTTAAAGAAAATCTGAGCGTCGCATTTGGGGTACTCCCTTGCTAGCTAATCTTGTAATAATAACTTGGCTCCCAGAGTCGAATCTTCAACACCAAGACCACCTTTGCCGAGCGAGTAGCCAAACTTTCTCGCGATGATGCTGTTCTGTCCCGACTATCGACAACCTATCTTATCCTATGTTTCGATGGCGAAGTTGTCTCGTCACAGGCGCTACTGACCGGGATCTATTTCCTGGCACTGGTCGCACTCGTCCTGCTTATCACATTCTACAACATCAAAACCTCGACTGCACCGAGTAGCGCCCAACGCTTCCATTGGATGCTATTCTACGCCCTGCTTGCTCAATGCATCGCGCATTCGCTGACAATTTCAATCCCGGCTATTGTGTTTGGCGTGACGCAAAACTCGCCTCAGGCCCCGTTAATTTCAATGCTCTGTGTTTTGGCTGGATTCTTCAATACCTACGCGAATTGCTTCATCTTTTTACTGATTATCAAGCCGTATCGAGTGTATTCGAAACGAGTCCTTCTGAGCGTTTTCAAGTCCAACAAAGTGGCGGAGATACGACCTCAGGCGGCTCCGATTCAAACTCAAACAACCTCGGAAGCTGCGACAATTGTTCAAGTAGAACAACCGACGCATTAATGTTCAACAAGCTGATTCGTTAAAAATACGGCAAGCCTGTCAATAAAATGTGAATTTTACCAATGAAAATTCCCGGATAAACCTTTATACAGCCTCGGAAATGTGACATAAAATGCATCCAAATGGATTTGGATGAGCTTTCTGGCTCGTGGTACTGTCCGGGACGATACGATAAATAACCATTTCCGATTCGATTAAAACTCAATATAACGAGTCAACAGATCAAAACAATCTGATCCATTCAATGTTTCCGGGGTGTACAGTGACGCAACTGATCCGGTGGCAAAAAACGTACCATTTTGCATCTGCGAAGTATCAAAAAACGTGGCAAAATGCCTCCCTCTTATCACAAAAAGAGCGAGCGCGGTTTTGAAATCGGATTTTTTTAAAGTATCAAAAAATGTAGCAAAATACCTCCCTCTCCAACTAAAAAAACTCCGTTTTGAAGAGGGCGCCCTTTCCCTCACAAATTTTCACTTGGAAAGAGAGGTATTTTGCTACATTTTTGATACTTTCCGGATGCAAAATGGTGCGTTTTTTGCCACAGGAAGAGGTCCGCCACTGTACTTTTCCGGCAATTAAATAAACGAGTTTTTTTCTCCTCCTCCCCGTTCAAGTCCTTGCGGCTAAAAAATCATAGAAATCGGTAAGAAGACGCCCACAATGACCTCGTCCAGACCATTGCAAATGTCGTTAAAACCTAACCAAACCTTTTGAATTTCTCATTACCCAAAGATTCCACCTATTTTTCCGATTTGACCGTCCAATTACACTCTTTTCCTCTCCAACCCACAACTTTTTACACTCCCTTACCAGCCTGTCCATTGCTGCCATTCCCACTGTCGATGCTCCACATCCAGACGCGCCCCACGCCGTCGCCCACCAGGATTTGCCGATGGTCTTTGGATGGGAAAATGGCTGTGATCGGGGCGGGTCGATTGTTTTCGCTGTGATAGGCAGTATGTTCGGTGAGGATTCGTCGGAGTTGGCAGAATCTCCTCCATTTGAAGGTTTTGTTGGAGTTATCAGACGATTCTGAATGGTTCTCTTGTTTGTATGGATCACTGTCATCGTCGGTAAAGACTCCTTTTAGGGAGACTGGGGTGTGAAGAGGGGAGGAGAGCTGAAAAATGGGATTTTAGTGGGAACCAAAAGTTGGGAATTTCAAGTTTATATCTTCAAACGTCTTAAAAACCCTCCTAAAACAATATCCAAGACAATTTCTCACAATTACAAAAAATCGATAATTTTTTGGCATTTCGTCAAATTTTAGGACGAATTGCCACAAGGTTTTCTAAACGTGCTCAAATTAAAATTACACCCTCCTAATACACTAGAAACAGATTATTTTTCGTATCCAAGACAATCTCTCGCACTTACAAAAAAAATCGATACTTTTTTTGGCATTTCGTCAAATTTTAGAACAATTGCCACAAGCTTTTCTAAACGTACTCAAATTAAAATTCCACCCTCCTAATGGACTCCAAACAGCTCATTTTTCGTATAAATCAATTTTTTTCCCCAAAACGCAACCAAATTTATATTATCCATGACCCTTACCTGTGAATCATGAGAAGTGTCCACACTCAACCTCATCGATCCAAATGAGTGACTCTGATGGCTTTGGATTCTCTTTTGTCTCCTCAAAAAGTGTTCTTTCAAAGCATTAGGGTCATTGGCCAAGTTCGAACTCGTCGAACTGCTTCTTTCCGTTTTCTCCTCCTCTTCCGAGACCTTTCTCAGCTCAATCGAGTAAATTTTGACCAGCCCATCGGATGTTCCGCACATTATCACATTCTTCGGGTCCCAATCCGTGAATGTCGAGAAGGAGAGGCTTAGAATTAGACTTGATGGGTTCGAAAACAGGCCCGAATCAATGGTGTTCACTTGGCATAAGGGGTCGCCGTTCAGAGTCCACAAATAGAGATGGGAACCGGCGGCTGTGGCAATATCTCCGGTGGTGGCGTTCACTGAGAGGGCTGTGACGGCGCTGTGATGGCCTGGAAGTTAATTAATAGTAATATAGCCATATAAAAACCTTATTTATCTTACCAGTCAACTGTCTGATGTAGGACAACTGCGTGAGATGCCAGATCACCGCTGTTTGATCTCTGGACGCGCTCACCAGAAAGTTATGAGCTGGGCAGGCCGCTAGACAAGTCACTACGTCAGTGTGCGCGTCCAGCGCTCGCTTCGGCCGAAGTCTTGGCCGTTTCGAATAGGACGACGACGAAGAACTCGAGGTGGAAGAAGTCGGCGGTAACGTGGATTTCACAGGTTGCCCCTGCTGCGAGCCTGCCACAACTCCTGCCACGGAAGCGCCAGTGGCTCCGGAGGCCGCTGCAGCGAGTGTTGAGGTCTGGCTTGTGGAGGCGCGGCGATTTTCCGCCGCACTTTTTCGTCCGCTCATATCCAACGACCAGACCAGGACCGTTCCGGTCGTTAGACCGGCAAAGATCAGCTTTCCGTCCGCCGTTTCCATGGACGTAATCTCGTAGACGTCGTTGGTTTCGAAGATGCAAACACTCTTGTCGCTTCCCACTTGGCCCATTCGGATGGAGCGGTCGTTGAAGCCCCAGGACATGAAGGTTTGTGGAGGGACGAGCATTTTGTTTTGCTCCATGACGATGATTTGGTTCTTTTCGTTGATGCGGATGTCTCCGACGGCTGCGCGAAGCTCTGAAATAACATTTTTTTACGGGACAAAGAGCCAAAAATCCAATAATTTTGATAAAACAACAGATACTGAGACGATTGGGGAAACCAAAAAGTATTAATTTTCTTCAATGCAAGTGTCGAAAGTAGGATAACCGAGGGCGCTGATTTCGAAAATGACATCGCTTTTTTTACTTTTTTCTTTATTTAGTACTGTAAAGTAGTAATTTTTTGAATTTTTGTCATAAATACTCGATTTGGGGGTTTTCGACCTTGCTGATTTCGAAAATCTTATTCATTTTTCTGGTTTGAAAGCAGCGCCATCGAAAACTCATAAACCAAGTATTTGTAAAAAAAATCAAAAAATTACAACTTTACAGTACCACTTAAGGAAAAAAGTAACAATCAAAAAAATAAATGTCATTTTCAAAATCAGCACCCTCGATTATCCTAATTCCGACACTTGCATCGAAGAAAAATAATACTTTTCGGTTTCCCTAATCGTCTTTTCCACAATCATCCAAATACAACACAATTTCCTACCTTTTACTGGCTTCGGAGATGGCCTCAGAGTCTCCAAAGTATGGTAAAAAGTCATCGGAGTTGTGACTCCTTTCGTCGGCTGCACCGTAACAATCGGCTGGGATCTGTCGGTGAGGCCCGAGGACTGCCCCAGATTGGCGATTTTCTTGGCTGGATGGGGCTTTTTGAAGAGCTGAGTCGGGGTTTGGCCAAAGTTATTGATGAAACCGAGGGTTGCATTTCGGGTGAGGGGGTCGTCGATCGATTCGAAATCGACGTTTTCTTCGTAGAACAAATGATGGAAGACATTGTTGGCGTCTCTGAAAAATTTGCGGGGTAAAATACGCGCTCCAAAAAATAATTTTTTTTTAAAAAATCTTTTTTTTTTTTTGATTTCAAAATGCAAAAAATTAAAAAAAAAGTATTCTACAGTGAGGGACCGGATCCAATGGCAAAAAACGTCTCACTTTGCATCCCGGAAGGGACCAAACTGACTCCAAATCCTTCCCTTCTCTAAGCTAAAAAACTCCGCTTTGAAAAGCGCGCCCTTTCCTTCAATAGCTCCCATTCCTTCCAACAATATTCGCAATCAAAAAGCGCGCGCTTTTTTCTTTTCTCGCATTCTCCTTCTCCGGGAAAAAAACAAAAAAATTCGGCAAATATAGAAGGCCAATAGAAAGAGAGAAGCGCAAAAGGCGCGCGCTTTTTGATTGCGAATATTGTTGGAGGGAATGGGAGCTAGCGCTCTCTTATTGAAGGAAAGGGCGCGCTTTTCAAAGCGGAGTTTTTTAGCTTACAAGGGAAGTCACTTAAGTCACGGATCGATTTTAAAAAACGACTGTTACAGCGATGGGGAGGGTAGGACGGAGATATCAAATCTAAAAACCGCTACCTCCACCGGACTCTGGGAGCCGAGATAATCGACCAAAAATGTTTGACCAAAAAAAGCTGCTCCGAATAGTCCTCCCTTCCGAAAGCAGGAGGGAAAAGAACCGAATGGTCCGGTGGTCTGGAAGCGCGCTTCCAGGCCTTGACCTTTTCAGGTTCGAATCCGCATGGTTCCAATAATTTATTAAACTTTTCCTGTGATCCAGTAAATTTACCGGTAAGATAAAATTTTTGATTTTTTGCATATTTTATGATAAAATTTCAGAGTAATAATTTAAAACGCGTTTTATTACAAATCGTAGTTTGGCCCGGACATTGTTAAAATCAGTGTCTCAGAATTGAACGAAAATTGGTCAACTTAATCACTGATAGGCACAAAACATTCGCTTTCTTTGTTTTTGCCCAAAATTACCGTATGACGGCATACTGTAACATCATTTTTAAAAAAAGATATGCCCTAATCGAGAAAACGAAGCGCTATTTCAGCGCAAATTGAGTTCAGGTATGTGTTTTCGATCATGTAGAACATTTTTGTAATTGTCACCGAAAACTAAAAATTACATCTAAGCTATGTTACACTTGAGACAACATACCATTTCGGGTATAAAAAATGCAGTTCGGACGAGGCGCAGATTTTGAAACCGGAATACTAAACCTCAAGCCTCGTCTAACAAACCATTAAAATAGGTTTTTGGCTAGGCACAAATCTTGAAAGTTTCCAATACATTTTTATGAGAGTTTAGGAGGATATAGAAGGTTTCAGAGGAAAAAAATGAATAGTTTTTGAGAAATTGACCAAAATACCTTGTTTTAGGTCATCAGATGCCCGAAAAAATCTGGCATTCTTAGGTTTTTGGCTAGGCGCAGATTTTGAAAGTTTCCAATACATTTTTATGACATTTTAGGATGATACAGGAAGTTTCATAGGAAAAAAATGAATAGTTTTTGAGAAATCGACCAAAATACCTTGTTTTAGGTCATCAGATGCCCGAAAAAATCTGACATTCTTAGGTTTTTGGCTAGGCGCAGATTTTGAAAGTTTCCAATACATTTTTATGACATTTTAGGGGGATATAGAAAGTTTCAGAGGAAAAAAATGAATAGTTTTTGAGAAATCGACCAAAATACCTTGTTTTAGGTCATCAGATGCCCGAAAAAATCTGACATTCTTAGGTTTTTGGCTAGGCGCAGATTTTGAAAGTTTCCGATACATTTTTATGACATTTCAGGAGGATATAGAAAGTTTCAGAGGAAAACAGTAAATAGTTTTTGAGATATCGACCATGGTGAACCTGTTATAGGTCAAGTTGCTGGAAAATTCGACCAATTTTCTTTGGCATCTCTTTTTTCCGAGATATATGTGTGTTACTGTTTTTTTCTCCAAATTGTCACAAATAAATTCGAGCTCTCTGCAAAACTTTTGTCAAATGTACGCCGCACGTCAAGAAAAAATAAAAGAAAAACGGGCGCCCAATGAAAAAGCCTAGAATTTTTTTTGGCATTCTGCCCTGTGCAAATTCGTTTTTGTCCAAATGGTTTGCAATATTTTGACGTAAAGATTAATAGTAAATCACAAGATATTGATACCAATAGAAAGCTCAAGAGCTGCTTAAGCTAACAGAACCAAAATATACCCATAATCATAGTGTTTTGACAGTCTTCCAAGGCGTAGAATACAACGTCTAAATAAAAGTTTGTATCGACGATACCGAGTCAGAGAGCACTGGAAGGAGGTATACGCTCCGCGTCAAAAAAATCATTAAACTGTTCTTCGAGTATCTACACCGGTCTCGTCCCGCTTGATGGGACAGTTTTTTTGATATTCGGCCTTGAAATTTGCACTATTTTTAGCCTAGCTCGAACCATGTTCAGAAAATGCGTCACGATGACACCAATTTAGAATGTACCAGCGGTACAAAAAACAGTTGTATACGAGTAGTAGTACTCTCTATAGTTCCCGTAAAAAAATTAGGTTAAAAATTGCTGTTATGTGCAATTTGGATGACAGATTTTATGAATTTTTTTTCGCTGTGAGAACCTTTGCAATGCCCGAAATTTCTTGACGTGCGCCGAAGGGTACGATTCTGTGTTCTGATGACCTAAAACAAGATATTTGGGCCGATTTCTCAAAAACTATTCATTTTTTTCCTCTGAAACTTTCTATATCCTCCTAAAATGTCATAAAAATGTATTGGAAACTTTCAAAATCTGCGCCTAGCCAAAAACCTAAGAATGCCAGATTTTTTCGGGCATCTGATGACCTAAAACAAGGTATTTTGGTCGATTTCTCAAAAACTATTCATTCTTTTCCTATGAACCTTCCTGTATCATCCTAAAATGTCATAAAAATGTATTGGAAACTTTCAGAATCTGCGCCTAGCCAAAAACCTAAGAATGCCAGATTTTTTCGGGCATCTGATGACCTAAAACAAGGTATTTTGGCCGATTTCTCAAAAACTATTCATTTTTTTCCTCTGAAACTTTCTATATCCTCCTAAAATGTCATAAAAATGTATTGGAAACTTTCAAAATCTGCGCCTAGCCAAAAACCTAAGAATGCCAGATTTTTTCGGGGTCAAGGTGATCTTGCACATGAGACATTGAATGTCCGATATCTCAAAAACTATATATTTGATCTTTCTAAAATTTTAATGGTTTGTTAGACGAGGCTTGAGGTTTAGTATTCCGGTTTCAAAATCTGCGCCTCGTCCGAACTGCATTTTTTATACCCGAAATGGTATGTTGTCTCAAGTGTAACATAGCTTAGATGTAATTTTTAGTTTTCGGTGACAATTACAAAAATGTTCTACATGATCGAAAACATATACCCGAACTCAATTTGCGCTGAAATAGCGCTTCGTTTTCTCGATTAGGGCATATCTTTTTTAAAAAATGATGTTACAGTATGCCGTCATACGGTAATTTTGGGCAAAAACAAAGAAAGCGAATGTTTTGTGCCTATCAGTGATTAGGTTGACCAATTTTCGTTCAATTCTGAGATGCCGATTTTAACAATGTCCGCCCTCTGTTAGGCTAAGCTCCAAAGTGTGGCAAAACGCGTTTTAAATGCGAGTTCCAAACGATTCGAATTTTCAAGGTTGAAAATTTACCGTGAAATAGGCAAAAAATCTAAAAATAAATTCCTAGGAAATTTACTGGATCACAGCAACTGTTTTATAAATTTTGCACAAGTTCGAGACCCGCGCGGATTCGAACTTGAAAAGGTGTAGGCCCGGAAGCGCGCTTCCAGACCACTGAACCATTCGGTTCGCTGCGTTCTCTTCTTTCGGAATGAAGAAATGTTCGGAAGAATTTGGTCAAACTTTTTGGTCGATTATCTCGGCTCCCAGAGGCCGGTGGAGGTAGCGGTTTTTAGATTTGATATCTCTGTCCTATCCTCTTCATCGCTGTAACAGTCGTTTTACAAAATCGATCCGTGATTTAAGTGACTTCCCTTGTTAGAGAAGGGAAGGATTTGGAGTCAGTTAGGTCCCTTCCGGGATGCAAAGTGAGACGTTTTTTGCCATTGGATCAGGGGCCTGTTTCATCAACGAAAAATAAATAAAATAAACGAAAGGGAAAGCGAGAGAACACCCAAAACACGTTTCGAAGCGAGAGAGTCGCGACAGATTAGTAGAGACCATCTATAGAGCGGCGCATTTATCACAGCGATCGGAGTGACTTTTTACGTCCAAAACGGGGGGTTCTCAGCAGTAATCAGTGGATAACTCGGCTCCCGGTGGTCGTAGAATCACCCTTCCAAAAACCAAATAAAGCTATTCCTTAGAGCTACGTGATATCCAAATTTCATATTTATACTTCAAAAAATGAACTCAGTAGACACCTAGTAGATCGTAGTATTCAACTTTTTTGACGTTTTTTTCTGAAAAACGTTATTATTTCAGTCAATTTTTAACATAATGGGATAAAATTGGTACCAGTCGATAGCCAAACGTTTACTCTACAAAACTTTTTTAGAGGGGCGGTTTACTTCAAAAAATGAACTCGGTAGACACCTAGTAGATCACAGTATTTACGCTTTTTTTACGTTTTTTCGAAAAAAACCTTTGTTTTTCACTCAGTCTTTAACATAATGGGATAAAATTAGTACCAGTCGATAGCCCAACGTCTAATCTATAAAAAATTTTTAGAGGGGCGGCTTCTTTTGCCCTGTGGCCTGCGAAACGTTCAATTTCGTGAGACGATGTCTTCTATTTGCGTAAAAAGTCCTTCGATCGTTTCCGAAAAAACCAAAAGAGAGGAAAAGGGCCCTCGAAACGGGATGGTTTTTTGTGTCAAAAACGGTGGTTCATGACAGTAAACATAGACGTTTCGCAGGCCACAGGGCAAAAGAAGCCGCCCCTCTAAAAATTTTTTATAGATTAGACGTTGGGCTATCGACTGGTACTAATTTTATCCCATTATGTTAAAGACTGAGTGAAAAACAAAGTTTTTTCCGGAAAAAACGTAAAAAAAGCGTAAATACTGTGATCTACTAGGTGTCTACCGAGTTCATTTTTTGAAATAAACCGCCCCTCTAAAAAAGGTTTGTAGAGTAAAGGTTTGGCTATCGACTGATACCAATTTTATCCCATTATGTTAAAAATTGACTGAAATAATAACGTTTTTCAGAAAAAAACGTCAAAAAAGTTGAATACTACGATCTACTAGGTGTCTACTGAGTTCATTTTTTGAAATATAAATATGAAATTTGGATATCACGTAGCTCTAGGGAATAGCTTTATTTGGTTTTTGGAAGGGTGATTCTACGACCACCGGGAGCCGAGTTATCCACTGATTACTGCTGAGAACCCCCCGTTTTGGACGTAAAAAGTCACTCCGATCGCTGTGATAAATGCGCCGCTCTATAGATGGTCTCTACTAATCTGTCGCGACTCTCTCGCTTCGAAACGTGTTTTGGGTGTTCTCTCGCTTTCCCTTTCGTTTATTTTATTTATTTTTCGTTGATGAAACAGGCCCCTGGTCCCTCACTGTACAGTGTCGGACCTGATCCAATGAAAAAATGTGCCATTTTGCGTCCGGAAAGTATCAAAAAATGTAGCAAAATGCCTCCCTCTGCAACTAAAAAAACCTCCTTTTTTAAGCGCGCTTTCACAAAAAAGATCGGATGCGCTTTTCAAATCGGAGTTTTTCCGTTGAAGAAGGATGCATTTTGCCACATTTTTTTTGATACTCCCCAGATGCAAAATAGTACGTTTTTTGTCACTGGATCAGGTCTGCCAATGCAATATAAAACTTGAAAAATATCCGGCCAAAAATTCAAAAAAACAAACAAAAATCAAAATTACTCACTTTGCAGCCTCTCCATTCTGCTTAAACCCAAAAATCAGATCGATCCATTCATGCAGATGCTCGCTGACATAGTCGCTTTCCAGGGCTTCCCGATGTTTTCGCACAAATTCGATGGGATCGCCATGAGCCCAGGCGGGTAAAATGATATCGTTCAGGGGGACTCCGTTCTGTTTTACTCCCAAATCATACGAATTGGAGTTTTTGAACATTTCCGGGAGATAGAAGAACTCGGGGATCAACTCCTTGACATCCGCCATATTATTCTTGGCGGCGGATTTAAAGGCGTCCCCAACCGAGTGGAACATTCGATCGGCCAAGTCAAAATGACCTCCCTGGTATGAGAAGAATTCAGATTACCAAAAAAACTTGTAAAAAACCATCTTTTAAAATAAAAAATTTTTAAAACATAATTTTTTCCCCAAAAAACTTACCTGTAATTTCAAGAACTGCTGAGTAAATGGCTCCAACCGAACCAGATACGACAATACAATCATGGCCGACGAGTAATGCGTTCCGTACATGTATGGAGGGGTGTCTCCACTTGGATCGTCCCATTCGCGGAACCTTTTGAGGAACTGAGCCAATCTCTCCGGGGTTTGAGCGCCCATTGGTTTGGAGAGGTCGCGGAAAGTGCAAGGCTTCGTTAGGTCCAAGGAATCACTGTCGTAGTCCTGAAAAAAGTTTGTCAATTCGAAAGGTCTACCTGTCGCAAAAAACGTACCATTTTAACCCAAGAAGTATCAAAAAATGTGGCAAAATACCTCCCTCTCCAAGTGAAAAAACTCCGTTTTGAAGGGTGCCTCATAAAAACAACATTGAAATCAATTTTTTTTTTCGATTCCAAATTCAGTGACGGACCTGATCCAGTGGCAAAAAATGTACCATTTTGCATGCAAAAGTATCACAAAATGTGGCAAAATGCCTCCCAAAAAACTCCGTTTTGAAGGGAGCGGGCGCGCTTTTGAAATCGGAGTTTTTTCACTTGGAAAGGGAGGTATTTTGCCACATTTTTGATACTTCCCGGATGCAAAATGGTACATTTTTTGCCACTGGATCAGATCCGTCACTGTAGCACCCCCACAAATCAACGTATTTTACCTTTAAAAAATTTTTAGCACAAGCCTTTCAATTTCCAAAAATTTAGCAAATGCTTTTCAACCCCCAAAACCTCTAAACTTGCCTTCAAAATCCACGGGAACACCGGATATTGACTCAGATCATTGTAGGTTCTACCAGCCAGCGTGTTCAGATGCATGAGGTAATTAAAGTTGGAAACCTCTCCCCTGACCCATTTCTGAGTCATCGTGGATTGTCCGAACGGTAGAATCTGGCCCAAAAACGCGCCGGAATCTTTTTCCTCTGTACTACTCTTCTTGGCCAGGGTCAGCAATTTCTGATGGACCCGATCTCGGATTTTCCTCGGGAATGCGATCAAAAAATTGCGACCATCGCCGCTAAACAGCTCCAACGCAATTGGTTGAAGAAGGTATCGTCTTTTATGGACATCTCGAATGTCTTCATACGCGAATTTGTTGCATTGACGGTTGGCGCGAGTCGACATTCGATGTTGCGAGCCCATGGCCATGTACGGGATGATGGGATCATGATATTGCTCGGGAAGGAAGTCGAGATCGCGAATTTCGCGGGTTTTGAGGAGAGTGAACCCATCCACAACGTAGAAATGATGTCGGCCAAACAGGAGGAGGCCTGGAATGTGCGCATTGTTAAAAAAGTTCTGTAAACAGTCAAAAAAACTAGCAAAAATACCCTGGGCCAATGAGAAAGGTCAAAAAAATCACAGCAGGCCCAAATTTGGTATCAAAAAGTATCCTAAAAGAAACAAAAAAACTGTTGATCTCAATGAAAAAAATTCGTGCCAGGTGATGACTTTTGGCCACTGGTCATACTGTTTTTTAAAAAGGAAAAAATGTTGAAATTGCGAGCACCGCTTCCAGTCGATAAAAGTAGTCGAAAAAGGCCAAAATAAACTCGAATTTGGTATCAAAAAGTATCGCAAAAAACAAAAAGACTGTTGATTTTGATGACTAAAATTGTCACTCTTTTCAAAACCATCAGTCTTTTTGTTTTACCATACTTTTTGATAACAAATTCAAGCTTATCTTGACCTTTTTTTCGACCACTTTTATCTACTGGCAGCGTTGCTCTCAATTTCAAAACTTTTTCCACTTCAAAAAACAGTACGACCTGTGGCCAAAGGTTATCATCTGGCACGAATTTTTGTCATTGAGATCCACAGCCTTTTTGTTTCCTTTACGATACTTTTTGATACCAAATTCGGGCTTGCTGTGATTTCTTTTTTTTGACCTGGCATCGGTGCTCTCCATTTCAAAACTTTTTCCATTTGAAAACAGTACGACCTGTGGCCAAAGGTTATCACCTGGCGCGAATACGTAATTCCACTGGCCTCTGCATAACAAAAGTCGACTTTGGAGGAAACACAGTGAAATTTTTCAAAACACTTTAATGCGTCTTAATTCATACCTTCTAATTTTAAGTAAATTTCCCTCGTCTATAATTAAAATCGTAATCCGTCGTCATAAGATAAATTATGGCGGGTTCATTGCAGAGTGTTCCAACCGGACCACACTAACTGGAAAAAACGTCTCTGTTTCGGATAAAAAAAAACTGCCCAAGAAGGTAATAGTCCCTTCATAACGTCGCTGAAGTGATTTTTGCGACTTGCACTGTGCGAAAACAAAATTTTACTTTGCACTGTGCAGTTTCTTTCTTTTCGCACCGTGCAATAGGCTTTTTCGGACTGTCGCTCGCATCCTGACTTTTACGAAAAAGTCAGGGTGCGAGCGACAGCCCAAAAAAGTCATTGTGCAAAAAGTCGAAAAATTCCGTGAAAAAACAAAAGTGAACTTTGCCAAAGTGAACTTTTGTTTTCTCACAGTGCATGTCGCCGACACCACTCCAGCGACTTTGCGAGCGGACTATAACCAAGTTTTTGTTGTCTATGAGGAAATAAACGGGTATTAATTACATTCCACTTCGTCTAAAATTTTGGGTTAACCATTGTGCCACTCACTTCTTCGGTCAAAAAAGTCCAAAAAGACGTCATTTTTATTGTTTGGTGAAATAACTCATAAAACGGGGGAAAAATGAAAAATTATTGAAAGATGACAATGAATAACATAAATGACTGTTGTCACTGCAAAAGGTTGATTGGAAGGTGATAAAAAAAATATTAATAACCTTGTTTCGGGAGTTTTGAGAGCCAAAAAAGGTCGAAAAAGACGTCAAAGTGGATGCGAATTTGGTATCAAAAAGTATCGCAAAGATATACAAAGATTGTTGGTTGGGAAAAACAGAACTTTCCTCACCAAATCTACTCACCAATCTTTTTATATCCCTGGATACTTTTTGATACCAAATTCGGATCCTCTTTGACGTCTTTTCCAACCTTTTTTGGCTGTCAAAACTCCCGGAAAACAAGATTATTAATATTTTTTACCACTTTCCAATCAACCTTTTGTAGGGACAACCGTCACTTATGTTATTCATTGTCATCTTTCAATAATTTTTCATTTTTTTCATCCCATTTTATCAGTGCTTCCCAAAACAATAAAAATTAGTCACTGATTGTCCTAAAAACCCCATTAATTCGTTGATTTGTATACGAAAATGTTACTCTTTGCTGGGTGGTATTGGAATTCTGATTCATGGACATGGATCAAAACACAATGTGTTTTTCGAAACGAGAGTTTTTGCATAAAGAAAATCGGATCAAAGCTATTTTTCATGTTTTTTTCATTCAGACCGCCGATACAGAAATGGATCGATCAAAACATTTCATCCTGAAAATTTTATTTTTACAATTACTGATTATTATGGTTGAAGGATATGATGAAGATGGGAATTACACCTGTATCTCAGTATTAGGAGGTAAGTCATTTTTTGAAATTTTTTAGCACGATTTTTTCATTTTCAGAACATTTACTACCAAAAGAAATCTTCCCATCTCCAAAAATGGAAATTCTAAATGCGAAAGAAGATCAATGCTCGGAATATCACTGTTATTTGAAATAGTGTCGAATTTTTATTTACTTTCTTGCAAAATTATTTGTATAAATTGACAAATGAACAGTACGTATAGGCTACTTATTCTACAATATAACCTAACAACGTCCTCCGGCAAAAACTTAGTCCGTCCCCAAACTAAACTCGACAGAAAATGGTGAAATTAGGTTCTAAACATAAGCTGCTTTCTAAAAAAGCTTTGCAAAATTTCCAGAGCAAGCGTAATATCTACAGTGACGGACTTGATTCAGTAGCAAAAGACGTACCATTTTGCATCCGGGAAGTATCAAAAAATGTAGCAAAATGCCTCCCTCTCCAACTAAAAAAATTGAATGGAACCCTTTCTCTCACAAAAAGAGCTGGCGGACTTTTTTTTGAAATCGGAGTTTTTTTACTTGGAGAAATAGGTATTTTGCTACATTTTTTGATACTAACCGGATGCAAAATGCTACGTTCTTTGCCACTGGATCATCCGCCACTGTAGTGCCAGAGCTTTTGAGCAAATTGATCGAGGTCTAATAAACCCAAAATTAACATCGACATGTACGGCAGAGATAGAAAAAAAAGGATTCTTCTTTCAAAAGAAGAAACTTTTTTGGCTCTGTGATACTTTTTGATATCAAATTTTTTATGTATTTTTTCAAAATCGATTAATGTTTCCCCCCAAAAAAATTTTTTTTAATAATCTTGGCTTCCTCTCCAACCCTATTTTAGCTCATTTTGTATCGATATCAATATAAAAAAAACGATACTTTTCCACCATTCCAACAAAACCCTCCTTACCTTCAATCGTATCCAAGCCCTGGACTCTCGCGCATCTAAACATTGAATGCAGTTGTTCGCCAGTCTCCAGCAGCCTCAGCAATGTCTGATTGTCGGGTCCATTCCCCATTTGCTTATCATTCCCATTCTTTTCTTTGTTCACACTTGATTTCCTCGCCTCCGTCTTTTCCTCTTTTTCTTCCGATTTCTCCTCATTTCCCTCGCTTTTTTCCTTGGATTCGGATTCGTCCAACGAATCCGAGTCCTCTTCTTCTTCATCTTTAATTACATGCTCATCAACTTGGTCCTCTCCTCCCTTTTCCACCTCCTTTTTCTTGTTTTCAATTTGCAAATTTTTTGTGACCATCCGTTTGATCATCGAGATGTTGAGCTCGGTGGTTGGGTCCAGCACAATATTTTCGTTATTATAAACAGTTCCATTTGGATTCGGGGGAGCTGTGGCGTTGGGTTGAGAGCGATCCACAATTCGTTCGTCCATGGTGTGGAAACGGCGGCTTTTCATTCGTTCATAGTATTGTTTGGAGTCTTTGGAGATGGCGAACTTGGCTCGGACCGACTTCTAAAATTCGCTTCGTCAGTCAAATATTATATTAGGTTGATGCATAATTATCCGGCGTTTTTACTGGCGCGTTTTTTTGTTAGTTAAAATTGGCGTTTCGCTAATTTTTTCATAAAAATAATCTTCTCTTGTTAGTTAATAAAAATGCGTGTCAAAAGCCATAGTCATATTCGCCAAATTATACCACTTTGCATCCGGGAAGTAGCTAAAAAATGCGGCAAAATACCTCCCTTTCCAACTAAAAAACTTCGTTTTCAAAAGCGCGCCCGCTCTTTTGTGAGGGCGCCCTTCAAAACGGAGTTTTTCACTTGGAGAGGGAGGTATTTTGCCACATTTTTTGATACTTCCCGGATGCAAAACGGTTCGTTTTTTGCCACTGGACCAGGTCCGTCACTGTATTACTACTCACCGATTCCACCGAATCCAAATACGGTCTGTACGGATATCGTTGATAGAACGTTGGGTCCGGCAGCAACTTCTTCCTCACTCGGCATGGTCCTTCCGTCGTGTCCAACTGATATTTATCCAGCTCCGACTTCTTTTCCGGTCCCCAAAGTCCTCGCTCTCGAGTCAGCTCGGCTTCAGCTAGATGCCAATCCTGCATGCACCATTTGCGAACATGCGTGTGCCATTCTGTGTAGCGTTGTTTTTGGGTCCTCATCAACTCTTTTAATAGGCTGACGTGGACTCTCATCCACATTTGGAAGGTCTCCGGTTCGACTTTTGGCCGCTCGTAGTGGAATTGGGCCGGCTAGAAATTGCAAACCGTCACCATTACAAGAACCTGCATAGGCTACTTATGAATTGCCAAAAATCACGCGTCCCGACATTTCGGGTCAGGGACAACTCGGGTCGCGACAACTCGGGTCAACGACAACTCGGGTCAACGACACTTCGGGTCAACGACACTTCGGGTCAACGACACCTCGGGTCAACGACATTTCGGGTCAACGATACCGTTTAATATTTTCGCTTCGAGACTGGGAAAAAAGAATTTTTTGGTGAATTTAAAAAATTTTTCAAATTTTTTTGCTTCGGGACTTGGAAAAAAGGAATTTTTTGAAGAGTTTGAACAAATTTTTGAAAATTTTTCGCTTCGGGAATTGGGAAAAGGATTTTTTTTGTTCTGAATGTTACAATTTTATTTTACATAAGGTACGAATGTTATTTCTTTAATTTTTTAGGTAAATAGTTATTTTAGAGGTAATTGAGGTTTATTTTAAAAATTTTTTGGGAAAATAGTGTTTATAAGCGAGGAGCAAATAAGAAAATCGTTATGTGCGTGCAATCATTACGACTATCTTCTTACTCCACTCTCTGGCACTGTCTGCGTTTAAATCCCGTGCTTCCAGTTAAAAACATAGACAATGGATACTATTTTCTTATTTGCTCGTCGCTTATACACTATTTCCCTATAAAAATTAAAAAATAAACCTTAATTCTTCAAAAAATTCTTTTTCCCCAGTCCCGTAGCGAAAACATTTTAAAAATTTGTTCAAACTCTCAAAAAAATTCTTTTTCCCAAGTTCCAAAGCGAAAAAATTTAAAAATTTTGTTCAAATTTACCAAAAAAATCTTTTTTCCAAGTCCCGAAGCGAAAACATTTCAAAAATTTTTCAAATTTGCCAAAAAATTCTTTTTTCCCAGTCCCGAAGCGAAAATATTAAACGGCATCGTTGACCCGAAATGTCGTTGACCCGAGGTGTCGTTGACCCGAGTTGTCGCGACCCGAGTTGTCCCTGACCCGAAATGTCGTAGCGCCAAAAATCACAGCTCCGATCTTACAGGCGCCTCCAACTATTCAGCAATGTTTTCTACAGGGACACTACGAAATATGAGACCTTTCAGAAAGAAAAACGTCTTTTCCTTATACTCTCACAAACTTTTGCCCGGAGAAACTTGATTTTTTTTTTGGGATTTCGTAGAGCCAAAAACACAGACGATGCCAACAACTCGACGTATTTTTACACCGGCGGACCTGATCCAGTGGCGAAAAACGTACCATTTTGCTTCCGGGAAGTATCAAAAAATGCCGCAAAATACCTCCTTCCCCAAGTGAAAAACCCCGATTTCAAAGGCGTCTTTTTGTGAGGAAATCGGCGCGCCCATTAAAACGGAGTTTTTCAATTGGAGAGTGAGGCATTTTGCCACAATTTTTGGTACTTCCCTGATGCAAAATGGTACGTTTTTGCCACTGGATCACGCCCTTCACTGTACTGGTTGGAAGGTGGATTGGCATACCGAGAAAATTCCAAAAAAAACCAATTTTCCCCAGGCAAAATTTTTAAAAGCATAAGGAAAAGGCGTTTTTCTTTCTAACAGATCCTCTCCTCATATATCTCGTACTATCCCTATAGAAAAGATTGCTGAATATCGCGACAAAACGAAAGCTAAAAGTTCCATGAATTCAGGCTTTTCCCACAAGCTCAAGAGACCGCCAAACTTTCATATCCCCCTTTTATACCTGAAAGAACTGTTTCTCCTGTGACATCGACTTCCGTGAGGTCAATCTCTTGAACCCTGACCTTGCCACTCTCGACAATCTCGACTGAATTTGATGTTGCAATTGCCCGCCCACTTGTCTCGCACTCGACGTTAACGACGCCGTTTGCGGGGCCAGATTTGCGTTGCCTTGCGCTTGAACGTCCACAAACTGCAGCCAATACCTGTTGGCGGATTCGCCACACGCCGCTCTGGCCGAATACAGGTCAAGTTCCACGTTTCGTTTGAAAATCTCCTCCAGCAGCTGTTTCTTCTGCTGCCAAAGGATTCCCCAGACGGATTGGGCGCAGACCGAGACCTGGGCCGAGCCTCTTTCGAGGTGTTTGTTGGATGATTGGAGATCTGGCGGCTCACTGAGCATAAAAACGAGGTGAACCAGGGCTCCGTAGAATAGGGGGTTGTTGCTATTGGCCGAGAGTAAAATGTGTTGATTTCTGATGATTTCGGCAAGTGTGTCGACCACTGAGGTTTGGGCTGGAAGATACAAAAATTTTCTTTGATTTTATCAATTTTTAAAACACAACGCCAAGAATTTGCAAATTTTTCGAAAATTCAAAATTTAAAGAAACCACGTGAAAAATGTTGACCCTATTGATAGATACGCAGTTGAATGTGCCGTATTTTACCCGATTTCTTCAACTTTTAATAATTTTCTAAACCTTGCAACACAATGCCAAGATTTCTTTCATTTGGCGGAAAACTAAATTTTCAAAATCAAGTCTCGAAAATATTGGTCAGAACATCGATTTGTAGTGGAATTCAGCGTACTCTACCTTAATTTCGCAATGTAGACCATTTTCGGCGGCTTGCAACATAATGCCAAGATTTATTTCATTTGCCGGGAAAATCAAAACTTCAAAATTATATCTCGCAAATATTGATCTGAATCACCGATACGTAGTAGAAATACCCTAATTTCGCAATGTAGACCATTTTGGGCACCTTGCAACATAATGCCAAAAAAATCAAAATTTGGCAGAAAATTCAAAATCCAAAAAAATTACTTACTGTCCACATTATCAATGGGTCTGCTCAGCAAATATAGAACAATCCGGAACAATGCGTTCAAATGAGCGTCCGTGCAGGCCAATTGAGCCGCCGCTTTGTTGGCGGTATGGCTTTCGGCCAGCAATTTGAGGAAGCATTTCAAAATTTTCACCGGATTCCCTCTGTACAAACAGTTCCAGACCGAGTCGATGACACGTGAAAGGAAGTGTATGACGTTGATGGCGGTCTGTTCGGAGCTGGGATTGAGCCGACCCTCCGTCGATTTGGGAATGTTGAGGGAGGAGTTGGCAAAGAACATGTCCGAGGCCATGAAATGATCCAGGCAGGTGTTCACCAGCTCGGTAAATAGGCTGCTTTGAGATGAATGCATAGCTCCGCCGCCTTCCAGGTACTGTAAAATCAGGCTTACTATCTTTTTGGACTTTAATCTTATCGATACTCAAAAAAAAAAAAAAAAATCAAAAATTTTCAAAATCAGATTTAAAAAAGTGAGGTCTTGAATAACGCTCAATGGCACTACTAAATAAAAAAATGTCATAAGGTGACATTTTATACGATAAAAAAATAAATTTTCTGATTTTTTTCAAATGTAATTTTAAACATTTCATCGTATAAAATGTAACACGTGAAAAAATTTTCATCCTTCTACTGTCTTCTGAAAGAAAATTGAATCTTTTTTAGCACCAAAACATCGCGTTAGCGTTCAAAAAACCTCAAAATATTCCACTTACATCCACCAGATGGTCGAAGAGCCAGTCGGTCCTGTAGTCATCATACTGCAGGCACAAATCGTTCAACAGTATGTTAGCCAGCAAGTCCAGGACACTCTTGGCGCACCTTTGATTTGCCGGCGGGAGAGCCGACACCGGGGTTGAGCACTGGGGAGTGTTTGCGGCTGATCTCGGAGGGATCAAAGATGTAAATAGACTGATCACAAATGTTTCATTATGGCAGAGTGGTACGAAATTTTCGAGATTCTGATACAAGAAGGTCAGGAGTTGTACGACCATGATGGGATAGGATCTTGACCAGTGATTATCATCAACTGGTTTCCCATCCTCACTGCTGTAATGCAGGCCGGCTCTGAGCATCGAAATCAGCGGGATCAGGGCTTCCGGGCAGTACTCCACTTTGGCGATGGCGTCGTAAACCGAGCTGTTCGTGGAGAGCGCGAAAACATGGCTCCAGATAAGGTCTACGTTGAATTCTTCGATCGGCTGGATATTGGCGTCATGTTGATTGAAAAGTAATGCCAATACGGTAAGATATGCGAAGGGTTGGTCGGCATGAGCGCAGATGAGCTGTTCCAGAGCCGCCAGACCAGAAACGGAGCTGAGTTCGGGATTCACGTCCACATGACTGCCTACAGCGCCGCCGTGCGCGGAGACCGAGAAGCCCAACAGAACCGCGGCTCGATTTCGAAGGACAGAATCGGCGTCTTGAAGCCAGCCATTATTCGAGGAGCCTTCTCGGAACTTTTGAAGGAGAGTTGAGTATTTTGTAACCGTTAGAAGGGTTCGTAGCGCCAAATATACGGTGTTGGTGTGGATTCCTGGGGCGCACAGTGCCATGATCCAACCAAAGCCAAGAGTTTGGACAACATTCTCGCAGAGTCTGAAAGAAAAAAAGTCAAAATTAGTTAAAACTGAGGTAAATACGATTTGTATTAGCTTCAAAATATCCCAAAAACGTCTATGCCACCTTTAAATTTACTAAAACCCCACTTGATGACATTTTATACGACAAAACCTATCCAAAACTCCCAGCCATGTTCCATCGTATAAAATGTCTCCACCCCTCAAAAATCTCGCAAAACAACTCCACATGTCCCTAGAGCTTGAAAACACCTCTACTCCCACAATTTTACCCCTAAATTTAAAGTTATCCATCAAAAACCAACTTTATGTCTACTACAACATAAAAAACTCACTGTGAGTTGACGGTTCCACTTGTGTGCGCCAAAGTTGTGTTCAAGATGTTCAACAGTTTGTTTCTCACATAGATCGCGTACAGGGTTGGGTCCATTTTCTCATCGCTCTCCTCTTCTTTTACTTGATTACATTGGGTCAGCAGGATTCTCTCCAATTCCGCGATATGGAACGGGTAGTGCGCTTCGATCGATTTCTCACCCGAATTCAGCGATTGTGTTGGTAGTGTGGACACTAATGCTTGGCCAAATCTCAGGAGGGATGCGGAGTCGCATGGGGGTTGAATAATTGCGCCAATTAGGCGAAAAATGACGTCATTTCTCACAACAAACGTTTTTGGGCTCTCTGCGACCAATAAAAGTAGGCGATTTAGGAGAGTGGAGCCGCGGACTTTGACCAGATTGTCTCGGTGACTACTGAAAATGAAAGTTTTATTGTAAAATACGCTTAAAAAAATTTTAAAATTTGGAATCTAAAACAATATTTTTTCGTAAAAAAATTCAAAAAAGACATCAAACAGTCCCTTACGGCAATTTACATCAATAAATTTTTATTTCTCACTACAAATTTACCAGTGTTTCAAAAAATTTCAAAAAAATCAAAAATTTTTTGGTTAATTTTCAAATTTCAATGTAAAATACGACATAAACATAAAAAGAATAACTATAAAAAAATCCGTCATTACCCTGAACTTCCATATTTTACTACTCTTCTCTCAATTTCCCCCGAAAAATTAATTTTTTCTCAAAAAAACCCATTCCCCTTGCTTACTCAATAACAAGTTCGTAGAAGTGTTCAAACAGCAATTTCTTCACTTCATCCGGGGCTCCCATCCACAGCTCGAGGTCACAGAGCAAATCTTCAAAGGTTTGTTGACTTGGGATTACCGTGACCTCCTTTTGTAGGTCCACCGTTCCAGCCAAGCTCAAGATCAAGTGTAATATATGGGAATTGACGAGATGAATCTTTTCCTCCAATAAAACGGCCAGAGTCTGGTATAATCTGTTGCGTTCAATGGATTCGGCGACGGCCTTGTTGGTTTGGACGGCAGATACGAGTACTTTCAATGATGCATAGAGGCCTTGAGAGTCCGTGCACATGGCAATCAGTCCCAAAAGTGGCGCAGCGCCGCCGATTGAGTCTAGAAGGGCCGAGACCGGGCTGGGGCTGAAAGTTCGCATCCCCAGGTACCCCACAACCGCTGCGCCGAGACTTCGTTGAGGGCCGGGGGCGTGTCTTGCCGAATTCCAAAGAAATCGGACTGGCGTTGAATTGTCGTTGGGAGAGAGGCCCATGAGAGATGCGCAAAGGTCGGTATCCAATCGTCTGGACATGGATCGGAATGCCTGGAGGGTGAATTCGGTGCGAGAGGCGGCAGTGAGTGAGAGGAGGATCTTTTCCTCCGGGACGAGGGGTGCTTGGTCGGTGAGGGACTAAAAATGAATCATTAAAACGTTATAGAAAAGATTTTGGATTCGATTTTCTAATTTTTAGACTCTACTAGATTTTTTTTTAATTTTTCATCTACAGTAGCGAACTATTTGAGGTATATTTTTGGATAGAATTTTGTAAAAAAACGGGGTTTCTTTTCTAAAAAAGTTTATGAAATTTAGAATTTGCCCCTAATTTTCATCTGGGCTTGTCTTCAAAAATTTTTAAAAATCTCCGCTGTGTTTGGAAAGTAGTAACTAAAATTTTGAATAATTAACATCTGTTATAGTTAGGTTATACAGTGGAGGATCTGATACCGTGGCAAAAAACGTATCATTTTGCATCCGGGAAGTATCAAAAATGTGGCAAAACACCTCTCTCTCCAAGTGAAAAAACTCTGATTTCAAAATCTCGCCCGCCCATTTTTTGAGGGAAAGGCCGCGCTCTTCAAACCGGACTTTTTTTAACTTGGAGAGGAGGCATTTTGCCACATTTTATGCTACTTCCCGTATGCAAAATGGTACGTTTTTGCCACTGGATCAGGTCCGTCACTGTATAATCTAACTATAACTTCAAAATTTTCTTCAAAATTTTAGCTGCTACTTTCCAAACGCAGCAGAGATTTTAAAAAATTTTCTGAGCCGAGACCTGATGAAAATTAGGAGCAAATTCTAAATTTTCTAAACTTTTTCACACAAAAAACCCCGGTTTTCTACAAAATTCTATCCAAAAATATACCTCACATGCTCAAATATTCAGTTCATTTGAAATTTCATCAAAATTCAAAAAAAAACATTTCTTTATCACAATTTCGAACATTTTACCTGGAAATTCCCGACATAATGTGGCTGGGCTGCAAAAGCTTTCCGAATCACGTCGTTTGGCAGTACATCCTCTATCAAATACGTCGATGCAACTCTCCATCTCAATGGGGTGACTCTCCTCAAGAACGGAGGCGTTCCAATGAATCCGTGGACAGAATGAGAGTCCACAATCTGCGCCTGAGCTCCGCCGACATTTGGTTGGATATAATTCAGCTTTTGCGATGCCAATAGTCGTCCATTAACGTAGACTTCGATTTGGCTCGGCTTGAGGAGACTTCGAGACAACACAACGCTGACGTGAGTCCATTGCCTGAGGGCGCAAACATGCTCTGGAAGGGAGATTCGGGCGCAGGTTTCGGACTGAGACGGCGGGACATAGTCTCGACGGAGTTCGTCGAGCATCGAGTGTTCTTCTGTGCACACGACAAGCTGTTTTTCGGCCACATCAAGATGAATGTACAGGCATGTCAAATGGTTCTCTAAAGCTGGCGTCTCCTTGTTTGCTGATGCGCGGGGATGCTGGGTTTGGGTCTAAAAATGAATAATCAGTCTTTTAATCGCAATTTATTTTTTAAATTTTTCCTTTTCTCATCAAGGTGACATTTTATACGAAAAAAATCCAGAAAGAAAAATTTCGCATTTTTCATCGTATAAATTGTCACCTTTCTAGCTTAAACTAAATTACTAAATCCATTAACTCCCATAATTGCGGTTACATTCACAAATTTTGTAAAAGTGACATTTTATACGATGAAAACCCCAAATCAAGAATTGGCCATATTTCAGCGTATAAAATGTCTCTCCATCAAATAAATCATCCAATTCCGATTCCCAGCTCTCTTACCTGTCCAGCATAGACCATATCTCCATCACCATTCCTTACAATCGTCAACAGTCGAATGATATTCGAGAAATACCCGGCTTGATTCACATCCGTACTCTGATGTAATGTGGCCTTGTTCGTTTCATCCAAATACAGCCACGCCATGAATGTGAGACCATTCATTGGTGGGAATAGGCGTTCTGGAGTCGAGGACGCTGATGAATTTATGGATGATGAGTGAGCCAACGATGGGATAAACAGAGCCGCAAAGCCTTCAATTGCCATGTCGAACTCGACAAAGGCTGGTGGATGGACCAGGGCGTGATTTCTGGGTGTTAACATTGATACCAAAGCTTTGACTCTGCAAGAAATGTCATGAATCACAACCACACAACGTATTTTACCAAAACGGTGACATTTTATACGACGAATTATGTATTACCCAACAAAGCGAACCATTTTATACGATGAAACATGTCAAAAAATATCTAGTCAAAATTGAATTTTTTCACCATTTAAAATGTGGATATAAAATAAAAATTCCCGTGGACAACGCCAACAATAACTTTTTTGACCCAATATTTTTTTAAAAACCGTTGTATATGATATAAATTTCAAAAAAAAATCAAAACATCTTTCATCGTATAAAATGTCCTAATTCTTCAGACACTTACCTATGGATCGGCAATGGTCCTCCACTCTGCGAATTGGCTTCTCCCTCCGCCTCATCCACTTTATCATCCAAATTCACGCAGCACAATGGTTTATCCAGCCGCAAAAAGTGCCTCAATTCCCTTGGATGCATCGATTGACAGGCCAATCTCTCAAACAAGTAGTGGAATGGTGGCAACAGTAGATGCTTCTCCAATTTGAACAGATATTCTCCCACGTCCAGCAAATGCTTGGGCATGTTGTGGTCGCACATTATTTGTTGGTTTCTCTCCAGTCGCAGCAGAGCTTTGAGCAATAATGCTGTGTAGTACTGGGCCACAGCGGACCATTCGTCCAGTTCGTGGGATTCTCGGTTTCGTTGGGCTTCGATGGAGGGTAAAAGTTGGAGGATACAGAGGACGGAGGTGGGATGGACGATCACCGATCTTGACCATGTGACTAGGGGGATGGTCTCGATATTTTCGGCGGTTCGAAGCCAATCCGGTCCGGCCCATTGGATGTCGTTGGTTTGTCTGGAAATAGCATGATCTTGGGAAGGTATTTGGATAAGATTTAGCTCATTTAAATTATGTATAATATTAGAAATTTCAAAAAATTACAATTTCTAGGCTTTTAGGGTAAAATAAGGTCTGTAATTAGCTTAAAAAGGCAAAAAATCAAACAACGAATGTAAAATAAATCATCCACAAGATCTCTGTAGCCCATGCAGAGCTTAAAAAAGCCTTATAAAAAACCAATTTTTAAAAATTTTCGAAAAAAAAATCACCTTAACCCCTAAAATAAGATAAATTCTGCTGCAAACCTCAAAACTCTTGTAAAAATATGCTAAGTTTATGTTTTCCCAGATAATAAACCTCCTTTACTTACTTATCAAACGCATCCATTCCCAATTCAAACAATTGTTTGATCAAAAACAAGGCGGCGAAAACTTCCATTGGCATCTCCATTTTGGTGTTTAGGACATTTTCGTCGGCAAAAATCTTATGAACTGTGTCCAGCTTTTCTTGCAGTATTCCAGAGGTAATTTTGGACCACACCTCTCTTCCCGACATGATCTTCTCGGTCTTGGAGAACGCTCCCGACGTCCGCAGGATCGAAATGATTATGTTCACCTTGACCTCGTTGAGGAAATACCTCGCGTTCGAGGGCTCGTATCTCATGGAGATTGTGAGGACTTTGAAGATGGTTGAGATGTAGGTCAACGCCGTGCGGATGTCGTCGGAAATGGCGGTTTTGTCGAAGGTGCACTGTAGGGATCCCTCCAGTTGCAAGAGCAATGTCATGAGGCAGATGTAGCCGCCGCTCCGGCGAAACATGATGCGAACTTTGTGGCTTTCGAGCAGGACTGATGAGAACAGTCTGGAAAAATATTTAAAAAATTATTTTAGCCATCAATTTCATCGTTTCCAACTTTTGAAAAATATGCACTGTGCGAAAATGAAAAAAACTGCACTGTGCAGTCAAAGGAACTGGGACGATTGGGGAAACCGAAAAGTATTACTTTTTTCGATGCAAGTGTCGAAATTGGGATAATCGAAGGTGCTGATTTCGAAAATGACATTAATTTTTTTGACAGTTACTTTTTTCCTTAGGTAGTACTGTAAAGTAGTAATTTTTTGAATTTTTTTATAAATACTCGATTTAGGGGTTTTAGAGGGTGCTCATTTCGAAAATCATGCTCATTTTTTCTGATTGTTACTTTTTTAGTTAAGTAGTACTGTAAAGTAGTAATTCTTTGAATTTTTTTCACAAATCCCTCGATTTGGGGGTTTCGATGTTGCTGCTTTCAAATCAAAAAAAAATGAATAAGATTTTCGAAATCAGCAATGTCGAAACCCTCCAAATCAAGTATTTGTGAAAAAAATCAAAAATTACTACTTTACAGTAGTACTTAAAGACAAAAGTAAAGATCAAAAAAAATGAATGTCATTTTCGAAATCAGCACCCTCGAAAACCCCTAAATCGAGTATTTGTGAAAAAAATTCAAAAAATTACCACATTACAGTACTACTTAAGGAAAAAAGTAAACACCAAAAATGATGTCATTTTCGAAATCAGCACCCTCAATTATCGTATTTTCAACATTTTGATCGAAGAAAAATAATACTTTTCTTTCCCCAGTCGTACTTTTTCCCAATCGTCTTTTTCCCCAACCGTCCAACTCCGGCAGTCAAAAAATGGTCTCCGCACAGTGCAAACCCATTCAAAAAATCCAAGACGCCTTCCAATAGCCTCCAAAAAATACCCAACACCCCATCTTACTTCAAGATCACCATGCACATATCCAAATTTCCGGGATCGCTGAACAAAATCTGAAGCAACGACGAAAACAGTTGCTCATTCTTCGCGGAGAAGAGCAAATTCTTGATCAGAACGTGAGTTGTGTTCCGAAAGTCTTCGGCAGCATCGCTTTTACTGGACAAAACATCCTTGATGACTTTGATTTCAATGTTTTCCGTGACGAATTGGGCGTTCAGGGCATTGCCTTTCGTTGTGGTGACCAACAAGTCCAATGCTCGCTGTGTACATTGTTTTTCGGGTTCCGTAAGAGATTCGAATGCTGAAATGGGTAAATTTCAGGACACCATTGAAATTTTTTTTACAAAAAATACACAAAAAACAGAAAATTTTTTTGTTTTTAACTAAAAAGAAAACCGCCAGATCGCATGCCCGGAGGGAAAATTCCGAAAATTACTTTTAATCCGCAAAACCTTACTCGATTCAGCATATTAGAGGCAAATTTCGAGCAAATCTAACAATTGGAAGCTTCATTTTTACAGCCCCAAAAAAATCTTGTCAGCAAATTATAAATCAGGTATCTCAACTTTGAAAGGTCACAAAGGTAATCCAGAAACGTCCAATCATGATAAAATTTTAGATATAAGCAGATAGAATATCCGTTAACCCCATATTAGAACAAAATTGAAATTATGCCCTTAGGGCATAAACCATGGCCATTTGAATTTAGGCCTGATTCTTGAGGAAATTTTCGATCAAAACTAAAAGTTTGATGTCAAAAAGTAGTAAAATGATTGTAAAAATGACAACAGCGGTATGTAAGCTCATATTTTCACTTGTCCATCCAAATACTGTCTAAAATCAAAAACCCAAAACACAAAATTCAACTTACCAATACCATTCTTCATGAAAATATTTAGAAAGCTTTCCAGATGGAGCAATTCCCTGAACGCATCTTTGATGTAGACATTGGACGAGATGATTCCAAATAAGAAATGTTGGTACAGCTCGATTCTCTCGATATCATTCTCCTTCACCGCCGTTTTCAGATGGTTATTGATGGAGGTCAGCTCTTTGCAAGGGATGAAGTTCAAATTCCGGAGGACATTTTCCACAATCGTCAGCGTTTTTCGTTGCACTTCAAAAGATTTGACATTCATTCTCTCCACAAACAAGTACAATGGGTACTGCTTGTCCAGGATGAAGTAGTTCATCGGTTCTGACTTGAGAATGCCGGCTACATGGTCCAGGACCAGTAAACAGAGGGGTTCCGAGCCTTCGTAGAAGCATTTCTCCAACGCTTGAAAGGCTTGGGGAACCCGAACGGTGTTGGCGCTGCGGGCCAACGACGACGAAAGTTGGAATGGATAGAATGAGAGGGGAGTTTGAGGGTTGGTCAGGGTGATGGTCTGATTTCCGGAGGAGATTAGGCTGACCAGGGCGTCCAGCAGAGGTTTGATGTAGTTCAAGGGGGCTCTGAAAAACGGAAACATTTTAAAAATTGAATGAAATCATTTAAAAAAATTGTTTTCGTCACTTTTACAGCGGCAGACATGATCCAGCGGCAAAAAACGCACCACTTTGCGTCCGGGAAGTATCAAAAATGTGGCAAAATGCCTCCCTCTCCAAGTTAAAAAACTCCGTTTTGAAGGGCGCGCTTTTAAAATCGGAGTTTTTTAACTTGGAGAGGGAGGCATTTTGCTACATTTTTCGATGCTTCCTGGATGCAAAATGGTACGTTTTTGCCACTGAATCAGGTCCGCCACTGCAACTTGAATAAAACACAAACCCAACCCTTCTACATTCCTATTTCGTCAATCCCAATTTCACTTCGATTCCCACTTACTTGACACAAAATTCGACAACTACGTCGAATCCATTCAGCACAATAAAGTCTTCGATCAACAAAGTCGTATGTTCCGCTGAAATTTTGAGCAAGTCCAACATGTTTGCCAACAAAATCGACATCTGTGAGTCCTCAATTTTCTGTCCACTCAATTGCTGCATATAATGAGAGATGCATCCTTTCGTGTGGATATACTTCAACACCGAATCATTCATGGCCCTTTGGACAATGGTGCAGATAAAGGTGAAGTTGGCGTCTCGCCAAATTTGCTCGTCCAGTTGGCTGGTTGAGGCGGCTCCGAGGAACAGAAGGACCATGTCGTCTCGTTGGATCAGCTCTTCGGCCACCGCATCGTACGCGCAGAGGGAGCACATCAACACGACCAGAGAGTCGTAGAGACGTCGACGATGCCCCAATTCAGCTGCATCTACATCGTTGGGGAGGTCGAAAAACAAGTAGAAAACCTTGACAAGTGTGCTGGGAAGGCTGGCTTTGCAAATGGGGTCAAGAAGACGGATTTGGCCACTGGAAATGATTTGAAATGTCACTCTAGACTCCAAATGGCAAATAAATCATCGTGGTTGCAAAAGCCACATCAATTTCGAAGTTTCTTTGGCAAAAAAGTTCGAATCTCATCTCAATGCGACGGAAATCGGAAAACCGCGAAGCCAGGAACAAGATCGTTTCATCAACAGTGTTGTGTGACTTTATTAAGATATTGCAATCTATTCGGGAATAACTACAGTCACGGACCTGATCCAGTGGCGAAAAAGTACCATTTTGCATCCGGGAAGTATCAAAAATGTGGCAAAATACCTCTCTTTCCAAGTGAAAAAACTCCGCTTTCAAAAATTCCTCACAGAAAGAGCGATCTTTTGAAATCGGCGTTTTTTCACTTGGAGAGGGGGTATTTTGCTACATTTTTTGATACTCCCGGATGCAAAACGGCACTTTTTTTGCCTTTGGATCAGGTCCAGACTGTAGTTATTTCCGAATATATTACAAGATCTCTATAATGTTACACAACACTGTTGATGAAACGATCCTGTTCCTGGCTCTGCGGTTTTTCGATTTCCGTCGCATCGACAGACGCAATCATACCTGCTGATCAAGAAGCTGATCGATTTTACAATGCTCCATCCAAACGCATCTGGCGGATGAGCTTTTAATAATCCATACACGGCCAACGCAGCTTGCGCAATATTCTCATTGTTCGCCAATTTTCGAATTTCCCGAACCAAAACCTCCGATAAAATTTGTAGAAACTCCGAGCTCTCTTTGAACTGGGAAACCAAATCATCAGGTGTGTAAATGTGCATCAATTTGTTGAAATCTGGCAAGATTTTGGCCAACGTCGCCTCGTCGACCCGACCATTCGTTTCTTTCAGGATGTGCGTAAAGGACTTGCGGAATTGTAATAAAGCTATAGATTTGTCTGTGGTACCCATGTTGTTTTCGACTAGTTACTGACCCGTGCGTGGATAAATAAGTAAATTTAGGTGGGGGTTAAGCTTTTCATAGGAAAGTTTGCAGTGAAATCGTTGAATTATTTTTGGTGAGTTCAGTTGATTTATAAAAACCCTAGAAAATCACGTTATAACATTAAAAAAAGTGAAACTCGCGGTGATATTCAAAAATCTCGCAATAAAAATCCTCAAAAAATGGAGTAAAAATTGAATTACCAATTTGAAGAAAGCATAAATTACATACAGTGGGAGATCTGATCCAGTGGCAAAAAACGTACCATTTCGCATCCGGGAAGTGTCGAGAATGCGGCAAAATGCTTCCCTCTCCAAGTGAAAAAACTCTGATTTCAAAAGCGCGCCCGCTCTTTTGGTGAGGGAAAGAGCGCGCCCTTCAAAAAGAAGATTTTTCACTTGGAGACGGAAGCATTTTGTCACATTTTTGATACTTCCCGGACGCAGAATGGTACGTTTTTTGTCACTGGATCAGGTCCCCCACTGCAATTACCCGTAACAAATTGCAAATTTACTAGTCGCAACATTCAAATAACATCATAAAAAATAGTCAAAATAAATATCTCAAAATCCAAAAAAACTCTTGCCACAAGAAACGGTTTTCGCAGTCTCAAAGAAAGACTTTTGGCCAAAACGGACTTCCATACAACAAACACCTTCCATCTCGAACTTTAGACAAAAACCCCAAAAAAACAAGCCCGTTGACACCAAATTCAGGCTGCACGAAACGATTTTAACGGTCTAAAAGAAAGACTTTCGGCCAAAACGGACCTTAATAAAGTACAACGGACTTCTTCCATGGAAAACAATGTTTTTTTTTTGATTCCTTGCGATTCGCTGACATTTGAATCGCAAGGAATCAAAAAATTCATTTTACAGGGTGGGGCATCTTTGTGGCCCGATTTGAATTGGCTATAACTTCTTTAGTTTTTGGCCAAATCTTAAAATTCTTTTTTTCCCTGAATCCTCTGACAACCCCATTTTGTTTGATACCAAATATGTTACACATAGTGAGTGTATATCTACAGTTATTGGATTTATTCTTGGAGTTCATCTTTTCGTTCGTTTTTCGGTTGGTTTTTCGGTCTTTCCCGGTGTGTCCGAAAATGGAGTACGGTGCGGAAGAAAAAGCTTGGTCTGTGGTTTGGTACGGAAAGTACGGTTCGGCGATACATGTTCAAAGGGAATACCGCATGAAATATGGACGTAATGCCCAACTTTCAGATCGCAAGACAATTCGACGTTCGTGGAATAAGTTTCTTAAGATTGCCAGCGTTAACAGGAAACAAAAAAAGCAGGAAAGATGGGTATGAACGGAGTTGAAAATTGAAGAAGTTTTGTCAAAATTCCGAGAAAATCCGCATATGAGTACACGAAGTTTGGCCAGAACCGAGGGAATGCCTTCACCAAGGACCATTCGACGAACTCTGGAGGTTGATCTTCACTTTTTGTTCTTATTCTCATCGTCGATTTTCGGAAGGGGAAATTCCACCGTATTTTTCTTCCATACCGTGCTCCATTTCCGGATACACCGGGAAAGACCGAAAAAACAACCGAAAAAATGAACTCCAAGAATAAATCCAATAACTGTGGACATACACTTACTATGTATAACATATTTGGTATCAGACAAAATGGGGTTGTCAGAGGATTCAGAGAAAAAAAGAATTTTAAGATTTGGCCAAAAACTAAAGAAGTTATAGCCAATTCAAATCGGGCCACAAAGATGCCCCACCCTGTATAAAAGCTTGTTGACAAAAGGTAAATTTTATCCCAAAAGTATCAACAAATAATCTTCGAGATCATTTATGGGCCTAAAATAAGGTTTGTTGGCAAAAAAATTAAAAAATTCGAATATTTTTTTGGAAAAAATCCCATTTAACCCTTCTAAATAGCCTCCATACTTCTCTCATAGCTTCCTTATGTAAGAAAAGGGCATGAAAGACAATAGTTTCATTTTGCCCGACTAATTTCCCGCAATTTTCCGGCATTTTGGGGACGTGAAGAGGACGCCAATGGGGCATGAGCCGGTTCCACTGTTTTTTCGCCTTCTTTGCTCGGAAAAGAACGCGAGGGCCTTTTCTACATTACAGAATTTCCAATTCCTTGGCCGGAATAGGAAGGGAAAAACGATGGCCGAAGAAGGGAGCAGCCACAATCTTCCTCTTTTTGCTGGTCCCGGGGTTTAATTAACAGGTTTTAATAGAAAGATGGCAATGTAAACAAATTTAGAGAAGAGATAATAGGGGATTATTGAAGGGTTTGAGTGGTTTTTAAGCCAATTAGACCGTCAAAACATCACATAAACAGCCATATATTGGTATTTGCATCAAGTGCAATATAAGCTTAAGCTGATACGTTGAACATAAAGTACTTTTAGATCTCATTTTACTCTAATTGCGCCAAATCCATCCCTTTCACCTCAATTATTTCGAAAAACAATTAAAAAAATCCACTTTCCACCTACTATAATATAAAATTAGCGCATTTTTCGATTTCCTTTAACCAATTCTCCCCATCAACGGCCATTTTCGATTAGAAACACCTCAAAATGCTCATAGAAAAAACTCTGTGACATTTCATTCACTATTTTTTCGACAAGTTGAAACAGACGCAAGTAATACCCGATAGAAAAAAGCCAATTCTACGCATTTCCTCCATGAAAGCGAGACAAACAAGGACAACAAGAGAGGAAAAAACATTCACAAAAAGTTTAGTTCCAGTTGGTCTCACGTCATTTTCGCAAGCGGGCGTAATTATTTTAGAGACGATGTCATTTGATGACTAAATTTAGCGTGGAATTTGTAAAAAACGATATAAAGGACAAACGTTTGTTCATAGATAATTTAAAATTCAATTTACATAAATTGAAACCTTATTTCAGACATAAAAATATCAAAAAATATAAATTTCTTCAAAAATCGTCTAAATTAATATAAATTTTCGCCAATTTTGATCCAAAAACCACCTCAAATTCTCCGAAACTCCCCTCTTTTCCCACAATCGACCTTTTCCGATCGTAGATTCTAATCAGCACTCCGAAAATGACCACCTTCTCCACCCCCATCCCACTTATCAGACATTCAATAAGAGGCGAACGAAAAACCAAATTCGACAGCCCTCGTAAACATCAAATCCGAACGAGATAATTCATAATTTATTCGTTCCAGAGGAGCGAACGAACGAAGGGGATAAAAAATCCGGAAAATTATGGGCGGAAGAGTGAGAAAAATGAGGCGAAAAATTGCGGGCATCCATCACGTTGGGGGGTTCAAAGAGAGTCCACGGAAATGGAATTAAGGGCCGGGATTTAATAGACATTGAGTTAGAGGGCAGTTGAGCAAGTTAGGGGGTAATTCAGGAGGATAAAAGGGCAGAATACCTCTTATTACATTAAAATTGGGAAAAACATTAAAAATTGGTTTAAAAATATATAAAATAACATGAAAATTGATGAAAAACACCGATTTAAAGTAAAAATTCATACCGAACACCAACTCAGAAGTTTTCTAAGTCTTCCTTAGCCAATAAGCACCACAGTTAACGACTTATATTTTTAGAATATAACTTATTCAACCCAATGTCATTTTCAGGACCTTCCATAGTGCAAAAGACATTATTACAGCCCCGCGCCCGGAAATAACAACCGTCAAAAAATGACCCCCATAGTCATGTACAGCCAGAGTGAAAGCAAAACTTTGACGTTAAAGCCTTTTTGTCCGTACTTATCTGCACTTCATCTTATCCATGAACATCAATGTCAAAAATGCGAATTCCAAACGAATATTTAAAAAGCAGACACAAAAATAAAAAGCTTACCGATAGTAAAAACTGGTTGCCCATAAGCGACTCACTCCGTTGTTTTTTTAGAAAAAAGAAAAGCATTATCCATGATTCACCTGATTCCGATTCAATCTATCAACGTTAAACAAAGTTTTATGATGGTAAATAAAGAAATTATTCATGAATAGCTTTCAAAACAGAGAACTTGTTTCGAACAGTGGATTTTCAAACTATCTCTGGACCGGAAAAGACCATCTTACAACCTTATACTAGCCAAGGATAAAGTAAAACAGCTTAGACGAAAAACGCGGCTAGTAAAAAAACTTTTGACGCAAAAAGTCCTCTTTAGGCATACTTTATCTCTAAAAACTAAAAAGAGTCATAATTGACTTTAGCTTTATAGAAAAGCATTAATTTAGGTAACACTTCCAAAAAAACTGATAGAGAACTTTAGAATTTCTCAAAATTTACGACAATGATAAGGACCAATGGTAATAAAAACCCATTGCCCTACTCGGCCAGTCCAAAAAGTTTCCTTTCAAAGCCAAAATGCATTATGAGGGACCTAAAATTATAAAAGAAACAATGAAAAATCTAAACCAACCGATAAAACTCTAACAATCCATTGACATCCTCCAGGGTACTGAAAAGCCTCTGAAAATCAATGAAAGGCACGTCCAAATAAGGGCAAGGCCGCAAAAATAAATCTATAAAAACAATGAGAAGCCCCCCAACCAAGGCCTTGAAAAAAAAGTTCAATTTATATTACACTGGACGGAACACGCATGCTGCTCGGAGTCGAAAAGACTTATAAAAGTATACTTTCCCTCTTTTATTTGTCGTTTGTGGTCGAGAAATCCGATAAAATGCATCCCCTTTCAATGTGCAATTTTTACTTTCGCCAAAAAGGGAAAAACCCGAGCACTTTTTATTCGTGACACTTCGTCACGCCGATATTGGTTTTTGGCATTTCGTCGGTTTGGTACGGAATTCTTGATGATTCAAGGGGGAATCGACTAGTCGGACACTACAGCGGTATATTTCTGATTCAAAGACATTATTTGCCCAACTTTGACAAACTCATTCAAGATTATATTGTTCATGACCACAAAATTTTTCGATTTCAGTGAATAAGCTTTCCGTAATAGGAAAGTTTTACGGTATCGTCTTCCAGGAGTCAAAATTCATACAGTTGGAAACATTTGCATAAGTATTTTATTATTTTTCTTCCACTAAATATTATATTTTTTGAGCGCAATGTCATTTTCCCTGCGGCAATGCAGTTTCCAATGCAACAAAGTTCTCATTATTTTCCCGACAGACTGATAAGTTAAAATCTGTTTGCGAATCTCGAAACACGTTTAAGTGGTCAACGAGCAATCCGTGGTCATTTTTCCGTAGCGTTCGAGACAGTCTTAAGTGGACTAGGTTTTTTGCGAGGATCCGTTGTTTGCACTTCGTTCTTCCACAATTATCGTTTGAAACTGTTTGTCGTCGTAACGAAAAAAATTGTTTTTACATTTTTTTCTGATTAAAAAAAACAGAACAAGACTTTTGAGATTATAGTAAAGACAATAAATTGTCGATGGAGAAGGTTGGATACAGTAGCCCAAAAACAGCGTCTCATTTGAAAATGCTGCATCTTCTAAAACTATGATTACCATGAAGCCCTTGTACATCAAACCAACACACCTACGCACAACAAAAACTGTCGATAACAGACTTTTTTAGAAGCCCTAAATGTGAACTTCAGACCAGAAGGAGCCTCCGTACAACAAAACTTTTCTATCAGTCTGTCGGAAAGATCTTGAAGTCTCCGCCGAGCCTTCGCCGACCATGCAACGGCTTTTCCAGGCTCCGTAGGCACTTTCTACAAACTTTTTTTGGGTATTCAACTGCCCTCCGCCCCGTATCAATCGATTTTGTGCTGACCCGAACTGACACCGACCCGAAAAGTCGGGACAAAAAACAAAACATAACGACCAATTTCAGATATCCCAAAGGCTAATTTTAGGCCAAAAAATAATCTCCGTACAACGAAACCCGTCTATAGCAAATATATACAGTGGTGGACCTAATCTAGTGGCAAAAACGTACCATTTTGCTTCCGGGAAGTATCGAAAACGTGGCAAAATGCTTCCTCTCCAAGTGAAAAAACTCCGATTTCAAAAGCGCGCCTTTCAAAACGGGTTTTTTTCACTTGGAGAGGGAAGGATTTTGCCGCGCTTTTGATACTTCCCGGATGCAAAACGGTACGTTCTTTACCACTGGATCAGTTCCTCCACTGTATGTTTCCGCCGCCTTGCGGATAGCTCTAAAGAGGCTTGACTGTATCGTAACTAACCAAAAAATCCGTTTTCGATTGGGAGGTTAATTTGGGGCGGTACATCAATGTTTTCTATCAGTTTGTCGGGAAAATAGTGATCACAATGTCGCTGTTCCAATCGCCTCGTTGAAGAGAAAAGCAATTTAATTTTGCCACGGTACAGTTTATTTTCACGGCGGCGATGCGATTTTTGATCCGAAATTGCGCAAAATTAGACATACTGATATAACAAATGAATTTTTTTTCTCCTTTTTGATCTGTTGTACAAAAAAATCTTTGTACTCATTTTTGCTTCTATAATACAATGCTTCATTGAGAGTAAATGTCATCTACAGTACTCCCATTCTTTTCTTTGGTTTCTCCTCACTTTATTTAGTACCCCGCTTCCGTCAAACCCTGAAGAATGAAAATACAAAGGCGTTGGTCGAAGACGCGAAAAAATCGCCTCTCGCGCTGAAAATCCCTTCAGTTCAGAAACCGCATGCAAATCGAATTACAAAAGACCGTTAGCACAATCAGAAGGAAGAGGGCGGACAATGCGAAAATATTAGGGCAAAATGGAAGACCCCGCGCTATTGTCCCGAGGGATCAGCGAAGAGAGAGAGTATTGTAAGTAGCACGCGCTAAGATTGGTACGAGAGTATTGTGGAGGGATTTGGAAGTGAGGAAAAACAGGGGCCGGGCACTTGACGGAGGTGTCCACTACAAGATAAACGCCTTCGTTTTTGTTTTTATGTTTTTTCTCCCTTCGTCGGTCGCGGTATATAAGTGTTTGACCGGAACAGGATAGCCAACAACAGATTATTATAGTCGGTTTAGCGGGTGGCGGGAATCAGGGTGACGTGTGTTTCTTGACGCTGATAGTAATAGTTGATAGTATTTACATATTGACAAAAGATCTTCTGCATATCTTTTGTCATCATTTTACAGCCTTATGCTGGCAACTACGGTATTATTATGTAATAAAATTTAGCATGAAATTAAGCCATCTTTTTATTCTTTTTCCTTCAGGGTTTTACCATTAAAATGGCGTTAAGCCGAACGCTGGCTTCGGCACTGGCGATTGCCCTATTCGTTTCCTCCGCCTCCGCGCAATGTGGCTGCCCCACTTGCGACCCCTGTCCACAATGCGCTCCCATGTTATGCTTCCTCTCGCAACCACCTCCACCAACAGTCTGTTCATGCGCCCCGCCACCACCGCCTCCTCCGCCCGTCTTCTTGGCCGCTCCACCAGCACCAAGTGTCTACCTGTCCCCACCGCCTCCTCCACCACCACAACAGGTGCTGTTCGCGCCACCACCCGTACCATACCCACCTCCGCCGGCGCCGGCTCCGCCGCCTCCAGCCTATTATCCACCCCCACCGGCGCCACTGCCGCCTCCACCGGCCTACGATGCTCCTCATGTTTATTTTGCGCCTCCACCACCACCACCACCGGCGCCAGCTCCGGCGCCATTCTATTATCCGGCGCCTGCTCCTCCTCCGCCACCTCCACCACCGCCGCCATGTGCTTGCCCTCCGCAAGAAGGTTGGTTATCGTGATTTTGGAATGTATTTTTTATTTCGAAAGCACCATGAGTGGTTAACCGTAATGGTCTAATAGTAAGATGTTCTCTTAATCCAAGTTGTTCTTAATGAAGTCCAAAAAAGAGCTTTTAGGCCATATATGCTACTAAAACGCGCAACGTTTAATAATCAGCGCATACGTTGCAAAATAACGAGTATATTGAAGTGCCCTAAACATCCCTCTATCGTATTACCTGTCCCCGATTGCGGTCGAAACCTTTCCGTCAGCACGGCCGAGCGATCTTCTCGGATTTCAACCCGCTAACCCTCACGTTGAAATCGGAGCCCCATCGTCGTCTCGGCCACAACTTTACTCTTGATCCCACTGTCACAGCCCTCGTCCTAATTTAGTTTACATTCTAGTCCCTTGCCGTTGTCCGCCCGCCCCTCTTCCACCTCCGCCACCACCCGCCTTCGCTCCACCGCCGCCTCCGGCGTTCGCGCCGCCTCCGCCAGGCCCATTCTTTGCGCCACCGCCACCACCGCCACAATTCTTCGCTCCGCCACCACCGCCAGAGCTGTTGAGTCCTGCGCCACCACCGCCACTGCCGCTGTTCTCGGCCCCACTGCCTTGCCCTTGCCCGGCTGGAGGTATGTTTTACTATCAAGACGGTAGGTTAGAGTCAATGGAAAATACGGAACTCTTCGTCAAAATCGGACCAAGAAAACGGCAACTTGATCAGACAGAGTTGAAAAGTTTTTTACGGATATAAAATATCACTGTTTTCAGTGACCCCTTGCACATGCCCACCAAACACCTACGTCTTCCGCTATCCGTTTTCGCGGTCGCGGAAAATGCGTCGTTTCCGCAACGAGCTGAAAAACAAGGCGGAGACCAAACCAGAAGCGCCCAAGATCAAGGCCTAACCCAAGTATCAAACCCATCAAATCCAGTAGATGCACTTTTCATGGCTTGAAGCTATGATCATCTACAATTCCACATATTTATTTGGCCTATTTATGAAAATACGTCGCTAAGCCTATTACTGTGGAAATTCCTATTACCATTCTTCGGAAGAAGGCGTCCTCCGATACATGTCTGTACAATATTTGCGTGTCTTTATGTAGGAGTAATAAATAGTAAAGATAAAAAAGTTTGGGTTGATTAACGGTTTGTATGATGGAAAGGAAATTGAAGATGTGCGTATTGTCTCCTTCCTCCGTTGTCTAAAAGATCAATAGCGATTTTTAAGTGGTCGAAAGTGAGAACATATCGTTGGCCAATGGTTCAAGTGGACAACACGGAAGAGAAACGGCTGGTCACTTTTGTCTTCGTCACGTATTTTACAGGGTATTTCAAGAAACGTCAAGGAAAGTCAGAGGCTATAACTTCCGGCGGAGGCGGCGCAGAGACTTCGTTTTAGGAATATGTATTTATAAGCGGCATTAATTTTTGCCTCTGAAGTGACAAAATTCTAAAGTTCAAACTGAGGTCGTTACGACCTTCTAAAGTAGGGGCACTTCTACCCCGAAAACCAGTGTTTTTTGGTTGCAAATGACCGAGAAATTTCGAATTTTTTCGGTTGAAAATCACTAAGAAGGCCGGATCTTTTTTGATGTGGTATTGACAATCAAGTAGCGATATATCAGTCTGTCGGGAAAATAATGAGCAATGTCGCTGAGAGGGTAGTGTCGCTGAAGGGAAGAGAATTTCACTTCGCCGCAACACGATTCATTTTCTCCGCGACGATGTGATTTTCGATGCGACAGTGGGCTCATTATTTTCCCGACAGACTGATATATCTTTGGCCATTACTTTGAGAGTCTTTTTTTCAATAAATTCCCTTGTAGTTTTAGAAAATAAAAACGCTGTTTATCCGATCGTATTTTAAAAATCACTTTTCCGATACACCTGTATCATCATAAGCAAACTTTGGGTCCTTTTCAACTCAATTGCTACCTCGCTACATTCCCCGGGCTACCCGCAAACAATCTCCAAATACGCCGGCCGACCCGCCATTGTCCACTTTCACCCCACCACCGCTACCCGTTGAACCTGTACGGAACCGCCCCGGTGTTTTGTCCATTGTTGCGTGTGTGAAGCGCGCTTGCGCAAACAGGGCCGCATTTCCGCAACGCGAGACAAAAACGCGTGTGGAAGCGGTGGCGGGGCGAGGACAATGCGCTCGCCAGTTAATAACCGTCTCCAGAACGCCCCCGTAAACGTGTCGAGTTATATGCTTATGTCGCGTCATCGTGTGCAGCCAGATGCGGCGGGTCATTCTCGTCGGCTTATGCGGGCTGTTGGCGGTGGTGGAGCGGGCCGACTCGCAAGGCCTGCCCAGCTTCTCGCTGCTCTCGCCCAACTTTCTGAGTCCCCAGCTCACCAAGAACCACAACCAGTTCATCAAGAATGGGCCGTCGTCGCGGATCTTCCAAAACTCGGCGGTGATCAACACGGTGAACGGGGGCGGAGGGTATTGTGGACCGGGATGCCAGGGTGCCAATGGGGTGCCTCCGGTGCATGTGACGTTGTGTATATGTAATAACAACAACCATCACAAGAGCGATGTTGAAAAGGAGGCGGTCAAGAAGGCTAAGCCGAAAGAGGAGGAGGAAGAGGGCGAGACGCATACGGTTATTATTCCAGAAGGTAAGTGGTGCCTTTCAAATACTCTTTTTTACTTCTAATCTCCATTGCTTTACATTTACAGCGCACCCACCCGAATTGATTGCCAGTAAAGGCGAAACGGGCCGAGTTCCGCCCTCCTATCAGATTCAGAAGGATCGACGGTACGATTCCAAGTTTTATTATACTCATCATCATTACCAGTATTAATGTTCTCAAAGTCTTCTAATCTGAATTGTTTTAGCAACTTGTTGGCAAGTTACACTTGTTAGTTCATGTTTTATGTAGTCTTGTTGTCTGAATCCCATCTTATTTATTATTTATTATTCACAAACTCCTCAGATATTAGTACAACGAACTTTTATTCCCAATAAAGTATTTATGATATAATTTCACCCCGGAATTCCGAGGATTTTGATGTTTAGACTTTGTTATGCCAAGGATAAGCCTTTACGTGGCAGGAGAAACAAAATGATGAATGTAGAATTACTGGGTGCTACGACTTTACGGGTCAGCGACAGTTCGGTTCAGCGGTACTATGGATTGCCTAGGTTCGAAGAGAGAGGCTAGGGGAAGGATTGGTTAGTAGAAATAATAAGATTGATCCGATCCTAGGATAGATTATCATAAGAGTAGAAAATTTTGAGGTATTTTACATGTCCTCACATGAATATCATCTAGAGTAAAGTTACGAATCCTCGTTTTTTCTCACAAATTTTGGTCTTTTATATATTACAATAACTAAAGAGAGCAGTGACGTTATTGTACATATCGCAAGTCTTCGCCAAGTCTCCGCCGAGCCTCCGCCGAGCGTCCGCCGACCATCCAACTGCTTTGACAGGCCTCGCAGGCACATCCTACAACTTTTTTTTGGGTATCCACTTTCCATACGCCCCGTATCGATCGGTTTTTTGTGCCGACCCGAATTGTCATCTACCCGAAAAGTCAGGACGCGAATTCCTTTTAACCACGAACACTTCGATCAACCTTATCGTAATACATTTACATTCCTCTTCTCGCTATGCAGTGGAGGACCTGATCCAATGGCAAAAAACGTCCCATTTTGCTTCCGGGAAGTATTTAAAATGTGGAAAAATGCTTCCCTCTCCGAGTGAAAAAAACGTCGTTTTGATGGGTTCCCTCACAAAAAGAGCGTGCGCGCTTTTGAAATCTGAGTTTTTTTCACTTGGAGAGGGAGGTATTTTGCCACATTTTTTAAGCTCCTGATGCAAAATAGTACGTTTTTTGCCACTGGATCAGGTCCCCCACTGTAGGTACACGGCCAGCATTTTTCCTTGTATTATTAAAATTTATTAATGAGCATAAATTGTTCAAATTTCTATACATTCTAGACACCATTAGTTATGTTTTTGGGTAATTTTTTTGTCCAATCATATGGTCCGTCATTTCCTCTAGCATGTGCAATTGCAAACACATTGTTGCTGCGGCTGCGATTGCTGCGCCGGCGCAACCACAAACTTGGGGGAGATTCGCTCAGTCGGGGCATTGCGGGTATGCCGTGGATGGCTTTTGGTTGACTTCTTGTGCTCTTGACCTACACAACGTTTGCAATGTTTTGAACAAGAGGTCTTCTTGTAGGATTTGTGGGCCCTCTCAAGCTGGATCTCACGTCGTTTCCGGCCACCGCATGGACAGCAGCCTGAAATAAATGGTTCAATGAGGGAGTTTTCTAAATTTCGGTAGAATAAGCGATCTTTTTAGCGGAAATTTTATACATTGAACTCTTGTGCAACAATACCTTCCTATAAAAATCTTGTAATCTTAATTTCTGAGGCTACAAAAGTAAAATTGAGGTTAATAAATGACATATCTCTATACAACGGACCCCTTTCAATAAAGAATGCTTTTTTTGGTCCATAGTGATTCGTTGTACTGAATTTTGAATCTACATAAAAGAAAGTTCAATGAAGATGCAGCACTAGAAAGGAGCGACTAAAAAGATTACATCGGATGGAAGCTTTTCATTCAACTGAAGTAAGGGTATTGAGACTATGAGGTCCGTTTATAAAGCCCTTCCTGCAAGCCATAGAAAGGGCTTTTCAATATTTGAATACTTTTTTACAAGAAAATCTTTTTTTTCTACACCTAATGCTTACAGTGACGGACTTGATTTAGTGACAAAAAACGTCCCATTTTGCAACCGGGAAGTATCAAAAAATGTTGCAAAATGACTCCCTTTCCAAGTGAAAGAAGGGAACGCTTTTGAAATCGGATTTTCTCACTTGGAGAGGGAGGTATTTTGCCACATTTTTTGATTCTTTCCGGACGCAAAATTATACGTTTTTTGCCACTACAGATTCCCGACTTACAGCAAGGTCTGCAGCAGCAGCATCCACAACACGGCACCGGACAAAGCTTAGGCGGCGTAGGTGGAAGTTTGATCAACAACGGGGGATTACAGCAAGGCAGACAATTACAACAGGGTTGACAACATCCACAACCACAGCAATTCCCACAACAACATCCAGCCTCGATCTCAGTGAAAGTGTACACTGCTATCGCGACAAAAAGTGTTAGCCTTAGAGAAAACCTTGACATCTAAAAAAAGGCAATTGTAAAGCAAGCGGCAATTGTAATTATTAGTAATAAGGGCCTGTTTTTGATTAAAACAAATAATAAAAAGGGAGATTCGCTTCTCGGACTTACCGTAACCCCTCCGGCTAATTGCTGTGGAATTTGAAAATGAGGAAAGAGAGCCCGGCTCCAAGACTTTTATCCATATATTTCCCGGTCGCAGGAATGCGTCACTGTCTCCGCTCCCCTTTGCGCGACGCTAAATTTGGACGCAGAATCCGGACGGGAGAAATGGATGAGCCATCCGCGCGACCATTCAAATCAAGCGGATCAAAACACTGAATAAACAGGAAGTCGGTCAGTGGGACACGGGGAAGTTGTTGATGAAAGGAAAGGAAAATGGAGTCTGAGGGACTGTAAACTACAAAGATGATCGCCATGTTTTGGCGTTGCACCCAGCGCATTTCTTTGACTGTTTGCTAGAAGCTTCTTCTATACTGACGGACCTGATACAGCGGGAAAAAGCGTACCATTTTGCTGTCGGGAAGTATCAAAAAAAATTGGCAAAATCTCTCCAACTAACGACGAAAACACAGTAAGAAAACACAGTTTTGAAGCATGCGCCCTTATCCGGGAAGTATCAAAAAATGTGGCAAAATGCCTCCCTCTTTAACAAAAAAATACTCTGTTTTGAAGGGTTCCCCACAAAAAGAGCGGGAGCGCTTTTGAAATCAAATTTTTTTCACTTGGGAGGTGTTTTTCCACATTTTATGATATTTTCTGGACGCAAAAGGGAACGTGGCCACTGTACACATGATTATCATCAATAACAATCTCTTGACGCTATGTCTTTTCGAGTCAACGACAGTTTGGGTCGACGAAACTTTGGGTTGCCTCGATTTGTCGTTGTACGCATGGCGGAGGCTAGGAGCAGGCTCAGTTAATAGAAACATTAAGATTGTTCAGGTCCTAGGGTAGTTTACCACCTAAATATTGTGTGGTACTTTACATGTGTTACAGCAAGATCATCGAGATAAAAGTTTCAGCCAAGCCTTCGCCAATTATCCAACGGCTCTGCCAGGCCTCGTAGCTACTTCTTACAACATTTTTCTGGTTCCGAAAAGTCGGTACGCTCCAAAAAAAGGTTTCCGATCTACACACATAAAATAAGTCTGAAATTCAAACATCAAAAGGGTTGAAAAACATAAAAATCCTTTAAAAAACCGTCACCAGACATCTCCTACCGTACACACTTAAGCCAAGATTTTTTTGAGTGTCTGTATAAATTTATTGCCCTTTGAACTTGCTGAATATTTATAAAGAACAAGAGAGAGATCTCTTTATGTTGCCAACGCCACAACGCCTTACGGCGAACTTTTGGGGCGTCCGCCCCCTGAATATTTATGCAAAATGATTTGACTGATGCGACGGCCGAAAGGGCACTTCATCCAAAACGAGAAACGGAATTCGTGGAGTGAGTACGGAGATACGGTGAATGGAAATGTTTGTGGTTCTGTTTTTGTACTTCGTAAGTAAGCCTGTTTGTTTTGCTAAAGAGGGCAGGGCTTTTGAAATGTCACGTTTATCAGTCTGTCGGGAAAATAATGAACGCAATTTCGCTGTACCAATCGCGTCGTTGAAGTGAAAGAAGCTTTGATTTTGCCACGAGACAATTCATTTTCTCGGCGGTGATGAGATTCTCGCTGCTACTCATTATTTTCCCGACAGAGTGATATCTTGAACACAAAGCAGTTCTTGGAAATTGTATCTGCCTTGCTGGCGCAGTTGATACGACTATTTGCTTTTGCTGAAATCGGTCTGTCGGGAAAATAATGTGGGTTTGTCGCAGAAAATTTATAGTGTATTCAGTGCATCAGGTCTCTCTCTCTAGCCATGGCTAGCCATCGCAAAAGCGATGATGGGCGATTCCGAGGCCCGACAAATCCATATTATTTTCCGGACAGACTGATAATAGTCTGTTTTTAAAGTCGTCGGAGTGATTTGTGATTTTTGCGACATGAACTGTGCAGAAAACGTCATCGTGTGAGAGACAGCCATAAAAATCTATTGCACGGTGCAAAAATGAAGAAATTGCACAGTGCAAAGCGAATTTGTGTTTTTGCACAGTGCACTTCGCAAAAATCACTTCAGCGACTTTGCGAACGACTAGAACTCCCAAAAAGACTTGTGGAAGGCGCGCATGTCAAACTGAGACATAGACAAGGCAAAATGGTCCGTTGAATGGAATGACAATTCGCCGAAAAAAGACGCAAAAAAATCTTTTTGTCGGAGAAGAAATGGGGCGATTTTTGAGACGAGAGAGTACGTTTTTGCGCTCCTTTTCTCTGTCTTCTCTGTGAATTCAAGACAAAGTGTAAAAAAAATGATAACGAAGGGTCTATTCCGGTCAACGGACTCCTCAGTTTGACCTGCCACGCTCCTCCGCAAACAGCTCAACCCATTTTCCAGATGCCTTCAATACACCCCGCAAAAATTGTCTTCCGAAAGATCCCTGTCAAAGTAACCGTATACGGCAACATCCTACTCTACAATCTGACCATCTCCGACCCCAACGAATGTGCGACGGTGGCGGGTCCGAATGCGAATGCAACTATCATCAAATACTTTCAAGACAAGGGCTATTGCGAGATCTACAACGGTGGGCTGTCTTACAGTTTGTCGACCTCTTGGTACGCAGGTGAGCGGTTCGATGTGGTTGAGTTAAATAACAGCAGTTTGTTGATTTCAGTGACCGGCAAGGCGGCGTATACGCAGTATGTGCGGTCGCGTGGGATGTGCTCTTGCGCTGACGGGACTGATGGCGAGCGAGCGCTGATCGATTTTGGTGAGTATGGTCTAAATGGAAGCCCTTCCTGGAAGAAGAACCTTTGCCTTCCAGAATTTTTGGTCGGCTACGCCCCTGTTTATCAGTCTGCCGGGAAAATAATCAGCGCAATGCCGCTACACCGAACAGGTCGCTAAAGTGAAAAGCAATTCGATTTTGCCGCGACGCAATTCGTTTTCTTGGCGGCGCTGCGATTTTCGGTGCGATTTTGCGCTCACAAGCGAAGTACCCCAAGTGCAGCGCTCAGATTTTGTTTAAATTTTGCACACACGTCGGGCATGGACTAGGTTTCAATTCCTGAAAGTTTTGGCTCGCCGAGAGAGTATGGCAAACGCCGAATTTTGTGGAAACATTACCCTCTATGCTAGAAATGGCCATGAAAATTTCCATGCCAAAAATCGCAAAAAAATTTTAAAATCTTCTCCGACTTTCGATCTAAAAATCTCAGATGTTTCTGCAAAGCGCGAGTTTGGATTCTCGCATAAACTTTAGAAAAAATTAGTCTAAATTTGTGCCAAGTTTCATCAAAAGCGCAAACTTGGGGTACTTCCGCTGTCAATATTTTCTCGACGGACTGAAATCCCACTTCAATTCACTCAAAATTTTTTTTAACGTGTCTTTCCGTTTCTGGTTGTCCGCAACCCGCGCACGTCAAACTGAGGAGTCCGGTGACCGGAATAGACTTTTCGCTATCGGTTTTTTACACTTCGTCTTGATTTCGCAGAGAAAGAGAGAAAAAAGACGCGCAAAAGCGTACTCTCTCGCCCTAAAAATTCCCCATTTCTTCCCCGACAAAACGTTTTTTCGCGTCTTTTTTTGGCAAATTGCCAATCCATTCACCGGACTGTTTTAGATTATCTCAGTTTGACGTGCCGCGTCTTGCGATAGCTTCCAAACAATTCAACGAATTTAAAATTTGTTTTAGTCTACTATGAAAACGCATGCATTCCCGCCTATGATTTTGCCTACGACAAAGCGACCAACTACTGTGTCGGTCAGGTAAGTTGAAAAAATACCCAAACAGAGTTCCTTTCAGAGTTCCGCTCAAGGGGTGAGCGACAACTACGCGAATGGATACGGTTTGTGGAGAACGGGCGCTACCAGCAACTACACATTGTTTTACATGACCAGAGCGCGTAAGTACAGCACGTCGGGAAAATAATGAGCACAATGTCGCAGCAAAAATCGCAAATTAATTCCAGAAGCCACTCAAATGACGAAATATACGTGCACCGCGGTCGTTTCGTACCGTGTTCCCTTCGGCGACACTTGGTATTGCATGTCGTTGGCGGCCGTCACCCCCAACAACTTTTCGCTTTGGTCCGACAACTATTGTGGCCAAGTACTGACCGATGGCTACGGCGTCAAATTTGTGCATCCTCTGGTTTATGGCTTTGTCTATGGTAAATTTCTCAATTAAATTTTGAAGCCATATTTCTACTTTTTTTTAGCGTTTATTCAATTTTTTCAGTGTTCAGTCAAGCGAAAGGAGTAACGGGTCTAACAACATACGATGGGTCAACCTATGTCTACAACGACAACTCCACGGTACCCAGTAATTTGACGCTTCCCTGGGCCAGCGGATATCCGAAAGGAAACCCTTATGTCTTTGTTACGAAACAGATGAGTAAGTTTTGGTTTTCAGCTGACTAAAGCCAAAGTTTAATTCACTTATAGCGCTTCAAGACTCAAATACGAACACTGGAAATTACTTGAATTGTATGGGACCTGTTCAATTGCGGTAGTGTTGTTGTCTTCTCTCCAAAAAAGTCGACCGGCAACGAACTGCAAAATACACAATGTACGTCAGAGCGCATGGAATGTTCACAGGCGCCGATGGAGAGGAGGCAGAGCAAATGGTGATTGATTTTGGTAAGAAATAGGACCTTTTATACCATCAATGGAGCAAAGTTCTCTAGGAGAGGAGTATATTACGGGAACTGGACCCGAGATACCCAAATAAAGGGCCGACAAGATGTTTCACTGAGTATTTATCTGTCACAATAGCCAACAAAGGGGCAGATCACATAAAATACATCTTTCACCTTCCTTGAACCATTTGTAGAAGTGAGGCCGGCGAGCAATGGTCGACCGTCCGCTTCCAAAACAACCGAACGACTCTAATGAATATTCCAAGTGAGAAGTCCCAATGACCGGTCGGTGCGGGATGCCAATTTGCAGTTGAGTTATTCGTGGCGGGATACAGACGAAGGTTGGGTGTTCTGGCTGAATTGCGGGGAATTGCACGGGGAATTGGCTGGTGGCGCTGCTGGGGTGTGCCTGGTCCTACTAAGCCGTTGAGGTTGAAGCTCAAGTTAATAACCCATTAGTCAGCTACGAATACGCTTGAATTCTGGCGTATGACAGACAAGTGGGAGTGAGCAGCAACACTTTTTACACAAGCCTTCCTCCCCCTTTGGACTTTAAACCTACAGTAATTTCGCCGAACGATTTACAAACATCGGAAAAATTCCTCTGAATATTCATAGCTTTCCGGAGGAAAAGGCCAAATTCTTGAATGTTGCCAATGCCACAGGCGGTTTGACACTACAAGGTCCTGAAAAATAGACGGAGACATTGAATATTTATGGACACTGTGGGTTATATGCGATGACGGGACTCCTATAGCTAAGGTTAGAAAAAGTGGACATTTTGAAAGTCTCCGTCGAGTCTCCGCTGAGCCTTCGCCGAGAAATCCAACGGCTTTGCCATGCCCCGTAGGCACTTACTACAACCTTTTTTTGGGTATCCACCTGCCCTACACCCCGTATCGATCGATTTTATTGACCCGAGCTGTCGTCCACCGCCGCGCCTAGCTTAGCCTGCGCTAGGCTATATTTATGACAAAACAAAAATTTTGTTTTTGACTGTAAATCCTTTTTAGAAGCCACCGAAATGACGAAATACACATGCACGGCGGTCATCGCTTACCGAGTGCCTTTTGGCGACAGTTGGTATTGCATGTCTCTGTCAGTTTACACTCCAAACAGCTACACGCTTTGGTCGGACAATTACTGCGGCGATGTTTTGACCGATGGCTATGGAATCAAATTTGTTCATCCGCTCGTCTATGGGTTCACTTATGGTAACGGGTCAAGCAGGCGTTTTGAAAAGTTAATTTTAAAATTTTAGCGTTTAGCCAGGTGTAACGGGATTGACAACGTACGATGGAAAAAATTACGTGTACAATGACAATTCTACAGTGCCCCGTAACTTGACGTTGCCTTGGGAAAGCGGGTATCCGAAAGGGAACAAATACGTGTTTGTCACCAAACAAATGAGTAAGTAACCTTGTAATATTACGGTGACGGACCTGATCCAGTAGCAAAAAACGTACCATTTTGCATCTGGGAAGTATCAAAAAATGTAGCAAAATGCCTCCCTCTGCAAGTGAAAAACTCCGATTTCAAAAACGCGCCCTTCATAAAGGTTTTTTTCGCTTGAAGAAGGAGGTATTTTGCAACATTTTTTGACACTTGCCCGATGCAAAATGACGCGTTTGATCAGGTCCTGGGGCTTGAGTATTGTATAATATCTACTCGATATGTATACTAGTCCGTTCGCAAAGTCGCTGGAGTTGTTTTCGCGGAACGCACTGTGCGAAAACAACACTTCGCTTTGCACTGTGCAATTTTTCGCTTTTTACACCGCACTTCAAACTGAGGAGTCCGGTGACCGGAATAGACCCTTCGCTATCGGTTTTATACACCTTGTCTTGATTTGACAGAGAAGTCAGAGAAAAGACGCCTAAAAACATACTCTCTCGCACCAAAAAATCCCCATTTCTTCCCCGATTAACAGTTTTTTCGCGTCTCTTTTGGCGAATTGCCAACCTATTCACTGGACCGTTTTAGCCTATCCCAGTTTGACGTGCACCGTGCAATTCGTTGTTTTTTTGGATGTCGCTTTTTTGCACAATGCCTGTCGCCGAAATGACTCCAGCAACTTTGCGAACGAACTACACTCCATTTCAAAATGATAGACACGCCTATAAAATTTTCAATTGCGGTGTCGGGGTTCAGTTGACGGATACGAAACCTTAACAGGTTGAAAGAGGAGGTTTGAAAACCTACACCTACAAATAAATTTTCTTATTGCACTGTAATTGCACTTTACACAAAAGATTTTCCAAATTTTGGGTGTTTCAAAATGATAGACACGGCTGATATTTTTGCCAAAAACTTGCGAATATGGGCCCCATAGAGCTTGAAATTATTAGTATGACTATATTGCAACTGTCTGGACTTTGCTGAGCTCAAAAAGCCCAAATTTTTATGCCATTGTCCCGGAATTGCACATATACCTCCATTTTGTGCAATCTGGCCTGCATCTGTCAGAAGTCCACTTTCCATAGGCACAGACAGTGCAGATGCGACCTATGGTATGTAATGGAGTAGATCCAGTCAGTTTTCCCTGTATGCGACACAAAAATGCGTGGAAATTGCAACGAAAACTGATTCCGCAGCGGAAGTCGTCACTTTTAAAGCTTCTTAAGCGGGTGCCTGTGGCTTGCACAACCCAAAAAGCTCTGAACTATCTTGAAAAACTACAAGCAAACGTTACTACATAATCCTTATGTCCAGGTTCCGTCGGGCCAACGCCAGAAAACGTCAAGTTTCCAAAAAGCCCTTTTTAACCCATTTTTAAGCCTATTCTGCATAGATTCGCATGAGAATGGTGCACTGCGGACCCGCTGAAGCAATGCTGCACATGCTACCGTGCTAAACGTATTTACAAAAACCTAAACATTCCAGCCAAGAAGTTTTTCTTTTCATCTAGCTTGTTTCGAAACGTAGGGTAGCCTTGAAAGCTTACCATGTCGCAGCGGAATCAGTTTTTGTTGCAATTGCCACGCATTTTTTTGTCGCATACAGGGGAAAACTGACTGGATCTACTCCATTACGTACCATAGGTCGCATCTGCACTGTCTGTGCCTGTGGAAAGTGGACTTCTGACAGATGCAGGCCAGATTGCACAAAATGGAGGTATATGTGCAATTCCGGGACAATGGCATAAAAATTTGGGCTTTTTGAGCTCAGCAAAGTCCAGACAGTTGCAATATAGCCATACTAATAATTTCAAGCTCTATGGGGCCCATATTCGCAAGTTTTTGGCAAAAATATCAGCCGTGTCTATCATTTTGAAACACCCAAAATTTGGAAAATCTTTTGTGCAAAGTGCAATTGCAGTGCAATAAGAAAAATGATTTGTTGGTATAGGTTTTCAAACCTCCTCTTTCAATCTGTTAAGGTTTCGTATCTGTCAACTAAACCCCGACACCGCAATTGCAGATTTTATAGGCGTGTCTATCATTTTGAAATGGAGTGTAGTGCAGTGACGGACCTGTTCCAGTGGCAAAACACGTACCATTTTGCTTCCGGGAAGTATCGAAAAATGTGTCAAAATGCCTCCCTCTCCAACTAAAAAACTCCGGTTTGAAGGGCGCGCTTTTCCCTCACAAAAAGAAAGGTTTTGAAATCGGAATCTTTTTCGCTTGGAGAGGGAGGTATTTTGCCACATTTTTTGATACTTTCCAGATGCAAAATGGTATGTCTTTTGCCACGCGCCTTTCCCTCAGCTCCGCCACTGTATACATATAACAACCCATCGATCCCAGACAAAAATCCTGTAACGATACTTTTCAGCGTTTAAAGACTCGGATACCAACGAAGGAAACTGGCTGAATTGCATGGGTCCGGTTCAGTCATGATGACGCTGGAGGTTGGCTCAAGCCGCTACATATCAAAAAATTCTATTAAATAGGATTTTTCTAAATTGAATAAATCTTGAGGTAGAGAAGGAAGAATACTGTAATAGCTAAGGTTCGACCCTACATGATCTTAACCAGAGATTGCCACGGCTCCGGAGCCGGCTCTTGGCTCCGGCTCAGAGCGGCTCCGGCTCCGAGCCGGGAGCCAGAGCCAAAGCCGGAAATTTTGGGTGCGGCTCCGGCTCCCGAGCCCAAAGTCGGAGCCGGGCATCTCAGCGTTCAGAAAAGTAAAAATTTATCAGATTGCTTGAAAAATACTGGTAAGGGTGTGTTGCATACGACTTGGCTTCGAAAACGTTGGGCGTATGATTTCTGGCGTCAATAGCTTTGCCATTTTGGCCGTGGCAATCTCTGGTCTTAACTAAGCCTTCTCCTAGCCTTCGCCATGAGAGATTGCAACATGGAGACAACACAAAGTATCGTCCACCCGAAAGGACGTAGGGCCGCTTAAATTGCTCATAATCAAAAACAATTTCTTTGTTAGTTTGTAACTCCATTGTTTCCAAAAGACAAGGATAGGCTTTGCAGAGTTTCCTTCCATTACAAATTATGATTTTGAAACAAAGAAAACAACTTGTGAGACGGGAATACTTGAAAAAACAAGATTGTCAAACATTGACCAGGTCAACAAAGGTGTGCCATTGTCTGTTTATGCAATTTTATCAGAAAAGAAAAAGTTTATAAGGAAGAGTTGAATACTGTTGAGTAGCTGTTTGGCCGACACGTCTTTCGGCCGTAAATTTGGCGCTACTCTTCGGGTCAGCGACAGTCCGAGTCGACGGTACTTTGGGTGGCCTTGATTTGTCGTTGTATGAGGCAAGGAGAAGGCTTAGTTTGCAGAAATCTCCCATGCATACAACGGCCAGCCAAGGCAACCTAAAGTACCGTCGAACCCAACTGTCGTTGACCCGAAAAGTTGTAGCGCCTTATTTTCAGACATGATTTACTTCATTGCCTTTCTGCTTATCCTCTCAACCCCGTTGACCCATGCAATCAACACAAACTTCAATATCGAGCTAACCTACGCCAACAAGGAGGCGAGAAAAGTCCTGGTTGACACTACATCGGCGGCCAGCTTCCTCTTCGACGCTAAGGTCAACCTGGACAAAAGCCGGACTGTGAATCCGGCGGACTCCAAGACTTTCAAAAACCTGAACAAGACCATCTTCCAAAAATACAATCCCTATACCAACGAGGCATATAGCTCGTTTAGCGGCTACCTTGGAGAAGACGACTTCAGTCATGGTGCGCTGAAATTCAGAGGGACGCTGGGTCTGGCCTCCGGCCAACTTAACGACCCTGGGAAAGCGAGTAATGGAGAGCTGTTCGCGGGAAGAATTGGGCTTTCTCGAGGTAAAAGCGACGCCCTGTTGAGGGATGCCATTTTGGCGAAGGCGGAGAAGAAGGTTGCATGTCTTTCACTGCAAACAACCATCGGCGGAGAGTAAGTGAGGATGGTTTGAGACTTTGAAAAAATTTGTGGCGGAAATGTGTATGAATTAACATTAGAGGCAAAAAGCTCAAAATTGGCAGCGAGTCCAAGTTTGCAAACAAGTCGGACACTGTTGTTGAGCAAATTCGAAATATACGCATCAAAGACCGCATCGCCGCTGGGAAAAGGAACTGGGCCGCGGCAAAATCAAATTGCTTTTCGCTTCAGCGGCACGATTGGCGCTGAGCGCGCACTATTTTTCCGACAGACTGATATCAAATTTCTGTCAGGCTTAGGAATGGCTCCGGACCGGGCTTTGCAAAATTTTCCGGCCCGGGCCGGGCCGACTAATTTCTCGGCCCGACTCCGGGCTTCGATTTTTAGGCCCGGGCCGAACCGGGCCGGGCTTTCCAAATTTTCCAAGCCCGGGCCCGGGGCGGGCTTGGAGATTTAAGCCCGGGCCTGCGGCTCGGGCCGGGGCGGGCCGGGCTGGCCCGGTTTGCAGCCATGCTTAGTCAGGCTTCGCCAAAATCGTTGGGCATCTCTTTCCTTACGCCAGTGATCCATTTTTCAATCATGTTCCGTTTTCAGGAAACCAACTTCCAAAGTGACCCTCAGACAAGACCCGTTCGCCGACAAAACCCCGTACCTTCAAGCCAAATCCTTGCCCCACCCCGAGGGCAATTGGCAAGTGAATGTGACCCGTTTCAGTCTGGCTGGCGTTGTTTTCGCCAACACCATTCCGGCCGACATCTCGACCACCTGCGGCTTCATCGGCGTCCCGTACAACTACTTCGCAAAGATCCGACAAGCTCTGAACGTGCGGTACGACAACAAGACAGGCCACGACACCGTGGATTGCAATAAAGTGGGGACTTTCGTACTTCATATCAATGGAAAAGCATTCCTTTTATATTCCGGTTATTATACTGAAAAGTCCGGTAGCGTTTGCGTGCTGAAAATCCGGCCTCAAAGCGGATTCGTTTTGGGATTGCCGTTCTTCGTCAACGCAGGCGTTTGTCTGGACTTTGAGAAGGAGGAACTTAAGATCTATAAGCTCCAAACGATAAAAAACAAAACCGGTTCCAATTGAGAAGCGGTCTTTTTTGAGGTCATATTCAACAAGGAAGTCGTTTCAATTGTTTGCTTATGTACTGTAATAATGATTCATTTCAAATACAAATTTAATAAATAAGTGGCTCAATTGCTCTAGAAATTTTGGCTTTTTTACCACACTCTCTTGCATATGTCAGCGCCAAAATGCCGATGACTTGGCGAAGCTCAATGTCGTATTCATAAAATTTGATTTTAATTTACAATGGGAAAACAAGCAATTCGAATTAAAAATGAATGTAACTCTTTATAGAACGAATAAATGCAGATTACAATAACAGAATCACCGTTTGTTTGTCGAGTAAAATTTGCATACAATGTGAAATTCTATGGAAACTCTTGAGCGTTTTCTTATTGAAGAAAAAAAAATTAAAACAGCTGACAGATGGTGAATAGAATTCTTTTCTACACAAAATTTCTCACAATATGCGTGAAATTTCCTCAATTTTTGGAAAATGCCAAAAAATCGCAAGTGTACCTCTATGGCGCAGTGGTAGTGAGTTTACTCAAATTCGAGGCTGGTTCGAATCCCAGTGGAAACAATATTCTTTTTTTGATGTAGAAAGTAGTTTATGCGGTGATTTAGCACCAAAAATAATCAAAAAAGAAGTCTTCACCATCCATCAGTCATGTACAGTATAATGAATATTGTCAAAAGTGATTTTCAAAGTGTTTGGGGCCTTTTGAGATTCGCGAAATGCAGAACAAATTTCGTACTACAACCTAATTACAGCCTAAACAAGAGCAGTGCGCTCAGCAACAGAGCGCTCGATATGATTCGGGTTGAGGTCATTGAGCAAGGGCGCAGCTCGGGGTCCAGCTCCTTCAATTGGGGCGGTTCCCGCAAACACTGCGCCACAGTTTTGCGATGATGCGGTTTGGTGGAGGGACACTGGCTTCGGGGGCCTTCGTCATCGTCGTCCAGCTCGCCACTGCCAAATCTGAACGACTTATGGGTAGATTTATATTGTACTTGACATCAGATATAAAAGTGTGAATTCTCAAAAACTTTCTGCTGGAATTTCTTAAAACTTATCGCAAATCTTGCTGATATACCTAGTATCAAATGTTAAAAATTTCAAATCGCACTATGCAGAAACAACCGAGATATTCACATTTTTCTCCTTTTTCTCACTTACCGCTGTTTCTCCCGCTGTTTCATTTCGAGTTGAGTGAGCCGCTCGAAGCCGAATGGCACCGTCTTCGCCAGAGGGCAATGCTTGTCATCGTAGCAGGACGAACGTTGGCCTTGTTTGATCACCACCATCAAAAGATTGGTGTTTTCCACCCAGGCCGCGTAAACCTTCCTGAAATCGATTTTTCACTCATTTTCTTAAAATTTTGAAGCTAAAAAGTTGTAGTAATGGCAAAAAAGAACACGAGAGATCGCTGGAACCGTGTTCGAATATTCGAATCTGTCTTCCAAACTTGCTTACACCTTCAAAAATCTATTTTTTCAAGGATAAGTCATCAAATCAAAGAAAACTTTTGAATAAGGAAAGTGCTTCTATGGGGTATGGAGTTACGGGTCGAGACATACATCCAAAAAATCGCAAAAATTTTCTGATTCAGAATATGTGAAAATTAGCTGCTCAATTTTGGTTTGTATGGGCGAAAAAACCCTCAGAACGTTTCTCGAAACACCACGCAAATTCCTTTTTGACCAAGTTGTTACCAATTCAAAAGTTTTCTTTTGAGCTAAAGTGAACCCTGGCATCTTGACAAGCCTTAAAATATCGAATTTGATTAATACTACCAATTAATACTCCTACAGTGACAGACCCGATCCAATGGCAAAAAACGTACACATTTTGCACACGGAAAGTATCAAAAATGTGGCAAAATGCTTCCCTCTCCAAGTGAAAAAACTTCGTTTGCTGCCTCATAAAAAGAACGGGCGTGCTTTTAAAATCGGCATTTTTCACTTGGAGAGGGAAGCATTTTGCCACATTTTTGATACTTCCCGAATGCAAAATGGTACGTTTTTGCCACTGGATCAGGTCCCCCACTGTAATGCCCCTTTTTTACATTGGAACAACAATTGAGGCGTAGTATGAATCAAATTTGATATTTTAAGGCTTGTCAAAATGCCGGGGTTTACTTTAGCTCAAAACAAAACTTTTGAATTAGAAAAGGCTTGGTCAAAAAAGGGGTCATTTGCGTGGTGTTGCGAGAAAAGTTCTGAGGGTTTTTCGCCCTTACAAACCAAAACTGGGCAGCTAATTTTTACATATTGTGAATCAGAAAAACTTTGCGATTTTTTTTTTGATATATCTCTCGCCTGTAACTCCATACCCCATGGAAGTACTTTCCCTGTTAAAAAATTTTCCTTGATTTGATGAGTTATGGTCGAAAAAACTAGATTTTTGAAGGTGTAAACATGTTTGGAAGACATATTCTTATAGTCTAAAAATATATCTACACTGGTCATAATCGCCAATAAGACTGCTAAAAATAACACTCACACAGCGCACTGCGCGGCATTTTGTTTGCACGGGCGTTCGGCGTAATTTTCCTCCAACAAAGCGGCCGTCGCGGTTCCTTTCCGCTCCGTGTTGGCCAAATAAAACTTGGACTTGGTCCGACACGGCAATCGGTCGATATTCGGCTTGAATGTTGTGGTAAAAGCCTCCGCTTTGCGTGGCTGCAGAGCGAAGAATGTGGACAGTGCGGTTGATGGGGACTGGGATATCGCCGACACAAGTTTAAGGGCTTGCCGATAAAAATACTTGAGAATCGTGAGGAATTGACGGTAGATGGTCTGAAAAAGGTGTCTGCTATGTGGGCTAGAGCCTATTATTGCTGTAAATTTCAGGAAAACCTTTCAAAAGTTATGGGTTTTAGTCAAAAATCGAGAATTTTAAAAATCAATGTTTTTCTCAATTTTCGTCCAAAAAATGGAAATTCGTGCCTCCAAAAGTGGCAAAATTCTTCATAAGTACTATAAAAATAGTCGACATTACATAAAAGTTCCAAAAACACCAAAAAATTAGTGCCGTGCGCCTATGGCGCAACTGGTTATGGCGCGAAAAAAGCGGGGCTAGTTCGATCTCTGCTTGAAAAAATTATAAAATTCCGCCGCAAACAATATTTCTAGTCCTCATTTTTCCAAAAAACGCCAAAAAACTGACCGTGCATCAATAGCGCAGCTGGTTTTAGTCTCAACAAAAAATTGAGCCAAGTTCGATTCCGGTTGGAAAAAAAATAAAATTTTGGGTAAAATACGTCACCAATTAAGGTGTATTGCATGTGTAATAGTATTTTCTGTGTTTTCTTACCGTAAGTTTAATACTCGAAGCCGCTGTGGCTTCAATTTTGTCACACATCGCTTGGTTATCCCAATACGTTGTTCTGAAATTTTTTTTTTAAAAATAACAAATTCATTAAAGACGATGTATTTTACAAGCTTCGCTCCACCTACTCTGAATAGAATCCCTTTTTGATGAGCACTTCCATTGTCCATTCGGTGACTCGGTTTAGATGCCCGAAGAAGGAGCCGAGAACGGTTTTTGTAGATTTTCGGGTCTCGTTTTTCACGACATTTGTGTATTCAGTCTCTTTCTGACTGCTGTACAAAACATAGGCATGCTCATCGATCAAGAAACAGCGCTGTGTGTCGTCCTGGAATCAAAAATCTCATTAAATTCCGTCAATCCAAAGTTTTTGATAGAAACGACCAATTTTCAATATGAAAACAAAAATTTAGGACGTAAAACCGCCTTGCCACGCCTCTAAAAATTGAGTATAGGCCAAAAAACCGAGGGTGTGTACGAATGGCGCAGCTGGTAAAAACTTAGATTTTCACTCAAAAACTTGCAAGTTCGAATCCCGCTGCATGAAAAATTTTTTTTGTAAGCTTACATCAGGTTTGCAGCCAAACTCCTTCATCCTCTCGGCCAACTTGTCATATAAGAATTCGACTCCAGCTACTCCAATTAACGCATCGTTTGTATACAACGCTTTGTACGCGACGCCGAGCAAGGAGACGTTTTCCTTGTGCCCAAAAAAGCTCTGTTCTTGTCTTTTGTACCACAGGTGAGCTGAAAATAGAATTTACCGATTATTCATGGCGCAAAAATTACTGCTTACAGCCTCTGTTCACATCAAAAACGATCTTTCCCTTCTGCCGAACCGCCCGTTTGAAGTACTCGTCTTCAACGGAGTTCTTGTTTTGTTGCAGGATAAAGTGTTGATATCCGCTGAAATCAGCATACAGATAATATTTAATTAACCAGTAGTATGAAACGGGACATCTTATACCCCGAAACATGCTTGAAAGTGATTTAAAATTTTCATCGTATAAAATGTCCCCAGTACCAGAAAAAAGATATAGAGGATAGTAAAAGCTGTAACACTCCTCGTGATGACCAGAAAACAACTTTACTCCCACTTAAGCCATTTTATACGACAAAACATGCTTGACTGACTTTTTTGTCGTATAAAATGTCTTACTTCAAAATGAGTGCTAAAACCTATCGTCAATGCTGTCAAGGAAACAATAAGAGGTTTGGATATTATTTTGTAACCAAGCGACATTTTATACGCTCAAACCTGACCAGTCTTTAAACTTGACTCCCAGACATGTTTTATAGTATAAAATGTAACCAGAGATAAAAATCAAATCCAAAATACATGTATTTAACTCCACGCTCAAATTTACTTACTAAGTTTTCACGGCCTGCTCCTCTTTCGGCTTCTCATATGCATATTCTTCCAGGCTTTGATTGGCAAACCGAATAAGTCCTGAGGGCGTTGCAAAGAAGGTCAGATGAATCCCGCTTTCCTTGTTCTTTGTCCACTCCTCATCCCAGAGCTGGCTGAAGTCGGTGGTGGCTTGCATGTCCAGCAAAAGTCGGTCAATCAGCCGTCTTCTTGCGCGACACAACACCGGTAATTCGCCGTAATCCCGCATATGTTTCGCATACACTTGGAATGCCGCCTCAGGGCCTAGCTGGGTGTCGCTGTCGTTGAGAAGGCAGTAGCGCCATTTCGGGTGGATTCGCCAGTTCTTCCCGCGCATCCACTCCAAATCCACCGAGTTCCAATCGATCAGTCCTTTCCGCTGCAAACGGACTTCATCGCCTTCGGCAACGGCTAATCCAAGGCTGAAAATAGATGAGAAATAAGCCAATCCAGATGAGCAATAAGTCAATCCAGCAACACAGCGGGGTAATTTTTTATGATTCCCCATTTCTGAACTCAAGGTGACATTTTATACGATGAATCCTTCTCAATGTCTCTTTGATGGTTCCATCGTATGAAATGTCACACATTACAAAACAAGGCAGATTGGCCATAAGAAAGCGTAATAAAGTCGATAAAATTTGGTATCTTGCTAAGGTTGACATTCTATACGATGAAACCTTCTCAATGTCCCTTTGAGCAGGTTCCATCGTATAAAATGTCACACATTACAGTATAAGGAAAATTCGTCAGAAACAAGCTACTAAAGTAATACCACGTAGTATCTTACTAAAGTTGACATTTTATACGATGAAAGCGTGCTTTTTGTCACCATGAGCAGTTTTCACCGTATAAATTATCGCCACATTGAAATTACGCTAGTATTACCGCCAAAGGGTCATGACTAAGCAATAAATGCAAAATCTGATAAATTGTCATCTTATACGACGAGATATGCACACGAAAATTATCGGCACCTTTCATCGTATAAAATGGCAATTCCACGCAGGAGAAGCCAGAAGGTGGCAAATGTCAAAAAATAAAATAAGGATCAAGTTTCAGTTCCTTCCAACTTACGTAAATTGGGTTCCATCAAGACATTCCGAATGGTAAGTGTTCTTCTGAATATAAACCCTTCGGATGTCTTCGGTCGAAAAAAGCACTGTCAATTCCTTTGGTGTGTCATCATCGCAGTTGATGAATCCAGGCTTGGGCTTCTTATGCATTGGTGGGGTGACTTCGACTTCGGAGAAATCCAAGTTGTTGAAAATGGGCTTCACTTCATTCGTTACCGAGTCCTAAAAATTGATGTAAAACACGAAAGACAAAAAAATACATCAAAATTTTTTCAAAAACAGGAGTAAAATACTATAACAGTCTTTTTCCGACGATTCTATCAAAGCGACAAGTTATACGATGAAACATGTTTCATCGTATAACTTGTCACCTTTGCTAAAAAACTTACAAATTGATCTAGCTGTGGATGGAACATAGTATAGCCGTTGTTATCCAACATAAAATAGTAGCTTCGAGAGCCAATGTACGAGAAATGAGCGATTTGTTGCACTTCAATCAAGGGAATTGAAACGGCCGCCACTCCCATAATGGCTTCTTCAACGATCACCGGATAACCCACCGAGATGACAAATTCGTTACTCTGCAAGATTTTCAGACTTAGAGTTACTTCTTTGCAATGGGAGACATGTTATACGATAAAACGTTCTTGGCTATGTTTCGTCGTATAAGATGTCGGCATCCCAAAAAATCGCATTCCAAATGCAAGAACCTACCATTCGCTCTCTCGCAATACTACTCCACACCGCGCTTTCTTGATTGATGTTCGTCGCTTGATGACTGATTGGTCTGGACAGCACCCTCACATAATGTTGAATTTTCTCCAAAATGTCGGCCAAATTGCTGATGTGCACCATGAAGCCGCGATTATTGCAGGCCATCCATCGCACTTGCTCAAAATCGGTGGCTTCTTCACCAACCAGGAAGGAGAAAAAGCGGACCTGAAAGAGATGAGTCAAGTATAATATAAATGAGAAACTCACCTGTTTATGCTTGTTGTAAAGCTCAAATACGTCCTTATAAAAGTCTGGAGCACCATCAGTGACCAGCATGATGACGTCATTGCAGCCCATTTTGGTGTTCCCACTGAAGTTGTTGATCTAAAACAATGTGAATTGTAAAATACGATGAACATAAGGGCTTGAAACTTAATAAGGAAGAAAATTGTTGATTGGACAAGATTTTATGACAAACATAACGATAACGGGGACGATACATAGGAAAAAATATGGATAACCGCATTCCAAAGGTGATTTTTCGCCAATTTATAGCAAAAAAAGCTAATTTACCCTTAGGGCATAAATTGAAATTCATTTTAAATTACGTATAGAGGCTTTTTAGATCACACTATAACAATTTTACATCAAAAAAATACCAATTTCAGGCCAAAATTCAAAACTTGCCTCAGGGCATTACCGTAATTTTCGATCCCAAAACATTTCCCAAAGCTCTATCAACTGTTGTAGACTCAAAAATACCTTCAGAATGCTGTAGCAACTACGAAAACAGGACATTTTCACTTCACAAACCGACTAATACCAAGTATAATATAAATTAATGCCACCGCACACAACCAAGGCCAACTGAAAGCGCAACCACGCGAACGGAAGGGCGACAGCCACCTACGGCATCGATGTAGCTGCGATCCACGACCAGGAAGTGCTCGTTCAGATGGATGTATTCTTTTTGCGGGTCCAGACCGCCGCCTTCGTCCTTTTCCTTCTCGATCTCCTCCTTCGTCTTCCATTCCAGTTGTGAGGGTTTAAGCTTGAAAAGGCAAAGCAAATAGAAGCGTGATTAAAAAGCGTTACAATTAGAGGCAATCTCAAGTGAAATTTGTCGTGGAATGGCGGCTTTATTCTGAGCTACGATAATAATCAGAGCCAAGGAAATTTATGGGCTTTGGTTCCGGATATGCCAACGAAATATGGTCATATCTCATCAGAGGAGTCTTTAGTGTAGATGGAATAAAATTAAGGTCAAATTCCAAAAAATTTCAAAACATGCGTTTTTGAGAAACGTGAGATATTTCTGCAGTGGCGGACCTGACCCAGTGGCAAAAAACGTACAATTTTGCATTCGGGAAGCATCAAAAAGTGTAGCAAAATGCCTCCCTCTCCAAGTGAAAAAACTCTGTTTTGAAGGGCGCCTTTGGACAGCGGAGCTTTTCACTTGGAAAGGGAGGTCTTTTTCTACATTTTTTGACACTTCCCGGATGCAAAATGGCACGTTTTTTGCCACTGGATCAGGTCTGCCATTGTATGCTTAAATTCAAAAGATTCGTTTTTAAGAAACGTGAGATATTTCCAGCGTTTTTTTTCAGAAAGCGCCCCGATGTTTTGACCGGGAACTTTCAAAAAAACTGGCTTCGGCTGATCAACGTTAACTGATAATCTGGGAAATTTGTATAGTGAGGGACCGGATCCAATGGCAAAAACGTCTCATTTTGCATCCCGCAAGGGACCAAAATGTCTCCAAACCCTTCCCTTTTCTAAGCTAAAAAACCCCGCTTTGAAGAGCCCGCCTTGAAGGAAAGGGCGCGCTTTTCAAAGCGGAGTTTTTTAGCTTAGAGAAGGGAAGGGGTTGGAGTCATTTTGGTCCCTTCCGAGATGCAAAATCAGACGTTTTTTGCCATTGGATCAAGTCCCTCACTGTAAGTGGCCTGGTCGAGGAAGCCAAGAAAATCTGAAGATATCCTAGTGTCGAGCTTCTGTACATCCTTTCTCACTTCTTTTTATTGAAGTAACTTCTACAATTCTGCATCAAAATTCAAAAAAAATACCTGCTGTCACCGCTATTAGTCGTTAAAAGTCACACATTTTTTGATGAAAAAAGCTATAATATTATATGCATATAAAAGAGTTACATTCTTGTGCACACAAAGCGTTTTTTATAAGCCTAAAAGCCAAGTCTTATATAATTTTCAAGCATTACCATTGAGCAAAAAAACTCTTTCCACTTGACTGTCGTCAAGTCAAGCAACATTCCCTTTTAAGCCGTTATCTTTAAGCGCACTCAACGCCAATTAGCATACTAATTGACTACAATTATTAGGACTTACATTCATCAGGGTGGTAAACGCCTTGGCCAGCGCTTTCTCATACTCCGCCTTGCCCTCCGCGGTGACGTTCGCCAGCTTGCTCCAAATCAATTTCTTGTTCCTCATGGTGGCCTGAATGAGGGTGTCGCTGGCGCAGTCGTCCAAAAACTGCGCGTTCTTGGAGAACTAAAAAGAAAAATACGATGGAAATACCTGGAGTGAAAATATACAGTAGCGGACATGATCCAGTGGCAAAAAACGTATCATTTTGCATCCGGGAAGTATCAAAAATGTGGCAAAATGCCTCCACTTCCAAATCGAAAAAACCCCGATTTCAAAAGCGCCTGACCTTTTGTGAGGGAAACGCTATTCAAAACGCAGTTTTTTATATAGTTAGAAAGGGAGGCATTTTGCCACATTTTTTGATGCTTCCCGGATGCAAAATGGTACGTTTTTTTCCACTGGATCAGTTCCGGCACTGTACATGCCAAGCTTGCGCTAAAATTGTCGCTCAAGTAAAGCATAGGCCAGATATCAATTCTTGAAAAAAATCGAACAATTTTGCCTCAGGCAATTTTTTTACTTTTTGTAAATTTTTTAAAAAATTATCTCGCTTTTCAAAAAACTTTCTGCAACAGTACAGTGACGGATCTTATCCAGTGACGAAAAAGTGGCATTTTGCATCCGGGAAGTATCAAAAAATGTGGCAAAATGCCTCCCTCTCTAACTAAAAAACTGCGTTTTGAAGGGCTCCCTCACAAAAAAGAGCGGGCGCGCTTTTAAAATCGGATTTTTTCACTTGGAGAGGGAGGCATTTTGCCACATTTTTGATACTTCCCGGATGCAAAATGGTACGTTTTTGCCACTGGATCAAGTCCGTCACTGTATAAATTGTAACACTCACCGCCAAGACATTAAAGAAATCATTGTCATACAGCGTCTCCAGGATCGCTTCAATTGTTTGTTTTGCAATTTCGTAGCGCTGTCCCAACATGGATCCACTCAAGTCCAGCATAATCAAGACATTCTTCGACATCGTGGCGCCATCAATGAACCACTCGGTGGCGCGACAATCGAACAAATCGAGGCCGTCCGCGTCCCAGCGCCACGGCGCCGCTGGGAAGTAGCGCATGAAGCCGCTTTCGGAGCAAAACTTTTGAAAGGACAGGTCTTTCATGCGCTCTCGATTGCGTCGATAAACTTGGTCGATATTCGACCATTCAATTCGCTTTAGAGCGTAGGGATCTGGAAGCGTTGTGTTTTTTACAAGGAAATTACTTCTATGGGGTATGAGGTTACATGCCTATGCAAAATAAAATACTATTAGTTGGGCAAAAAAATACGCCCGATTTTGGGAGATTTAGGATGGTTTTGCGATAAGAAAATGAAAAAAAAAGTTCTGAAAAATTGTGGATTTTGGTAAAATTAATAGAAAAACATTTTTATTTACCTAGATGTTCTAAAAATTGATGAATTTATTATTGTGCCCTTAGGGTATTTAGATTTTCTAGTTGCGAAAATTTAAAAAATTTTGGGAATTTTTGACAAGGAAATTACTTCTATGAGGTATGAGGTTACAAGTCGAGAGATATATCAAAAAAATCGCAAAAATTTTCTGATTCAGAATATGTAAAAATTCGCTGCCTAATTTTGGTCGGTAAGGGCGAAAAAAACCATCAGAACTTTTCTCGCAACACCACGCAAATGCCCCTTTTTTACATCGGAACTACTATCAAGGTTTAGTATTAATCTTGATGTTTTAAGGCTTGTCAAGATGCCAGGGTTTTTCCTAGCTCAAATCAAGATTTTTGAATTGGTAAAAACTTGGTCAAAAAGGCATTTTCGTGGTGTTGCGAGAAAAGAAAAGTTCTGAGGGTGTTTTCGCCCTTACAAACACGCAATTTGCAGCTAATTTTTACATATTCTGAACTTTTCTCGTAGCTGCGATTTATAGCGGCATAATGCCACTGCTCTATGCATTCTTGCTTCTATAAATATTCGCCAGGTCTATTGACAACATTTCTAAAATCTCAAAAATTTATGAAAGAATCGTAGGGCAAAAAATTCAAAAATTTTCGTAAAAGCAAAAAGTTTTAAAATACAACGTTTGTAGTCGCATACAGAAAAAATTAAGACTACGCAAAAAGTTTTAAATCAAATATCAGCTCTTATACGATTCGCTTACTTCTTTTGTACACTGGAGTGGGGATATGTACTGCGGACGACTCTGAACTCGTCCGAATCCCGTAAAAATTCACATTTGGCTTCAGTTCGTATTCTCTGCTTCGGTTTACATACGTTGTGTGGCCAAGATGTCCATCCTGATACACAACAGCCCCGTCGCCCTCGGTTTTGGCATCCAAATATCGGACAAAATCGGCTGAATCCGGGTCATTCACGGCCTCGTCGGAGATATTTCGCACTTCTCGCGATTCCAGACTGACTTTGGCGTCCTGAAAAAAATGGATTTTCAGAATTTTCAAATCGTTTTTCAACCTAAAAATCGAAAAAATAAAAAAAATCATCTTACCCATGCCATTTTGGCTCGATCTCGAAGGTAGGCTTCGATTTGTCGTTTGGCCACTCGTAATTCAGCATGAGGCTGGAAGACTTCGGCGCTGGCCAACTTTTCGTATATCTGGAATTTCGATTTGATAAAGATTTTTCAATTTTTTGAAATCTGCACGGTGCAAATTTTTGGAAAATTTTTGCACAGTGCAAATTTATAGAAAAGTTGTTGCATAATGCTAATTTTTGGAAAGTTTTCGCACAGTGCAAATTTTAGAAAAGGTTCTGTACAGTGCAAAATTTTTGAAAAAATTCTTGCACAGTCCAAATTTTTTGAAAAAATTTTTGCACTGTGCAAAATTTTCAGAAAAGTTTTTGCACGGTGCAAATTTTCAGAAAAGTTTTTGCACAGTGCAAATTTTTTGGAAAATTTTTTGCACAGAGCAAAGTTTTTAGAAACCAGCAGTCGGTTTTTCAAAATTTTGCACTGTGCAAAATTTTCAGAAAAGTTTTTGCACGGTGTAAATTTTTGAAAAATCGACTGCACTGTGCAAAATTTTGAAAAACCGACTGCACTGTGCAAATTTTTTGGAAAATTTTTTGCACAGTGCAAATTTTTTGGAAAATTTTTTGCACAGTGCAAAATTTTAGAAAAGTTTTTGCACAGTGCAAATTTTTTAGAAAGTTTTTGCAAGGTTCAAATTTTTGAAAAATCGACTGCACTGTGCAAAACTTTCAAAAACTCACCCGAACGATTTCCTTGTGTTTTGTGGCGGTTTCGAACATGGCCTGTAAGTGGGCGGATAAGTCGTTGGCCCATTCTTTCACACTAAAAATTCGAATTAGCATAATTAGTGGCAATATTCATAAATTTTGAAAATTTAAAAAATTTGCATAGAATTAAAAAAAATTTGCATATAATTAAAAAAATTTGCATAAAATTAAAAAAAATTGCATAAAATAAAAAAAAATTTGCATAAAATTTCAAAAAATCTGCATATAATTAAAAAAATTTGCGTAAAATTAAAAAAATTTGCATAAAATTAAAAAAAATTTGCATTTTTAAAAAAATATCCGACATGATAAATTAACGTATAACGAACTCACCTCAACGGATTGGCAGCTGAATCATGCCCGAAAAAAAGAAATGTGCTCAGTAAAAGAAGCGTTGACCGGAATGGCAGATGATAATTGAAAAATATTCGCATTTTCGAATATTTTGTGCAATCCTCAATGTTCCATTCAAGTGATTTGTATCTGAAAGCGCTCAAAATAGTCCAAAACAATTGAAAATCAAAAAAGTTTTCTTGGAAAAGCACTAAACTTTCCAATTTCGCTAAAATGACACTTTCAATTTCGCAAAAATTTCCCACTTTCTTGGCCTAATTTTTGGCCCCTCTTCACGTGCTCGCTTTTTGCAGGGAGGGGGATCTCCGCGCTCGAGGGTCCGGGCTTATCCACTTGAGTAATGAGACAAAATATTTACCCAGTGGGAAAAGTCGACGCGATTTGCGAAAAGTTCGAGGTGCAGGGATGGATGACAAGCGCTGGTTTGAACGCAAAACAGCTTGTGATTTATGCCCATGCAAATTACATTATTATTTGGGCAAAAAACACGTCCGATTTTGGGAGATTTAGGGTAGGTTTAGCGATAAGAAAATGAGAAAAAAGTTCTGAAAAATTGTGGATTTTGGTAAAATTAATAGTAAAATATTGTTTATTTACCGAGAAAGTTCAAAAATTTGATGAATTTATTATTGTGCCTTTGGGGTATTTAGATTTCCAAACTGCAAAATTTGAAAAATTTTAGTGATTTTTGACAAGGAAATTACTTCTATGGGGTATGGAGTTATAGGTCGAGACATATATCAAAAAAAATCACAAAATTTTTCTGATTCAGAATATGTAAAAATTAGCTGCCCAATTTTGGTTTGTAAGGGCGAAAAGACCCTGAGAACTTTTCTTTTCTCGCAACACCACGAAAATGCCTTTTTGACCAAGTTTTTACCAATTCAAAAATCTTGTTTTGAGCTAGGAAAAAACCCTGGCATCTTGACAAGCCTTAAAACATCAAGATTAATACTACACCTTGATAGTAGTTCCAATGTAAAAAAGGGGCATTTGCGTGGTGTTGCGAGAAAAGTTCTGATGGGTTTTTCGCCCTTACAAACCAAAAATGGGCCTCTAATTTTTACATACTGAATCAGAAAAATTTTGCGATTCTTTTGATATATATCTCGACCTGTAACTCCATACCACATAGAAGTACTTTCCTTGTCAAAAATCACCAAAAATTTTCAAATTTTCGCAACTAGAAAATCCAAATATCCTAAGGGCGCAATAATAAATCCCTCAATTTTTTGAACTTTCTAGGTAAATACACAATATTTTACCACTAACTTTACCAAAATCCACAATTTTCAGAACTTTTTTTTTTCATTTTCTTACCGCTAAACCTATCGTAAATCTCCTAAAATCTCGAGTATCTTGAACTATTAATGTAATCAACATCCCAAAAATCAAAATAAATCTCCATTACTTACCAAAAATGGCAGGTTTGTGGGCCTAATTGTCATTCCATGATTTTTTTGCGTTTTTTGAGCTAAAAAATTAAGAAATCATCTTCTTAAACACTCAAATTGTAGGGCATTTCGTCACGAATGGACGTAAAAGGTAGTACTTGATATTTTACACGTAACAAGTGGTATATATATTCCAAAAAAAACAAGTAGTCTTTACAACTTTTTTGACAAAAAAAAGCTTCAAAATTGATGAAAATGAACAAACCCGGGTATAAATCACCCAACAATGGGTTGCAAAACGCCACCCGAGTTGTAAAACTGTCCTCGATAATGATTATTTCGGTCAACGACCCACGAAAAGCGCAAATGTTTTTGTCCAAAACACCCGAAGCATGTATAATATCCCCCCGCCTTCGGGCCGCTATCCCTTCCACTTTTTTCGGGGTGGGGCCCCGAGAAAAATGCTTGAAAGTTCTCTGTGCGCTCTCTTTATCAGCAGCGATATTTTGGAGGGGGCCGTTATTGCCGCAGGGCTTCACGGCGCTTTCGTGCCCGCAGGGCTTTTTGTGTCTGCCAAGAAGAAAAATTGGGGAAACGGAAGAGGAAATGTCGCTATGAGGGGGGATTCGCGCTCTCTGGAAATCGGATAATTACCGGGTGTTTCAAAAACCAAGCTTTTTTTTGCTTTGCACTGTGCAAAAAATTTTTTTTTGAAGTTCACGCCGTATGTGTGCAGTAAAAACTTAATTTTGTGGCAGAGTTAAAAATCAACCCAATTGTGTTATCTAGACGACAAAACTAAGAATTCCTTACAATGCACTGTGCAGAAAATAATCCCAAAAATTTTGCACTGTGCGGTATAAAAAGTATTGTAAAGATTATTCCGCACTATGCGGAAACATAATATTTTTTAAATTCAAGTCCCCCATGGCCCATCAAAACTGCCTAAACACAAAAAAAATTGAAAAACCGATTGCACAGTGCGAAAAACGAAATTCTTTATTCTGCACTGTGCGGTCAAAAAAATTGCCCAGAATTGAGACTGCATGGTGCATTAAGAAATAAAAACTCGACCACACAAATAAAAACGCCACAGGACTGGTTTAGCAAGCAAAATTGCCAAAAAAAAGCTGTCCGCACAGTGCAAAAAAACAGAAAATCGTTTTATGAACGTCCAAAAAAAATTGATGGTCAAAGAACAAACCCCACTCCAAAACAAATATCCCAGTAGCCAGCAAACTTTTCGGCGAACCTTTGAAAACCCCGGTTATAAAAGAATGCCCTCATTTTGGGCCGAAAAAATCTCTTTGGCCGCCATTCCACTAGAATCCATGGGAAACTAAGTAGGGGGAACAATACGACTGAAAGCACATATTTATTGTTTCTCAAACAATTAGAGCGTCGGATATCCGATAGCGGAACTGCAAAGAGGGGTTTTTGAGTAAGGGTTTTGGGTAAAATTTGATGCATTTTTAATTCTGATGATTAATATAAAATTTTTAAAAAATATCTTGATTGTGTAGTATAGGGTCTATTGATGCCATTGTCAAGCCAAAAATATGTAAAAACGAGCTGGTCGCAGCGAAAACGCCAAAAAAATTTAAACCGCACAGTGCAAATCAATTTTTGCACTATTTTTTCGCATGCACAGTGCAGATTTTCAAACTCGCCTTTATGCACTGTGCAAAGCAAAATTTCCTGCAATTTGACCACCAATTGCAAGTACTAGAGCCACTTGTATCATTCAGTAATATAAATTAATTTCATCGCACAGTGCGATTCCATTTTTTCATATTTTTCACTTTGCACAGTGCAAAATTAAAAAACGTCCTTCGCACTGTGCAACAAAAAAAATTTTCCATTTATGATTCAGAAAGCCCCATTCTGATTTACGCGCTCAAAAATTCCATTTCTGTGCGCCAAACTTCAGCAAAAACAACAAACAAAATTGTTCAAAATACCTTGTCCAGCCCCATAAATTACGCAAAATTGCACTCAGTCAGCTTCAATTAGTCCAGGGGTTGGAACGAGGGGAGAGGATCGGGTGTGGAAAAAAAGTCTGAAAATGCGGAAAAACGATGCTCTCGACCTGTCCCGAAAAATGCAAGAGATCTTGATGTCAGCTGCTTTCCCCCTTCCCTCATTACCTGGATGTTTCAAATATGTGGCCAATATGCCGGTAGGTTGGTCGGGAGGGGTGTTCCCGAGCGGATTATTGACGACTTTAGGGCAGGGGAGGGTAATTAGAGGATGGGAGAGGAAGTCGGCCAATGGTCCCATTTTGACTCAATTTTGCGAATTTTTTGATCCAAATTTTTGATCAGCCCACTATCAAATCATTCTTGGAGATTCTACAGGTATTTTTTTAACACTTTATAAGGCCTATAAGCCACTATTTTTCGATTTACATCAAAATTTCAGAAGTTTTCCCTCAAAAAGTATAAATTTTCCCTGTTTTGATAGCCGAGTCCCATCTTTATACCCAAAAAAATACAATACTGCTCGTATTTTACTCCAAGAGGTCTTTAAGACCATTATCTTTCTCACAATAAAAGTACTTCTATGGGGTATGGAGTTACAGGTCGAGACAATATCAAAAAAAATCGGAAAATTTTTCTGATTCAGAATATGCAAAAATTAGCTGCCCAATTTCGGTTTGTAAGGGCGAAAAACCCCTCAGAACTTTTCTCGCAACACCATGCAAATGCCTTTTAACCAAGTATTTACTAATTCAAAAATTTTGTTTTGAGCTAAAGTTAACTCTGGCATCTTCACAAGCCTTAAAATATCACGTTCCTTTTTACACTGGAACTAGGTGTAGTATCAATCAAATTTGATATTGTAAGGCTTGTCAAGATTCCAGGGTTTAGTTTAGCTCAAACAAAACTTTTGAAATGGTAAAAACTTGGTCAAAAAGGCATTTGCGTGGTGTTGCGAGAACAGTTCTAACGGTTTTTTCGCCCTTACAAACCAAAATTGGGCAGCTAATTTTTACATATTCTGAATCAGGAAATTCTGCGATTTTTTTTGATATATATCTCGGCCTGTAACTCCATACCACATAGCAGTACTTTCCTCGTCAAAAAAAACCATTTCTCTCCTATTTCTCAGACGTCCTAATCCTATCCAATTTGATATTTTAAGGCTTGTCAAGATGTCAGGGTTTACTTTAGCTCCAAACAAAGCTTTTGAATTGGTAAAAACGTGGTCAAAAAGGCATTTGCGTGGTGTTGCGAGAACAGTTCTAACGGTTTTTTCGCCCTTACAAACCAAAATTGGGCAGCTAATTTTTACATATTCTGAATCAGGAAATTCTGCGATTTTTTTTGATATATATCTCGGCCTGTAACTCCATACCACATAGCAGTACTTTCCTCGTCAAAAAAAACCATTTCTCTCCTATTTCTCAGACGTCCTAATCCTATCCATTTTGGGCCGAAAAGTCAAAGCCAATTAGTGGATTCGTGGCCTGAGGTAATAAAAAAACGCATTTAACGGGACAAACGAAAATTTAATCCATTTTCGGACGGGAAAAAGGGTCAAAAATTGAGAAAACATTCTCAATTTTTCATAAAAATTTGATCTAAATTGTAATTATAACCAAAATTTTGATAAGAATTCTATTAAGTATGGTCAACACACCTTAATTTATTGTAAAACGCTCAATTCATTGGGCAAAAAGTATTGTAACACCTCAAAAACGGGATTTGAGTATCAAATTGGACGGATTTTAAAAAAAAAAGTGACGCAAAATTGGATAAAAAGTAGATTCAATAATGAGAACATGATGTTGTTATAATAAATATTCATTTTAAGCCGTTTGTTTAGCAAGACACTTTAAAAACAGCAATTTAAGCAAAAAATGAGACAACTTGTCTAAAATCAGGTCAATCCTGCCAAATTTTAACAAATTTTCGTATGATTCAACCCTAACAGACTTTTAAGACCTTCAGTTATTCAAATTATCTCAAATTACATAAAACATTACTTTAATTTATCTTCAAAACATCAATAATCCTCATCGTCGCTCTCATCATGGCGCCCACCCCGGATGCCTCGTTTCAGTGGTGCCATTCCAAATATTGTCTTGGATTTCTGCTGCTTCGGAGGTTGACTTCGACACTCTGTAATTACACCAGCTTCGAACAGGCGGGTCTCAATGTAATGCTCCAAACTTTCCACGGTATCGTTCAGCTTATCGGCCAGTCGAATATAATCCCCAACTTTGTCGCCGGTGATGACGGCAATGACCGGAAAGATCTTTAGGTTCAATCTTTCCACCAGGAACGGGCTCTGAAAGCAAAAGAAATTATAAACCGGCAAAAAAATTTAATTGACCAAGTGTAATATAAATTATAACAAAAATCATCAAAAAACAATTCTTTCAAGCCAAAATCACACTGAAACATCATTAACTTACTCTTTCAGCATTAAGACAAGTAAATCGAGTAAAGAAATGCTGCTGAGCTAGGTTATTCAAGACCTTCTCCACAGCTTGATGCTTCTCGGTTTGTTGCCCATAGAAATAACAGACCATTTTGCTGGTTTTCTTTCGTGCCTCGAAGAAATCACGTTCATTTCCAAGTTCTGTCAATTTACCATGTCCACTGCTGACCAGTTCCTGAAAAAATGGACGGAATTTATATTATCCTTGATACCAAAAGTTATTGAGAGAAAATTGATGAAGGAAAAATGAACATTGGCCCAATTGGGTTAAATTTTAGTCTCAAAGTGATGGAAGGGCATTCTCCATTCATAAGATCCGAAACACCCGCTCTTCCTTCACTTCACCCTTATATTCTAACAGTTTTCCCTCTGACCATTCCTAGCATCAAGGATCATAAAAAACAAGGAGAAAAACGCCGTTCTCTTCTCAGAAGTCTCTAAATTTCAACAAGCATCAAAAACTACTCACCGCCTTCTTATCCTGCGCTTTCCTCAGCTCCGCCAAACGCTTCCTACGGATCTCTTCCATTTCATCATCATCCAGTTGATCCAGGCGGTCCAATTCAGCATCAAGCTTCTGTTCAACTACCTTGGCAGCGTTGAGAAGATGGGCAGCAAGTTGTTCCGTCATTTTGAGGAAAATTTATTGGCAAAATTCTACAAAAGCGGCAAAGAAAACAGTTGGTGCGGAATGCCAAACATTGTTTGGCATTGCAATTCTTCGCTCCAAGTCATTTATCGACCAGTAAAAAGAATGCAACCATTCGAGATACTCTAACTCCATAACGCTCTGTACACTTCAGTAACCTGCTACTGCAAAAATATACAGTTATATACAACCATTCAGATCATCGCGAGTCATCAATGCAGAAATGCAATTTATTCAAAAAGATACAAATAAAACAAGGACTGGATGAAACGATAAGCACGATTACTTCTTTCCTGACTTCTTGATGCCAGCACCACCCATAGGACCCTTCTTCGCGGCCGCTGCAGCAGCCTCCTTCATCTTCTTCTGTTCTTCTAGCTGCTTCTTTTTGAAATCAAGGTCTTCCTAAAAATCAAGACAATAAGATAATGAAAAGACAACACTTACTTCTGTTAACACCTTCTCTCCCTTCTTGCCTTGCTTCAGAGGCTTCAGTTTTCCTCCTTGACGTCCGGACATTGTGATTCTGCAATTAGCCTAGTATGACAGTGCAATGCGATGATACGGAAACATAATAAATCGAAGGCAATTTTCGCGGACGTTACATACCCGACAAGGGCCATAAAGAGCAATTCTATCAACTGAAAGAAACATAGACTGTTTCAAAAACAATACAAATTGAAGTTTGGATATTGCACTTGGTCATAAGACTGGGAAATGCAAATATTCTCAAAATTTTCGTCCCTACTAACCCGATTGTATTACTATGTCTTCGACAGAATTGTACTCTATCCACTCGTCAAACTTGTCAGTTCTAAGTTAGGAATCAATTTCCTTAATCTTGGTTATTGCCCAGTAGCTGGCGAAGAAAGTCTCAAAACCATGGGATTTGCCGTTGGAAATGCTGGACAGCGAGCTCATTGTGAACTGTATGAAAGAACGTTGGCCAAGCTGCCTTATTACAATGATTTCAACGGAAAGAGTTTGCTAGAAGTCGGCTGCGGAGTTGGTGGAGGGATTAGATGGATTCAGAAGTAAGAAAAAAAATAACAAAAACAAATTTCCTCGCCTAACTTTTCCAGAGTCCATCCTGACCTGGATGAGATCAAAGGAATCGACAAATGGCCCTCAACGAATGAGAATCCAACGATCGTTCAAGTAAGTGGCCGTCTAAGCTAAAACAATGTCCAAAGGAACAAAATTTGAGACGAAATCAGCTTCATGGATGAATAAAAACAACAACCATTCAATTTCAGGGGAATGCTGAAGCTCTTCCGTTCAAATCAAACTCATTTGACATTGTACTCAACATTGAGAGCAGCCATCTATACTCGAATCCGCGAAAATTCTTCGCTGAGGCGTACAGAGTGCTCAAACCCGGAGGACATCTATGCTGGGCGGATCTACGAAGAGCTTACAAGGTAATATACCTATTTAGAAACTAATTTTCCTTCTTTCTAACCCTATTTACATCATTGATGAGGTCTGATCTATTTTCAGAAAGAACAACCCTTCGCGCATGCCGAAAATGCTGGATTAACTCTCGTGGAGATGCAAATAATCAATGAGCAAGTTCTCAGAGGCGCTCAGCTAACATCTGCGGAATACGACAAAGTTTTAGACAGAGTAAGAGCTGCTAGTATAGTAAATGTAAATTTAGGCGCCATACTTCGTAAAAATCTTCAAAAACTCAATAAGAGCGACGTACTGTGCACCAGGAACAAAGTTCTATAACAAATTGAAGAATTACGAGACATTCTACTGGATTTGTTTGTGGAAAAAACCGTCAAAATCCCATTGATGTTGGATGAAGCCGATCTAAACCATAAAAAAAATAAAAAAAAACGAATATATACCGTAAACATAGCTCGTCAACATGAATTTATTGATCAATGAATGGAGGGACAAAGCTTTCACAACGACGCACGAGTTTGCCCAAAAATAAAACATTTTGTTACCTAGAGTCAGACTTGACCCAAGCCATCTTGTTCATGTCAAGTGTTGCCTTGATAAATATTACTTTTGCAGCAATTGTTTGTCTTTTTTGAAGCTTGTCCAATCTACTGCTAAGAGCCGTTTGTTCGTTGCCAAGGCAAAATTTTTCCCCATTATGTCGACGGAAGGCACTTCTAGCGAACCTACGGATGTTATTGTTATCACAAGCGATAAAAAACAATTCGTGGTGCCTTTAGATGTCATGAGGCAGAGCAAAGTGTTCGATACGATGTTCTCCAACAACTTTGCAGAGTTCTCTCAATCTCGCGAATTTCAAGTGGGTCGGATCGATGGGAAAACTTTTGAAAAAGTTTTGGAATGGTGCACGGAGCATAAGGGTAAGTATTTCATGTATTTCCTTGGTATTTAGGACAAAGTGTTGACTCAGAGAGGAGAGTTGAAAATACGTAAACTCTATAAAGTTTTTTTCGAGATTTTGAAACCCTTTCTGGGTGGTTTATGTTTTTATTTACCTAATGTTTGGTCAAGAAAAGATTTTGGGTTCTGAAGTCTGGCCCCGCCGTGGGCTAAACAACTAGTCTTGTTTCAGGACAACCAGAGCCCGAGATCCAAGTGGATCCTCACACACGAGAGCGAAGATGGTTCAGCTATACCGAGTTCCAGAAGAAGTTCTTCGAGCAGCCCATTGAAGATCTTGAGCAGGTTCTGTTGGCCGCCACTTATCTCGACATCCCTTCATTGTACATCTACACTTGCCAAGCCGTTGCTGGAATGCTAAAAGGACGAACACCGGAGGAGATTCGAGCTTTGCTGGGACTGCCCGACGATCTGACAGAGGAGGAAAAGCGAAACATTCGACAGCAAAATGTTTGGTCCAGCGAATGAATTTTAGTGATAATTATCTGTTTGATTTGTTTATAATTTATATGTAAATAAAAACAATCAACTTTTAACTATAAGATTTCGTTTTGATTTTACACCGGTAAATGTTGAACAATTCCGCCTTCTTCGTTCTAGGAATCTCAAATTCGGGAAAAAGTGGAGATTTTTCCAACTTGGGAATAGAAGGATAACAAATAACACTCTTCGCCGGAGACATTTCGTCTGCGCTGGGGGTGCTCTGTACAGGCGGCTTCTCTTCAGAAGGACCGCTTGTCGACTGAAAGTATACAGTGACGGACCCGATCCAGTGGCAAAAAACGTACCATTTTGCATCCAGGAAGCATCAAAAATGCGGCAAAATGCTTCCCTCTCCAAGTGAAAAAACTTCGTTTTGAAGGGCGCCCTTTGAATCACAAAAAGGACGTTTTTGAAATCGGAGTTTTTTCATTTAGAGAGGGAGGCATTTTGCCACATTTTTGATACTTCCCGGATGCAAAATGGTACTCTTTTGCCCCTGGATCGGTCCGTCACTGTACCAAAATCTCCAAATGGTACTCTACGGTAAAAATATTGCTCACCGGTTCATACGACGTCAAAAAGTCGTGCACATTCTCCAGCTTCGGCTCCTTGATGAATGGGACTTGTTTGATGACCGATGGGGACAATCCGGCGAAATCGCCAATCGTCCAGACGTTTCTTTTTTTCAATAGATTACCCAGACGTCTTCCCTCCTCCTTCTTGACAGCCAATCTCCTGCACATCGGAGTGATGGAGTCTTTGCAAAAGACCAAATCCGGCGCGATACAGTCGTCGGCTGGAATGGGCTGAAAATAGAGCTTTCACTCAAAAAAGTGGTCCGTTTTTGAATCAAAAAATCATCTAGAATAAGGTGGACTAGAGGAATCTCTTTCGTCAGCAATTTAAAAAATCTAGCTCTCATTTTTCGATCCTGCAATTTTTTGACAAAATACCTTCAGGATTCTTGGAATTAAAGAGTTTTCATTTGACGATCTGGCAAAGCTAATGGGAAACCCCAAATTTCAAAAAAAAGTCCCTGACAAATGAGGTGAAATTATGGCAAAGAATACAGATTAAAAAATAAGAGATTCTGGTCTACCTGAGCCCCCTTGTACAACATACAGTGGGCACTTGATCCAGTGGCAAAAAACGTACCATTTTGCATCCGGGAAGTATCAAAAATGTGGCAAAATGCCCCCCTCTCCAAGTGAAAAAAGCTTTGTTTTGAAGGGCACGAAAAGAGCGGGCGCGCTTTTGAAATCGGAGTTTTTTTTCACTTGGAGAGGGAGGTATTTTGCCACATTCTCTTTGATACTTCCAGGATGAAAAATGGTGTGTCTTTTGCCACTGGATCAGGTTCACCCTATAAACGCAAAAAGCTTTACCAGTCTAAATCTTCGATCGCTTTTAGCGCTGAAGGTTACCCTTCGATCGGGCCGAGGGCTTTTGGGAGTTTCCTCCTTTCTCAAGATGCTCCGAGGCATCATGATCGCTGCCTTCACGGCAAGAATAAGGAATCTGAATATGAGTATAAAACTCAAAAAAACAATCACTTCAAGAGCCCTTTTAAAAATTAAAAGACGCTGATGTTCAGTTAGTGCAGATAAAAGCTCCTTGATCTCTGCAAAAACAATCATTGTGTATTCCCTACACACCATGTGAAGCAATAGGATTAGTACAATTGTCAACAACACACCGGAAACAAGATCCGCGAGCTCCATCTTCAACGCCGATTTCTGACTTAAAGAAAGTTTTCGAATACGAAACGCAATTCCCCCGTAAATCTTTGAGTTGCATAACGTCCAATGAGCGCAATAATTCCACACCGCAGACAGGTGGAAACCCCTGCTCGACGCTTTATTTCGTTGTGCAAACAGCGGTTTTCCCAAGTCGCGAAAATGCCACTTGTTTTCTGAAAATGGCAAGACTTGCTCTCATGACGAAGAATTGCACTAATTGTTAGATTTGTAGGCGGTTTTATACTTCGTCACACATTTTGTTGGAGATAAGGAAAATATACATATTGTATGCACAGTGATGGACCTGATCCAGTGGCAAAATACGTACCATTTTGAATCCGGGAAGTATCAAAAAATGTTGCCAAATGCCTCCCTCTCCAACTATTTAAAAAACTCCATTTTGAAGGGATTTCCTCACAAAAAGAAAAGGCCCGCTTTGAAAGCGGAGTTTTTCAATTGGAGAGGGAGGCTTTTTGCTACATTTTTTGATACTTCCCGGATGCAAAATGGTAACGTTTTTGCCACTGGATCAGGTCCGCTACTGCATGTAGCAAAGCAAAAATCTTCAACAAACATGTATGTTTCGAATTGTATACAGAGTGGGGGACCTAACCCAGTAGCAAAAAACGTACCATTTTGCATCCGGGAAGCATCAAAAATGTGGCAAAATGCTTCCCTCTTCAAGTGAAAAAACTTCGTTTTGAAGGGCTCCCCTCACAAAAAGAGCGGGCGCGCTTTTGAAACCGGAGTTTTTTCACTTGCAGAGGGAAGCATTTTGCCACATTTTTGATACTTCCTGGATGCAAAACGGCGCTTTTTTGCCACTGGATCAGGGCGCTTACTGTACTAGTCCGTTCGCCAAGACGCTAGAGTGATTTTTGCGACATGCACTGTCGCCCGCAAACTGACTTTTCTTGCACAGTGTACCTCGCCAAAATCACTCCAGCGACTTTGCGAACGGCGTAGTAATAGAGCCGCAGCTTGATTTGCGTTATAAAACACCCGGCCAATTTTACGAATTGCAAAATTCTGCGTTTATTCAAACAAAAATCAGTAAACCCGTCGTCCACAGTAATTTCAGCGCACTCCACTCGTGTTCAGGCCTGTCCGCAAGGGAAGACAGTGCCGACCTTCTTCTGCAGGGCTTGGCCGCTTCCGGGGTAGAGGCTGTCCAACGCTTTCACCGCGCAGCATCCCCTGCCGATCCATCTGGCGGTGCGGGTGCCGTCGTCAAACTCGAGGGCCGTCTTGGCCAGCGAGTCGGGACAACAGGCCAACAGGTCCGTCTCGCTGAGCTGGTTGGCGGTGGCGGTCTCGGACTCGACGCCGCGGGCCGTGAGGCAATCGGCCACGTCGCGGGGATCGTAGTCAAAAGTGGGCGCGTTGATTGGCTCGACCAGACACGCCTTGCCTGGAAGGTCGACCACAGTGTCCGGGGCCGCAAAATCGATGGTGCGGTGGATCTGGAAATTAAAATTTTCAGTCAAGATTACAGTGCCGGACATGATCCAGTGGCAAAAAAAGTACCATTTTGCATCCGAAAAGTATCAGAAATGTGGCAAAATACCTCCCTTTCAAAGTGAAAAAACTCCAATTTTTAAAAAGCGCTCTTCAAAACGAAGCTTTTTTAGTTGGACGGGGAGGTATTTTGCTTCATTTTGGATACTTCCCGAATGCAAAATGGTACGTTCTTTGTCACTGGATCAGGCCCGTTACTGTATAAGAGCTCAAAAAAGCAAAAAAGTGCCATTTTGCAGCCGGGAGGTATCAGAAATGTGGCAAAATACCTCCCTCTCCAAGTGAGAAAACTCCAATTTTTAAAAAGCGCTCTTCAAAGTTGTAGAAGGAGACATTTTGCCACATTTTTTGATACTTCCCGGATGCAAAATGGTACGTTTTTTGCCACTGGATCAGGTCCGTCACTGTATAACTCAAAAAAGAGGTAAGATTTTTCAAAGCTAGGAAAAATGGAGGAAACTCGAAAAAAGTCAAAATTTTTGCCCCAAAACAAAAAATTTGCTCTCGGAAGACTTTCTTACTCTCATCAGTTTGACCTCTCCCCAAACCCACCTTCAGCGAATACGCCAAGTTGATGGGGTTCTCGTTGTCCTCCTCGTTGAACCAGTCCGCCAATCCGACCTCGCTGAACTTGGACCGCAGCCGACAGTACACCAAGACCGAATGGAATTGCAGATCGCTCTGTTCCGCCACCTTGTTCGCGTCCAGGACCATGTTGGTGGAATTCCATTCGTTCGGCGCGATGATCAAATGGGGTCCGTCGATTTGCAACGCCTTCGGGCAGGTGGCCACCAACTTGACGGCCAGCTCTCGGCCGGTGGGATTGCGGAGCACCAAGCGGCGGGCCTGGGGCCGAGAAGAGACCGGGAACACCATGACGTGTTGTGGGACACGCTTCAGGGGCTGAAATTGGACATTTTATACGATGAAAGGTGTTTTCAAGGCCAAATGGGATTTCGAGGGGCTTTTGAGAAGTTTTTGGAAATTTTGATCTCTAAGAATGTCATCAGTGACACAGACCTTTACTGGCAAGCATTTGGGAAAGCAAAAGTCATATAGCAATACTCAAAAAAACAAAAAGCAATAAAAGCAAAAACTCATCAAAAACAAAACTTTGATCTCATACAAACGTCTTATGATCTCCCTAGTAAAAACCCACCTACAACCCCATACTTCTTACCTTGGCTTCAGCGTCAGTCATGATGTCAGTGGAAGGTGAACGCGCGGGGGTCAAAAGGAGTCAGTGAAGCAACTGCACGCCGCCGTGACCAGTCGAATGGAATGAGCCTGTTCCAGAATGGCGCATAAAGTCCGCTTCTCCGAAAAATTTGCATATTCACGAATCTGAGAATTTACTTGACCTTTTTTTGACATTTTTCCAAATTTTTTGAAAAAATCGGTCGATTCCGAGTTTATACTGAAAATTCTCGTCGGTAAACTATCCTTCTTTTCCCCTAGACTTTATCCGGAATTCAGTTCTTTTCAAATTCTCAAAGTCCGCAACGATTTTTGAGTCCCACCACGAAAACAAACAAGTTTTGCTAGTCTTGGCATTCTGTTGCAACCAAAAATTTGTAATCAAAAATTTTCTCGGCTTTGGATTTGACGTTGAACCTCGTTGAAAGGAGTCTGTAACGATGGTTGAAAGCAAAGTCAAAACCGCGAAACAATCGAGTCCGGCGGATAATGAGAAGGAGGTAAATATTTCTTTATTTTCTTTATGTTTTTAGATCATGTCAAGCTTTTACAGGATAGAAAAACTTAAAATATTTTTTTCCAGGAGATTTCCAAGATCCCCGACCTGGAAATTGCTCAGTTGAGGTTCTTGGTCAACCATCCGGAGTTGGATAAAGATGTGAAACAGGCCAAGTGGTTGTTGTTGTTAGAAGTAAGTGTCTGCTTGTTGTTTTTTGTTTTTAGAACTAGTATAGAGTTAAAAGAACCCGCTGGTGTTCTCTCGGAAGCCTCAAACTTGAGAGAATTAGCGATGATAGTATTCTGTAGACTTTTTTTCGGAGTAGCTGTGGTCTGGTGCAGTGTTAGATGTTTGGTCGTTTTATTTTCGGAGAGCTTAGGTTTATAAGTTCTGTGAGGATGATTTGCCAGTTTTTTTAGCTTTCCAATGCGTTTTTGCTGCCGTGTTATGCGAAGCTTTCACGATTTTATATTATCCGTGGGCGAGATAGCGAAAATATTGAAATTGTTAATGAAACCCTAAAATAGGCAGGAGAATAGGCTTCTATGAGATAATCAACTTCCTTTCCTTGCCTGCCGTCCTTTTTTAGTGCGTTTTGGTCAAACAAATTCATTTCTTTTCTGTTTTCAGAAGATCAAGGAGTACGAAATGGGTCCTTTCTACGAGTTGGTGTGCCAAGAAGCCGATCAGACCGTTGATCAGCAACTTTTGGCCGATATGAAAGCCAAGAACGCCAAGAGAATTGCTGAAATTGAAGTTGAGATCAACGATGCGGAGCAAAACCTTGGTATGTCTTTAATTTTTTGTTTGTTGGGTTTTAGATTGAATCGTCGATGGAGATGGAAGTGTGAACTCTGCTTTAATCATTGTAATGTTTCAGGCGAATCCGAAGTCCGGCAAGCTTGGCTCCGGAAGTCGGAATATTTGTGCCAAATCGGAGACAAAGCCGCCGCCTTGACGTCGTTCCGTCAAACCTACGAGAAGACGGTCGGAATTGGGTACAGAATTGATCTCGTCTTCAGCCTGATCCGGGTTGGTCTCTTCTTTTTGGACCACAAACTGATCAATGCTAATATCGCCAAAGCCAAGGATCTCATGGAACAAGGTGGAGATTGGGAACGAAAGAACCGTCTCAGATCCTACGAAGGATTGTATAAGATGGCTGTTCGTGACATGAAAGGAGCGGCCACTTTGTTCTTGGAGACTGTTCCAACTTTCGGATCTTATGAATTGATGACTTATGAACAATTGGTCTTCTACACGGTGATCTGCGCTGTTTTTTGTGAGTTTTTGCATTTATTTGGTTGTTTATGAGTTTAGGAAGGTACAAAAGAGATGGTGTTGATCATTAAATTTGACATTTTTAGCATTGGAACGCCCAGAACTCCGACTCAAGGTCATCAGATCCAATGAGATTCAAGAAAGAGTAAGTGTTTTCACCTTTTTTTGTTTTCTGTCTTTAGAATATACCAAGTGGATTTTTACCCCCTTAACTTCAGCTCACCGGCGGAGGAGAGAAGGGAGAGTTGATCCCAATCAAGCACTTCCTCGAAGCCTTTTACAACTGCCATTATGATCAGTTCTTCATCAGTCTAGCCCAGTTGGAAAGCGAGCGTCTGAAGTTTGACCGATACTTGGCGCCTCACTACTCTTTCTACTCCAGAGCTCTCCGTCTCAAGGCCTATTCGCAGTTCTTGACTCCGTACAAAACTGTAAGTGAGATTTTTTTTTATTTTTGAGGGAAAATAAAAAAAAAATCTCACTTATAAACTTTTCTTTCCAGGTCCGACTCGACATGATGGCCAAGGATTTTGGAGTGTCGAAAGCCTTCATTGACGCCGAACTCCATCGTTTGATCGCATCCGGCGCCCTGAATTGCCGAATCGACGCCGTCCGCGGAGTCATCGAAATGAATCACCCGGACAGCAAGAACTTTTTGTACAAAGCCGTCATCCGCGACGGCGACATCCTCCTCAACCGAATCCAGAAGCTGGCCCGGGTCATCAACGCCTAACCTATCTATTTATACAGCTATTTTATTGTGCAAGTAAATCTAAATATGTAAATTGAATTATTGGAGTTGATGTTTACCCTATTTGCCGAATAGTTTAATACTTTTCAATCAAAAAACAACAAAGACGACTACTTATTCATAAACCTTTATTCCAATGACAAACATGAAAAGATACGTCACATATAACAATGTCATAATCAATAATAAATAGAAAGAAGTTAGTGTAAAACTGGTCCAATTACATAACAGACATCATCGATAACAATTGGGGTTTGGGAATGGACGCTGAAATTGCGGAAAAATTAGGTGATCCGGATCTGATCCAGTGGCCAAAAACGTACCATTTTGCATCCGGGAAGTATCAAAAAATATGGCAAAATGCCTCCCTCTCCAATTGAAAACCTCCGTTTTGAAGGGCGCCTTCGCGAAATCGGGGGTTTTTTCACTTGGAGAGGGAGGTATTTTGCTACATTTTTGGTACTTCCCGGATGCAAAATGGTACGTTTTTTGCCACTGTAAATCGTCAAAATAAAAGATCATGGATAACATCAAAAATTTTTTTTGTATTACCCAAAATGTCAACTACTCCTTTTCCATAATTTTTTTGTCATAATTTCCCCAAAAAAGTCTCAAAAAGCCAAAAAATTTTTAATCTTCCTCTTGAGTCATGTTGAATTTACAAACCCCAAATCCAAACGTTTATTAACCTCCCACTCTTTCAAAACCTCGCTCACATTTCATTTCCCTTCCATTCCCGCCTATTTCTCATCGAAGTTCTTCCAAGCGGACTTGAACCGAAGTGAGGCGATCCGTATTTTCATTGGAGTCCTGGAGATCGATGAGTAAAGTTGCGGCGAATTCCAAACACTTCTCTTTGATTATGATTCGCTCGTCCTGCGGGTAGTCCGAGGACTTTGACAGGAAGTTTTCGCTCAACAAACTGCAAAGTTCGACCATGAACTTGCGGGCTTGGTGGTTCCTCCGCCAGAAGGGATCAACCACTCGGTACACGTGGAGGCAGATTTCGATCAGTTCTGGGACGGTGATTTCCGATCCTCTGATCACCTCACTGAACCATCGGGCCGACAGGCTGTTCAGAGCGTATTGTAGGAGCTCCTGGACGATGAATTCTAAAAAAATTTTAAAAAATATTATAAAAAAATCTCTAAAAATCAAGGAAAGTACTTCTATGGGGTACGGAATTACAGGCCGAGTCATATATCAAAAAAATCGCAAAATTTTTCTGATTCAGAATAAGTAAAAATTAGCTGCCTAATTTTGGTTTGTAAGGGCGAAAAAACCCACAGAACTTTTCTCGCAACACCACGCAAATGCCCCTTTTTTACATTGGAACTACTAATTAAGGTGTAGTATTAATCAAATTTGATATTTTAAGGCTTATCAAGATGCCAGGGGTTTTTTATGAGCTCCAAACAAAGCTTTTGAATTGGTAAACCCAAATTTTGCCGTTTACCAAGTTTTTACCAATTCAAAAGTTTTGATTTGAGCTAAAGTAAACCCTGACATCTTGACAAGCCTTAAAATATCAAATTTTATCAATATTACACCTTAATATTACAGTAGTTCCAATGTAAAAAAGGGGCATTTGCGTGGTGTTGCGAGGAAAGTTCTGAGGGGGTTTTTCTTCCTTAAAACCAAATTTGGGCAGCAAATTTTTACATATTCTGTATCAGAAAGACTTTGCGATTTTTATGATATATGTTTCGACCTGTAACTCCACACCCCATAGAAGCACTTTCCTTGTCAAAAAATGGACCTACTCGTCGGGAAATACGTTGGAGCTGCGGCGTACTGACGTCTCAGCTGGGCCAGACGAGTGGCCAAGGCTCTTGCAGCCACATGCAAGTCCTTTCCTTCAGTATCCACCTTGTCCAGATCTAAAATAATAAAAAACATTTATCCAATCAACCAAGATCAATATTTTACATCGCAATAGATCTCCTAGAGTCTGTTTTGAAGAAAATAAAACTCACTCTAAATCTGAAATGCTCATATAACCAAGGTGATTTATATCTGGCGGCAAGCTCAGTGTGCCGATGAATTTTTACGCCTACTTAGCAAAAATAATTTTTTCTGGAGCTGAGACCCGCTATTTTCAACCGACTGAATTTCAAACAAAACCTTGAATTGACCTTTCTATGTCTTCCCAAAGTCTTCAAGAATGATTTTCGGGCCGAAATCGCTGAAACTTGGAATTTTTTTTGGCCAAGTAGGCGTAAAAAATCATCGGCATACCGACCTTGCCGCCAGATATAAATCACCTTGGTTATATTTTACCCTAAAAAACTCAAATCTCCCTTAATTTTCTTATTTTATTTTCGCGAGCTGCGCCCTACACTTCTCAAAAACCTTTGAATTTCCATCTCAAATTGATTTCATTCCTCACTAGAGCCTCTGAAAAGTCTTTCAAAACTCTCTTACCTTCATGGATGATGCTCTTATAGATGCCTTCAATCATTTCCGTGTCGTAATGCCCAGCACAATGGATAACAGCCAGCTTGATGGTCGGCAAATCGAAGCGATTGGCGAGTTCGAACAAGTCGGACACAGTCATCAGGTTATTATCCAGTTCGTGGATGGTTTCTTCCACCACTCTCGGGTCCAGGCGGTGTCCCGCTTCGGCTCGAAGTTGTTGTTGGGCCTGGAGTTGAACGCGCGCCACGTCCAGCCAATCGCGAATGTTGGCCTTGAGTTGGACATTCGGCTGGGATTCCGGCGCCGAGTTGATGCAGATCAACGCGTGCGAGAGGAATTCCAGCTTCTTTTCAATGTTCGTGGAGCGCGCCTTCTTCGTGGCCAGCTCGTAGAGCAGTTTCGCCGCTTTCGCGTACTCCTCGGTGCCTTTGTAGTACTGCCAGAGCATGTCAAAGTAGATGGTGGCTCCGCTCGTCTCAATCTCGCTGAAAACGGGAGATTAGCGTAAATTAAGACCTAAAATTTTTTTAGTTATTTGAGAAAAAAAAAATTCACAAAAAAAGTACTTCTATGGGGTATGGAGTTACAGGTCGAGACACATTTCAAAATTTTCCGATTCAGACTATGTAAAAATTAGCTGCCGAATTTTGGTTTGTAAGGGCGAAAAACCCCCAGAACTGTTCTCGCAACACCACGCAAATGCTTTTTGACCAAGTTTTTACTACTTCAAAAGCTTTGTTTTGAGCTAAAGTAAACCCTGACATCTTGACAAGCCTTAACATATCAAATCTGATTAATAATACCAATTAAAACTACTAATTTTCACATTGGAACTGCTAATTAAGGTGTAGTATTAATAAAATTCGATATTTTAAGGCTTGTCAAGATGCTTCAGCTCAAAACAAAGCTTTTGAATTGGTAAAAACTTGTTCAAAAAGACATTTGCGTGGTGTTGCGCGAAAAGTTCTGAGGGGTTTTTCGCCCTTACAAACCAAAATTGGGCAGCTAATTTTTACATATTCTGAATCAGAAAAATTTTGCGAATTTTTTGATATATGAGTCGACCTGCAACTCCATACCGCATAGAAGTACTTTCCCCGTAAAAAATTTTACAAAATCTGAAATCTATAGCAAAATTAAGCTTTTATTTTGATCGCAAACATCACTACACCCCTTTTTATTCCATATTCAACATATCTGAAGCAAAAATCAACAATTCGCCTCAAAAATTTATATTACTTTAGGCAAAAAGACCCGATTTTTTGTAAAAAAATCTCACGATACCCCCTCAAACCGCTTCTAAGTCAACCTAGAGCCCTTTTTTTATGTTCACCATCTCATTTTACCGCTTAATCTTCTCTTACATTCCTAAAAATAGTCCATTTCATCAACTCACTTATAGATAAAATGTTCCAAAGTTTCATTCGGTTCGGCTAGAACCTTCTCCTCCAATCCGTTTTCAATAAGCCATCGGAAAAGGTGAACCTGGCAAATCTCGTCGTCCGAATGGCAGATTCGGTCGATGATTTCGTTTCGTTCAATCAGAGCGGCCGCTTTGCTAATCGGGAATTCGTTGGTTCGGGCGTCAGAAGTGGCAATCCGATGGAGGTAGTTGAGTGTGTCCACGACGATGCTGTACACTCCTACTCGCTTCGTCACCTAAAACCAGTTGACAAGTTTTATTTTTGTAAAGGCGACATTTTATACGATAAAAACTTTCTTGAGACAAAATTTATCTTATAAAATGTCTTCAACCTGTGTAAAATTTACTAAACTGGAAAAATGACAACTGAATACCTTGATTCTATCAATAATACCATTTCTATGCCAAGGCGACAAGTTATACGATAGATACTTCCAAAACATCTTTCATCGTATAAAATATCTTTAACCAGTGTAAAATTCATGAAATCATTGTAAATCGTAACGCAATACCTTGATTCTATCAACAAAATCATTTCTATGCCTAGGAGACAAGTTATACGATGGATAGTTTCCAATACATCTTTCATCGTATAAAATGTCTCCACCTTCTCTCAAAAAATTTATAGACATAACGACCGTCAAAATTAACTTTATGATTTAGCGGAAACGATTTTTTGACATTTTATATGATAAAAACCTTTCCAAAACATGTTTCACCGTATAACATGTCCACAAACATGTAATCTTCCCTTTGGACCAGCTTACCGCTTCCTGCATGTCTCCAAGATCTTGTAGGTTCTTTCTGTATGCGATTTTAGCATAGTCTCTGGGGTCGACGCGCTTGGCTCTGGCCAGGGCCATATCGATGATTCCGATGTAATAATTGAGGTCCCTCAACAACGCTGACACCATGTTCATGTCGGCTCGTTCCGCGTGTTTGGTCATAATCTCCATGGCCCGCTTGATGGAGCGTTCCCGTTCTGTGAGAGACTCCACGGTTCGCGCCGTGTGGAGGAGTTCGATTCCCTAAAACAAGGTGAAATTGAATGGTTCGGTTAAACTCTCAAATAAAAAAATCGACATATAACTCTGTAAAATACTCCAAAAGCCATATAGGGCCCTAAACTTCAGTCCAAGCAACAAAATCAAAGAAAAAGGCCAAAATTTCACAAAACTGTCAAAATCTCCCCTCAAATTGCTAAAATAAGGTCACAACTTTGTTCTACTGCAAAATAATAGCCCAACAAATAATCATTAACATTTCCATGCACAACGCGCACCCTTATAATAACAATCTAAAGCTGTTCAGCAATAAAAATTTCAAAAACTCTCCAAAACTTCGAAAGGTCCCTTTAATCGTCTAAAATACGATCCAGGGATCTTCGAAAACAAAAATTACTTCTCACTAGTACATTCATTAACTCAAAAATGTCCCATAGACTCCTAACTGCCCATTTCCGTCCGAGTTACCAACGTCAAATTTCAAAATTTCAAAAAATTTCCTAAAATCACCTAAAATAAGGCCAAAATGCTCATAAAAATAGGTACAACTCCCAAATAAAATTTTCCAACTGTCCAAAAGACCAAACACAATCTCAATAACCATTTTCACTTTCAAATGAACAAAAAATACCTTCAAAATATTCGCATCTTCATTGGTAAAAAGCCTTGGGCATTCCGAGGCCAGCCGATTATTCAGGGTCTCCGTTTTTGCCTCGTCTCCAAAATAAAACTTGATCAACGCCGAAATCAAGTCGACTCCAGTCTTTTCCGGGCAATTCGAGAGCAAATCGGCAAAGGACCATTTGAGGATTTGCTCTTTCACATCGGCCGGCAGTCCGTTCATAATGCATGGGAAGTTGTGTTCCAGGAGGATGATCCACAGGTTCAAAAACTCTCTGGTCAGTCCGATTAGGTTCTTCAGCTTCTCCAACGACCTGGATTCCCTTTCCATGGCTGAAACGGCGACAATTTCATCAAAATTTATATTGTACTAGGCCAAAGACCTACAAAATCGATAAAAAATTCTAAGATCAAGCTTCTACACCAACAAGAAACCTCCGTTTCCCCTTGAAAATCCAATTTTAGACCTCAAAATGAAATAAAATCAATCAACAATTTTACCGTATAAAATGTCTTCAGTCTGTGTAAAATGCGTGAAACTGGAAAAATGGTAACAAAATACCTCGATTCTATGAATAATACCGTTTCTATGCCCAGGCGACAAGTTATACGATGAATACTTCTAAAACATCTTTCACCGTATAAAATGTCTTCAACCAGTGTAAAATTTATGAAATCAATGTAAATCGTAACGAAATACCTTGGTTCTATCAATAAAATCGTTTATATGCCCAGGGACAAGTTATACGACGGATACTTTCCAAGGCATCTTTAATCGTATAAAATGTCTCCAGATTCTCTCAAAGAATTTCTAGACATACTAGTGGCCGCCGAAACAACTTTACAATTTTATAATTTACCAGAAGCCACTTTTGGACATTTTATACGATAAAACCTTCCCAAAACATGTTTCATCGTATAACACATCTACAAGCATGGAAAAAACATTTATCTTACCTTCTCCATCAATTTGAAAGCCGCCGGATCGAGCTGTCGAGATCAACGCAAACTGTTCAACGGAATTTTGGAACAGTGATACATGTTTTACAATCAATTGGAGATCTTCGAGGTACAAGTGTGAGAGGATCTGGAACAAAATATTATTTTAGGGAAAAAAAAAAAAAAAAAAGAAAAAAAAATTCCAAAAATCTTAAAAAATTGATGACTAAAACAATATACATATATCCAGTAATCTCTCTTACCTCATTATCCCTTCGCTGGCATAAAATTCTTCCCCAAATAAAGTATACGATTCTTGTGAAATGCGTATACAACGCATCATGTCGGAACGATGGTTTGAGTTGCAATTCGGCGTTTGGAAGCTGCTGCTGGCCTGGCGGTGGACGACGAGGAGTGGAGGCCAAGAGTGGGGCAGTTTGGTCTGGGAATGCATCGAAATTTAGGGTGTTACTCGGGTTGAATGGGTCATGTTGTTCTCGGCCTATAAACGGACTGACAAGCTCCGGTTGGCCACCAAGTGAGAAGAATGTGCGAATAGCTGGTTCCTAAAGACAACAGATGTCATTACTTGCACATTGACCAACATTTCAAATGGAAGCGACAAGTTATACGATAAAAGATTTCCAATTTTTTTTTGGTTTTTGAACATTTTCCATCGTATAAAATGTCACTCCATTGATGAAAAATACCTTTTTGATAGCTTACTATCCCGTTTTAAACAATTTCAAGTAATATTTTAATGGATCAAAAAAGACAAAAAAAAAGGCAAATTTAATCGTATAAAATGTCACATTGCTTTCCAAAAATGATTCTAAACTACAATTTAAGTCTCCTTCTCACTGTTTATTTCTATTTTTCCCCATAAACCACTATCAACATTCAAAAACAAAAAAAAATTTCCTCGGGCATATTTCATCGTATAACTTGTCCCAAATCCTCAAACAAAACCGCACTTACTCTGATGTTCATGTCCGTGCTCTTGTCACTGCATATGATGATCAAGGCTTGGATGCAAACCTCGATATTGCCGTGGATTTTGAGCCAATCATGCAATTGCTTTGACTCCGTTCCATTTCTCTCCAAGATATGCCTCAAAATCTCGACTGGGGCCGAATGTCCAATCGTGAGGATTCCATCCGAGGTGACAATGTGGAATTTGTCGACCGGGAATATGTGCTGTTGGGAGAATTGAGGGGGTTGAATTGCGGGGACCAGCTCGATTTCTTCCATTGTGGCCACTTTTATCGCCGTTTCTCGGACTTTGCACTGCTCCAGGGCCAGGCCTTCGGCGGTGCGGGCCGCCGACCACACCATGGCGTTCTGAGCTTGGAGCTTGCTCTAAAGCATGATGATTAAAAATACAGTGCGAGACAGGATCCAGTGGTCAAAAGGGCTTCTGATTGCATCCGGGAGGCATTCCAAATGCTACTAAATATCTCCCTATCTGACCGAAAAATAGCGTTCTTCTGATGAGGCGAGAAAGTTGCCCGTTTGGAAAGAGTAGAGAGGGAAAATTTTAAGGCATTGAATGCCTCCCTCTTTCCAAAAAGGCAACTTTCTCGCCTCTCTCATCAGAAGAACGCTATTTTCGGTAAGGGAGGCACTGAATACAGTGACGGACTTGACCCAGTGGCAAGAAAACGTACCATTTTGCAATCGGGGAGTATCAAAAAATGTAGCAAAATACGTCCCTCTCCAAGTGAAAAAACTCCATTTTGAAAGTTGCTTTTGAAATCGGAGTTTTTTCACTTGGAGAGGCATTTTGCCACATTTTTTATACTTCCCGGATGCAAAATGGCACGTTTTTTGCCACTGGATCAAGCCCGTCACTGTATTAAGTACCTCGCTTACCGAAAATAGCGTTCTTCTGATGAGAGAGGCAAGAAATTTTCCTTTTTGGAAAGAGGGAAGCGTTCAATACCTTCAAATTTTCCCCTTTACTCTTTCCAAAACGCAACTTTCTCGCCTCATCAAAAGAACACTATTTTCGGTCAGATAGGGAGATATTTATTAGTATTTGGAATGCCTTCCGGATGCAATCGGAAGCACTTTTGACCACTTGATCTTGTCCCGCACTATATTTAAAACATCTTTTCAACTTTTGTCAACGCAAAAGATATTCGAGTACAAGGTAACTCAAACAAAAATCAAAAAAAAATCTCCTATACTCTCTTCTGAACTCACATAGGACTCGATGAATCGGTTTGTGTAGGTGAAATTCATCGAAGAGAAGGCGAATAACGCCGATTCCTCTCTGGCAGTGCTCAACGCGATGATTGTGGTGTCTAAAATACGGCAAAGTCAACCAAAAAACCTTTCACATCTCCGAGAAACTCTCTATAAAAATTCTTCTCACCATTCATAGTCTTTCCGAAGTAGACATTGGTCTTGTTTTGCAGTAATAACGACGGATTTCCCGTTGGCAGTCGAAAATGGATGGCGCGGAGACATCGGGGACGGACGGAATTTTGCGCAAACTGCAATTTACAACATCATATACCATATTATAGTAAACAAAATCAAAAAAAATTTTTTTTTGGGTCCCACCACGAAAACCTGATTTTTTCCAAAATCAAAAACTACTGGTGTCCAATGAAAAGTGACCAAATAAAGGTCTGAAAATCGGCAAAACTCACTCTATTACTGTCTTTTTCGACCAGCAATTGCTCCGAACAAGTGAAAAAGATCCGAATCCCATACGTTGTGATGGCTTCCAGATAGCCGTGGAGTGAGCGTGTTGACGGGATCACCGATATCGAGACGAATTCCTTCACAAACGAGGTGTCGCAGCTGATTTGATACTGATATTCCTTCTGAAAGCCAATTTTTTGGAGAAAATTTAAGGATTTTTGATAAAATTTCATTTTTTTTAGCCTTGCCATAGGAAACAAGCGGTTATCATCTGTTAAAAGGCTACAAATTTTCTCTAGATACATCAGGTAACCTATTGAAATCAAAATAACTAACAAAATTCAGGTTTTTAAAAACCATGATTTGGGTCCCACCACGAAAACCTTAAACCGGTCAAATTCTTCCTAAACTAATTCCACTAGCCTTCTTACGTTCCCTGATCTCATTTTAAACTCAAAACCCACAAAAATCGCCTTACCACAATCCGATCCAGTGAATTTTCGGCGGCTCTGGAGAACCCTTGGCCAGTCGGGCCCAAATCATAGACCACAATTTTTGCATGATCCGAGAGGGAGTACAAAATGTGCCGGGTGTCGTCCACCGCCAGCTGAACAATCTTTTCCTTGGTTTGGAAGATCGACAATGGGTTGGGGAAGAGGCTTCGGGTCCAGTTCACCTTCTGCACGGCGCTGCCGAACCAACGATCCTTCTGCAAAAAGTTGAGGTGGAAAAAGTAAATCGAAATCATGATAAACAAGTCTACTTGACTCCTTAGAAGCTCTAAATGTCATCTCCAACGCCAAAAATCCTTTCCATCAAGAGGAAGTCAGGGGGCAGCCTGCGCTTCATAAAACTGGACTCAATATTCGTTTTACATTCTGAATCTTTATTTCAACAACTTTTTTTCCAGAACAATCATACCTAAAAACACAACAAACTAAACGAAAATAACTTACACTATAATCACATTCATAGACATCATTATCGGCGGAGAAAAACACTCTTCCATCGACTGTGCAAGCCAAATCTGTTACCACAACGCCGTCCAGAGATATCTGAAACCCTCAAAAATTAACTCACAAATTTATCAAAGCAGACACAAAATTTTTTCCCAAGAAAATAAAGAAAATTTATATTATCCATGACACCTCAACCCTTACCTTGGCGATCTCTTCCAACACCAAAAACAAATTCGGGTTTTTGTGGTCGATTTGGCCAAACACGGTCTCCTGTCGACTCTCATCGATAAATCCGACCCCAAGAAGGTATAAATCACCGGTTGTCGCCACCACCAAGGCTTGTGCAAATCGAGGATCAAACACGCCGGGCCGCAGATTTACCAGCTCCACTTTGAGAATTGTGTTTTCTATGTGGTCGTAGTAAGCCAGGTCTTTGCTAAAATAGAAATCAAAGTCATTATGAGGCAAAAATTGATGTTAGGCAAAACAATGCTTCCGAAAACTCACTTAAACTCAAAATTCCATAAAAACAAATCAGAATCCACAATCATCCATGCTCTGTAAATCTCAGGAAAGATGCCGAAGGCGCAATTTGTTTGCAAATCTGAAAATCAAAAAATTTTTTGAAGTCGAACATGACATGAATAATATCAATTCCTTTGGTGACGGAAGGAAGAATATATTTCGTGCACAAGACCATTAGAAAGCTAATTCTCCCTTACTCATATCCTAAAAAATTCAAGCAGTCAAGAAGGCAGGATTCAGAACTACATTCAAGTCTGTGATATTCTCCATGAACACTGATGTCCAAAAGAAAATTGAGCAAATATAGAACTTCAAATGAAGTCTACAGCTTAAAACGTTCAGATGGGCAGTTTCCGCCAATCGGGCAGAAATAAAATGCCAAACTAAGCCATAAATTCATCAAGAACGCAGTGGTCAAGCCTAATTTATACTCAACATCCCATAAGTCTCCAAATTTTTAAAAAATCCTCCTAAAGACAGAAAACAATACAAAAACAAAATAACTTACTTCTCAATTGCTCCTTTAGTTCTGGTGGCAATGAAGTGTGCTTTATTTCAGTGAACTCTCGTATCCCGAGATGAGAAACGTCCTGGTAATCCGAATCCATTGAGCCGGAACTGCATAACCTCTCTGAAAACGAAATTTTTGGTAAATCAAAACGATTTCATTCTGAAATACGCTTCGAAACCTTACCATGCTCAGTTCCCAGTAACTTCTGGACCAAATCTGCGTCAGCCTTTTCATTTTCCACGTAAATCTTCACCAACTCTGTCATGTTCAACCTGAAAACAAATTTTTTTGGTAAATTCAAGAAAAGGGCATAACATAAGCGCGTCAACGACGAAATTCCTTGTTGGAAACATCGGGAAAAATTTGTGGACCGACAAAAATAGTGAAATCTTTTTTCGGCGCCAACGCGAAATGTCACTATTGATTGTGTGGACGAAATGCCACAAACTTATCGGAAATGATATAAAAGTGATTCTGGTAAGGAAAATAGCGTCAAAATGGGCCATCATCAGTCTTTTTGAGAACATAACACAGTTCACAAAAATTCTTTCAGAATAAAATATTTTTATTATAACAAAAATATAAAATTTTTCATCATACTTCATAAATATAGCGACGGAGCTGATCCAGCGGCAAAAAACGTACCATTTTGCATCCGGGAAGTATCAAAAATGTAGCAAAATACCCCCCTCTCCAACCAAAAAAACTCCATTTTGAAGGGCGCTTTTTAAAAATTGGAGTTTTTTCACTTGGAGAGGAGGTATTTTGCCACATTTTTTATACTTCCCGGACGCAAAATGATACTTTTTTTGCCACTGGATCATGTCCGCCACAAATATCAAAATAAATTACACCCGACTGAGAATATGAGCCTATCCGATGAACCCAGCGCCGGGGCCGAAGAACCCTCCCCCACTGCCGGGATCTCCTCTTCGCGGTGGATTCCACCGTCGCGGGCCCTGCGGCATATCAGGATCCGGCTGGAAGTCGGGCTGGAAGTTCGGGTCTGGAGGTCGTGGGACGATCAACGGGTTGGCCGGATCTCTTCGCGGCCGATGATTGGGGAAGACTTCGCCGCCGCGCCAGCGATCGTCGAAGGCGTCCCATGGATTTGGGGGCCGATATCTGTCTCTGGGATCCACACGAAGAGGGTCGGAAAAGCGGGGATCAACCAGTGGATCATGTTGTGGCCGGTCCATGAATTGACGCTCGAATTGTTGCCTCTCCAGCTCTCGTCTTCTTTGCTCTTTCAGCGCTTTGATCAGCGATTTCTTATAGGTCTTGTGTTCGGAGGGAGTTGGCAGTTCAGATGGTGCTGAAAACTCAAAATTTTATCTCGATAACAGCAACAACTTATAGCTAACTAACAGCTCACAAATTCTGACCCCCTTATCTCATAAAATTCAACCCCATAAGCCCCGGAAACACATAAAATCTTACCTTTTCCACTGAATTCGGCCAATTTCTCCTTCCAAATTTTGTTATCAAAGGACATCCGATTTGAGTAGTCATTCATGTAGCGATTCACAGCGCTCAAACTGATCAAAGTGCCCGGATCGAGGAATTGGCACAGTCTCCATGCCAGTCCAGCGGCCGGTCCGACAAAAAATGTGTTCAGGAACTTGTTATAGGCTAAAAATATAAAATCCGGTAAAAAATTGAAAATCCCAATGTAAAATTAAATTCAATGCATCGTGAAAGCAAGAATAAAGCCTATACAAACTATGGAATACAAAAAAATTGAGGGAGATATCAAGATTTTACAAAAAAATCTAATTTTTCCCATGTTAACCATGGCAACTTACGTCCAAGAAGGAATTGCCTGATTTCCTCGCAGAATTCAGCCAAATCCTTTTGAAATCCATTTGATATCACAGTTCTGGGTCCGAATTCCTTCATATTGCCTTTCTCGGAGATCAGAGTAAGCGATACTTTCGCTAATGGCTGTCCCATTCCGTAGAAGGAAACGGTCAAGTGCGCTTGTGTCCAAGGGTTCACCGGACTGTCAAAAAGCACGGACAGCGTCCTCACAGGGTCCGACAGCTCCCCAACGGACTCATTCTTGACCTAAGCATCAAAAATCAGAAGAAAAGAGAGCAACTTACGGTAAATTGACATAATCGCTTCAATTTCTCCATCAAAATCTCCTTTACTGAGTTGAAATCGAATTCTCGTACTGTTTCTGAGGTCTGTTCGGGTTCAATATGCTCGACATATCTTCCAGACGGACCTTGCTGGCTGCTCGGACCTTGTTCTACCTTATTTTCCACCGAAGGGGCATCTTCTCCATCAAGAACTTCCACCATCAACAAATCTCCGGAAACAACTCCGGCTTCGGCCAGAAATTGACCATCCTCCAGTGAGATCGGCTCGTTTCCCAGCTTCAATGTAAATTGCACATTCCTAAGCACGTAACAAACAAGAATAAACAACTTACGGGCTGAAACCGAAGATTTGGCGGATGTTCTCCTTGACAGCACCAAAATTGAGCTGATCCACAGCATCCACTGGTCGTCTTTCGCGTCCATAACCAACTCTGATCCTCATTTTCGCTGACTGGCCATTAAATTTCATGGAGAGTAGCCACGGCGGTTTCAAAGGTCTCTTTCGTGGTGGGAAAAAAATAAAAAACGCGCAGCTTGCAGAGGAAGGTATACGATGAAACATGTTTAGTAAGAAATCGTACAGTTTCATCAGAAGTGTGATGTAATTGATACTACAAGAATAAAAAAAAATTTTCTTGATCTTTTCAGACCAATAATTAATTCAGAATTCACATTAAGATTTCTAAAATCATTAAATGAAGTGACGGTTAACATGCTTACTTAAATGAATATTAAAACAGCAATCAGGCCGTATTTTAATTAAATAGAGGAAGCAAACCCGTTCAAAGATGTAAAGGAAGCATTAGAACCTATGGGACCAACAAAAACCGAAACAGCAATATTGTACATATAGTGGCATACCCGATGAACACCAGCTGTGGTTATATGAGGTTAAAATAATTGTTAAATGTTTAATTTATAAACATAGAGATGGAGGAGCACAGTCTAAGCGTAATATATGGTCTTTTATGGGCCTAAGCCTTGATAGTTAAAGTGGATACCGTGATGGTGGGTACTGTACCACAAGTCCTCGCTAATGCAAAATCGACGCTGATTCTAAACGATTATTGTTTACTGAGTTGTAGTAGCACCCTAACTCCTCATAACCACCTTTGCATTTGTCTCACGATCAACTTTCACCTACTACAACATGACCAATGTACTTTCGGCCACAGACAAGTCTCTTCATTTGATCACCTACTTAGCCATGCTGTATACCAAAATATAGCTAAGACAAAGTAGTTTCTAAATCCCTGGTCGATTTTTGATCCGACTGTTTGTTCGAAGGATACTGTAGTTTTTCGAAATTGTCAAAAATCAGCATGTTTTTTGGGTGTCATAACTTCTCGCTCAGTCAACCTTTTTCGACGTTTTCGGTGTCTATCGACTCGGAATCATGTATTTACATATCCACTTCTTCATATCAAGTTCCCATTTTGATTTTTGGTTTTGATACGGTATCCTCAACATAGGCAAATTTAGCGCCACAGACAATTGGTCTCCGTTTCCACTTCTGCAATGTGTTTAATACGTCATTAGATAAAAGACAACTTCTATTCTCTAAATCCCTGGTCGATTTTCGATTCGACTGTTAGTTTAAAAGTTACAGTAAAAAAACGTCATTTTTTGCCTCCGCGAGCTGCGCCCCCGCTTCAAAAAAGGACAAAACGAAGTTCCCGCTTTTCTGTTGTGTGAAACCGCCGTGTAGTGAGATTTTTTTTGAAAATAATATTTCTTCATTTCCGTGGCATTTCGCGAAAATCCGATAATTCTGTGACATTTCGTTGATTCGACGATTTGAAGTTGAAGATCATGGCTAGAGCTCGGAAAATCGGCAATTTACACCTCGTGATGTCATACAGTTGTGCTTTGAGAGGGTGATAAAAAACGGGGAGATCTTTTTTCAGAGAGAGAAACATTTTTAGGCCGTATTTGTACCAGTTTCCTACAGAAAAATAAGTTTTTTTAGTGTCAACACTATCTTCAACGGTAGAAAAGAAAAAAAAAAACGAAAAACGAAGATCCTTGTGAGGACTTTTACATATTTTTTTCATTTTCAGGAAGAAAACGATGTCCTGTTGAACTCCATTACAACCCATGAAGAACGAGAGGCGGAAAGAGAGAGATACCCACAAATGAGATTGTCGGCTCAACCTTGTCGTCGACAGAGTTCGTTTGGTCAATCTGGTCGTCGACAGAGTTCGGGTTCCCACCGCGGTAGAACACATCCTTCAACCCGAAGAAGAAGTTGTTCTCGACCTGCCAGAAGACGTGGAAGTCCTGTCAGACGCGAAAGACAAGTGAATTTTTCAAAAAAAAATATTGATTTATCATTTATCAAACTCTGACATGTTCAATTTTAAAAATTGTCATCGCTGTCATTGCTCTCCTCGATCTTCTTGACCTCCTCCTGCTTCTCCAAACTCTGGCTCTCTTCGTTTTCGATGTTCTCGGTGATCCCGGTGCTGTTCCCGTTCTCTCCCCACAGATTCGTACTGCTTCTCTGGCGCTCTCGTCGTCTCGCCAGGGACTCGCGTTGATCGTTTTCGGCGTCGTCGTCGGTCGTGTCGACATCGTCGAGCTCGTTGATTTTCATGTCGTCCAAGTTGTCGCCGTAGTCGTCTTCCTCGTCTTCTTCGTCGGAAACCCCGGCGCCAGTCATGTTGCCGTAGAACTTGATGACTAAAAATTGGGGTTTTTAGGAAAATTCGAGAGGGCAATATCGAGATTTTTATCGAATTTTGCATATGTGAAAATGACCAATTTGACCGGTCAGGTTGGACAAGTTGCCCATGAAACTTCCATAAGAGCCACAGGGAAATTTCATCGAATTTTGTGTATTTGAATTTGCCCAATCTGACCGGTCATCTTGGGCAAGTTGGTTACTAGTCCGTTTGCAAAGTCACTGGAGTGATTTTGGGTGTTTGTACGATGCAGAAAAAGTCGGGGTGCAAGTGACAACCAAAAAAGCCATTTGCAGGGCGCAAAAAGTTTGTCAAAATCACTCCAACGACTTGAGGAATCAACTACAAATAGAAAACTGATCCACTGGCAAAAAACGTACCATCTTGCATTCGGGAAGTGTCAAAAAATGTGGCAAAATGCCTCCCTCTCCAAGTGAAAAAATCCGATTTCAAAAGCGCTCTTCAAAACGGAGTTTTTTTATTGGAGAGGGAGGCATTTTGCCACATTTTTTGATACTTCCGGGATCGAAAATGGTACGTTTTTTGCTTCGGGTCCGTCACTGTACTTCGCAACAAAAAAAAATTTTTTGACTTGACCTGACCGGTCAGCTTTGCAATAACAGGCGATATTTAGCTTTCAACCGCTAAACCAAAGTCTATGGTTTAGCCCAAACTTTAACGCTAAATTTGCTCACCATTTTGTTTGACGTTTTCCATTTCGGCCCCACTCAGTTGTGGGAGTCGTTTATTGTCGTCCTTCATTTTCTCCACCGTCATTCGCATCGATCGCTCGGCCTCGTCGCTTTTTTCCCGTTCCGCTCTCTCAACATCCAGCAGTTTCTCGTTCAAATAAGTCAGATTGCGGAATTGCAGGATGTATTCGTTGTAGAGGTTCTGAAGTCGGGCTTCTTGACGTTCGAATTCGTCCATGTGCGGGGGACGGAAGGACTGAAATTTTTTGATGTTATTTTTTCTTGAGAAGACAGTTGCCCATAGTGACTAATTTGGCCGGTCAAGTTGCCATTGATTGCCAACCTGACCGATAAAATTGCCCATCATGATTAATTTGACCGGTCAAGTTGCCCATCATGACAAATCTGACCGGTCAAGTTTCCCATCATGACTAATTTGACCAATAAAAATGCCCATAATGCTCCATCTAACCGGTCAATTGCCTATATAATACCCAATCTGACTGACCAATAAGGTGCCCATAATGCCCAGTTTGACCGGTCAAGTTGTCCATCATGACTAATTTGACCGGTAAAAATGCCCAATTTGACCGGTAAAGTTGCCCATAATGCCCAAAACTGACTGGTCAAGTTGCCTTTGATTACCAACCTGACCAATAAAATTGCCCATTATGACTAATTTCACTGGACAAGTTGTCCATTGTGCCCAATCTTTCCGGTCAAGTTGACTTTGATTACCAAGCTGACCAGTCAAGTTGGCTATCATGTACAAAATGACTGGCCGAACGACCAACCGGTCAAGTCTTGGCCAATTCGGCCAAAAAAAAATCCCCGGTCTTGACCAATTATACTGCTCAGTACTCGTAAAGCGATTACCTGCAATTTGGCCAAGCGTTTGTGCAATTGATCCAATTCTCTTTCTCGTCGGTCGATCTTCTCGTCCAGCCCTTTCTCATCGCTTCCTAGATTCTTCATCCGATTTTCAATGTCATTATATTGCTCTCGGATGTGCTGAACCATTGTTTTCAGGGTCTTCTCGACGTCTCTGACGTTCAACGATTGGCTGAGCGCCTTGGTTCGGGCTTCCTGCAAGAAATGGTGGTGAAAAAATGATGACATGGCACATACGTTATGTCTAGGCCAAAATCGATAGATTTTGGTCTGGGAGTCCCAAATTGGGACCTATAAATCTTAGTGTGTTCAGAAAATATGTCACGATGACAGCGGTTTAAAAGGTGCTAGCGGTATAAAAAAACGGCTGGGAATGGCTAGGAGTACTCTCTACGGCATCTCAAGAAAATTTGGGCATTGCAAAGCCCCTCACCGCGAAAGGAATCCAAAAAATCCGTCATTAAATATGCGCATTATAAAAGTTTTGAGCTTAAATTTTTTTGTGGGTGCTCTACAGTACCGGACCTGATCCAGTGGCAAAAAACGTACCGTTTTCCATCCAGAAACCATCAAAAATGCGGCAAAATGTCTCCCTCTCCAAGTGAAAAAAAAACTTGGTTTTGAAGTTTCCCTCACAAAAAACAGGCGCGCTTTTGAAATCGGAGTTTTTTCACTTGGACAGGGAAGCATTTTGCCACATTTGTGATGCTTGCCGGATGGAAAATGGTATGCCTTTTGTCACTGGATCAGGTCCCCACTGTAGAGAGCATTCCTAGCCGTATACAACCTTTTTTTGGACAAATCGCACATTTTAAACGGGTGTCATCGTGACACATTTTCTGGACACACAAAGATTAATGTGTAAGTCCCGAGCTCTTATATATAGTGACGGACCTGATTCAGTGGAAAAAACGCACCATTTTTTATTCGGGAAGTATCCAAAATGTGGCAAAATGCTTCCCTCTCCAAGTGAAAAAATTCCATTTTGAAGGGCGCTTTTTAAAAATTGGAGTTTTTTTCACTTGGAGAGGGAGGTATTTTGCCACATTTTTTGATACTTCCCGAATACAAAATACTACGTTTTTTGCCACTGTATCGGGCCCGCCACTGTATGTAAGATCCTTGCGAGTATCGCTTACTCTTGCCACCAATTCCTTTGCCAATAAATCATAAAGGTTGGCGCTTTGTTGCGGCAACTCCAAGACCTTGTTGATACAGTCGCGGATCTCTTGACGCTAAAGAAATAAAAGATTTACACCCTTTACAACCCTCTCCTACCTTGCCAGTAATCTGCGATCTCAGCACCTGCAACTGCGCTTTGTTTTGGCTGTCATCCGTGATCTTCTCCTTGTTGCCTTCGTACAGCAACTTCAGCACCGGCAACAGCTCTCTAACCGCATATCCATCGGACTAAACATCGAAATTAATATAATTCCAGCGACAGTCTTTACCTGATACAAGTTCTTCGGGTTGATTTTGACTCGGGCTTTTTGGACGAGCGCCAAAACGCAACTTTTCACGAACAGCACTCGGTTTTGCTCCGTATCAATGTTCTTTGGCACTCGGTAGTTTGGATCGAACCTTTAGTAATAGTGTGAGAAAGTAAGTCCTTTGTAAAAAGTCCTGAGAATTTGCGCTGGACGACTTTTTCTTGTCGCTACGAAAATATGTAAAGTAATTTGCCCATTTTTTCGCAACTTTTCATTTGGAGAGAGATTTGCTTTGTAAATAGTAAAGGCGAACCGAAAGGTTGGAATTGATGACAAAGAGTAAGCAGCTCAAGCCCTTAAATGACTAGCCAAGAAACCCGTATCGGCTTGCCAAGCATTCCATTGGACAGCCAAACTTTTTGTCCTCGATGGAAAGCGAAAAAAGCAGGTGCCGTAAACGCAAATTTTTGCCTTTTGGATGGTTCACTTTTGAGCCCGAAAAATAATAAAAAATTAAGCTTTCAAGAAAAACGAAATACGCAGTTTTGTAGAGGGGAAAAAGCTTTATCAAATAAATATATTCGCTTTGCCAAACAACAAACAATCTTTGTAAAACAAAGCAATAAAAAAAACGACCAAACTTTCTGAACAGCCTGCCTTCACAGGTAATGGCAACGGTAGAAAACACCTTTGACAGCCATTCTGACGTGCTGGCTAGCCAATCCAAGCTCTTGGCTAGCCAAACAAAAAGAAAGTTTTTTTACTGTCATGCCAACTTTGGCTATCTAATCAACAATTTTACAATATTGGCCTGATAATCGCGATGCCCGGGCCAATATTTCCTCAAATAAAACCTGCCCGAAATGAAGGATAGTCTGCATTTTGATTTTTCTGCATTTCGTCGCGCGCAATTCCCATTTTTTCGAGAACCGATTCAGTGCCACGATAAACCCTCAGGACTTTTGGGCACAAGTTCTACTCACTTTTTCACTGTCCATTCAACAATTTCCGCCATTAACGGGAAATTTGGATTCCGGAAGTTTTCAATCGAAATTAAACGTGGATATTGGAGAAAGCGGAGGATTTCCACCGCATCTGAAAGTTGCTGCTTACAGAGAGTGCTGTAGATTATACTACTACTCGTTTTCAAACACCATTTTAGCCAGACCATTCGTATTTTACGACCTTTCTTACCTCGAAGCTCCCGGTAAGACATGCTCCGCAAAAATTGTCCGTAACTTGCTACAGTTTAAAGTTGATTACTAGTAATTGTATTCAAAATTTAGAGTTGGCAATAATAAACAAACAATAGCTGGCTCAGCCTTTCCTCAAGGCGTTTTCCCAAAAATTTCGCAAATTTTATATTCACCATGACAACGGTTGTTCGGACAACTGAAAATTTAATTTTGCAATGGTTTTCAGCGCCTTAATGTTCGGTAATGAAAGGCATGTGGTTTTAGAGGGCTGTAGGTGATGTTTAGACTATTGGGATTACTGTAACAAAATTTTTTGGGGGTTTTGGGCGTTTTCATTTTTTTCGAGGCAGAATTGGAAGGATTTGGAAAATAAGTCATTTTTTCTAAATTTTTCGAGTAAAAAATCGACAAACCTTCCATGTATTATATTTTTAGATAACAAGCTAATTTTTTCAGACCAAATCTCGGGTACTGTATCATTTTTTTATTTTTTTTCGAATTTTGAGCAAAAATAATGATTTTTCCCAAATTTTTTCAAAAAAAATGTGAATCAGAGGTTAGTATTCTGCTTCGAGAAGTGGAATATGACTAATTTTCTTATTCAACAATTTTTTGTCGGAGTTTTGGATTTTATTTTTCTTAAAATTTTCAAAATTATTTTTATTTGCAGTTTTGTCTTTATTTTATTACTTTAACTTAATTTTTCTGGAGCCTAAATTTAATTATCCACCATTCTACTTACAGGGGAAGTACTCCAAGTGCGACGCTCAGATTTTGATGAAACTTGGCACAAATTTAGAACAATTTTTTATAAGATATATGCGAGGATCCTAGCTCTCGCTTTGCAGAAACAACCGAGATTTTTAGATCGAAAGTCGGCGAAAATTTAGGACTTTTTGCCGAATTTAGGCACGAAAAGTTTCATGCCTATTTCTACCGTAAAGAATAATGTTTCTACAAAAAATCAAATTTTTCCGCTCGAAACAGCCAAAGTTATGGCCAAAAAACGGTTTTCTCTCTGACCGCTCTCCACGTTGAGCGTGCTCTCTCGGCGGCAAAAATCGTTCGATATCTCGGCGGCGCCCGCAAAGCGCGAGCTAAAACTTTCAGGAATTGATATTTAGTCCATACCCGACGTGTGTGCAAAATTTAAAGAAAATCTGAGCGTCGCACTTGGAGTACTTCCCCTGTTAAAAAATTTATTTGTTTTTTTGGTTTTCCTCCCAAAATAGGGAAACTTTTCAAAATTCCCCTAAAATTTTTCCTCCTTTTCTTTCACTCCGAAAAATCCGCCGTGAAAAGCAAAAGAGTGCCAAAGCAAACACAATTTTCTTTGCGGAGACGGACAGACCGCGAAGCGAGAATGGGGACGTCGGGAAGAGCCTCGGATTACCCGGAAAAGAATTGGCGGGATAAAAAGCGGAATGCTGAAAGGGTTTTATGAGTGCTTTTGTCAAGAAAAGAAGGACGATTGGGGAGTAATGTTTGCTGTAAAATTCGGTTGACGAGCCTTTTCAAGTTTGAGTTTTGGGTTGAAAAGGGTTTTGAGCGAAATTTTTTTGTCTGGCTCTAAAAAAATTTTAAAAAATTTATTTTTTTTACAGAATTACCCCATGCGCGACTTTCAGATTTTGATGAAACTTGGGGACAAATTTAGTATAATTTTTTCAAAAATATATGCCAGAATCCTAGCTCGCGCTTTGCAGAAACAACCGAGATCTTTAGATCGAAAATCGGCGAAAATTGACAAATTTTTTTGCGATTTTTGCCATGACAATTTTCATGGCTATTTCTACCATAAAGGGTAGTGTTTCCACAAAAAATCAATTTTTTCCGCATGAAATTAACGACATTATGACCGAAAAAGGTAATTTTTCTCTGACCGCTCTCCCACTTTTGCACGCTCTCTCGGCGGATCGTTCAATATCTCGGCGGCGCCTGCCAAGGGCGAGCTAAAATTTTCAGAAATTGCTATTTAGTCCATACCCGACGTGTGTGCAAAATTTAAGGAAAATCTGAGGGTTACTTTCCTTAGTATTATAATACAAATCAAAAAAAAATTTTTTTTGTATTTATTTATAAACAAAAAATTTTTTTTGTTAGATTGCTGTGAAATTTCACTAAAATTACTTGTGTTGTCCACATATTAATTCTCAAATGTTTTAGCTTTTACTTTGCAAGCGCCGCCGAGATATTGGACGATCTGCCGAGAGAGAACGCAAAAGTGGGAGAGCGGCTAGAGAAAAATCACATTTTTGACCATAACTTTGCTAGTCTCATGCGGAAAAAATTGATTTTTTGTGGAAACAATACCCTTTATGGTAGAAATAGCCATGAAAATTTTCATGGCAAAAATCGCAAAAAATTTTTAAATTTTCCCCGATTTTCGATTTAAAAATCTCGGTTGTTTCTGCAAAGCGCGGGCTAGGATTCTCACATATATTTTAGAAAAAAATATTCTAAATTTGTCCCCAAGTTTCATCAAAATCTGAGCGTCGCACTTGGCAATTTTTGCACCTTCCATAAGCCAACAAATTTCCGCGGGAAAACAAAAATATCCCAATTCCCGACTACTCGTTGCATATTCTTTTCCTTGCGTGTTTGTAGGCCAAAAATGCCCGGAGGCGTTTTGAAATTCCACCTTGTTTCACTTCCTTCATTTTTTCGACTTTTTCGGCTTTAAAAAAATTGTAATTTTACAGAGAAAAACTACATTTTTCGACCATGTGAGGCGGTCGTGCGGATCTCAACCCAGTGTTTGGTGGGAATCTCATCTTTTTTGGCGGAAATTCAAAATTAAAAAAAAAATTTTTTTCGAAATTTTTTTCTATTCAATTGAAAAAACCAACGCTATATCCCACCAACTTTTGCCTCTGTTTTGACCGAGATCTCTCTAATATACCGGTCGAAAATTCCGGCGAAAAATGAACTGTCGCCGTCTCGTCTCCCGCTACCCTCCATGGCTCATATTTTTGGTGGTGTTGGGCGCGATCGCCCACTACAACGAGTACTTGGCGCTGCGGATCCGCTCGTGTTTTTGGCGGATGCCCGAAGAGGGTGGGATAAGAGTTATGTTGGTGGCGGACCCGCAATTGGTGGGATATCAGAACGAACCGAAATGGTTGGGGGCCTTCACACGATGGGACTCGGACCGGTATGTTTTTTTTGATGGTCGTTTTTGGGAGGTTCCGTTGTAAGCGGACGGCTATATAGTCTGTTTTGATCGATTTTCGAGTGTTTTCATAAAGTGCGTAGACATTTTTTAAAAAAATATTTGATCATTCCAAATGATTTTTTAAATTCAGGAAGTGACGTTATAAGGCTTAAGATGTCAGTTAACTTGCCCAATATGACCGCGCAACTTGCCCAACCTGACCGGGCAACTTGCCCAAAATGACTGGCCAAGTTGTCCAATATAAGTTTTCAGCCAAATTCAAGAAAAAACACACCTCAATTACCTCCAAATTGACCAGGCAACTCGCCCAATATGACCGGGCAACTTGCCCAGCTTGTGCGGGAAAGTTGCTCAATTTGACCGAGCAAGCTGTCCATTCTTAGTTTTCAACCAAACTCAAAAAAAAAACAAACCTCAATTATCTTCAAACTGGCCGAGCAAGTTGCCCAATTTTACCGGGCAACTTGCCCAAAATGACCGGGCAACTTGCCCAATGTTAGTTTTCAGTCAAATTTAAGACAAAAATCACCTCAATTATCTTCAAATTGATCGGGAAAGTTGCCGCCGAAATTGACCAGCGAAGTTGGCTAATATGCCCAAATATTAATTTCAACTCTAAAAATTCTCGATAAAGTCTCTGCTAATTGTAAATTTTCTTACACACAAATCCTACATAAATTTGGCAATATTTCCCTTTTCAGTTACATGAGCAATGCGTTCACGGTGGCCTACAAAATTCTTCAGCCGGATATGGTCATCTTTCTCGGCGACCTCATCGATGAAATGGTGTTTGCGAACGATGCGGAGCGAGAATGGGCGATAAACCGGTTTTACGAGGCATTCCCGCAATTCGACTTGAACACCACAGTAAGCAATTTTAAAATAAAAAAAAACAGTATAAATTAGGTTTATTTGACCGGTCAGATTGGGCAAATTGACTTTCACTGTTCAAATTTAAATTGATTTTAAATTTTGAGAAGAAAATGGGTTTGTTTTTTTGGTCGTCATGACCGGTCATACTGGGCAACTTGACCGAAATTTTAAGTCAAAAGATGGATTTTGAGTTCGAAAAACGTTTTGATTGACCTTTTTAACAATACTGTTGGCGTTCATGACCGGTCAATTTGGACAAGTTGACCGGTCAGTTTGGGCAAATTGACCGAAATTTTAAACCATGGAGAGCTGGATTTCGAGTTAAAATTTTTTTTGGTCGACCCTTTTAATGTTTCTGGTGGTCATGACCGGTCAGTTTAGGCAACTTGACCGGTCATATTGGACAAATTGACCAAAATTTTAAGTCTTTTAATCCGAGGTTTTGAGTTAAAAATTTTTTTTTGACTTATCATGACCGGTCAGTTTGGGCAACTTAACCGGTCATATTGGGCAAATTGAGCGCAGTTTTAAGTCTTTCAATCCTAGATTTTGAGTTCAAAAACGATTTTGGTTGACCCTTCTAATGTTGCTAGTGTTCATGACCGGGCAAATTGACCGAAATTTTAAGCCTTTTAATCCGAGATTTGGAGTTAAAAAAAATTTTTTGATTTATTATGATCGGTCAGTTTGGGCAACTTGGCCGGTCGTATTGTGCAAATTGACCGAAATTTTCAGTCTTGTAATCCGAAATATCGTTGAGAAAAAAAATTTTTTTTTGACTGACCGGTCAAATTGGGCTACTTGATCAAAACTTTATGTCTTTTAACCCGAGATTTCGAGCTGAAAAAAATTTTTTTTGACTTACCATGACCGGTCAGATTGGGCAACTTGATCAAATTGGTTTTAAAATCAGTCAGGTTCTACAATCAGATCTCTCCTCTCTAGTCCTTATTAACAAAAATTCTCCAGCTGATCTTCATTCCCGGCGACAACGACATTGGCGGAGAAGTGGAGCCGGTTCAAGACCATCTCCGTCGCAAATTCGCCGACAAATTCCCCAACTATTATTCGAATCGCGCGACCGACAAGCTCCTCGAGCTCAGCATGGTCGACTCGCTCAGCGACAATCAACTGTACCGCTTGAGCAGAGCGCCCGGCGGCCTGCCGGTGATGCTGAGTCATTTGCCGATGATCCGCAGCTTCATCAAGCCCATTTTTGAGCAGTTCAGCGACGAGAGCTACGAGACTCGACTGGTTTTGTCGGCCCACGACCATGTCTCGGAGTATTACATCCAGCCCGAACATGATCAGCGGTTTGATCGGGTAGCTGGAGAGAATGGAATCAAGTTTTTGTTCGCGAAAGGCAACAAGAATTCGGTTCTGGAGATTCAGGTGGGATTTTTTAGGGTCTTGTCATCATTTTCACTTTATAAAAATACTATGTCTTTTGCATAGTGCAGGGTGTTCCAAGCATTGTGGAAAAAACTATTCATTAATAACTTTGTGCTCGGTGGTCCAATCCGAAAATTCTTTTTTGCATTTTGCAGAAAAACCTTGGAATTTTTAGAATCAAAAAAAATTTTTTTTTATGGGCGGAGGCTTCCGTAATCCGCCTTGAATTCGGCGAAGTGTTTTTTTTCACAAATGAGGCTGTAAAAATGGGGTAGTTTTTTTCTCCGCCGAATTGCCTTTTTTTCTTCTCCCAGTCGGCCGAAGACGTAATATAAGTCAAGTTTAGGCGCCATGCCACTAGTGATTCCATACAGTTTGGTTTTAGCCAATTTTGGCTCTCCAAAGTCGAAGAAAAATCCTCCGCCGAGGTTAAAAAATGTCTCCGCCGAATTACAAAAACTTGAAATAAAGGTCATATTGTATCTTCTGAATCTCTTCCCGCCCATTTTCTTTACACCTACAACAATTTACAGCCTCATTTGTTAAAAAAAAAACACTCCGCCGAATTCAAGGCGGAAAAATTGTCGGATTGGACCACCGAGCACAAGCTTATTAATCAATATTTTTTTCCATAACTCTTGGAACACCCTGTATTGTAAAAGCAACTCACTAATTTCAGGTCCCCACCATATCCTACCGAATGGGCGTCCCGAATATGGCCATTGGCGTTTTGGGCGTCCGAAACTCCTCGGACGGCTTTCACATTCACTACGAAAACTGGTGGCTACCCTCCCGATATCCCCAACTGTACGTGTATCTGGTCTACATTGCCTTTGTCTTCGCATATTGCGTTCGCAAATTGTATCTCAGCGTTTCGAGACGTAGTGATGGAAAACCAGTGAAATATTCGATTGTTTAATGGTGTATGTATATAAATATTTATAATTGTAAATTTATTATAATATAATACATTGTGATCAATGTGAACTTGTTGTCAATAAATATCATGGAGAATAATGGAGACTCGTAACCTTTGGCGTAGGGCATAAAGAGCTTACAGTTTGATTAAATTGAGAAGCGAACTCATCAAGCTGGCCCAAAAAAAGTACCCCAAGCGCGACGCACTTCGTTTTTTCGGATTGCCAAAAAATGAGATGGTAAGGGGGGACCAAGGCGGACTTTTTTATAATGATTTTTTTCGCAAACCAATAGAAAACTAAAACAATCATTCTAAAAAATCCCCCAGAAAGAAATGGGGAATTTTCGGGGCGAGAGAGTACGTTTTTGCGCGTCCTTTCTCTGTCTTCTCTGTGAAATCAAGACGAAGTGTAAAAAACCGATAGCGGTTTGCTAGTTTGACATGGGACGCTCAAACTCTCCATAAATTCCATCGAGTTGAAACATTGTGAATAACTCCAGGTTCCGTGGAATCTGACAATTGTTGAGCCCGACCGCCCGCTGACCACCCTTGGTCAGCTCCTCAGTATGCAGAAAGGCCGTTCTAACCAAAAAACTATTTACTACAAATCCCCGGTTGGCTCTACCGCCAACAACAATCACAAGTCTCTTCATCGAAGTTTCATTAAAAGTACAAATCGAAAAATGTGCGTAATTGGAAGGAAAATTTAGTGTTTGTTGAAGTATTCGTGCGATTTCTTGACATCGGGCTTGATGGTGTCGTGGCCTGGCTGCCAGCCGGCCGGACACACCTCGCCGTGCTTGTCCGTGTACTGGAAGGCTTGGATCAAGCGGAGCGTCTCTTCTACGGAGCGGCCCACCGGAAGGTCGTTGATGGTCACCTGACGGAGGATTCCGTTTCCGTCGATGATGAACAAGCCGCTGAAAGGGAAGGAAATAATAATAATATAATTAAAATCAAGTCGAAGGTCGCTGCGCACTCGAAACGAAAAGAAAAACGGTTGGAGATCTTCCTAATTCTGGTCGGTAGTACTATTAGGGTGTCCCATAAGTCTTGCGTATTTTTAGGTCTCGCCACTGTATGATATTCGCCCCCAACTCACCGGAACGCAATCCCCGCCTCTTCAATGAGAACGCCGTAGTCGCGTGAGATCCTGTGGTTGGGGTCGGCGATCACGGGGATCTTCATCTCGCCCAGTCCGCCGTGCTTGCGCGGTTGGTTGATCCACGCCAAATGCGAGAACTTGGTGTCGCAGCTGGCGGCCAACAGCTCCACGCCGAGCTGCCGGAACTGGTCGGCCGCCTCGGAGAAGGCGATGATCTCGGTGGGGCAGACGAACGTGAAGTCGAGCGGGTAGAAGAACAGGACCACGTACTTGCCGCGGTAGTCCCGCAAGCTGACGGTCTTGAAGTCGCCGTCCACGACGGCGTCGGCCGTGAACTCGGGGGCGGGCTGGCCGATGAAGGCCTTGGGCATGTTTGCGGCCTGCAATCGACAACCAGCTATAGTAGGATAAAAAAGTAGACAAGAGAAGCTGTAATTACGCATCGGTCCGTTCAATCACACCGCAATGCAGCCCAGGGGGTCTCCCGCCTCGTTTCGGCGCTTCGCCCACCTAGTATCGGTTGAATTCAAACGAAATGTCAAAAGTGAATTTTTCGTGTGGTTTTCCGACCGAAAAATATTTTTCTCGGAATTATTTTATAATATTTCTTTTGTGAATTTTGACACTTCGTTTGGACGAAATTCAAAAGTGGGCGGGAGACATTTTTGTTCTATTTTGGGTTGCCGTGCACCGTCAGTGGTCAGACGGCTGTAATATAAGTTCCACGGTCTTAACAGACCAACAAAAACTAATTTAACTACCTAAAAGTACACACAATAATGAGGTGGTATCCAATAGTGCAATTATTAATATTAAAATAATTAAGTTATATTATTAAAATATGCATGTATGTACATGGCAGCTTATACCGAACCTTTCTGGCAAGCACTTTGCGGGCACGTATTAGAATTACGATTTTTCTACCGTAATCTACGCAATCTGATAGAAATTTTGCGTTGGCAACTCTCTGTTATATACAGTTACACGAATCTATTGAATTCGTTGACAAAGTTTTGGAGTTTTGTTTGTAAAAAAAGGCTTCCTGAACCCTTAAAAGTTCACTTGGAAACTTGGGGCTAAGGTAGTACAAACCCCCAGTCCAGTTCAGACCCCCATGACCCAGTACAGACCCTCACATCCAATCTGAACCCAGAAACCTTCACTGAAAGCTTGATGAGAAGCAATGTTGTAACGGACTTTGGACAACGGTTTGATCTAAAACCTAAGGAGCTTGATCTAAAACCTTGGGATTACTCTGATTTGCATTTTTTGTATTATTCTAATGTTTCATTATGGGGGTTTGAAACGGGCAAAACAGTGGGGGTTTGAACTACCTTTCGTGGGGGGCTGAACTACCAAAGCCCCGGAAACTTAATTTGCAACATCTAGCAGACAAATCATCGTTTGAATTTCCTGTTGTAAGGAAACGTTGGCTGATTTTTAAAAATGCCAGCCAAATCTTCGTGGTTCTTTTCCAGCAAAGCGGTCGTCCGCAAACATTGGCCCACCATCTATACGGATTACTAGGTCGCCACGAAATTTTCTACTGTATGGAAACAGAAAAATCGAAATAACCATCCTTACCATCATTCTAAACATGGCTGAACTTCTCAGTTAGACATGAACTATGTGTATATAATAACATAACCTGGAAAAGTGTTAAAAAGGCCGTCGGAAACTCAAATGAACCCCATGAGATGGACCGACGTTAACGTTTGGTCCAAAAGCAGGCCCACAGGGAATTGGCGACACAAAGGACAAATAGAAAAACACCGGGAACATATTATGTATGTACGGTCCATAACAATTAAGAATGAAGTCTTGATTCCGAGTCGGCTCTTGGCGTTTGGAAAATGGCGTGCTCTCGGGTCTCTTGGGTACCGATGTGGACTGTCAACTTCATGTCTGTGCACTTTTAATGCACTTTTTTACAAGTCTGGGCGACAATTACAGAGAAAAAAATAAAAAATGCAACTCATATTTTTAGTGAGGCCACCGCAACAGCATTGAACCTGTCGCTGCGTCCCGCCACAAAGAGCACTTTTGGGTTGCGGAAGTTTTAAAAATGAAAATTTTTCAATTGTCATTGCGAAATTTATGTTGCGGGGTTCTTTACAGTATCTATATTTTCTGAAAGCTGGCTTTTTACTCTACATCCATGCCAAATTTTAGCCTTCTAGCGCAAACGGCAAGCGAGATATGGAACGAGAAAGCAAGCGTATTCTGAAAAAAATAAAAAAAAGTCGCGGAGATCGGTTGTATGCCAAAAGTACAGTGAGGGACGGGATCCAATGGCAAAAAACGACTCATTTTGCATCCCGGAAGGGACCAAAATGTCTCCAAACCCTTCCCGTTTCTAAGCTAAAGAACCCCGATTTGAAGAGCCCGCCTTGAAGGAAAGGGCGCGCTTTTCAAAGCGGAGTTTTTTAGTTTAGAGAAGGGAAGGGTTTGGAGTCATTTTGGCCCCTTCCGGGATGCAAAAGGAGACGTTTTTTGCCATTGGATCAGGTCCCTCACTGTACAGGGTGGTTCAGCTAAGTTCGCGGATGTAAAATGCTTATAACTTTTTATAGGATTGTTCAATTTTTATGATCAATAGCTCATTTTATTCCTTAGTAGTTACCATTTTGTTTAAAAAAAAGATCATTAACAATTATAAATCCTACGTCGAGTTATGACCCTTCAAAGTCAAGGGAAGTCGCAGCCTGAACAAGCGGTTGGCCGTCAGAATGTGTGAATCAATCGTGTGTAATGGCCATCTTGTGTATTGTGACATTTCGAAGATAAACGAGGTTATCGCTTTTTGTTGCAGGTTGGGAGAGATTGTCTAGGACATCGTGTTAGGAGACGGTCTGATAGTGTTGACGAGGAACCGAGGATCTCATATTTTTAGCCATATTTTATTTCACAATCAAACTCTAACAAAACTAACGCTATAAAATGAATAACTTCAAGTCATAGCAAGAATGTATCTAACCACTTCGAAAAAAATGTGACTTGAAATTTTGAATTCTTTCTTTCTGTTACAATTGACGATGTGATGCGTCGTGGTCTTTGATGTTGAATAGGCCATAGCAGCAGTAGAAAAACTTGCTTCTCCAAGGTTATACCAAAAAATCTTTTTTTTTGATTAGCTACAAGAGAGGTACCCCAAGTGCGATGGTCAGATTTTCTCTAAACATAAAGCCACATAACAATTCTTGTAAGTTTTAGCTCACGCTTTGCAGGCACAGCCAGTATCTTCAACAATCTTTGCGGCCGAGAGAGCATGCGAAAGGTGGAGAGCGGTCAGAGAGAAAAAACACTTTTTGGCCATAACTTTGCTAGTTTCGCGCGGAAAAAATGATTTTTTGTGGAAACATTACCCTCTATGGTAGAAATAGCCATGAAACTTTTCATGACAAAATTTACGAAAAATTGTCAAATTTTCGCCAACTTCCGATCAAAAAATCTCGGTTGTTTCTGCAAAGCGCGAGCTAGGATTCTGTGACATTATTCGTTCATTTTCTGATGTCTTCAGCATCAACTTGAGCTCCTTTTTTCAAATTTTTCCATCGAATACATCATTTTAAACGCCCTTTCCCTCAAAAAATCTTGTTTTCACATTTGTCGTTTCGAAAAGTTTACAAAAAAAAATCACTTGAGATTTGTTCGGGACTTCGCGCTCAAAAACAACAGGCCCTGAGGCGCTGGAGATGCGCCCTCTTGAAACAGTGCACGCTTTTTCTTTCTGCTAAAAAACTGCAGCCGAGCGCCTCGACGAATGGGTATTTAATTTGCGGGAATTTGATTATTCTCCCCCCGGGTTCGGATTTGTTTTCTCCGAAAAATCATATGGCCTCGGGGTGTTCGTGAAGGGGTATTATACGAGGGAATATATGGGATTTTGGAGGATGTTTTGAAGAGAATTTCTTGAAGCTTTGAGACGCATGATCGTGAAGAAATTGGGGAAAAATTTGGGCGCAACGACCAAAGATGGCCATGGCTCCAGAGCCGGCTCTTGGCTTCGGCTCTGAGAGGGTTTGCTTAAATTTTGCATGGGAGCTAAGAGCCAAAACTTTGGCCTGTGAATCTCTGGCTATGACTTTTCAAGTCAGCGATAGTTCGGGTCAAAAGAACTCCTACAAGGCCGGCAAAGCCGTTGGATCGCAAAGGCACGGCGGAGAAAAGACTTTCAAAATTGGCAAAGACTTTCAAAACGGCGCTGCGACTTTCCAATTCAGCGACTTTTTTCTTTCGGGTCAAAGATACTATGGAACGTGTCGGTGTCGTCGCTGATGCGGGAGGCTAGGAGAAGGCTTAGTTAGCACAAAAAACAAGATTGATCGGGTCCTAGGATAGCTTATCACCTATATATTTTGAGGTATTTTACACGTACCCACATCAATAATATCTAGATAAAACTTCCGGATCTTCATTTTTTACCGCAAATTTTGATTGTTTATATGTTTCAACAACTCAGGGTAAAGAAAACTAACGTTAGTAATAGCTGAAATTAAAAAAAGTGGACATATTGCAAGTCTTCGCCAAGTCTCCGCCGAGGCTTCGCCGAGCATTCGCTGACCATCCATCGGCTTTGGCAGGCCTCGTAGGCACTTCTTACAGCCTTTTTTTGGGTATCCACCTGCCCTACGCCCCATATCGATCGATTTTGTGTTGACCCGAACTGTCGTCGCAAGAGAGTTATTCGTTATAGAAAGCCTTTGTAGAGAGGTTCATTTTGGCGTACAACGGCTTCTTGGCACCTCTAAAAATGTTTGTTGTAGGCAGATTTTATTGTACAAAAGTTTTTTAGTTTTATCATCAAAACAATTTTATCGAGCTTTTTTACCTACAAGATAATAAGTAGGCCACCGATCAATTTCTGAGAGTTTTAGACCGCGTTTTGCAGGGTCAGTCGAGATATTGAACCATTTTTCCGGCCGAGAGAGTACGCGAAACGCGGAGAGTGATCAAACGAGAAGCACTTTTGGCCATAGCTTTGCCAGTTTCGCAGGAAAAAACTGATTTTTTGCGGAAACGTTATCCTCGACGGTAGAAATATTCATGAAAAATTTTCGTGCCAAAATTCGCAAAAAATTTTTTCACATTTTTCCAATTTTCGATCTAAAAATCTCGGTCGTTTCTGCAAAGCGCGAGCTAGGATTCTCGCATATACTTCCCCATAAATTAAAAAAATATATATTGTCTTTAAATTTGTCCCAACTTTTATTAAAATCTGAGAGTCGCACTTTTAGCACATCCCCTTCTAAAATTATTATCCATTTCTCCAAAAAAACGGCGGTAAATCAAAAAATGTCTTCATTTTTCCCCCTCACCCTCCGGCCACCCAATTTTTGTTTCTCTCCGCTTCTTTCGCCCGCAGGTCAAGACAAAGAATTAGGGGCCGCGGATCGGCTATCGAGAAGCGGAGAAAATTGGGGGGCTTAAAAAAGTTCTGCTTCGCAAAAAAATGATATTTTCCTGTCCGGCGGTGCGGCCGGGATGTCATGAAACTAATCGGAAAGAAGACGAAAAAATCGGACTTGGCCACGAATGTCCCATCATTTCCGGCTTGAAATTAATATTTGTAGTTTTTCTAAAGTGCATGGACATTTTTTAGTTCTCGCACTGTGCATTTTGAACCTTTTCCCACGCTTATCGCGAACGCACAGTGCATTTTCTTTTCTCGCACAGTGCAAACCTAAAGAAAACCGTTTGCACTGTGCAAATTCCTGGCGCCGCTTTTTGCACTGTGCATTTTACTCGTCGCCGTGCGACAAGTTTTTTGGGCGGTGGCGCACAGTGCAAACAGGTCACGACTTTTTGTCATCAACCCATTCCGTCTGTCGGGAAAATAATGTGGATTTTTCGGGATTTGGAGTCGGCTTCATCAATTTGCGACCGCTAGCGACTTGCTTCGGTTATTGCGACCATTGAATTCCCAATTTTCATCTCTTGCTTGCAGGTTCAATGGCCGAGTCTTCCACATCCGCCTCGCAGCGGAAGCTGGACGTGATCACGCTGCGAATGGCGCGGCTTGATCCCAAAGTCCCTTGGGGATTCACAGTGAGGCCTCCGGGAGTCGTGGACAAGGTAAGATTGCGCTTTATTTTACAGCGTTTTCTTGCATTTCAGGTCCAAGGCGCTGGTCTGGCCGACCGTGCGGGCCTTCAAAGTGGCGATCATATTGACGAAATTCAAGGCGAATCTTCGCCGACGTTCATTCGCGTCACTGAACTGATAAATGAACCGAACAATCAACTGGATTTGACGGTTTTACGGTAAGAAACCGGTTTTTTATCATCTTTTTCGGGCGAAAAAGGTGATACGACCAAAAATCCCTGGGGCACTTAATGATTTTTTTAAAAATTTTGCGAATATAGGGATCATAGTTCATTTTTGAATATTTTTCGGAACCTCTGAGATATTTTGACTAAATTTTTTCATTTTTCAAAAAAAAAAAAAAAAATTCAAAAAAAAAATTTTTTTTTTCAATTTTATCAAAATTTAATCCCCCGCTGATTTTTAAAAATCTCCCATCACGACTTGCGATGGGAGAGATTTCTCCCCGTCGAAAAATCCAATTTAAATACCGAAAAGGCCGTGTTGCGTAAGAAAAAAAACCGGTAAAACCGAAAATAATCGGGAAAGATCTCAAGGCTAAATCCCGTGGGAATTCGAATACCCCCCTCCTTCACTTTTTTCGTAAGACAAAGAGCGCTTCGAAGCGAATTCGAATATTCTTGATTAAAGAGCGTTTTGCGATAGTTTTTCCTACAAAACTGAAATGGAGAATTTGCAATTCGAACGCCGCGCCCAGTACAATTACAAATTTTCGAGCGAGAGAAGGTAGGTTTGGGCCGAGGGCGAAATGGGAACGGTCGTTTTGAAATTTTGGGAACTTTTCTTTTTTCATTTAGTCCGTTCGCAGAGTCGCTGCAATCATTTTTGCGACATGCACTGTGCGAAAACAAAATTGCACCCTGCACTGTGCGATTTATTGTTTTTCGCACCGTGCAATAAGGCTTTTTTGGGCTGTCGCTTGCACCCTGACTTTTTCTGCACAGTGCAATTCGCTGTGGTCACTTTTGCGACATGCACTGTGCAAAACTAAAAAGTTTGCTCTGCACTGTGCAATTTATTGTTTTTGCACCGTGCAATCCGCCGCAGTCATTTTTGCGACATGCACTGTGCGAAAACAAAAGTTTACTTCGCACTGTGCAATTTGTTTCTTTTTGCACCGTGCAATAAGGTTTTTTTGGGCTGTCGCTTGCACCCTGACTTTTTCTGCACAGTGCAATTCGCTGTGGTCACTTTTGCGACGTGCACTGTGCGAAAACAAATGTGCGCCTTGCACTGTGCAAATTGTTGCTTTTTGCACCGTGCAATAGGGCTTTTTTGGGCTGTCGCTTGCACCCTAACTTTTTCTGCACAGTGCAGTCATTTTTGCGACATGCACTGTGCGAAAACAAAAGTCCACCTTGAACTGTGCAGTCTGCTGCTTTTTGCACCGTGCAATAGGATTTTTTCGGGTGTCGCTCGGAATCGCGCGCGATGAAAAGCAAAAAAAACAAAAATGCACTGTGCAAATTGTGTTTTTGTGTCAAATGCACTGTGCAAATCACTTTTTATCGCGATTTTCGCAGCGGCACGCCAAAACAGCACTGTGCAAATTCTCAGACCTTTGTGTTGAGTAGTGCACTGTGCGTTGGCGACAAACGTGGGAAAAAGTTCAAAATGCACGGTGCGGATCGCGAAAAATGTTCATTTTTTGAGGTTTGCACGGTGCGAAAAAAGAAAATGCACAGTGCGTTGGCGACAAACGTGGGAAAAAGTTCAAAATGCACGGTGCGGACCGCGACAAATGTCCATTTTTTGAGGTTTGCACAGTGCGAAACGAGGAAATGCACTGTGCGAAACGAGAAAATGCACAGTGCGTTGGCGACAAACGTGGGAAAAAGTTCAAAATGCACGGTGCGGATCGCGACAAATGTCCATTTTTTGAGGTTTGCACGGTGCGAAAAAAGAAAATGCACTGTGCGTTGGCGACAAGCGTGGGAAAAAGTTCAAAATGCACTGTGCAAGATCCGCAAATTTCTGCCGTGAATCTACCGTATTTTCAGCGAGCCTACCGTAACCCGAATTTGGCGTCCAAATGTCACTGACCTGACCAATAACCAAGTCCGGAATCGGGTTCAAAATGCAAATGAGAGGAATGTGAAGGTGTCGCTGGAACATCAGAAATTGGTGAGGAGATAAATCTCAAAAAAAAAAAAAAAAAAAATTCTTTAATTAAAAAAAAATTTTTCTTTAATTTAAAAAAAAGTTTTTTAATTAAAAAATTTTTTTTGATTATTTATTTTCTAAAATTTTCCAGCAGCCCGACCAAATCCGCGGATTCAACTCCGGCCCTCGTCAATTCGGCTCCAATCCGCAGCCCGCTCAAAAGTCGGATAACCAAATGAGATCGGAGGTGTTGAAGATGATCCAGGAAAACGAGCAGCATCGCGGACAAAGACCGCAAAATTTTGGGAGCAACAAGGGATTACTGCCCAATTGCTTCTGTTGTGGACGGCCTATTGTGTGAGTTTTCGATTTTTTAACGGAAAAATTGGGAAAATGGGATTTTTTGAATTAAAAATTTTTTTTAATTAGATAAAATAAAAAAATTATTTAAGAAAAAATTTCAAAAAAAACTAAAAAAAATATTGATTTTTCAATTTTTTTTTTTTGCAAAAAAAATTACGAAAAAAATCAAAAAAAATCGTTTTTCATTTTTTTATTTCAGAAAAAAAAATTTATAAAAACAAATTTTTAAAAAATTTTAAAAAATTTAAAAAAATTAAAAAAATTTATTTTTCGATTTTTTTATTTCAAAAAAATAATAAAAAAGCAACTTGTACAAAATGTCAAAAAAGTGTAATTTTGTCAAATTTATGGCATGGTGAACAATATTATGCGAATTGTTTACAAGATGTAGGCTTTACAGAGTTGATTGTATAGTATAAATATGGGTTGGGGCGCTCAGCCGAGCAGAATGGGGCCGCCGGTCCGTTGGAAGTTCATGCGTTTGTCGTCCGTGTTCCGCGCGATCCGACGGAATTGCGGGTCGAATACCACGGAGCCGAGGATGTTTCGCATTCTGAAATTGGCAAATTTGCTATTAAAAAATCTTGTTTTGAGGCGTGTAGGTAATTTTAGGAAAGTCCAATAGCTGTTTTATCGTTTTTTTGTCATTTGAATAGTCTAGAGCCGGGTAAAACAGAATGCCAAATTTGGCGGGAAATTTGAATTTTTGAAGGTGCGAGGGCGGAAACGGTTTTTTAAAGGTCTGAAGAGAGTGTAAATTTATGTTGGAAAGATTTCGAAAATCTAATTTTAATTTGACCGGTCAGATTGGTCAAATTCAAAAAAAAGTAGAAATTTTGGATTTTTTTAAGTGATGCTTGAAATTGTATTCCGGGCAACTTGACCGGTCATATTGGTCAACTTGACCGGTCAGGTTGGTCAAGTTTGAAAATTTTATTTTTGAGTGTTTTTACCAATTTCTGAAATTATATCGCGGTCATATAACCGGTCATATTGGTCATCTTGACCAATATGACCGGTCAACTTGACCGGAATACGAAATTTCAAGCACCCATATTCAAATGTATTCGAGCCCTTTCTATGCAAATATCATTAAAAATCACAATTTGGATCATCAAATTTCCTGTCTAAAACAAAACATTATCCCCCCCGGCAAAGTCTGTGCGTCATATCAGGTGCAATTTCTTTGTCATTAACCCCGTCTTGCGAACTCTCCGAAGGCTCTAGAACCGCGGTTTCCGGCCTGAATATAACATCATCCCATGGGAGTCCGGCTACATTACACCAATGTTTCTAAACTCGCAGATAATCCGCATTACAATGAACAACCAAAATAGGGCCCAAAATGTTTGGTAAGCAGTGGGTATTAAAAGACGATTTCTGAGTCAGTGAAGCAAGCGGTGACATAGGATTTTTTCGATGTTGAGTTTTTTGCATAAATATGATCCACAGCACCAGTAGGGAAAAAGCGAATCACAGTTTTCCTCAATTCCTCCATTAACTGTACTTTTTATACAATTTTCTGTTTATACAGTAATTGGCCGTAACTTTCTACAGTGGTGCCTGTTTGGCATACAAATATGGCTACTATGGTTTTTGGGTATGGCGAGTTCAACAAAACCAAAAAAATTTGATCAGATTACGGTAACATACAAAAACACTGTATCGGTCGATAAAAATCGGCCATAAAAAGTTTGTTTCAAAAACCCACAGCCAATTTTTTGATATTCGTAATCAGCATAAAATTCTGGTCTAGAATCAATTTTAAAAAGTTCAAAAATAGGACCCCCATTTTCGGTGGTGTAGTGGTTTTTGACCAAAACTGGTAATCTGACCACCCAGGTTCGAATCCGGGTGGGTGCGAATGTAGAAAAAAGACCTCAAATCACTTTTATTGAAAATCTGAGAGTTCTTCGAAGCATGCTGAGCAATTTTAGGCATTAAAACTCCCTGAATTTGGGATTAAAACGATTTTTATGTAATTTTAGAGGATTAATACATGAAAAATAAAACTGCTTCAAACTGGTTGAAATTGATAACACTTATTCTATGGCTAATTGTAAGAAACTTTCCTGTTAACTTTTTTTGTTAGAATTCTGTATCATGGATTACTGTAACATTAAACCCGTTTTCGTTTTTGGTGTGCCACAGGGCGTAGAGACCTCAGTCTATCATAATTATGATAGGAATGCTTGAGAACACGTCGGTTATCACACAGATTTGTTTTCTATGTCCGGAGGACTTGAAACAAGTCAGTTATAACGCGCAGATTTCCAATCGATAATGATGTCGAGATGCACTATATATCATGGAAAATTCTTTTTGAAATATGGAGCGTTGAGATTTCATGCTTTTTAATAGATCTAATTTAAAAAAGAAAAACATTTACAAAAGAATTTTGAAGAAAACATCTGTTAAGCAGAATAAGTTTTATGTTACAGTAGTCCATGATACAGCACTCTACCAAAAAAAGTTAACAGGAAAGTTTCTTACAATTAGCCATAGAGCAAGTGTTATCAATTTCAACCAGTTTGAAGCAGTTTTATTTTTCATGTATTAATCCTCTAAAATTACATAAAAATCGTTTTAATCCCAAATTCAGAGAGTTTAAATGCCTAAAATTGCGCAGCATGCTTCAAATAACTCTCAGGTTTTCATTAAAAGTGATTTGAGGTCTTTTTTCTACATTCGCACCCACCCGGATTCGAACCTGGGTAGTCAGATTACCAGTTTTGGTCAAAAACCACTACACCACCGAGAATGGGGGTCCTATTTTTGAACTTTTTAAAATTGATTCTAGTCCAGAATTTTATGCTGATTACGAATATCAAAAAATTGGCTGTGGGTTTTTTGAAACAAACTTTTTATGGCCGATTTTTATCGACCGATACAGTGTTTTTGTACGTTACCGTAATCTGATCAAATTTTTTTTGGTTTTGTTGAACTCGCCATACCCAAAAACCATAGTAGCCATATTTGTATGCCAAACAGGCACCACTGTAGAAAGTTACGGCCAATTACTGTATAAACAGAAAATTGTATAAAAAGTACAGTTAATGGAGGAATTGAGGAAAACTGTGATTCGCTTTTTCCCTACTGGTGCTGTGGATCATATTTATGCAAAAAACTCAACATCGAAAAAATCCTATGTCCTGGCCTAACTACGGCTTGCTTCAGTGACTCAGAAATCGTCTTTTAAGGGTTGATTCCGGCGACGTGCACTATGCAGAAAACCGAAAATTGCGCAGTGAAAAATGATATGAAATGCTGTCTTCTCACAGTGCATGTCGCCGAAATCACGGCAGCGATTTTTGGACTATATGTTAAGGACAATTGATTGGTAATCTTCAACAGAAATCTAGCTGACATTTTTTCCCGCCAAAAAGTGTCAAAAGGTAATCTTGACTCTTTCTGCAAAATGCTCTAGCCCTTCCGGAGAGTTGCCTTAATGGAATCAGCGACATGCACTGTGCAAAAACAAAAGTTTATTTTGCACTGTGCAATTTCTTCCTTTTTGCACCGTGCAATCGATTTTTTTGGGTTGTCGCTTTTCTTGCACAGTGCATGTCGCGAAAATTGGCTTTTGCGACATGCACTGTGCAAAAACAAAAGTTTATTTTGCACTGTGCAATTTCTTCCTTTTTGCACCGTGCAATAGATTTTTTTGGGTTGTCACTTTTTTCGCACGGTGCAAACGCCAAAAATCAGTTAGTTGACTTTGCGGAAGGATTAGGACTGTATTCAATAAACTCTAACAAGGGAATGGTCCCAACGATCCATGGGATCCACAAATGAAACCTAGATATTCTGAAAGAGCAGGTAAAATTTAGTAGGAATCCGTTTTTTCTACTTGCCGAATAAGTCTGTGCGACGAGAAATGTCGTCGAAAAGATCCGACCAAAAAATCGAAAGAGAGAAAAGACGAACCGAAAGGCCTTCGAAGGCGTCACCAAATAGTCTAGTGGAAAAAGTTCCACCCACAAATCTTTTGGGGGAGGAAGTCTTTGGAGGTTCGAGTCCACCCGGAGCGGATATCTCCGGCTTGAACCTACGTGTTCATTACTGTATTCTACAGTTACTAGAAAAGATTTTTTTGTTTATTGACCTGTTTTGCAAGGTTTGTTGCAAAATTTTAAGAAAAGTTGACACTTCGGCAATATTTTTGATAAGCCCGATGTCGACATAGTGGTATTTTCAAGACACTTCTACTCGATTCTGGAAGGTTGTATAGGATCTTGCAGATCTTTTTCGGTTTCCCAAAAAGGATGTTGCCAAAATCTCACCTTTTCATAAAATTTTGCAAGAACAGTTGATAAGGGAATTTTTGGGTCCTTGCATCAGCGTGTAGTAGACCCCGTGAATATTTACGAAAAAATCTATTTTGAGTTTTTTGGTTTAAAATGGCCGTGGACATGTGTTTAACAAATGCCCAAATTATTTTTGTCAAATTCTGCCCGGAAGGTATAAATTTGCATAAATTTGTCTTCTTTGGAACTTCGGACCTGGCGGCATCATAAAAAGAGGTAATGACCAGTGATTGCCAAGCCTTCGGATGAAAAAAATCTTGTAAAACGGGTTAAACAAAAAAAATTTTTTTTGTATAACTGTAGAATACAGTAATGAACACGTAGGTTCAAATCCGGAGATGTCCGGCTCCGGGTGGACTCGAACCTCCAAGGCCTCCCTTCCCCAAAAGATTTGCGCGTGGAACTTTTTCCACTAGACTACTTGGTGACGCCCTCGAAGGCCTTTCGGTTCGTCTTTTCTCTCTTTCGATTTTTTGGTCGGATCTTTTCGACGATATTTCTCGTCGCACAGACTTATTCGGCAAGTAGAAAAAACGGATTCCTACTAAATTTTACCTGCTCTTTCAGAATATCTAGGTTTCATTTGCGGATCCCACGGATCGTTGGGACCATTCCCTTGTAAGCTCTCTACCTTCTGAAATGTCATTCATTGGGTTTGAGATACCTTTTGATACTAAATTTTGCCCTCTATGATCACTTTTGACACCATTTTTTCAACAATCAATTGTCTCCAAAGCTCAGTCAAAAAACCATTTTTTCCTGATTTTTCAGTGATTTCTCCGACAATAGCTTACTCTGATCTCCTTGCTCTTGTCATTGTCTCCAGGTCCGGCTGCTGTTGGAGGTAATCGGGGCTGTTGGCGACGTCTGCCGGTATCAAGATGTAGTAACTGAAGGCGCTAACATTTGCCATCAAAATGGCCAGTAAAACTGTTAGAATATACAATTTGAACATCTCTGTGGTAGCCTGAAAACTCATTCAAATTAATGTAAAGACCTGGGCAAAAATAAATTAGAATCTTTCTCGAAAAAAATCTTATATTGTAGTAGACATCTGACAAAAACAGTTAAAACATGTGTGATTACAGTACCAAAAATAAAGGCTCAAACTTTCTAGCGGCTTAAATCTAAACTGCGAACATTTTCAACTCTGAGCTCCGAATTTAAATCCAATTTAAATCCCCTGAAACTCCCCGGAAACATAATGACAAATCTCAAGCCCATAAATGTTGTTTGCAAAAAAAGTCTCAAAAAATGTCGCGATTAAACATTTTTTTCGGCTTAAACCCGCCGCCTGAAATAGTCAGCCAGCACAGTTTCAACATTCCGGAACATAAAGACCTTTGTGTGGAGCGGAAATGTAATTTATTCGCCCTTATCATAACCCCGAATGATTTCAACCGGAGGGCGGATTAAACCGTGGCCCGTGTGGCCTGCAACTTGTTGTTTGCGGCTAAGAATAGCCAAATTTTCAATTTTTTTTGACGGATTTTCCTACCGAAAAGTGTTGATTTTTTGGCGGAAAAATTGAAAGTTTCAAGTCTTCGGGCTTTCGTCTCTGACTTCTCCCAAAAAACCATGTGTTTTTGGCTATTTCTCCCGTTAGATATAAAAATTCCTCGTTGCGGGGAAGAGCAACAACCCTCAGCGACAATTTAGGCCAATTGCTTTTGAATTTTTATCAATCCAAACAAAAAAATTTGCGATTTTTTGAACTCTAGTTTGAAGTGGGAAGTGCAATATAAATTGTCACGGAAGCACGTCTGGACAACAAAATGGCCACAAAAGTATATATTGACAAAATCTTGAGCTGTCTATCAGCTCAAACCCACGTTTCCAGCTCAAAATTTGCAAAAATTCAAATTTCCCGCCAACTTTGGCATTCTGTTTTAGCTGGTGTTCTGGCCGAAAACTTTTAAAAATGACAAGACAATTAACCCAATTGCCGTAAATTCGCTTTCAATTAGAAAAATGAGGCCTATTGAGGGTTAAAAATAATATTTTTATATTATCCATCATGGATAATATAAAAAAATGTCCGAAAACGACCCAAATCATTCGAATATCGCCTTCAAACGGCTAGTAACCGCTTTTGACTCCCCAATTATCCGAATCACACCTTTATATATGTGTTTAAACCCGCAATAGTCATCCTACACCGCCGGATGTAAATCTACACTTAACTAAAAAGTGCTTTACATTCGCATCCGAGCCTACAAACCCGAGTTGTAAGCCGATTCCGCGTTTCGCTCTCGGCTTACAGTCACCGCAAAGCGGCTCAAACTCGCCGGACGGGACGTTTATCTTAATAACACGACCTGGAAATGATGTAGAAAACAACCGAAAAGAGTGCATGTGTAATCGGGTTTTCACTGTGCATGATATCACAATACGATTTACAATCCAAAAATTATCGGAGAACGTGATTTTGTCAAAATTTTTCGATGCTACACATCAGCACATGTTAACATAGTAGGTAAAAAATTCCAGGTGTAAGTGTACAACTGACACCCAGTTGGCCTGTTCGTCATTTTTTTTTTGGAAAACAACCGCTCGAAAAATTCACCTGCACGCTATATCCGGACTTTGTCTGCCTTGGGAAATGTCGAAACATCAGTCATAATTTATAAGAACTTCCGAAACTTCACGGCTGAAAGGCACATGAAACACGATTGTCTTCGATCTCTGAGATTTGACACAAATCATCAGTCTGTCGGGAAAATAACGAGCACTCTGTCGTAGCGAAAATTGCTGCGGAGAAAAATGAATTGCGTCGCAAAAGTTGCTCACTTTCGATCTCAAAAATCTGTGTCCTTTCTGCAAAGCGCGAGCTAGGAGTTTGGCATATGTCATTAGGCAAAGTTAGTCTAAATTTGTGCCCAGTTTCATCGAAATCTGAGCGTCTCACTTGTAGCATTGCCCCGTTCAAAAAAGGGACCATTCTTGGTCAACGACAGTTCGGAAACAACACAAAATCGAGCGAGCGACGGGGTGTAGGGAAGGCTGATGCCCAAACAAAGGCTGTAGGAAGTGCTTGAGAGGCCTGACAAAACCGTTGGATGGTGGGCGAAAGCTCGGCAAAGGCTCGGCGAAGCTCGGCGGAGAATTGCAATATGTCCACTTTTCCAAATTTTAGCTATAACTAACGTTCGTTTTCTTGACCCTGAGTTATTGAAACATATAAACAAAATTTGCGGCAAAAAACGAAGATCCGTAACTTTTATTTTGATGTTATTGTTGTGAGTACATGTAAAACACAGCTCAAAAATAGGCGATGAGCTATTCTAGGACCCGATCAATCTTGTTATTTCTACTAACTGAGCCTTCTCCTAGCCTCCCCATGCACACAACAACAAACCGAGGCAATCCATAGTATCGTTGACCCGAACTGTCGCTGAGCCGAAAAGTCGTAGCGCCAAATTGAAAGTCTTTGCCGAGCCTCCGCCGAGACTTTGCCGAGCGTCCGCCAAGCATTCAAGTAGGCGCTTCCTACACCTTTTTTTGGGCAAAGAAAAAACGTATTTTATAACTCAGCTTTTCGGGTCAACGACAGTTCGGGTCAACACAAAATCAATCAATGCGGGGCGTAGGGCAGCCGGAGACCCGAAAAAAGGTTGTAGGAGATGTCTACGAGGCCTGGAAAAGCCCTTGGATAACTGTAAGCCCTTGGATAGCTGACCCAAAAAGTCGTAGCGCCGAAGGGAAAAAAGACTTGAGTTTTGCTCTACAAAAGCCCAATGTATTATTGAATAGTAGTATTAGGAACGTACCAGTTGCATCTACGATGCATTCGGCCACCTTTTTCGGCAAAACAAAGGTGTCCAAATCTTGATCCGGTGTCTATTTATACAGGACGGAGATTTCTGACCAACCTCTGATTAGTTCATGTTCAAATTAAATCCGCTCAACGCCCTCAAAATCCGTTAAAACTGTATTGAGCCATCCGGCTTGACAGTACTGTTATCCAACTTTAATTACCCCGATTTTGGCTTAATTTTCTTCCGCGGATTATTCAAATTTCCCAATCAAAAGCGATAAGAGGATGATTAAAAATTTCGAAAAATTGAAATTTTTTATCTTTTTAACGACCGGTCGTTTTAAGTTCTCATTATTTTCCCGACAGACTGATAGCTGTCTGGTCAGATTGGCCAAGTTTTCAAGACTGCCTCGAGGCAAAAACTATAAAAATTTAGTGTTTCGAGCAATCATTAATTCTACAAGTACCATGATGTTTTTACGGTAAATTATTTATGGAAATGGCAACAGTTTCTCATACGGCCTCCAAAAATAGAGCGCACATGGCTTTTGAGTGTGATGCTGACGCTTTTTGAAACCAAAATAGTATATTGTGGTATTTCGAGACGCTGCCAATGTCTATGATGAATTATTTCGGCCGACATGAAACCCATTATTTAGGCTAAAATGAACCTGCGGGCAGCGAAACTCTCTCGCTACAAAAAGTCTTGAGATTTTTCGCATCGACAAATCATTTTGTGCGACAGAATTCGGGACCCGATAAGTTCCCAGAGCTTTTTGGCTCGAGCATTAAGTGTTAGTAGTGCACGTATCAGTCTGTCGAGAAAATAGTGACGAGTCGTCGCAGAGGCGTCGCAGAAAGGCAACAAATCCTCAGGACTTTTGCTACAAGTACTATTATAACCAGAGATTGCCACTGGCTCCGGAGCCGGCTCTTGGCTCCGGCCCCGAGCCCAAAGTTGTAGCCAGGCTTCTAGCATCCAGAAAAGTAAAAATTTTGCATGAAAAATACTCGGGACTTGGCTAAAAAACGTTGGGCGTCTCTGGCACCAATAACTTTATTTTTGGAAAAATATTTTTTTTTATTTTTGTATGGGGGCCGGGAGCCGGTGCCGCAAATTGGGCCCTGACAATCTCTGGTTATACTAGTCCGTTTTAAAGTCGCTGGAGTGATTTTTTGGCGGTTGCACTGTGTAAAAAATCAAGGTGCGGGCGACAGCGAAAAAAAGCCTATTGCACGGTGCAAAATCTAAAAATTTGACAATGCAAAATGAAGATTTGTTTTCGCACAGTGCGTGTCGCAAAAAGCGCTTCAGCGACTCTCAGTCGCTACATAAAATCCGTACACTTTTCTGCGACTTTGCACTGTGCATAAACCGAAAAAAAGCATTTTGCACCGTGCATCGGGCTCAAAAAGTACTTGCACAGTGCAATTTTGTTTTTTTTGCCCTACGCCGTGCGCGATTCCATTTTTTCGGCGACAAATCGATTTTTTGGATTCCGATGGGATTTGGGGGTGGCGAAAAATTCTAAGGACTTTATGGCGCGACTAGTAGTGGAAGAATTACAAGTGGAGTCCTTCTGAAATTTCCGTTTCAAGTCGACTATAAGCCATCATATTTTCCTACCGTAGCCCCAACCCCATTCAAAATTACAACTGCCCCCGAGGTCCCAAATTAGATAAAGCTTCCAGCACTTTTCTCTTTGCTTAATCCGACATTCAAAACTTGTCAATTTTGCACAAACCAATCTCCATCCAAAACAGCTCATATTACCTCAATTTCCCAATTAAATCCCCATGTTTTCATTGAATCATCTATCCGTATCTTCGGGGGATATCTTGAGTCAAAACTTTATGCTCTGTTTACCCAAATTATTACAAAACAATTTGAAAAAGGTCCCTCGGCTTTATCGGAGCAAAAGTCAATCAGATTAGGCCCAATTTCCTCAGGCTCTTTGTCCGGTCGACAGTGTTTTGGGGTGATAAAAGGGGGGATATTAGTACAAAGAATCTTTCGAGAACCTCGACATTTGTGTGGGCCACAACAAAGATGTTTCAGTCGAGACATTAAGAAGTAGCATCTGTACAATACTTGTAAAAAGGAATCTGTATTTTTAATTTTTTTCTGGGACAAAGATGGTCATGTTTGCAGCTTTGTAAAAAGCGTTGCAGTAAGCCTTACCATAAGAAAGACATAT